ACCCATTCACCACGCCGGTATTTGACATGTCATAAGGCTGGAACAAAGTCAAAATGGAAGTGCATAGCATTTCCAGATCCAAGATTGCGGTCAAGATGGCTTGAAGCACTTTCAAGCACCGCAATTATGCGATTATGCAATATTACACTGATTTGGCTACCAGTCTGCCAGTCAGTTCTGTTGGCACGGCTCCTGATCAGTGGTTTCAACTTTACAGAGTCTTCGACCCAGGCATCGGAGCTGCGGTTGCGGCTGAGAATTTTCTGAATCATTTCCATGCTATGGAGTCCATCTTGCGGCAAAAGCGGTAATGTGGGGAGCCCCCTGGCAAAATATTGGTCCATGTTTCAAAGAAGATATATGATATATTTAGTGATCAGGGGGATTGTGGTGGATGGCCTCATGATACCAATTTTATGAGAAATACCTGCTCTCATCTGAGTCTCATCTGAGACGGAGTAGCAATCCGATGTTGTGCATCGGGGGCTCAACGTCTAAATGTACAGCAAGTGCTAGTTCTTACGCGCGGAGACGATAGCCAAAAGCCAAAAGCCACTTCGGACCTCACTCTTGAGCCATGCAGACGTCAAAAATCCCCGTTCCACTGCATCAATTACCGCGACGGATCTGAACTATCGTGGATCTGGCATAAGGCGCATGCAAGGAACGAGCTGACGGTCACCTGACGTCTACCTACTTGGCAGAAAATGTGAGCGATCGACCGGTTGATTGTTACCTCGCCCTAATCGTGACAAATTGCAACGCGTCGCAACCGTCCAAAGAGCCGCTCCAGTAACATCCCACTACGAACGACGATTGGCCAGTTGATTGATAGAAGACCATTACAGCTGTCTCAGCACGTAGATAAGGGATGGATTATGGTCGGGGAAGCTACTCCTGCATCCTTGGATCCACCAAAGTCAGCATGGGGCGTCATGTTTCTCGCTAAACAGCGTCGCCTCGTAAGAGAATGCGGAAACGTCAAGTGACAATGCACCGACGACCGCCCTTTTAATGCCAGTATGAGCTGACAGGCATTATATCGTCATTGACGAAGCGCTTTCATCAACTTCTCCCTCTGCCAGCCACCTAAAGGCACCCCTCCTGCTCGTTGCGAGCCACCACAAACTATTTCAAGCCATCCTGGAGAAAATTCATACTCCAAGACATGCGGGTAGCCGCGTTGCGATTGACAATTACAAGCCAAAGTTCACCCGGGTGGCCATGGACCTAACCCGCCGCATGCAATCATAGAACAAGCTCCCGGATGGCGACACAACCTTAACCCAAAACCCAGCTATGCAAGAGTAATACTCGGCAATCTTAGCAGACAGTATGTATAGAGTAGGTCTTTATTTCGGTTTATTTCATTTTATTTCATTTGCCGGCAATGCGATGAATTCACAAAACGCGGGTCCCGCCTGCGCTCAAATGATTAGCTTGTCGCCTGCATAAAGTGGCCCACCAACAGCAATTGTGATATCTTGGACTTCACTTTTTGACTATATCTGTACGAATTGACAAACTTTAGAATTCCTCCAGACGGCACAGTTGTCGACGAAGGAGGCGGGTTACTCGACGGGTATTTTGCGTTCGTGACCTGCTGTAACACCTTAAGGGAGGAGAATAGAGCAGATCTTGCGCCGGCCGAACCTCACGCTCAATGGGAAAAAAGAATGTGACCTATCATAATTCCTGTCCCGGCCGGCCCCCCTCTTCTCTCCCTTCAGCCACAACCCAGCACAGGGCCAGAACAGACACACACGCACGCACGCACGCACACTCTTGCCCCAGAAGCATATGCGCCCGTGGCTGGGAAACGAGGAAGGGAACCTCGCAAGCCGTGCCCAAAGCAACGGATTCTGGGGCCGGAGAACTCTCCAAGCAGAGCCAAAAGTGAGATATGATACACGCCTCCTCTTTCAGATGCCGATTATTAAACAGCATTTCTTCCGCTAGAGATCGGGATCAGATCAGATCCCCATCGGAATCTGGCAGCTTTGTGACCATGGGTCTTTCTCCGGGGTGAAAATTAAAGATTCATCGAGAAGAACATCATCCCCGGTTGGAGCTCCCCCTCGCATGAAGTGGTGCAGATTGCTCAGCAGAGATACATGACAGACGGGTAGGTTAAGCACAAACACGGGCCAGAAAAGAATATTGCAAAACATTACCGTTCGAGCATACAGGTAACACCATAAAACGCTTATCTCGACGAGTTCCCAATTCGGGGAATTTTCTTGTGTAAAAACTACCATGTTGTATTACATCGACTGTGTCTCGAGTGATGTACGCATGATGTACGCATGCATGTCTCTGTAATTTTCTATCCCGCTGTTCAAAATCCATTTGGTCCAATCAGTACAAGGCTACCGAGAGAAGAAAGCCTACGAGACAGTCGATTCACTCTCGGGCCGTGTCGCTGTCAAAAAAGTCCACGTCCTCTTTTCAAACCCCCCTTGCTCCGTAAAATTCTCGTCTATGCAGTGAAGGATAGTGCTCAGCAGAGAGAGAAAATTTTGCCTCCTACGGAAGAAGGAAAAATTAATCCTAGCCTCAGATCATGTACAGGAAACGTCATTTCGTTTTATTTCACGTGCCACAAGGTCCTAAGATCGATCGTAGCAAGCAGAGAACGGAGCCTAGCCTTTGCCCCCCCCCCCCCCCCCCCCCCCCCCCGGCGGCAGTTTACATACCACCCATGTTACATACTGTACAGCTGTGGCCGAGCGGGGGCCCCACGAAGTCGCAGACATACTTACTGTACTTATAATGAGATACATCACGGCCGGTTACCCCCCCCTCCCCCCCAATACATAGGGCGGACGTACCGGAGGCAGCAGCCGGGTGCGGGAGGAGTATGGAAGGGAAGCGGTTGAATTTCTTTCCCCCTCTGGCCTGTCCCAGGCGGGCAACCCGCCTTTTCCCCATGGCGTGTACAGTAGGCTCTATGATGGATCATTATATCTCACACTGTTCTTCCCGCTGTCTAAGAAGACGCAGGTGGCTTGTCTTCCATTTGTTGTCTGAATCTTACGAGAGATAGAGAAAGAGATCTACACGCCCGCCTTTGAGGGCGTACATTGTGGGGATTGGTGGAAAGGGGGCAGGGGTGGTTTCTGTTTCCTAGACGTTAGTTATACTCGTTCCTGAGGACGATCCAGACAAAGTTCGTCGAAGTACAGTTACAAGACTAGGAGAGAAAAATGGAGATCATGATCATAACGCTTGAGCTTTCCCCCCTCCGAGTTGAGATCTAGATTGTCGGTTGCATCGTGCGAAGCCGTGAACTGGCTATCAGGGTTTGCTCATGCCAGACCTGCAGGGCCTCGAGCTCTCGGCCGCAACCGCTGGCCCCCAAGCTGCAGGGCGGTAATAATCATGATAGCTCCCTCATAAGTTCCTGATCAAGGTTGCGCATACCGCTCTTCGGGGGCCCTGTTTTACTGTGCATGCGGCAGCTTTTTTCCTGCGACGCTGCCTAGTGTTGCTGCCGGCGGTGTGGACAGAGTGAGAACTGGGGGGTACTGAAGCCGGATAATTTTGTACGTATAGGACGATGCTACAATCACAGGTACCTTACAGGTGGACATCTGACTTACTACAGCGCACCATGTGATCCCTGAAACATAGCTCGTACAGCTTGTTATAGCTCAATCGTAGAAGAACCCCCAGGGAGTTAACGTGCAGAGCCTTGCATGAACGAGGTCGGCTGCAGCCCTTTGAGAGTGTTCTTCAAATCAACTTCATACAATCTAATTACAGCATGTTCAATTGCGCCAGCTCAAGAGTACCGTACATGAAGTGTATTGATCTCAAGGGTTGGCTCACCACGATACTCTCATGCACACCTGAGATATTGACGACACCAGCTTAGTGGCAATACGAAGACAGCATGAAGTCAACCTAGATATGAGGTTCAGTTTCGAGTAGCACAAACCAAAGCATGCGTCGCGGGCTAGATCCCCTGAAATCTCGCAACGACGGCACAGAAGGAATAAGGGTCATCTTTACAGTTGGTGTCATGGCAGTTCCCATGATGATAGGGGCTCAGGGGCCTCCGGCAGTGCCACTTATCCATACACCATGTTGTGGGACAACGACCGGCAGGCGATTGCAGTGCTCATGAATATTTGCGCGCAGGGGACAAAGTGTAAAGACCATCATGGGAACCGTGGTTCCGGGTTGGCAGCACAACTCAAGTACTTGCTTTGCTTATTCGACAACGTCCGTGGAATGCATCTTGTTCTGTGTGGAGATCTCAGTTTTATTGCTTATTCATGCATGGAATAAACTAGAAAACAGGCATGTTCGCTGTAGACAAAGTCACTGAAATCCAAACAGCGACGTCGAACACAATTTACCGAGTCATTGAGGCTTGGGTCGCACATTATGCAACCACAGAGTATATTTAGGGGAGAATCGTATGATGCATCTCAATAGAGACAACCAACCCACTCACTGATACTGTATACTTGCAGCTTGCGCTGCTGATCTGGATGAGTGGTCCTTGGTCCCATGCAGGAACGAAGCAAAATTCGTTTCCGGGAAATCCGCGAGCCTTCAATAGCTTGGCATCGTTGGTCCACCTATATCGATATCAGTCACTCTCGCCATTGGTAATATGAAATAGCTGTCTTAGGTATTAGCCCCTTGCCCTATGACCTGAACGGGTGGTGGCAAACTAGTGGGAGAAACGTTGAGAGCCTCACTGGCCTCCGCATTGATTTGCATCAAGATTTCCTGCGAACCAGCCTGCACAATTCTGCATCAACCTTATTCGTCACAGCTTCGGTTCCGATTGCCATTGTCCTGCTATGTTCAGGTCCGACCGACACTTGCAGCACTCTGGGCGAGAACTCCGGCACGGTGTGACCGGACCGTACCCTCATTGGATCCTTCACGTCGCTTCACTTCCAAAGCTGACCGAGGGAACATGGCATGTCTCGCAAGTCTATCGCCTCGGCCGTAGTTCAGTGTTTGAAACAGACTACTTCCAGGTCCGAGATGGGGTCATTGGTATGACTCTTGACCCCGTGGCCTCTCAATGATTTAACTGAGGAGGCTGCTCTAGGACATGGCTCATAGATATGGCTCTAGGACATGGATCATCGTCCGTAACTAGGAGTGAATCCCGGCGGTGCGGGCGGTGCTCCGCTCCCGGGTGGTGCAAACCCTGGAGGAGGCATTTGTCCAGGAAACCCGGCTGGCAAGCCTGGCATACCGGGGTGGAAGTCAGCAGGTCTACCGTATCCGCCTGTTGCTGGAGGTGGTCGTGCAGGCAAGCCAGAAGGGGGAGGTGGAAGGTTGTTTGGGCGGGCTCCCATAGGCGGCATGGAAGGACCATTGGCACCAAAGCCCACCGGTGAAGGACGATGGCCAGAGGGTGGTGCGAAACCACTAGGCCTGGCAGGGGGCACAGCTGGGTTCATGGCAGGATCGAAGCCGCCTGTGGCCATAATAGGGGGCGCAACGGCGGGTGTGGGAGTAGCTTGGCCTGGCTGTTGGTGGTAGGCGGGAGGCATCGGTTGAGTTTCAATAGTGACATTGTGTTTCTTAGCTTGGGCAGCCAACATGCGTTCCGCTTCGTCGCCATGTCTCTCGCCCTTGCCGTCCTTCTTGTAGGCATACTGCACAGTGACGTCCTTGTTCATGAGGTACTGGCCATTCATGTTGTTGATGGCATCGTCACTAGCTTCGAAGGTGCTGTAGCTCACGAAGCCATAGCCCTTGCTCAAGGCGTTATCGTCTCGGGCAACCTTAGGCGGGACGGTGAGTGTTCCAAAGCGACTGAAGGTATCGTAAAGGATCTTCTCATCCACCATGGGATCAAGGTTTCCAATGAAGAGCTCTGCACCTATCTCGAGGGGCTTCTGCTTGTCGGCGGATGCTTTGTTGACGCGTAGGGGTTTGCCGTAGAGTCTGATGCCGTTCATGATCTTGGCTGCGTAATCGGCATCAACCTCGCCGTTGAACTCGACGAAGCCAAACCCCTGATGCGACTGTGTAACGCGGTCCTTTGGTAGATGAACATTGACCACGGGCCCAGCCTGGACCATGAGCTCCCAGATGAGCGCATCGGTTGCGCGTTCGTCGATATTGCCGACATAGACTGTGGCTTCCTTGTCTTGCTCCCTGCGCGTGCACATGGTCAGCGATGTGATGCTACCAGTTAGTCTGGAGGACGCGTAGACCGCGAAACACTCACCAATGTTTTTGGCCGGACATCTTGAATCTTCAGAAAGAACTGTACGCGCGTGGTAATATGCCAGGACACTTGTCTGTCTTTTTATTTCCCCCTTCTCCCGTTGTTGTCGCGAATCTGGGCGTGCTTGAGCTGGAAGCTTTCATGAAGCATGAAGCTTTGATAGCCTGCTGGAAATGGTCTGTGCGCCTTCCCCCGATGATGACGGAGCCTTTCCGCATCGCTGATTTTTTTGGTAACGGCGACCGAGCTCCTTCCCAGAGCAAATAGACGACCAACAACCACATTTCAACCCACCGACACGATCTCATAGACAATACTGCAGAACCGACAGCACATTTGTGAGTCATTGCGCATCGTCGCGACAACCGAAAGCAGGTACTGACCCATCCAAGGCCGCGCGCTTCAGCTGTAAACATCAGAACTACCGACACCATGGCCGCATTCGCTTTGTCCGAGGAGTCCAAGGTCCGTTCAGCCATCTGCGCCTCACCTCAGGTCATGAACTAACACGAATCCCAGGAGCGCATTGGCAAGCTTATCGACATCTCCAGAGTCGCCATGCACTACGGATATCTGCCCCTGATTCTGTACCTCGGTTACACTCGCAGTGTCCCTAAGCCCTCCATCATCCGCCTTCTGTCGCCTCTCTCTTAAATGCCTCCCACAGACGAAGCACGCCATACGTTGTAACAATAGCATATAATACGCATCGCTCAGGATTGGATTGGAGGATGGCGTTGGTTCTACGGTTTCACGATCATAGAGAAGGTTCAGGGAGCAGCCGGCTGTCATTTGACCCGCACACGAAAGCTGCATTGCCCAGAGAGATTCATGAAGCAGGACGAAAGTCGAACTGTACAATACACTGTAATGAAATGTGATACCACTCAACGGAGCTCATGCCAACATTGTTCGCTGTGAAGATCAAGTGTGACGATTTACCCCTTTCCTTGGCTTACTGGAGCATGCAAACTTCCTGACTCAAAACTCTCGCTCTAACACAGAATGACGACCTGGTTATGATATTCACTTGAAGCGCACTGTTAATTATCACGGTGCAATTCGAGCTGTCCTGAAAACACGCATCAAGAGATGGATACCATGACGAAATATGCACTTATCGGCGATAAGGCAACTAACCTAGCGTAGACATCAATTCCTCGTCAATCATACCCTCAACCGCCATTACCTTGACGGGCTGTCCTGGAAAGAGCCTCTTTTTAGCAATACAGCTATGTAACAGCATCTCCTACAAGTGATCTCTATGACACAAAACCATGCGGGCCTTTCACCCGCCCTTGTCGAGACCATTTCCGGGCTGACCGCGGGATCCGTGGCGACCCTTGTAGTTCACCCGCTCGACATCGTCAAGACGCGGATGCAGCTTCACCGCAGCAGCGCGCCCACCTCCGCGAGCTTGACCACCATCTCGCTCATCCGCACCCTTACGCAGACGCCCAAGCCGCTGCGCGCGCTCTACCGTGGCCTGACGCCTAATCTCCTGGGCAATGCGTCGAGCTGGGCCTCGTTCTTCTTCTTCAAGGCTCGTGCTGAGCGGGCCCTTTTAGGTCTCAAGGACTCGCCACATGATGGACTGACCGGAACAGACTACTTTGCCGCCTCGGCAATGGCAGGCGTTGGGGTCCAGATCATGACAAATCCCATCTGGGTCCTCAAGGTCCGGATGTTGTCTTCGGATCGCGGGGCCGTGGGGGCGTATCCGAGTATGTGGGCTGGAGCAAAGCAGCTCTACAGGACCGAAGGCTGGAGGGGCTTTTATCGAGGGTTGGGAATCAGCTTGTTCGGCGTGAGCCATGGTGCCGTGCAATTTGCCGTGTACGATTCGGCCAAGCGAATCTACTTCGCGCGGCGCAGGGTACGACTGGAAAGTGAAGGCAAGGCAGCCCAGGGGCCGCTCAAGCTCACCAACGAGGCTACACTCGTGCTTTCGAGCGCGTCGAAGCTGGTCGCTGGTGCCGTCACATATCCGTACCAGGTCATTCGCAGTCGGCTGCAGAACTTTAATGCGGACGAAAACTATGGCCGGGGTATTCAAGGGGTCGTGAGACGGACTTGGCAGCACGAGGGCATCAGGGGCTTCTATCGCGGCATCGTTCCAGGCGTCATAAGGGTGATGCCGGCCACGTGGGTTACGTTCCTGGTGTATGAGAACATGAAGTTCTATCTGCCACAGTGGTTTGATGAAGGACGGCAACCAATTTGACAGCGGCGGCTGCTTAAAAACTGCTTCAATCTTGCTCGCATAATACCAATATACCCGTCCTCCCTTGCAGCTCACTTCATCACATTGTTCGTTTACAACTCGACAAGCTTGACCAAATCTGCGCCACTAGACTAGATGGCATACTACTACCTTGACAGTAACATCAATCAGATACGTTCAGCGTCTCAACTCATGGGTTCGATCATTCACTTGAAGGTGACACATGTGAAAGGCGAAGCCGTCGAATATGTTCTTTGCGTAACTTTTCGATATCCTCCGTAGGGCCAATGTCCTTGGGTAGCCATAAGGTTCTATACTCTTGGTTCATGAACCGCAACAGCTTCGCCTCCCAGATATGTCGACACGGCGTCCCATGAAGATTTTATAGTCAACAAGAAGATCGTGAAAGCCCTTAGTCACCGGTCGATTAGTGTAGTTGGTTATCACATCGGATTCTGAGACGGTACTTAATTCCGGTAACCTGGGTTCGAATCCCAGATTGACCTGTTCGACGTTTTCTCTTTTGCTCACACATCATCCTCACATCGTACTGGGGAATCGATATTTTTTTGGCTACTTTTCTTATCGACTCAATAGCTTCGAAATTTTTGCTAGGGCGACGGGTAGGGACGTTACCAGGACTATGAACTATATTCAGGCTCAGTGTATGGGTAGTAAAGGAACATCAAAAAATGAACAAAAGCAATGGTTAACTCATTACAGAGTTACCACAGGTCTGCCTGGGGATCGAACCCAGAATCTCCTGATGTCGTACTGATTACCCAAACGAGTAGCTTCGTAGTCAGACGCAATGCCAATTCTGCCAACAGACCTTGGTGATATAGACGTGCTATGTCAACGACCATGTGGGTGATAGTGGAGATGTCGAAGGGCAAAAGACCTACCCAGGATGGATCATGTCAAAGAATCCAGAACGGTATTTACTCGTATAGGATGTTGGGTGACGATGGTGGCATCGAAAATTCACCAGCATGTTAGGTGACGAAGGCAATACTCTGGTCCCCGAGTCATGTAATTGTGGGCCGGTATAAAACAGTGAGATGGTTCCCAAACCTTCAACGCCAAGATTCATGTCCAATATGTAGCCAACGCGTCGTTCTTCGGGGGGTGGTCGATTCAAGACTGTAAGCAGTACGGAATATTATATGACATATTCGTTCATACGCCTTAAAGTCTTCCTATTAGTGCTATGACATTATGCTTGCCACAGTATACATTGGGACGTCAACACGCTGGACTCCTAATCACACGATAATTATGTATTGTCAAGACCTTGAAATGTTTCGTATCTCAAAATGTGCTACCTCTTCAATCGTGGATCAGTTATTGTAATGAAGAACACTCAGGACAATATTATTGTCATGAAGACAGCAGACTATTACTATCAAGTATTCAAATGTTGATGCCGGTTGAAAACTCGAAACTCAACGTGTGTAACTCAAGTGAAGGTTTAATCAACGCTCCTAGGCTTTCTCCGATATTTTCTTCTCTTTTCGTCTCTCTGGTTTCGCCGGTCGTCTAACTCACTTACCCCTGCACTAGTCGACCGCTTGTTGTGCAACCTCAAGGTCTCACCCACCACTAGCCAATGAACCCGACCTTGGCATTGTGTTTAATAGTCACAAACTTTGAATACTTAATCCACGATGGTTCCTCGGAAAACATCCAAGTCGTCATGTGCGTGATCGTGGCCGACACAATAACGAGCAACCACAACCGGCAGGGATCCAAGCTCTGGTTCACGAGGCAGCATCTGGGGAAATCTACCTTGGTTGTAATGTAATACCATGATTGTTCATTCAACTCCGGACTTTTGCAACCACAACGCCCCTACGTGAGGATTGGCCTACAGAATCTTGGTATGAGTTACGCACTACTTTATTCGTCTCTTACACACAAAAACTGTTGTTATAGTCTATGGCAATTAAACCATTACTGTAGTACGCATTGTCGAACTCGTTGACGCGGTCACGTCAAAATTTACTTTCATTCCTGACCACAAGACGGCGAAAACCTGTATCTGCACGATCAACTTCTTGACTTCTAGACCCGCCCAAATATTGATGGATAGACACGTAGGTGTGTTCGTCTGCTGCCTTGCAGATGCTGACCATGTCGATATGGAGGCTGTTGAACTTGGTATCAAGGAGACTGAAGATCTAGAAGATGACGTCTAATTTGAGTAGCACGCAATCAACTCAGAGAGTGTTCACATCTGATTCGGACGAACCAACCGAGATACGATAAATCCGGCCACCGTGTCATGGATTTGTCTATTTGAACATATGAAGCTATATATACGAGGGAGCCCAAGCTGCTCGATAAAGAACAATTTACTCTCTACACTTTAATCTATGCTTTGACATTTCCATAAGCAGCCTGCGTCAGAATCCGGACGTACAACCTGTGTAAGAACGTGATGGTTGATGGGACCGAGTGCTCCGTACCTGGAGCAAATACGCCAGCGCTGTTGAAGAGGGCCGACTTGAAGCTGAAGACGGCCTCCTGCTTCTCACGGTCGATACGTGCGCTGAGGAGGATCAGTCCATCCGAGTCCCTCAGTCCAGGATTTAGCGGAGTACCACCGCATCGGACAGTCACCTCGTTTCCTGCGTTCTCGACGACCTCGAAGTGGTTGGAGAACTTCATGCCTTTCTCATACTTTGCGACGGCCAATTGCGATGTGTTCCAGAGGTTGTCCGCCGCAGCGGGACCCGGGTTGTCATAACGCTCCTGCAGCTTGCTATGGGTCCAGAAGCCTGCGGAATCGTGTCAGTCCTGGTGCTTGTCATCCTCGCGTGGATTCTCTCTCTCTCGACTTACCCCATCGGCTCCAAACGCCGCGGCAGAACTCCAGCGTCAGGGCCTCCTCGTCGTCGCGCAGGTCGGGACGGATCTTGTGCAGGGGGACGCGCTTGATGCAGTCGTCCACGAGGGCCGGGTTGCCCTTGGGGTTGTACTTGGCGTACGTCTTGGTCTTGAACCAGGGGTCGGTCTTGCTCAGATCAACGATTGCTGTGCTGGACGCCAGATAAGCCATTCCCACGCCGACGCTGGCCACACCTCCGGTAACGCCCCAAAGGCCCGCTGTCACGGCTGTCCGAATGATACCCATAGTTGCTTTGTGTGTTTGGATCAGAATTGCTCGGAAAATCCACTTCACGACCAGAGGATTAAGACTGGGTTTCACACTTAATCGGGCCAAATTACAGTGGATCCAATGGCTGGTTGACAGGACTGTGCAAGTAACGTGCTATCTCGAGTTGCGGCGTCCGCTACGATGTGATGTTAGCGCTATACCGTAATTAGTGGTCACGCGATAGCCCCTCGTCTCATCAAAAGCGGCATTTCCCTTCGGCGTCCACTCGTGATACTGGTTCACGAACATTTGTTATACTCCCATTGTGATCACGATATTGAACGATGATTGGTCGAACGACAGGATCGTATCGACGAGGTTAGAGCAGCCCTATGCCAGAGCGACGTGGAAGACACGCTGACGGTAGACTACCTCCGAGTGAGCCTGCTGTGCGGGGCCGCTATCACGACAATCAAGCTTGCGCTCCACTCCAGCAATAGGCATAACAAAATGCTTCGAACATCGTACAAGAGGTCCGAGAAGCTTTGGACGAGCCAATTCATGATTTTCATGTTCAGCTTTAACCTCCTGCGGTCACACCTGATCTGGTATGATCGTCTCGAAAGGCGTATTATTTGCGGGCTGTGTATTCTGCTAGTTGTATGCACTTCTTCGGTATGGTGGATATACACCAGGTTCATACATGGCGCACGCATGAGGACATTGCTGGTTGAATGCGGTTGATTTCGAAACACCGCCAAAACCGCAGTGGCCAAACTATGAAAGTGGGATGGATATTCTTGCCCACTACATTCCGCAAAGATCAGTAACGACGAAAAAGCCGTCTTGTACAACGCAATGGTGACATATCCGGGGCGCAATCTTACAAGTGGAATGTCTTGGTTGTATCTGGTGATGGGACAGAGAGCCTACAACCTTTGATCGCGATGATCAACACCAGTCAACACAATTGATTGGCGATTTGTCTTCCATGGATCAATACAGCCCCTGGTCTGCAACCTTAAAGAGATCGCAAGATTATGGATGACTAGCCATACTGGGATAGGGTATAGTGCTTATGATTAACCTCTGTTCCTGTGGGATGGGATTCTTCAAACGGCATCGGTCAGCAAATCTACGACTAGCATACCGTTCGGTAAGATCCGAGACAGTTTGTCAAGCAATCATCGAATGTTTGATCAAGTCTGGGATGTCGCAGAGATCGTGGAGAGTGGCTGGAGAGTTTCCAGGATCCTCGAATCGTCCTTCCTTGTGTTGCCCAAAAAAGAGCACCATACACATGGCAGAGGCGTCCTGCTCGCACTAACATCATGGCTGCTGTCCTCCCGAGATCGCCAAGTATAATAAGGTCGTTTAATATTTACTAATTAAGGATTTGCTCGTATAGCTGCCTGTATCTGTTCAGCCTGGAGTAGTACCTGCTCGTTGTCGTTTGTGTGTACATGTAAAGCAAACAAAGATACCCCTTGATGCGTAGCTGTTGTACAAAGACCCGATCTGTTTATTATATAATTAGTGAAGACAACGCCTGTTAGACTTTCGACAGGTTGATATGTGGTCTGCATTGTTTCTTAGTAGATAGATACCATGCGAACTTCCAGACAAGATCGCCACTTTACGTGCATGACAGACACACTTTCATACATGAGTGATCACGGGGTACGGAGTGGAAGTGAGCAGTACTATGTCTGACAGAATTGTCCTCATGGTCTGGAATATGCCGCAGTGCATGCCGCCAGGCTGCCAGTGTTTAATGTCCTTAATGATCAATATTACTAGCAGTCCTGAACCATGGTTGATCGACTGTCAGAGCACGTTCGGTTCCTGGTGCAACTTCGTTATGACATCACTGGAGCACAAGTGCATGTGCTTGCAGGGGCCTAGATGAGGGGAAACACAGAATCCGATACCAAGGTAAAGGCGAAAGTGTAAAAGCCGTACCTGGCCGATACTGAATTGTGGAAAAGTGTTTGGTAGCTCACCTTTTTGCATGATCAGCTGGACAGGCAGATCATGATTCCGGGTGAGAAGCTCCGTGTTACATGCTGGCATGTTTCCAGATGACTGCGCTTGCTTGGAAGCATGTACGTTTGCGTGCTTGCAAATGCAGCTTAATGCAGCTTGAATCAAGATGGCAGCGCTTTTCGCCGGATCTACGCAATAAGCCCCTGCAAGTGAAATGAAATTGAAATGGCCAGATCTCGATGCAGAATGACATCCAATTACCAAAGCACTAGGAGATGTGGCTCGGCTGGTTGAGAGCCACACTTGGTTGTGCTGCCATGGTACTGCATCAATGTATTACCCCACGGTAGAGCGAAATCATGACGTCATAGACTAGGCCGTTTTTGCTTAAGCCTGTGGCAATTTGCAGCGAATCCCGTGTCCCGGGCCATCACGAGTTTGAGATGCAGCAACTCAGGAACACTCTGGTTGGTTAACCCGTTTCGGGCTTGACGTGTCTTCGTCGCTAATGAACCTAGCCGGGCAAAGCTCATCAAGCTCATCTACACTTGCGCGAAACGCACAGAGCAACCTTCGCCTCGGCAATTGCTATATCAACAACCCAAATAAGGAGCCTTCTGAATTGTCCGATCAACATATCATGGTGTTACAAAATACGTAGTAGATGGCAGAAGTGACGTACAGCTATTTTCGTAGATCTGACGTCATTAAATCTCATTGTTCGAAACTCCCAAGCACAAGGTTGAAACAGCATGATCGCAACCTACGTCAAGCTGTTTACCCTGTTCTTTCTCCACAAGGCTAATGAGGGGCAGCTCTCCATAGAGGGGCAGAGGGGGCAAGCTCTCTAGCTTGCTATGGTACAATGATTCTAGGTTCTAGATGTAGGTCTATTCGGATCTAGGAAGCCAAATGTTTGTGTACGTCAGTCGTCACCCGCATTGAGCGGCCCCTCTGCCTGCTTCATCCGGGTTGGACAAGCAGACGCCCTTCTAGAATGACGTAAATCATTCTTCATGTGACTGCGTACGCGGGGCTCTTGCCTCGAGTGAATGCAAGCAATAATTGTGATTCAACTTTGAGGTAGCCTTTTCAAACTAACATCAGAGCTCCTGAACGGATACTTAAACCTCTCAACTCCCGTCCCCGAACTCTCTTTTCTCTTCCATCATCATCAACAACCATCATCTTCACATCTCAATCAATCCTCAAACAAACAACCCAAACCAACCATCAAAATGGATACCATCAAGAACGCCGCCAACTACGTCGCTGACACCGCCAAGGGTATGTCTCCCCTTACTTTGCTGCTGCCTCCTTCACCATCATGGCCGTTTCGATCTATTTAATTCAGCCAAGCTTTCTTTGAAGTGCCAATGCTAATTCATATCCTACAGGTGCCACCGCCACCACCTCCAAGGAGGCCAACAAGCAGGTCGCCAAGGACGGCAACGCTGATCTCAGCACCCGGTAAGCTTGCATATCAGCCTTTTTGTGCAGGAAGTATAAACTAACATCTATTTCAGTCTCTCCGCTGGCAAGGACGCCATTGGTGACAAGGTTGACGAGACGAAGCACAACACTTCTGCCGATGTCAACAAGGAGACTCTCAAGCACTAAACAATTCTTACCTATCATGATGACACGATTGGCATGAGCGCGGGCAGGGGAACAATCCTAGGAGTGGAATGCTTTATGATGGATCCTCATGGGCAAGGCATAGATACCCCAAGACCTAAAGTAGTCTAGAATCAAACAGCCTTTGCAAACCCACCAAACTGTCTTAACTTGCCTCTCATTAATCCGTTTCGCTTGCGACTGTTAATTTGTCTGAAGTGTTTCAATGGTCAAATGCCTTATGGTGAGGCCTATGAAAGCTTTCTGAAGGAATAATAAACTAAATATATATTGCCTGCACGGTAAAAATCCCCTTGTTTCCTGTTCTATTCTAGTAGATGCCAATCGTGCCAGGCTGTAGTGGTGAGAAGGTGATTGCCCTGGCCGATCAAAGCACAAACAAGTTGGGGCTGTGAACCATGGTCATTTCTTATCAATCTATCAACAATGCCCATCAAAAGAGGAACTCACTCATCTTTATGGTTAGTCATAAAATTAGACATAGACAGTCTATGGTCAGGGATAATTGCTTCCAATATGTGATCATACGATGAACGAACAAATCAAGTGGCTTCGCGGTTGCAAATTGCGCAACAAGTAACGATTATCATGTTGTTGCAATCACTTTGACTTACAAAAGATGCTTGGGAGTCGGGCTCGAACCTTGGACGATCTCCCGAACGCGCATGGGCCATTCATGGGTCTAGCTGCCCCTGGCAGTAGTACTCAGTCCTTGACGGCTGGCTCCCATTGACAAGACCTGCCAGCTTGAACAATTACAGCAACAATAGAAATGGTCCGTGCAGGGTCGGGTCTGGGCAGTCGGCGATTTGATTTTCGCCCACAGAAATTCAACAATTTCCAGTGTTAGAACGGAAATTCCCTACAACTCGACGAAATCTTGAGCCATCCTTCCACGACCCTCAACGACAACCTCAATACCGCCAAAATGCCTAAGGAAATCGGTGACATCAAGCAGGTATGCTGAATTGCTGTGCGAGCAAGTTTTGAGCAATTACAGCTGACAATGTCTCGTTCTAGTTCATTGAGATCTGCCGCCGCAAGGATGCCCAGTGTACGTATAAGAAATAACGAGGAGGGCGAATACCCCAGGCGCCATGTAGGATAGCATTTCTGACTCGAATGGTTACAGCCGCGCGCATAAAGAAGAACAAGTCCACCAACTTGTCCAAGTTCAAGGTCCGATGCTCGAAGAACCTGTACACCTTGGTTCTCAAGGACAACGACAAGGCCGAGAAGCTCAAGCAGTCCCTTCCTCCTAGTACGACACCCCCTCGGTCAAACTGGGCGCAAGCCATAACTAACCACTTGCCACAGACTTGCAGATCAAGGAGGTCGGCAAGAAGAACAAGAAGGGCAAGCACACCGCATAAGTCATATACCAATAGGGCATGATGGGGTTCTAGTGTTTGCGGAAGGGGCAATTGGAAGGAAAGATGGCATGACGGTTGTATCTCTCGGCACGGGCTGGAAAATCAAAATCACGATGCACGAGCATGATGCCCGGATCGGGCTGGAACGGCGTCCATGGATACCATTGAATCGAAGCTCACGAACCAAGAAAAGGCGTGCAGCTGATGTTCTCGAGAAATGAAATACACATTTCACACCATTTGAGTCTGCTCGACCTATGCTACTTGTGAGAAGTGTGTGGCGGCTGCCAGATCTCAAATGATTGGACGGCACTGCGTTGGCTTTCAGGGACGGCCATACCAGTCCCGGTGTTGTCCCATCGATAAATGCTGAAGGTCGACCTTGTCGAAAGAGACTTGGCCTTTTGCGGTGGCTCATCCCTGTACTGAGGAGCTTCTGCTTTGTGTTGTTATCTTCGGCACAAGAAAAGGCTTCTATATTTACTGATTGATCATGTAGCTACAGTGTAAAGCACGGAGTCTGTCCGATCACTGCCGCCGCCACTATACGTTCCACGATCTTGAGGAGGGTGATGCACAACCGCAATATTGGTTTAGGATTCAGGAGTGTTGTCGAAGGCTTACTATTCCCAAACCGGTAACATGGATTCCAACTGAACAAATCGCGTGTTGTTCGACTGGGAGTTGTTGATAGGGCAGAGGTATAGAAGAGTGCTGTACTTTGTATACTGTAAAGGCTCTCTCTACCTTCGGAATGTCATGGGTCTGGAGCAGGTCAGAGGGGGGGATCACTATCCGAGGAAATGTGGCCCAGAAGGTCGTTTCTTAATTCCAAGGCCTGGTCATCCACTCCAGTCGATAGAGACTACTTGTTTTTGCGGGAAAACGCTGCTATGGAATAGAAAGCCAAGGCAATGCAATGCGTAAATATTTACATATGAGCGTACTTAGTGGTGGCCAGTAGACTAAGGTTAGCACGTTTATGGAGTGTTGTATGGTGGCTCCTCCCAAAACCACTTTAAGATGACCCCACTATATCACCCCTGTCGTCACGTCAAGACGCGAACTCGCATTTATTTGGACAATTTGTACGGAGTGATGGACGCGCCTCTCAATCGATAGCCCCGGTACTTTTTCAAGCGTCCACTGTAAGTTACTCACTCAGCACACTCCTCAGTCTGCCCGTCCATGCACTGTTTCTTATGACCGCACCGTGATTGATGCCCTGTCGACGCAACAAGCAAGCTCTCCACTGTAGGACCAGGTCGCAATCATGAGTGCAGCCGCCACTCTACCACAGAAGCGTCTCTTCGCCGGCGCCCGCCCGCCTTCGACGCCGAAAAAGAGGCGATTGGAGCCGCTTTCCTCGTCGCCCGCATCGCGTCTCAACAGCTCACAACCCACACCGGGCGCCAAGCTCGCGTCTACTCAGACCAAGAGCGTCTTCGAGTCCGAGGTCCTCGAAAAGCTCAGCCAGGACATCTCAGACCTCAAGCAGAACAATTCCGAAAAGGACCAATCATGGGAACGCCCCCCCGTCCTCGACTTCGTCCCCAAGCGGGACAGCCTGACGTTCCAGCAGATCGAGGCCGAGGAAGGCACCCTGCATGGCGGCAGGGCCACCGTCAAGCTCTTCGGTGTCACGGAGAACGGCCACTCTGTCATGCTCCATGTCACCGACTTCAAGCACTACTTGTACGTCGCCGCGCCCGTCTCCTTCCAGCCAAAGGACTGCGAGCCTTTCAAGGCCTACCTCGAGTCACAGGTAGCCCAGCACCAGCCCGCCATCTACTCTGTTCAGCTGCAAATGCGAGAGAACATCTACGGCTTCCAGGGCAACACCAAGAGCCCCTATATCAAGGTCACAGTCACCGACCCCAAGTTCATCAACAGGGTTCGCACCACCATAGAAAAGGGCGATGCCAACTGGAAGGGTATGTGGAGGGGCGCTGACGGAGGCATCATGACCTTCGATAATCTGCAATATGTTTTGCGATTCATGGTTGATACCAAGGTATGCTTCGAGACGTCCAATCCCCAGTCCCGCTGGGAGCTGACCAACGCCCACAGATCCCCGGCATGTCATGGGTCGAATGTCCCGCCAAACAGTACAGCCTGATCCCAGAACACGAGAAACAGTCCAGCTGCCAAATCGAAGCTGAAATCCCCTACACACATCTCATTTCCCACGAGCCCAAAGGAGAGTGGTCCAAGATGGCCCCTCTGCGCATCCTGTCCTTCGATATCGAATGCGCCGGCCGGAAGGGCATCTTCCCCGAAGCCAACATTGACCCCGTCATTCAGATCGCAAACGTTGTTACTCGCTATGGAGAGACCAAGCCTTTCATTCGGAATGTCTTCTGCTTGGACTCGACCAGTTCCATCGTAGCCACCCAGATCCTCGACTTTGACCGGGAACAAGACATGCTCATGGCCTGGAAGGACTTCCTCGACAAGGTCGACCCCGATCTTATCACAGGCTATAACATCGCCAACTTCGATTTCCCATACCTCCTAGACCGTGCCAAGACCCTCAAGTGCAAGGACTTCGAATATTGGACCAGATTAAAGAGCGTCAAGTCGCAGTCCAAGGAGACCAATTTCTCAAGTAAACAAATGGGTAATCGTGATACGAAAGCCACAAACACAAACGGACGCTTGCAACTCGACCTGCTGCAGTTGATCCAACGCGATCACCAGCTTAGAAGTTACACGCTCAACTCGGTCTGTGCCCATTTCTTAGGGGAGCAGAAGGAGGATGTGCACCATACCATGATTACAGAGCTGTTTAATGGAACGCCAGAGTCCCGACGAAGATTGGCGCTGTACTGCTTGAAGGATGCCTACTTGCCGCAACGATTAATGGACAAGCTGTCATGTCTCGCAAACTACACGGAGATGGCCAGAGTCACAGGTGTACCGTTCAACTTCCTCCTGTCAAGAGGCCAGCAAATCAAGTTCTTGAGCCAACTGTTCCGAAAGGCATTGGAGCAGAAGCTGGTTATTCCCAACATGAGATCAGAGGGTTCGGATGAGCAGTACGAAGGCGCAACGGTTATCGAGCCAACCAGAGGATACTACGATGTACCCATTGCCACTCTCGATTTCGCTTCGCTATACCCAAGTATCATGCAGGCCCATAACCTGTGCTATACGACTCTTATCAACTCGAAGGCAGTGGAGAAGTTTGGTCTGCAGAAGGACGAGGACTACATCGTCACACCAAATGGTGACATGTTCGTCACCGCAAAACAGAGGAAAGGTCTTCTAGCACAAATTCTTGAGGAGTTGCTTTCCGCAAGAAAGCAAGCAAAGAGAGAGCTGGCTGTCGAGACCGACCCTTTCAAGAAAGCCGTGTTGAATGGTCGACAGCTCGCTTTGAAAATCAGTGCTAACTCAGTGTACGGTTTGACTGGTGCGACGACCGGCAAGCTTCCATGTCTCGAAATCGCCAGCAGTACCACTAGTTACGGTCGACAGATGATCGAAAAGACAAAGGACGAAGTGGAGACGAAATACTGCATCGCAAATGGATACTCCCATGATGCCCAGGTCATCTATGGTGACACTGATTCCGTCATGGTCAAGTTCGGCACCAAAGAGTTGGCCGAGGCAATGAGACTCGGAGAAGAGGCAGCCAACTACGTCTCGTCGAAATTTATCAAGCCCATCAAGCTAGAATTCGAAAAGGTCTACTTTCCCTATCTGCTAATCAACAAGAAGCGATACGCCGGTCTGTACTGGACGAAGCCTGAAAAGTACGACAAGATGGACACGAAGGGTATTGAGACAGTTCGTCGTGACAACTGTCTCCTCGTCCAGACTGTTATTGAGAAAGTACTCCGAATGATCCTGATTGATCGAGATGTACCAGGAGCTCAAGAGTAAGCCGTCTGTGCTGGGGTGTCTTCAATTACTTTGTGCTAACACCTGGTCACAGATATGTCAAGGATACCATCGCAGAATTGTTGCAGAACAAAGTAGACATGTCGAAACTGGTCATCACCAAAGCTCTAGCAAAGGAGCACTACGATGGCAAACAAGCACACGTCGAGCTGGCAGCGCGTATGAAGAAGCGTGACGCAGGCTCAGCTCCTGGCCTGGGTGACCGTGTTGCGTATGTCATGATTAGGGGTGCAGCAGGAGCAAAAAACTTCGAGAAGTCGGAGGATCCCATCTATGTTCTGGAAAATAATCTGCCCATCGACACCCGGTATTACCTCGACAACCAACTTGCCAAGCCTTTGGGTCGTATTTTCGAGCCCATTCTCGGCGAGACCAAGGCAAAGTCGTTGCTTACAGGAGACCATACCCGTGCCATATCCGTAGCAGCGCCTACGGTTGGTGGTCTCATGAAGTTTGCAAAGAAGACTATGACGTGTATGGGCTGCAAGAAACCGCTCGTCGGCAAGGAGGAGAGCGCTGGCGCTGTTTGCTCCAACTGCGCACAACGTGTCGGTGAACTTTACAACAAGACGTTGAGCCAGGTCTCAGACCTTGAGGTTCGTTTCGGCAGGCTGTGGACACAATGCCAGCGGTGCCAGGGCAGTATGCATGGTGAGGTCATTTGCAGTAGCAAGGACTGTCCCATTTTTTACATGCGTATGAAGGCCAAGAAGGATCTCGAAGATGCGGGCAAGGAGTTAAAGAGGTTCGATTTCGACCAAGCTGCAATCTGGTGATGAGATACGAGTAGGTTGTACTTGTAAAGATGTGCAATAGGTCGGTTTGTGGACAGAAGGTATGGAGTTGGGTAAGCATTGATATGAATCGGAGTTGGGCGTTATGCGAGAGTAGCTAGACTCACAGCAAACACTGTTAATATGGTTATATATCTAACTTGAGGAGCATCGAGTTATCTATCATGTTCCTAAGAATCAATGAAACTTTTGAAACCCATCTATTGCTTATGCATTTCATCAAGTAACGTCGAGAAACGATGAACGGGAACTTTCTACTCCAATCAGCTATTAGAAGGGAATTTTCTCAAAAATTTCCTATGGGATGCTCCTGACTAATTTGCTGGTTTGATATTCATTTGGTTTGTCCCAACGTCAAAGATATGGATGCTCGACTCATCCGTGGCTTTGCGGGCAACGCAGGCGATGAGCGACGGGTTCTCTTGATAGTCCAATAATACAGGTTAAACGGGACTGTCCCTATTTTTCATCGTGAATCAATTGTACAGTATTTTGAAAATTGCTCTTATGATCTGATCAAAAGCTTTGATACAATGCTTCCATCAGGAGGGCTGAGGCAGTGTCAACATAAAGGTACTGTTATACGACCAGTAGTGATCACTCTCGAAAACTGTTCTATACTAAGTCGATACTATACAACTAGACTAGCCTAACCTAGTAGGATCGAACCTTCGCGCTTGAACCGAAACAGCGAAAAATGGATTGGTAGCTTCCACGTTGCAAGGGTTACAGGCACTCTAATACAAGCGATAACAGAATGACGACTACATTAACGCTAGCGTCAGCACAAACCTAGCGAAATGGGCACGAACATTGCTGATAGCCCTAGAAATCTGCATTCGCGTCGTCCCAGTGCTTGCTTCACATACATACAAGTATACTACTCGTCCAGTTCAAGTTTGGTTGATTGTTTCGTCGCCAATAAAGTCTTGGCGCCTTGGACGCACGACTATAATCACACACAGCTTGCAACTTATAATGGGGAACCCTTCGGATATCCCCGAGCTCGAACCTGATGGACCTCACCTGGTCTACCTGGCCCTGTCATTCTTTCTGATTATATATGCGCTTTTTTCAGAGTTCATCAGAAACAAACTACACCTCTCTGAGCCTCCCCTGGCGACCTTGGCCGGTATTACATTCGGACCACTCGCCGCTAGTCTTCCGGGCACAGAGAAATATGCAAACCAAGACAACATCACCCAGGAATTGGCCCGGGTCGTCACATGCGTCCAGGTCTTCGCAGTAGGCCTCGGACTACCTAGTGCCTATGTCAAAAAGCACTGGCGAGGGCTCCTTGTATTGCTCGGACCGAACATGATCTTCGGATGGGTCGTGTCCGCCGTCATCCTCCGGCTCGTCATCGGAGTTCAATGGAGCACCGCCTTCATCATTGCTGCTACCTTGACGCCGACGGATCCCGTCTTGTCCGCCAGCGTGCTGGGCGAGGCGCGATTCTCTACGAGGGTGCCAAGGAGGATCAAGCACATGCTGGCAGCCGAGTCCGGCTGTAACGACGGTACAGCCTATCCGTTCCTCTACGCCGCCATATTCGCCGTCACGCAGGGTAGCAGGGCGGACTGGTCCAAGATGTTCTTCCTGGAGACGATCCTATGGCAATGCCTGTTCGGGATCGCCATCGGCGCCGTCATCGGCCTGGGCGCGAACAGAGCACTCCGCTTCAGCGAGGAGAGGGGGTATACCCAGGCGGCGACGCTCTTCGTCTTCTACTTCCTGCTGGCCATATTCGCGATGGGCGTCGGCAGCACGCTCGGGCTGGACGACTTCCTCGTCTCCTTCTCGGCCGGCACGGCCTTCTGCTGGGACGGCTGGTTCCACCAGAAGACGGCCAGGATGAAGCTGCCCAGCATCATCGACCTGCTGCTCAACTCGGCCATGTTCGTCTACTTCGGCACCATCATCCCCTGGGACAAGTACGTCGGCACCGGGAACCTGAGCGCGTGGCGGCTGCTGGCCTGCACCGTCTCGATCTTGCTCCTCCGGCGGCTGCCCTCCGTGCTGGCGCTCAAGAGGTTCGTCCCGGAGATCCGCACCTGGAGCGAGGCCGTCTTCGCCGGCCACTTCGGGCCCATGGGCGTCGGCGCCATGTTCTTGGCCATGGAGGCCAGGGGGCAGCTCGAGACGGGCTCTTCCACCCCAGACCCACACCCCCCGGCAGAGGGGCCGCACCAGGAGGCCATACGGCACCTCTGGCCCGTGGTGAGCTTCATCGTGCTGGGATCCATCATGGTGCACGGCTTTTCTGCGGCCGTGATGAGCATATACGGCCACCTCGCGAGGCATCCGAAGCGCCGGGCATCGCAGGTCGGAGGCGAGATAGAGAGGCTGGCTGGCATGGCTTCCGAGGACGAGGACGAGGACGAGGGGAGCGCGCTGTTTTCTGAAGACGAGGACGAGCGCAGGATCGAAGGCAACGGCGAGATTGCCATACGTTGACACGGGAGCAGCGAAACTACCAGAGCTCGAGATTCTGACTAGAAGTCTAGAATAGCATAGATTATCCAGATGAGCTTAAATCACAGAACAAGCCGTCAAGTTGACTCCATCACATGCGTGTCGATGTAAAAAAAAAAATGCGATACAGTTTTCTCGCCCAACTATGTAACCACAAGTCGATAGCGACAGTATCTCCCAGAAACAAAAACAAACAAGGGTATATCCCAAAAACACGCGAGGCCAGTCTAGCCCAGCCAGACTCCATAGTCCTTTCCAATCCTACATCCGTTTTCTAAGCACCAAAATCCCCGCCCATCCACTTACTCCTGCATCTTCTTGATATAATCATCAGGCTCCTCGAACACATAAGCCTCTCCCCTCATCACCCGATCCACCTCCTCCCTGACGAAGGGGTAGACGTCCTTGTAGGCGTTCCTGCCCATCCAGCAGTCCAGGTGGCCGTAGTTGGGCACGACGCGCCTCTTGTACTGCAGGCCGTCGTTGTCGCGGGTGTCGCGGGTGCCAAAGGTGTCGCAGAGGACCTCGTAGGTGCGCTCGGTGGCGGTGGGGCTGAGGACGGCGTTGTCGCGGCCGACGAAGAGCAGGAAGGGGACGTCGCGGAGGCGGCGGACGTTGTCGGGGGTGTCGAGGCGCTCGAACAGGGGGCCGTTGGACATGACGCCGCCCTCGTAGCCCTGCCGCATCAGCAGGTGCAGCATGGTCATGTTGACGCCGCCGAAGAAGCGGTCGATCTGCCGGTGCGTCGCCTCGTTCAGGTTGCCGTGGTTCCAGCACCGGCCGAAGGTCAGGCTGATGCGGTGGCACGACGCGCTGTTGCACAGCTCCCGCCGCTCGTCCGGCATCAGCCGCAGCGCCTCGTTCAGCGCCTTCTGCGCGTAGCTGTCGTCCTCGCCCGTGCTGCAGGAGAACCAGTTGCCGCAGAGCAGCTTGTAGATCCTGTCCAGGGGCACGAGGGGGAAGGCCATGATCTTGATCATGTTCAGCGTGTTCCAGATCGGGTTCATGAAGACCTGGCTGCAGGTGACGCCCGAGATCCAGCTGGCCGGGATGGTGCCGTCGAGCAGGCCGGTCGAGAAGGCCACGCTGCCCATGCAGTGGGCGATGGCGTAGACGGGCTGGTCGTGGTTGTCCTTGCGGATCTTCTCTAGGCAGGCCTTGATGTCGATGCGCGCGTCGAACGTCGTCCAGTTGTTCTGCGCCACCATCAGGGCGCAGATGCGGTGCACGGTAATATAGACACGGTAGCCTGCCCTGGTGAAATAGTTGACCGCGTTGCACTCGATCGTGGGCAGAGCGAATATCTGGTGGTCGACCGAGGCACCCGGGATCAGGAAGAGAACCTTCTTCTCCAGGGTCTTGTTGGTAGGCTCGTACATCTGCATGCGTGTGACAACTCCATCTTCAGCCTCGATCTTATACGTGGCGTCGGGCAAGGTCTCGTTGATGTACCCATTGTAGCTCTGGCTGGGGTATTGCAGGGGCGTGAGAGGTGCCAGGAACAGTGACAAAGACTTGCGAGTGAAGTAGGTCATGAAGCTGGCAGCGCTCACGGCCTTCTTCAGCAGACCGCTACCGGTGGGCGTCATGGTCAGGATTTGGCTCGCAAAGTCTGCTGGCTGGATCTTCATGATGCCCTTGGCGATGATGATGCCCTTCGTTGCCTCGTCCTCCAATGTGTCTTCGCGGAACGTCGTGTTTGGCCTGGCCTTCCTGACTGTTACGTAGAGAGTGCTTGTGGCCTTCCAGAACTGGACGGGGTTCAAAGCGACCGAGGAGTCGACAACCTTGACGCCGCGGAAATGGAGGAGCCTGCCGTCGGTGCCGCGCATCATGAAGTTGTACACGAGGTTTTTGGTCCCCGGTGCACCCATGTATTGTCGGAAGAGGTTGAAGTCGCCACGCTGTACCATGAATGGAGAACCTGTTATGGTTGGGCAAGAGAAGGTACCCGTCAGCATGGCCTTGTGCTCAGGGTCGTGCACAATCGACCTAGTGTTGAAGGACTGGACACTGAGGAAGAACCGCGCCGCTTCGCACCGCGACTCGGCGATTCTCGCAGCCAACTCGTATGACTGTTGGCTGTCGGCCTTCAGGCCCTGCTCGGCGTGGATGAAACCAGACATAACTTCTGTGAAGCCGAATCCTCCATCGTTCATGCGTTGTGCGGATTTGATGACATCGCTAGCACTTGAGATGCTCGCAAAGTCCTCCTTCTCTTCTTCTTCGGAGTCGTACTGGCATTCATTGCCATATTGTGGGGAGCCAAAAAGATCAAGGATACCGTTCTTTTTCTCGTTGATGATGAGCCCCTGCCGCTTGGCGTAGTAGTCGACTGCGCGCTCTGCCAAGGCGGTGATCGTGGCAAATGGATTGGCACCAAGAGCAGTCGGAATCAGGGCGGCATCGGTCACAATGAGACCACGGTGTGTCTCCGGGCCGCTGCCCATGAAGACCTCACCAAAGTGGTTCGTTGCACCGCTTTCTCCAGTGCCCTCCGAAGCCAAGCAAGCGCCGCCAATTGGGTGGACTGTCACTTGCTGCTGCCCCATCAGAGCATAGAAGGGATTTTGCACAAATGTGCCTCCGACTGCTCGAGTGGCTTTCTCGAGGATGCTGTTGATCCATTTGACATGATTGCTTCGGCCAACGCCGAGGAACTCTAGTACAGGCTTGTCGTCCTTGAGGGTCAATATGGCTTGGTTGCTGTCGTGAGACATGACAAGGTAGGTTTGAGTCCTCTCAATGGCACCTTTGCGGTAGTATGGTCCCAAGAAGAAAGACCCAACACGAGCGAGGTTTGCTTTGAAGGTATCAACGATCCCTTCATCTTTGGGACCGATGCTACCAGGCATAAGCTCGAGCGTAGCTTGCATGAAAGGAGCCAAGGCTTTTGGGACTACACCTTCCTCGATGACATACCCATTGAGCGGGTTGGCGTGTCCCGATCGGTTATCGATTATGCCAGTGATGCATGGTCCAACTGGGTGATAGGGGGAACCGTGAGAGCGGCCAATGGCATTGACCTCGTGGTCAGTGTTGTAACCGAAAGCAAGCATGTCACCATTTCCGCTCATGTTCAACCCGATCTGGTCGCTCGTCTCAAGTCCCATTTCCTTACTCCTCAGAAGGATCTCTGTAGTTCCAATCGCACCGGCACCAAGGAACACAGCTTTCTTGGCATGAACCCACATAAGATCACCATGGAGGTTAGCCTTGAAGTGTCCCCGATTACGACCGTGCCAAGCGAAATAGATAAGGTAGCCCTCCCTACCAGGTGCCTTTGTAATGTACCGTACTTCGGATTCACAGAAGATTTCGGCACCCCAGTTCCAAGCATCCGCAATATATGTGACGAGTGTTGAGTTCTTCGAGCCGTCGTTGATACCCGTACAATCCTGACCAGTCAGGCCGGAAGGGGTCATCTCAACACCTGCAGCATTGGGCCCATTCTTAAAGCGTGTAGTCTGCTCCACTCTTCGAAACTTGTGCTCCATGTTCATGGCTTTTGCCTGCTTCTTTAGTAGATCTAGCTTGGGAAGCTGTGGCCAATCTTCGGGATATTGCTCAGGCTCTAACATCTTTCTAGCCTTTTCATAGTCTGTGGTGATAAAGTGTTGGTAAATACAAGCAAACACAAATGTTTATGAAACTGCGGAAGGGGTCTAATGTGCGAACTTACATTGTGCCATCTCCTTGGGGTTCTCTCTAATCTCTCGGGGCCAATACTCTTGTTTCAGGGTATCTTCGTCCGCCTCCAAGTATACATTTGCATTAATCAAGCTAGTTCCACCGAGACCTGTTTAAAGCTTGATTAGTCGTTTGCAACCGCGTCGTTGAAGAGGAGCCCATGACTTACCATTGCCGACGACTGCATTCTGACCGTTACCAAAGATGAGATGATACATTGCCGTCGGATCGCCGCCATTGACGAGCTTTTTCGGCAACCAACCAGGCGCAAACTCGCCGGAGTAATGTACTTGGTCAAGAGCATCGCCCGTCTCAACGGGAAACTCTCCGGGCCATCGCTCTTTGCCGCGCTCTAGGACACAGACTGATTGGCCAGCCCGGGCCATCCGCGACGCTGCCACACCACCACCATAACCGGAACCAATGACGACGCAGTCATATGAGTTCCGCATCAACTCTAGAGGCTTGGACAGACGAGGATACGCAGAAGAGCTCGAGCTTTTCCCCCATGACTGTACCCTGGCGTAGCTTCTGCCAGGTCCGCTAGCTTCGTTCTCGTGGCGACCAATTGAGTGAATCCGGTGTGAGCCGTGTCCGAGGTGAGCCCCCTGGCTGGGCTCCGGTGAAGGCAAGGCAGAAGACATACTTGGGCTCTTCAAGCTCTCGGCGAAGCTCACCGTACGGGGTGTCGGAGTGGAGTTGCCGTTCACACCCCGAGGCAATGAAGAAAAGCCGTATGTGACGTCGCTCTCGTATGCGCTGGTGAAGCCGTTTGTGAGAGGGCTACTCTCGCCATTGGACAATCCACCGACCTTACCAATGCCGAGACCCTTGGGAGCCGTGCGCGGTGACGGCGACGCGACTGGCAAATCTGCGCTGGGTGCCATTGCGAAGTACAATAGGTATTGATTCTGTCTCGAACAACAGGCGAGGTGATGGCCTAATTAAAGGCTCACTGCGAAATACGTCAACGGCCTCTTGTGAAGTACGAGCTTCGACGACGGCCGATAGAATTACAGTTTGAAACTATAATAGACGGAATGAGAAGTCAGAGACAACACTAGTATAGTGAGTTGAGAAATAAAAGACTTGAAGAGGCACGCTTAGAAGCTAGACTAGTGACAAGCGGCCGAATATAGCTTTCGCCGCCCAGCAGGATTGCGGCTTCATATATATGTTGACATTGGATCGACAAAGAGCCCAAAAAAACCAGCCATGTGCGTACGGACGTGTATACAGAAGAGTCCTGGGTGGTTGAACAGCATTCAATATTCAATAATAGTGATCCACAGGACCCGGCCACGAACCATGCCGGGCATGCCATGTGCAAGCTAGAGCAGTTCCCAATGGCATGGCCCAGTGGCGGAGTGGTTTAATCGGGCTGAGATGGCTAAGCTGAAAGAAAATTGAAATAGTTCATGATCGCCGTAGTGATTGGGCATGATATTGGTCAGTTCCCGCTTGTCTAGCCCCAATTCGTTAAGCTGCCGTTACTAACGGGGGAAAGCCCGGAGAAGATTGTTCAGATGTGACGACAAGGGTGTGTCAGCTATTGCAGGCCCCTATTGGGTGATAGGCGCCGCCTGTCGCTCGTTCGGGTGCGCTCAAATAGAAGGCGTAAGACGGAACGCAGGGACGGACGAGACTAACCAGATCGGAACTGTAGTCCGTATTCCATCTCAGCTGTTGCGTAAATATTCCCTTGAAGAGTTCCATTAATACCAATGCTGTAATGGGGCACGAGAGTTTTCACATGGAAGCCTCGGAACGATGATAGTGAACCCCTTTTCTGCGTCAATCTGCGATGAATACACTCGCGATAGTGCCGAAATATATGTGGCATCGATTGGCCATGCTCATCTGAGACAAGTCTTCCGAGAGTTTACCTTGGACGGACCTCTTCCCGAACATTGCGCGGAGAGTTTCTTCGATTTCTCCCAGGTCCCAGGGAAGCGGAAGCATTAGCCGTTGATTTTCGCTATCATACTAGCAGCGCTTCATTGGCGGCACTATCCATGTAGAATAGAGTTTTATCAGACACCGTCGGTTTACGTCCAATGGCATGCCTGGCGCATGGTCTAAGACTGCTCCAAGGCGCTTTTAAGCCGCTGACTCGTTATACATCTCATTGTAAATGATTCACCAACAAACTCTCCTGCACATGGCAGAGTTCTGCACGATATTGGCGTAAGATCTTGCATGGTTCTTGGCGGAGGTCGTTCTCATGGTAAACAACAGCAACCCTCACTTGGTTTACCGAATCATTCTCACTCGGTGCGACCGTCTCAGCCCCCTTTCCTAATACCAAACAACAAGGGTCAATGTCATTCAAGCACCGAAACGAGAGCCCTATCAAATGATGCCGTCAACCATTCACAGCAGCTCGATCTTGCGCTTGCCGATCAAAGAGGCATCGCTGAAATGCAGGTTCATCTGCAGTCAGCAATTAGTGAAATGATGACCGGGTGCAGTGCACCGTGCATGCTAGAAATGTTTCAAATGGCTTCTCGAATTATACACTTCTGCATATCCAATGACCAAAGTTTATGTGGGAGATTCGTAAGGCTGAGGTGAGGATTCGGAGTTGGTTGCACTCGCCAAACGACAACCGGGGCAGGGATCGCAGGATCCGGACCGTTATTTCGTCTAAATAATGACCCTTGCCGTCCTGTGGCACAGAAACGATCTACGCAAAGACTTGGGGATTTTCGAATCCTGTGTTGGCAACACTCTGCACAGAAGAATTCTCACATTGTCTATCAGATATTCACCAGCCGCCCTCATCTGAGTAATGGCCAAGCTTAAACCCGGCATATCTTCTTGGTCTTCGTGATGGTCGAAAAAAGCATCTTCCATAGTCGAAGCAAACCATTATAGATTACGAACAAGATGCTAGCATGACCGGGTATATGTTAGCTCTGAAACTCCAACCTTAGGAAAAGCTGCTACCAGGAACCAGAAAATCTAAAAACTGCTGCGGAATTCAAAATAGATATCCGCTAAAGATGTTGATGTTGCAACGAAAATGCGCCTGGAGGCCTATGAGAAGCTCGAGGACCAGGGCTATTAATGGAGTCAATTAGCGGGTGGTGCTGCCGCGACCAATCAAATACTGCATACCCAGGACTGTCGTGCTACGCTTCAGTGGTGTTATTGGCATAAGCCAGGCACAATTGCCATCTGCTAGCAACACTGCCACCCAAAACGGCCCCGTCCATCTTTCGGAGAATCCTTCAGTACCACATAGCCAGAGGAAATACTTGGCAACGGAAAAGCAACTGCAACACCATGATCCTCCTGTGATACCAACGGGATTTCCCTCGACTCACCCACATGGATGGGCAGCATAGAATATCTCCGCCAGGTATTGTACCACGGTGGACAGCACAGCACGGCACAGCAGTGTCGCATATATATCCCCAGAATAACGAGACAAAAAGAGCTTACCTTGACTTCAATCTGCGAGGCTGGGCCCCAATTATCATGTACCTTGTTCCTAGACTCGGTCAGAGCATATATCATGGCCTCGCTCTAGGACTTTCGCCAGCATGTATCAAATCGGCATGATTGACACATGCGGAGAGTACTCCAACGTGACGATCCGCTTCCTGTACACCCGATGGCTTACCCATGTGCCCCAATCTGCAACCACTCAGCACTTCATATATCGTTGCTCGTCTTATCGCAGGCAAAAACTTGATCTACGATACGCTCACGTTACATTGCCTTGATTGTTCGAAGTGGTGATCAAGCCACCTTGTTTCAAGAGTTCATTGATCAAACCACTCATTGTCGTTATCGTGATCGCTGCTAGAACTCTCCCAGCCACTAAGCTTTTTGCGCCAACGCCCGCCCAAATCTATTTACAAAGTCGCCAAACTTGTTAATCAAGGGTATTGTCTTATTCCGACTCCTAACAGAACAACTTCTGGTGTTGTTGTTTTGTACTCGAGTGACTTTCTAAATAAATAAAAAATTTGCCAGCCAATCAAAGCTCATTGACGGTGGCGGTCGCACAGCTTCTGACAATACCTAGCCATGCCATTTCTAACAGTAGCCACCACGATCCCAATGATGGATCACGGACTTGACCGGAGTCGCGCAGGATCTGTTTCCAGCGTGCATAGTACTGGCAATCTTGACGACAGCATGGCTTGAACTATGCTAACACCGAAAATACCCGTTTCCATTGTAGCCACTGCTCACAACAGTCGCAAACAGATCCAACGTGTTATCGCGCCGAATGGCCATCTCATGGTCCAGACTACTTAGAATTTATGTGTTTCGTTCTATTCTGCATTCATCCAGTCTGCTAGTCTCATCATGGCACGGTATTCGCCGTCAGTTCCAGCGACTTTGGAGTCAAGTTGTCATCTTCGAGTCATTACATGGCGACCAAAAGTTGATTATCTATCATCAACTTGACACAATTTCCATCACACCGCATTCGCACATGCGTGCTGAGTCTGCCATTTTTCTTGGACAGCTATTTTATTTCATAGAAGCTGGAGGTGATCTCTGCTGTTATTCTAAGGTTACACAGAAGAATCTACATGGCGCAATGACTTCGCTAGTTGTGACAGCCACCAAGGCGACAGTGTTCAAAGCAGGCCCATTGTGTTCTAGCCCTATAAGTTTGAACTAGAAACAGTCGGTTGCTCGCATGCTTGTATGAGGACCAGTAATGTAACAAAGACGGTACTTCTGAAGCTCTCTTGCATCAAGTGAGGCACAGACAGTTGTCACCTTGGTAGCCATCTTTAGAATAGAGCATTACCCACGCTACTCATTTTCGAATATAGCTCTATCAATATTGAAACATCTCTGTTATCGTAGCAAAAGCACAGATTAATCAAAGCCGATGTCATACCCATCAGATGGTTCCATCTATCTAACAGATATACCATGCAGCGACACTTGCACCCGCAGCGGCCAAAGTGTGATCATGATGCCTTGATCGATAATGTTTGAAAATTTCCAAGGGCGAAAGCTCTGGCGTAGAGAACACTGAACGGCTGGCATCTGTCTCTGACAAGATCACCTACTTAATAACGAAGTGTATGCCCGGCGGTATTGGAATCATGTTCTTGAACCAAGTGTATGTAAATTACGAAGTTATGTAATTACCGTCTTATCTCCAAGAAAATCGAAAGAACATCTCCCCTGCTGACTCCGGTCTTACATTTTGGGTTCTAGGTAAACCGTAAGTCATATCCAGCCCGTATAGTTATAATCAGAGAACTTGTGGTTGGTCAACATAATATGTGTCACTCAGAATAAAGGATTTCGCCAATGCTTCGTCGTAGGCACGCTCCAGCATATTGATATCCTTACGGAGCTGTTAGATAATATTTTGGTATCTGCACTTCCCCTACCTTGCGTTGATTTCAGTAAAGATAATCTCCCTTTCTGTTTGAATCATTGCCGCCAGCTCATTGTCCGCGTGCTCGATTCTGACTTCTGGTCGGGCGCAACATTGGCCAGAAGCCCCGTCGGCTCCACGAAGGCTCACCACACAAACTAGGATCGAGACAGTAAAATTCCTCGCCGGGGCTACCCTATTGTACATCCCGAAACGATGACAGGTAAATGTGTTGGCTGGTCCTTCCGAAACGCCTATCAACGCTGGCGATATTGATCTCACGTTAACAGAGAACAGCTTCTACGCCGCCAACTGCGCTCTACCTGTGCATTTCGACTATTTGCAGCATTAGATCATACATCAACATGACTACCGAAAGCCGACTGAAGCATGACTGTTTTTCACTGCCTGGGGTAACGAAGTCGTGAAACTCTCTTGAATCAATACGAACCACCATCATAAATCAACTGGACAAGGCAAACCGGTCTGGCAAGCAGATAGACTTGAGTACTTGGATGCCTTGTTTAACTCGTTCAAATAAAGACACATTCGAAACAAGCGTAATTGCAGCCACACCCTGAACAAGGTTACTGACGTTTCACGCCTCCACGAGGGCTGCATGGATGCGGGTTGACCATCCTCACTCGTCTCGTCACATGCCCGATCATCAAGTCGGCCAACGATGATATCCCCCCGTGTTGAGCTTCATAGTGCTACCGAAATCACTGTAATTGTCACTGATAACATGCTCGGTCGGGAGAGGGGTCACTACAAATAGTAGGGTAAAGGGTATCAATATCGCTATGAAGTACATGAGGTGATTAGTGAACGGCTCCTACGCCCACCAGTCACCTTGGTCGTGCATTGCGCGGGCAACCTTGACGAATCCTGCAATGTTGCTACCGGCAACCAAGCTTGGGTACTCTCCTTCCTTGGCCTCGACGTACTCCTTGGCAGTGTTCAGACCGTTCTCGAAGGCGTTCTTCATGATTTGAGCAAGCTTCTCGTCAACCTCTTCGCGTGTCCAGCTCAGACGCTAAGGAATATCAAGTCAATAAGAGATTCATTTAATCGGGGGAGTGGGGGTGAGGTCTTACCTGGCTGTTCTGTGCCATCTCAAGTCCGGAGACTGCTACACCACCAGCGTTGGACGCCTTTCCTGGGGCGTACCAGACAGCGCTGGAGCCCTTCTCCTTGCGGTGCTCCTCGAACACGTCAATGGCCTCCTGTGTGCAACCCATGTTGGAACCCTCGGCAACGAACAGACAGCCGTTGGAGACGAGTGTCTCGGCCTCCTCCTTGCTGACCTCGTTCTGGGTAGCACATGGCAGTGCCACGTCAATCTTGCCGACGTGGACCCAGGGGCGAGCACCCTCGATGTACTTGAAAGCACCCTCGTGCTCGTAGGCGGTCAAGGACTTTCGTGCAAGCTTGATATCGGCAATCTTCTCAACATCCTTGGGGCTGAACTTGGCGTCGCCCTCGGCAATGAGAGCTCCCTGAGAATCCGAAAGGGACACAACAGTACCACCGAGCTCAATAACCTTCAGAGCAGCGTACTGAGCGACGTTTCCAGATCCGGAGATGGCGACGCGCTTTCCTTCCCAGCCGCCCTTGCCGGCGTGCTCAAGCATGTGTCCGACGTAGTAGACGAGACCGTATCCGGTGGCTTCAGGTCGGATCAAGCTGCCGCCCCAAGAGCCTCCCTTGCCAGTCAGAACACCTTCCCACCTGTTGCGCTGGCGGCGGTATGCTCCGAAGAGGTAGCCAACCTCGCGTCCACCAACACCGATATCACCGGCGGGCACGTCGGTGTCGGCGCCAATGTGCTTCGAGAGCTCTCTCATGAAAGACTCGCAGAACTTGCGGATCTCGTTGTCACTCTTGCCCTTGGGGTCGAAGTCGGCACCACCCTTGCCGCCACCAATGTTGAGGCCGGTCAGGGCATTCTTGAAGATCTGCTCGAAGCCCAAGAACTTGAGGATGGACAAGTTGACGGTAGGGTGGAATCGGAGACCGCCCTTGTACGGGCCGAGCGCCGAGTTGAACTGAACACGGTAACCGCGGTTGACCTGCAGGTTGCCGCTGTCGTCTTCCCAGACGATTCTGAACTGGATGATGCGCTCTGGGATGGAGACGACCTTCAAGGCGGTCTTGTACTCGGGGTTCTTGGTGAAAAGCGAGCTGTTCTCGAGCGTGCTTACAAGCTCTGGTACATGTCAGCAAAAATCATCCGGGTCTGATTATATTCAGGGACAGCTCTCACCCTTGTAGGCCTGCTCGAATTCGGGCTCTGATGGTAGGTTAGACATGATGGCTAATTTGTGTTATTGGTGTGAGGATGTAGGGTAGACGTTGTTCCAAAACCACCAGGAGAGAGTGTCAATGAGGATATGAGACGAAGTAGGGAGCGAAGACACAGTTCAGAGGGCTGCGCAACTTAAATAAGGAAACCTGAGCATACTTGAGCTACTTAACAAGAGGTTGTATAACTTGACCAGCTACGTATGCTTTTGCTGGGTCCCACCCAAGGAAAAGACCGACCACGGCCAAGCTCCCTGGGCCTGATTCGGATCAGATTAGCCCCAGACTAATGTCCAATTTCGAGTCTCCGGCACGCGGCAACCATGTCCACTTCATGGGGGGGTCTGCACTTGCAAGCCTATGTAGTGGGGGGCGGAGTTGGGTATACTATGTGCCACCATGTGCTACTGCATACACATGTGTGCGGTGGACGAGTCTACCAGGATGATCAGCCTCAATGAACCTCCGACCCCCCGCCGACCGTGGCCGATTGCTTTTCTCCCACAACAAATGGCTGCATTTACGGCTTGGTTTGCGGCAATTATCCTGAGCCCGATCGCACGCTGACTAGTTGACATGGCTGGCTCTCTCTCAGGGTCCCTGTCGCCAGATCCCATTCTTGCATGATGACATACATAGCTGCGCTACCATCTCGAACTCTGATTAGAATTTGCAATTATGTATGTAGCTTATCAGATCTAGGGTACATCTCACTCATGACCTCACCTAGGAGCGCCCCGGCTTCACCGATTGAAATTCATCAGACGATCGCACACATGGGAACGCAGGCGAGTGTCGCATTTCCCGCGCGTAACGAGTCTCCCACATGCCTGCACGCAGCATAATATCGCAGAGGCAGGCGAGTATACCAATGACGGAGCATCATGAAGACCTGAGCCAAAAAAAAACTAGAGGCTAAGCAACGCGCAGAAACGAATCGAGCCAAGCTAACCCCGGCCACTAAAGTCGTAGCTGCAGACAGCCAACTATTATAGCGTATACTCTTATCATCGCCTTCTGATTCGCTGGCTGGGACTCATGCGTAACGCAATCCTAACGGCATAGCTTCTTGTAAGAGCTTCCAGAAGGGCCATACGGCGCGGCCGACCACCGCAATTGAGTTTCCAAGTGGGAGGGTGATTTCCCCCTCCTCGGGGAAACGTCAACGATTGACCTCATCATCGAGCCCCCGCCGCCTGCTCGATGTGCTGATGGAACACTGATGCGACTACGAGGCAATTTTTTGGGGGGAGCACGGGAGAACGCGGAGCGATGTCGTTTGCGTTGCGTGTTCCGTTCTCTGGAAGAGCCATGTCAAGGCTCCATGCAGCCCACCTCGCACCCCAAAGCCACGGTCCTGTTCACGACGCGCTCCATTTCCGCTACCGGATCTCTGGGAGGTCCCAGGCACCCAGTAAATTCTACTTCTCAAGAAATTATCGCCTGACTTAATTTTATATACATATAAACTTATTACTGTTTCGGGCACGAATGGGGCTGCTTCCCCACGTCTGTCGCCATCGCATTTAGGACTTGATGCTCACTTAACTCTGGCTTTTCCACTGTCAAGGCGGGCGAGCGCTAGCATTCTCCCAAGTCTAGTCACTTCACCACAAAGTAAAAGCCCGCACGTTATTCTATAACATGACAGAGCCCCATCCGTAGAGAATTGGATACTGTTCTTTCCTATTGGCCGCAGCAGAAACCACAGAGATTCTATTAGCAATCGCTCACCAGGACGGCTGCGCGGGCTGTCATGTATTTGCCGCCCGCCAAGCCATGGCGAGGCCCACTGCCTTCTCAACCGCACATGCCAGGGCCCTGAAGCCCAGAGCCGGAATGCCACACTGATCTTGAACACACAAGCATTGTTAGGCCTCTCCGTAACCGGCTTTGACCGTATGCACGTTATACTCTTACCTCAACCCCTGAATCATATATATGTTTCGGCCCCCCTTCTCTCATCTGGAGAACTAGGAGCCGCGGTCTCGACGTTCAGGGAAAAACCCACAGCGGGGTAAGGCCTTTTATTTTTTTCCTCCCTGGTCATTGTTGCTTTCCCAGCACGGCCTTGTATAGCCCGCCCTGCCGCAAATGCAATTTCCCGAAAGAAAGGGAGAGTTTCGTCCCGTGTGTTACTTACTACCGTATACTCCTCCGCATTCGGGGGTCCTTCGGCGGGAGGCCAAGGAAAGGTGTTGCTGGCTCATCACATCAAAGTATTTGTCCTTCTCTTTTCGCATTCCTCCCACACGTCCGTGACCGGCTTTTTTTTTCTTCCCCCCAAGAAAAAAAAAACACGCACACCGCCAGCTCGTTTGATCTTCCAATCACACCATCACCGCTGCCACTGCGTGTCTGAAAGTACTAGTGTCAAGTCTGCCCGAAGGGTTTATATTTTCCGGAAATGAATTCGGCGCTGGTGTTTCGGGCACCCTGCCACCGAAGGGCGGGCGAGGGGTGGACGGTATAGTATGTGCGCCAGAATGTTCGCGCTCGATAGTAGATATCACATACATTCTACCAAGAGCGTAGCGTGTCCAGATGGATCGAGTTCCACTTCTGCACTGAAACGTCCAGCATCAAAAGAAAATGGAGAGCGACATGATCATGATCCGAGGTTTTGTTTACTTCTCTTAACATTTCTCACTTCGCATCAACGACCGGTGCCAGCGGCGATCACGGTTCTGTACCTGTCCCAGAAGACCGACCTGCTGGGCTTGAGAAGCATGTCCGGTGAGCTGTAGCTGTCAGGACCAAGGACTGAGTTCTCTCTGGAGGGATCGGAGATTCCCTGTGGCCTACCTTTATACCATGTCAGCGGTGAACATGTAAATCTACAAACTTCTGATCTGATTGCCGGTGGAGGTCATTCATCGACAGGTAGTATCTGGGATAACACACAAGGTGTTATTTTTAAATCTTTATGGCGGACACGATAAGTATACAATAATCATAGGGGAGAAAGTCAGCGGCACAGCATGGTATATAATAGGTAATCACTTCTATACCAGTTCAATATTTAATATTTACAGCTTATCACTTGTACCACAACCAGGAATTTCTACGTGGATAATTTTGCCGTAATCCTGTGTCATGGACCACCACGATGAAGCGCCACTCGCTTGCGTGCCATGGTACGCATTTACAGCCGACGACTACTAGGTCGGCCGACTTAGTATTTGAGCTACAACTAAGCGGACATTCGTCGTAAAATATCTCTGAACGACTAGACGCAACGTAGAAGGTGGTTATATGTGCAAGTTCAAGAAATACAGTGCTATTTATATCGACATCCAGAGGCGTGTCCAAATATGAGACCCGGCCTCCTAAATTATCTCTCCCCTTTGCTGTCATACTACGTGCCAACAATACTAACGCGGCACGCTTGACATGTCATAATTTTCATCTCATCGTCAGAAATGCAGTATCCACCAACGCCGGATTTACCAGAAAACGCCTCGATGACTCCCAACCTTGGCAAATGCTCATAGAACCATACTTATAGAATCTTCTTCAACTCCTGCTTTTGCTGTGCAGTCAATGTCGTGGGGAACTTGACGTTGTACTTGATAATGAAGTTGCCCCTTTCACCAGGCTTCTTCGAGATGGGCATACCCTGGCCGGGGTAGCTGTCGGATGAACCAGGAGCTGTCGGGCCGGCCTTATCGAGAGTCAATTGCTTGCCGTCGATCGTGGTCACGGTCCGCCTCCAGCCAGTCAGGGCATCCTTCAGCGGCAACTCAAGTGTGTGAATCAGGTCGTCTCCGTCACGCACGAAGAGCGGGTGTGGTTTCTGAACAGTGGTTAGTACTCAATCGAAAGTCTGATGCATGTGTGGCAGTGGGGGGAAAACCTACCTCCTCGACAATGAAGTGCAGATCCTGTTTGCCGCCTTCCTCCTGGTCTCCAACTCCCTTGAACTTGATTTTGCTGCCCTTCTTCAAGCCGGGCTTGATAGGCACTTCTAGAACCTGGTCGCTGGTGGTCCTCTTGCCAGTCTCGTCGAACGTCTTCCTCTTGATCTTCATCTTCTTTGTCACGCCGTTGTAGAGCTCCTCGAGGGTCAGCGGCAACGCACGCTCGACAGTGGTAACCTCCGGTGTGGCTTCGCGGGCACCACCGCGGAAATGTTCGCCTCCAGCGCCGGGGAAGTTGGACCGCATCCTAGTTCGGCCGCCTCCAGCACCACCTCCGAGTATGCTAGCCAGCAGGTCGTCTTCCTCCATACCGCCGCCGCCGCCGCCGCCGCCGCCTGCAGCGCCTGATCGCATGAACTCGGCAAAGATATTGTTCGGGTTACTGAAGGAGAAACCGCCGGGGCCACCTCCACCTCCGCCAGTGCTAAAGTGGAATGTTCTTGCGCCGCCTCCACCAGGCATGCCACCGCCGCCGCCACCAAAATCGAAGCCCTGGAAGCCACCGGGCATGCCGCCGCCGCCGGCTCCACCTGCACCTGCGAAGGGGTTTTCTCCTGGCGGAGGAGCTGACGCACCTCGGAGAAGGAACTCAAGACCGTATTGATCATATGTGCTGCGCTTCTCGGGGTCTGAGAGAATCTCGTAGGCTTGCGAACACTCCTTGAATTTCTCGGCTGCTTGGGGGCTGTCTTTGTTCTTATCGGGGTGCCATTTTAACGCGGCCTTCCTGTACGGGGCTGTGGTTAGCTTTGTGCAGGGTGGAATATTGGCACGGGGTATGTTGCAACAAGTTGAGCTCAGGTGTCGCAAGTGGCGGCAATGTGTGTTGCTCTCCACTCGATGCGCCAAATGCCCCATGTTTGGGTGTAACAAGAATACAAGGGAATGAATTGCGAGGCGAGAGACGCATGTACTTACCGATATGCTTTCTTGATCTCATCCTGAGTGGCATCAGGCTTGATGCCAAGCTGGTCGTACAGCTTTGTCTCTTGCACCATTGTGGTGTTGTGCTGTATACACTGGAGTCGAGGTCGGTGTAGAGCAGAATTGAATTGTGTATGATGTGTAATTGGTTATGTCGCAGAATGGCCAAAGTCAATAGTTCCTCGTAAAGTGAGTGATGGAATGACAGCCAATGACTTGGGATGTGTAGCTTGGTAAATAAGGAACAAAGAAGAATTGAATCAGGCGTTCCTCGCGTGAGTCCCTTTGCACAAGCTCGATGGTAGCTTGGTGTGCCCCACGACAGTGGAAGATTCGGGAAGTGAGGTGAGGTGAGTGAATCTCCAGAATCCCAGGTAGAATTGCCCGCTAATGACGCAGTAAGGCGGAATCTCTGAGCAGGGGTGGTTTATGATTGGCATCAAGGACGATCAGAGAACCGCGAACAACTAACTGTCTGGACTGATCGGCAGTTGAACCAACCAGATGACTGAACCGTCTGGATACCCTGCCCTCTTTCCAGTGTCTTCTGGAAACGGCGCCAATCGTGCACGGAAAATGCTCTTGGTCGATTAAACGCGAGTGCTGTTGCTGGTAGCGGTCCGATGTCAACACTCCATTCCAATACCTGCGTGCTCTTGCATCTCGTAATCGAGCTCGATAACAAGACGGGACGAGACGAGAAGAGGGAGAAGACTGGACAATGACGCTGATTGTGGGGTTGTCTCGCCCAATGGCAGTGCGAAAGCAATGCCCACCCCGCAAACTCAACCTCAAACACACCTTAAAAGTCGAGCGCCTCTCTACTACATATCTAACCTAGTTAATGTGAAGTTAGCTCCCGTTGAAAGGCATTGAGAAGTCGGTGCTCCACGTATAGTTGGCTTGATCTCTGCCCAAAATGGTGTACAAGCCTCGCGAATCGTAGATACTGGGTTGCAATTCAATTGACTGTGTGGCTAGGGAAGGCCGCTCGTAACTTCTTCAAAGTACAACTGCACTAGTAGTAGAAGGTTCTAGAAGATTCCACATGTTGTGTATCAGAAGGCCACAAGGTAGACTGACTGTACTAATCCAAGGCTACTATATGTACATCCTTGGCATACGACCACAGTGTTTAACGCCGAGTAGAACTATGTTCAGAGGACTCATACAAAAGATGAAAAGCATCCTGCTTGCTTGTTGTAAGGTGTGGGTCGAGGTCGCCTGACGAGTAGGGTCCGTGAGAAAGCGAGTAATACAACAACAACCGCCAACCCTTTTCATGTTCAGCAGGACCTCTTCTCATGGGCATACAGTCCCTAGCGAAATCAGTCTCCTAACCTAATCTCTTTCATAACTCACTTTCGGGCCTACCCTAGTGGAGCGAAAGCTGACCATGAGTACCTAGACTATAGTAGTCGTGCTAGGAATCACTACACCGTTTTTAGAACTGCTAACAGTATTCTTCATGTGTAGGCAAGCACAGTAGCTAGCCTGTAGTGTTCTGTCCATTTCAGCCACTGATCTTCTTTGAATCCGGCGGCGCATCGCGGCGAATAGCACTGTGTTTTCACTAATCTAGAGTTTTAAGTGGTACTACAGCCACGTTTACATCAAATTGCATAGAAGCAGTTGAATAGTAGTATAGCAAATGATTATGAAACAGGACTATTCTAGAAGATCCTATATAGACGAATTGTTAACTATACAACTGATGTTTCTTAAGAGAAATGAAGGAAAAGCCTGGGACTATCCTTTGCAAAGGAATTCAAACAAACAGGCTATCGAAATCGCATGATCAAGACACTACCGGCACCAATAACCATGGTATTGCCAGATATGGCTGATCGACCGGGACGGTATTGAGAAGGTAACCACAAAAGATTCTTATCGCCAGACAAGATCCAGCGTGAATCCTGACTTATACCAAAGCCATCATATTGCCTAGCTAGTGCTAGCGCATCCTGCGTAATATGCTGATGCGTAATGCTACTATGACCCCGAACAGACGTATTCTCGTCGGGTCGTGTAAAAGTAAATGTTCCTATATTGGTGAAAAGTCGTGTTCCATCAAGGTTAAATTGCAGGTTGTCTGCAAGACCGCTTTCTAGTACCTGCCGCTCTACGGCTATTTCGACGTCCCAGATCCGTACCGTTTTATCCCTTGACGCCGATGCTACAAACTGGCCGTCGGGCGAGATCGCTACTGATGTGACGGTACTCGTATGACCTTTAAGCACCTGCCGCTCTGCGCCCGTCTCGACGTCCCAGATCCGTACCGTTTCATCCCATGACGCCGATGCTACAAACTGGCTGTCAGGCGAGATTGCTACTGAAGTGACGGTACGCGTATGGCCTTTAAGCACCTGCTGCTCCGTGCCCGTATCGACGTCCCAGATTCGTACCGTTCTATCTTCTGATGTTGATGCTACAAACTGGCTGTCAGGCGAGATCGCTACTGAAGTGACGGAATCTGTATGTCCTTTAAGCACCTGCTGCTCTGCGCCCGTCTCGACATCCCAGATCCGTACCGTTTTATCCCAAGACGCCGATGCTACGAAGTGGCTGTCGGGCGAGATCGTTACTGAAGTGACGGAATCTGTATGTCCTTTAAGCACCTGCTGCTCTGCGCCCGTCTCGACGTCCCAGATCCGTACCGTTTCATCCCAAGACGCCGATGCTACGAACTGGCTGTCAGGCGAGATCGCTACCGAAGTAACAGAATCTATATGACCTTTAAGCACCTGCCGCTCTGTGGCCGTCTTGACGTCCCAGATCCGTACCGTTTGATCCCCTGACGCCGATGCTACGAAATGGCCGTCGGGCGAGATTGCTACTGAAATGACGGTACTCGTATGGCCTTTAAGCACCTGCTGCTCTGCGCCCATCTCGACGTCCCAGATCCGTACCGTTTTATCCCTTGACGCCGATGCTACAAACTGGCTGTCAGGCGAGATCGCTACTGAAGTAACGAAATCCGTATGACCTTTAAGCACCTGCCGCTCTGTGGCCGTCTCGACGTCCCAGATCCGTACCGTTTCATCCCCTGACGCCGATACTACGAACTGGCCGTCGGGCGAGATTGCTACTGAAGTGACGGAACTCGTATGGCCTTTAAGCACCTGCTGCTCCGTGCCCGTATCGACGTCCCAGATTCGTACCGTTTGATCCCCTGATGTTGATGCTACAAACTGGCTGTCAGGCGAGATCGCTACTGAAGTGACGGAATCTGTATGTCCTTTAAGCACCTGCTGCTCTGCGCCCGTCGCGACATCCCAGATCCGTACCGTTTTATCCCAAGACGCCGATGCTACGAACTGGCCGTCTGGCGAGATTGCTACTGAAGTGACGGAATCTGTATGGCCTTTAAGCACCTGCCGCTCTGCGCCCGTCTCGACGTCCCAGATTCGTACCGTTTGATCCCCTGATGTTGATGCTACAAACTGGCTGTTAGAAGAGATCGCTACTGAAGTGACGTGATCTGTATGGCCTTTAAGCACCTGCTGCTCTGCGCCCGTCTCGACGTCCCAGATCCGTACCGTACTATCCCCTGACGCCGATGCTACGAACTGGCCGTCGGGCGAAATCGCTACTGAACTGACGGTATTCACATGGCCTTCGAGTGTTTGTAAATGGGCACTCCACTGAGTGTCAACCCTCGGCTTTAATGCTAGCCATGTTGGCTCTTCTTTACAGAATCTTCGTCGCACCAAACTACTCGTAGGACTGAAAATAAGTGCGGACGCGTAGACTTGAAGTGGATACTGAGCAATCACAGCCCTATTGTATTTGAAAAACCGCGTGGCATCAGATAGCCAATCTTCTAGGTCCTCCATCCCGTAATAACCCTATACTATGTTAGATCTGGCCAAAGCAAGGATAAAGATGAGTACCTTCGCATATCTGTGAAGCTTCGTAACCAAGGCAATCCCGAGAACTGTCGCACCTAGTAAGCTTAAAGCTTCTAGCCAGTAAAGATACTTCTGATGTAGAAATTCCTGAATTACCGACATGTCTTGCTGGCTATTGTGAGATCGTCCATCGAGGAAATGGTCAACCCAGAACACACAACTGTATCGTAGCGGGGCGAGCGTGTCTAATGCTGGTGGATCGATGTCCTCGACAAATGTACCAGGGTCTTGTAAATCGTACAGATCCCGTTTGAGATGTCGGGATAAAAGTTTAAGTGACAAGTCTGCTAAAGCCCCGTGTTTCGCGCGAACGCCTCCAGGCGGAAACACGACGTCTGTTGCTTCTGTAACCAGGAAGTCCTTTGCCGACTGATGAATGAAATAGACAATATCATCGCGAACGGTAAGGAAGGACCCACAGAGTTGTACAACCTCTCCCAAGTCTGACAAGTTATCGAAGCACTTAGGTTCCACCATTGAAGACAACTCTGTAATGCTCACAGGTCGATAAGTGGTTGACACAATGCTCAAAATCTCACGACAAAGCTCGGCATCTAGGGAACCTTCAATCAAGTTCATCATTCGTTGGTAGAGAGCACTAAGGCCAGGGGGGAAACGGTAGAGTTCACTAAGGATATTTCTGGCTCGCACCTTAGCGTCCTTGAGCCGTTGAACGACCAGAGCTACCCAAAGAAATGTATTGTCTGCATTGGTGTTCATATAGTCGACAACGTGGTTATACTTGTTGCTATCGAGGCCCTTAGCTGATCGTAGTTCTTCAGCTTCATGGCGGATGTACACTTTGACTGCAGTAGTGATAGAGTCTTGATTAAGTTCTAGACTGAGCTGCACTTTTTGGCTGGCGGGGCTGAGCATGTCCTCAATCTCAAGCCAGTTACGACTGGACACTAACCATTTTGCATTCCCCTTTCGGGACTGTTGTACGATGAAGTTAATAAGTTTAGGCAGATCATCGGAACATTCGTCAAGCGCATCAATGACGAATACCGCTTCGTGCGACAGGCGATCTTGTAGCATCAAAGTCAAGATCCGCGTTAATGCATTCCATGCGTTAGCATCCTCAAACAGTCTTGACCCAGCCACTTTCCATTCTTCGTGTAGGTATCTTGCCAAGGAACGATTTTGCCTGACAAACATGTATATAAGACCGCGGAGTATAGCTGTGGCGTTGTTAAGGTTTCTGTCAGTAGCTTGGCAGAAGAAGTATGAGATCGTGGGCTGATTTGTTGATAGACCCGCCAGTTCGTCCGTGATGCCGCAGAGCAGCATGGTCTTGCCTTTGCCAGGGTCGCCCTTGACCCAGAGCAGAGAACTGTTTTTATCGTTGCGCCATTGTTTGAAGTCCGTGTTCTCAAGAATCCATCGGAACGAGTCTTTTAATAACCCGCCTTTCGTTGACAAAATGCGTAACTTGTCGTCTCTGGGATCCGAAATTCTGAGATTAGCTAGGCATTGGTTGATGCTTTCTTGAAGTTGTGTATCTTCGCTTAGGCGACCCTGGTCGACTACTAGCTCCCTGTGCAACCTCTTGAGCGCCCCCTCCTCTCCTTCTCCGTAGTTCGAGGGCATTGTGACATCTAAAATACCAAATAGACAATATGCCTTATCTTCACCTCGAGACGTAACTCGATTGGTCGCCCAAGACATGCGACTTTCGATATCAAATTCCTGAAGGCAAGACGGCAGCAGAGCACGGATAGGAATATGCGTGATCTCGTGTATCAGTTGCTCTAGCGTAGTCTTTTTGCCAAGAAAGTGGCCTTCGGCAGAAAAGAATTCCACCACAGCAGGAGCGATGAGTTCTTGAAGCGTCCATCCACGAGTAAACCATCTGCTCTTTCGAAAATCAATCTTCCACGTCGATCGAGCCGGTTCGTCGGCCAAACCATGGTCACAATAGACATCGGAAAGGTACGCGTAGCATTTCTGAGCGTTTTGGTACCATCGAAACATCGAATTAATCGCTTCTGTAAGCTCGGCAGAACTTGACTTGTCAATACAACACGTGTCTACCCAGAAGTATTCGAGACCGTCGCGTCGAGCCTGGTCACCGCAGAAGAGGATCTTCTGGTAGCCAGGCTTACGTTGAAAGCAATCATCTTTGATGTCCTGATATACAACCTCCTCTTCGTTTCCCCCCCATGTGTGGGAGAGTATGGCGTATGGCGGGATGTCGTGTGTGAACTCCGGCGTGAGAATGAGCTTATTTTCAGCTCCGAGCTGAAGGAGGCGCATAGCGAGATGTTTGCTTTGGTGCTTCAACCGTTCGCATCGGGATCTTATTCTTAACTATCGTAGAGTCTAGGAACGGAGTTGACGTTGGTCAGAGAGAATGGGTTCAGTTCGCGAAATGAGGAGGTGAATCAATCACGAGACCTGGAGCCTGAGCCAATGAGGCAGCGCAGACCAGCATAGCCAATAATACCAATGGGAACTGGCTGGCCTTGTAAGGCTGCCATCATTTTGCGCGTCACGACAGGAAGACAAGTTGAGCTTCTGAACAAATTCTGATTGCTATAGTAGTCACTTGTCGAAATACTAGTGGCCTTAGAGGATTCAATTAAACACCAGTAACTTAGAGATTTGCGTCAATCCTCTAGGTTAGCGCATTCGGGGTTGTGTCTCGACAATCCTAGAATCGAGATCTTCGGGACCATTGAATGCTCAGTAGGTTAGGTTAGAGTAACTATACGACTACTTTATGGCGTTCCAGGGACATCAATCAAGATAAAAGAGGTTGCAAAGTAGACCTCTATACCGTGAAGGAAATGCACTCAGGCGGAAACAGCACTATTACCGTGAGTTGTATATGCATAAAAAGTATGTGACTTACTGTCAGCAGGTCTCAAAACGGCGCATATGGTCATGTTTGCCATAGTTCCACTAGAGTGGGTCCGAAAGTGAAGTATGAAAGAGAATAGGTTCACTTGGGAGACTGATTTCGCTACAGTAGGACCTGCAACAAAATGGTTCTGATACTGGCGTCAACCTGAACTGCCAGCTTGAGCTTCTCCTCCACTGCCCGTCCGTCTATAAACCTGTGCTTGAATCATCTCTCCCCACTGCCTTCATTGAATGTTTCGAGTCTTAACAGGCAGACAGCGGCTCGCAGCCTTCTCATTCTCAATTTCATTCTCGGTCTCGTTCTTCATAGCGACGGCCCTGATCTAAATGTATTCACTTGCAGCTGCAGGGGTTCCCCGCTAACAATTCGTCACTGATCTGACTAAGGTCTGGGGCTCAAGCTGCAATCGATTCAGTACCTGTAAATTGCCATCCTAGTTGAAGTAATGTTACGTGTCTTTCAACGCGCCAAAAGCTTAACCACAAACAGCCCATTGGTAAGCTCTGCATTGACTTGCCAGACATATCCTGGTTAATATCTTGCATCATCGTGTGTACCATCGTCAGCTACATCCAAACACCAGCTTCGCCGTCTTGTTATACGTCCGCATTCTGATCTGGTTCGCCATACACTATTCAAGACTGGGTGCGCCACATACACAGCTAGCCAACATACAGCTATGAGATGAGAGAGTACTCCGATCAACAACCGCGACATCCCTCTATACTCCATATGTAGACAGTCCACTACGACCTTCCCTACGACGTTTCTTACTTTATTCCATCATGGCCACCTCGAAATTCAATTCGAAATCACCCACCATGAGGCGCATCAGTAAGTATCTCTCCCGCGATCTCCATCCACCAGCTGCCGGCATATGTAGACACGGCCTGCTAACCCACGCCCTCTCTCCCCCTCCAGTGAAGGAAGCCGCCGAACTCAGCAACTCTCCCAGCCCCGACTACACGGCGACGCCCCTCGAGTCGGACCTCTTCGAGTGGCATTTCACCCTGCGCGGCCCTCCCAACTCGGCCTTCGCCGCGGGCATCTACCACGGCCGCATCGTCCTGCCGCCCACCTACCCGCTCCGCCCGCCCTCCTTCCGCTTCACCACGCCCTCGGGCCGCTTCGAGGCCAACCGCGAGATCTGCCTCAGCATCTCCGGCCACCACGAGGAGACCTGGCAGCCCGCCTGGGGCGTCCGGACCGCCATCGTCGCCCTCCGGTCCTTCATGGAGACGGACGCCAGCGGCCAGATTGGAGGCCTGAACACGAGCGAGTCGGTCAGGAGAGAGCTGGCGGGCAAGTCCAAGGCGTGGACGTGCCCCGCCTGCGCCAAGAGCAACGAGGAGATCCTGAAGGAGGTCGCCGAGCGGTGCAGAGAACTGGAGGCCGAGGGCGGCGCCAGCGAGAGGAAGGAGGTCGAGGTACCCGCGGAGCTGAAGATGGGCTTTAGGGACGAGATGGAAAAGGCCAAGGCCGCCGAGCGAAACGGCAGCGAAGGCGCCAAAGAGGATGCCGAGGTCGCGCAGTTGGCAGAGGGGTTCGTGCAGACGGCGCCGGAGAGGGAGGCCGCGCCGCCGCATGTTGCGCGGGCACAGGTCGCAGCCCCAGTGCTACCTGCCAGGCCGGCACATATGGTGCCGCAGCCGACGAGGACGGTGCCGCTTCCAGACCCAGTCGGACAGGCGGTGGTGCAAAGGGCGAGGGATCTGGACCGGGATGCGGGCGTGCCGATATGGATAGACTATGTCATTGTTACTCTGGTGGGTGTGCTGGTCGCCATGCTCATCAAGATCCTTCTGGGATACTAAGACGTGACATATGGCTGTCACGGTATCAGCTAGACGGCAGTGTTTACTTTCGCATGGGAATCCGGTGTTTGGCGTTTGCTTGCTAGAGTTTGTGCAATGCATGGGGAAACGGAAGGCGTTTTCTTCTTTTGCTTTTTAAGCATGTTCAAGTTGTCACATAAGTCGCTTTGGACACATATCATCAATCAATGAAGTTGACCTCTAATACGGATGGCAGCGCCCGATCATCACTCGCTAGACTGCGGTATCTGAGCTACTTGAGGAGCCTTTCCCCTTGATGTTAGAGATTCCCCCCCACAATTGGCAAGACGCCCTTGATTTGTACCAGACTCGATACCTGTTAATGAACTTGGCGGCTTTCCCCTTCGATCCTCCGCGCTTTGAGCCTTTGCGATCTCGCCGCGACTGCACAATGTTGTCGCTCGCGGGGGCGTCATTGGTGGCAGTCTGGCCGGCGCACTCAAGCAGAATCCGGGCTGGGGAGCGGGCGGCGCGTTCCGGATCGGTGGACGGTGGGAAATTCGCATCGACCTCCTCAAGGTGCTTGGTCGAATATCTTGACAACAGCCCCTTTACGCAACCCCGGAGCTTGTCCTCCACCTGGTCCTTGCGGAACACACCGACTCTGCCGTAGTGCTCCAAGTAGTCGAACGCCACGCCGGAGAGGGGCTGGTCGCCATCGCTCCCGAACAGCATGCCGAGGAGAAAGATGTCGTTGTAGGTCCAGTGGCTTGGCTTGTATGGAAGGTCGCCATCCTTGGGCCAGCTCGACGCCCGGCCGGCCGAGCTCGTAGGCGTCCCAGTAAGCGTATAGGGTGCGTTGGTAGACGAACCGCCGCTTGTCGTGGAGTCTGGGGACGCTGCTCTGCCAGACCCGGCCCGGCTCGTTCGTGACCGCGTCCCTGTCCGACTCGCCCAGCGTGCCGTTGGTGCTCGCCAGCAACTCCTCGCACACGTTCTAGCTGATAGCGGCTGCTAGGTCGGTTGCGCCCTGCCGCTCGAAGACCAGCTCAAGGATGTCCGGGCCGCTGGAGAGGAGTTCGTCGTCGCCGCCTGCCGACCCCTTGCTGCTTCCCAGCAACGACAGCTTGTCTCGGGCATGTCGTACGACCTTCTGCTCGAGAATCTCTCGGCCCAGGACGAACTCCAGCAGCCCGGGGTATCCGAATGCGCGGCCGTGCGCGGGGCGCCGTTTCTTGTAGCCGCACGAGCACGTGGAGCCTGACCGAGCCCTTGTCGTCGTGCTCCCACACGCACTTGTGGCATTAGATGCCCTCGAGCACGTCCACTCTGTAGTGGCTGAAGGGGTACTAGAAGACGAAGTCTGGACTCTCTCGCGGCTCGACGTGGCACTGAGCCTTATGGTACTTTGCTCGGAACATGGGGCCGTTGTACTCGCAAAATTTGCACTCGAACCTCTCCCCTCCTGACTCTGCTTCTTCTTTGATTGCGCTGAACTTCCTCTTGAGCCGATAAGTCGCGGTGGCCACCACGGTCTCTGGGGCCATTCCATCGTTCTGGACGTATTGCGCTTGTCCTGCAGTCTGGTGTGAAGAAACATGGTGGAGCTGCTGGCTACCACCTGGAGCTTGTCGTGGTGCAAGCTCACCCGCATGCATATCCACCATATGATCATAGAGGCTGCCACGACTGTTCACTCTGTAAATAAATACACAGGGTGCAATCGTATTGCATTTGAGCAAAGTGTTGTTTCGCCTCATTTAGGAGAGCCGGCGTCCGGTCAAGCGCTTCTTTGTGGCATCTGGGGAGGTGGGCGTAGAGGCTCCCTGGATACCTACCGTGCCCATAGTGGTAGAACTGGCATGCGTAAGTCAACTTTGTTGCTCTGCTGACGTGGCAGTTGTTTTTGTGCAGGACAAGCTCGTGTGAAGAACCATTCCACCCGCAAGAGTCACATTCCTTGTTTGGCTCAGTGCCGGATCGGCGTTGGGGACATAGTGCTAGAAGTGTTGTTGACTGGTCCTCATGCATACTCAAGATGTGTCCTCTGAGTTGGGTCGGGCTTCTGCCATGGCACTGGCAACCAGAAGCTGGATAGGCCACCATTTTCGGAAATATTTGTTGCAAAAGAAAAAAATTCATGTTACTTCGGTCTATGAAAAGGTCTGGATTGGCCGTGGAATTGAATATGGTGGGCAAACCCACTCACTATATGGGGTCTGAATACATCCAACCTTTTGTGCATAGGCATTGATTCACATGTTTTAGGTAGAGCTAGGCCTAACAGCACGTAAGATGAGGCCTATATTTCTTCCATCTTCTCGGCAGGCACGGATGAAACTTGATTGGTGCCTTGTTCTATGACACAATACATCCAGAAGTTGGTTATATGTGAACATCCCACAAAAAATGTATCAACAAGTTCAGAGTGTATATTAGCATAATACTTGACGTTAAAGCTAATATCGGAATTATTACAAAAGCACTACGTTTCCTCACGGGGGCCCAGAACACCTTGAATCAGTGATGACTTTCCAGTGTCAAATAGGCATCTTACACAACTTGGACATCCTTGATAATAAATCAAGTGCCTTGAGTATAGACAGGCATCGAGCTGTAGAATGGTGCTGGATCATGGTCTAAATTAATACGGGCTGTTATCAACCGTCCAGTGAGGCTAATCAGTAGGGCTTGACTTTACAGCTCAAGCCAAGGTGTATCTAATTCTCAGGCTTTCCATGATGTAAACGGTTTTGGTCAGTGTGCAAGTGTCAAGTCTTGCAAAACAGAGTGCGTGTTCATGAGTTTTCTTTTATCTCAGACCGCCAGGCCAAAAAAAATATTATTTGGAGCATCACAACCTCTTTCATGCCGTAGTTACGTGTCTTTTAATCCTCAGCAAAACCCTTGTCCTTCGCTTCAATCTGTGATCCTACCACTAGCCACCACCATTCACCAACGGTTGATCCACTGCCACCTGAAACCTTTTCCAAAAGTCCCATGGTATCAAGCCAATCCATGATCAGCTGTGCCTCAAATTCCTCTATGACGGGATGCAGCAGATCAACAGCAGCGCGAGCGGTCATTGGTCCCTTAACAGAGAGTGCAAAGGCGACCATACAAAGGTATTGAGACCATCGACTCTGCTTCATATTACCAAAGAAGTCGCACCAAACAGGAATTTCTCCAAGTGGACCCATGACCGGAATGGGTACTTCCTTTGACTGCGCGACGATTGGCAGATCTTCATTATACATGTAAGTATCTGTAGGCACCACCTTTACGTCGAACAGGTAGTACCGTTTAGGATACTTTCTGCCCTCGTAGTTGCCTGGTTCGAATCCAAAAGGAACGTTGGGGAAATTGACGTCGACCAGACGGAGTCGACCACAGGCCTGCAAGTTGATCATGGCCATGATGGTCCCATCATTAGAATTGGTAGGGATAATCACCTCCCGGTTGGTACGAAAGCTTTCATCCAGCCTTTCCTTGAAGGCGATGGCCTGGCTATATTTCTCAACATGAACGAACTTCTTTAGACGAATCTCGTAATGGTTGTTGAGTTTGAAAACTTGGCTGAAGCCTTTGCCGAAAGCCTTGGAAATAACCTTTGTCTCCAGAAGCTGAGAGACAGATAGCTCTAAGAGCTCATTCATCTCAGCTTTGTCGCGATTTCCGAGCTCCATCAACTTGTCTCGGACTTCGATTCCAACAGTCGTTTTGGACTTGTTGTTACACAATGCTCGTACCCAAGATCTGGCGAGCTGCAGATCAGATTCTGTTATATAACCTTCAGGTGACGAAGACACCCTGGTCACTGGCGTAACCATGTGTAGACTGGAAACAGCATCCAGTCGATCATATGTTGAAGTTTGAAAATGGAACCAAAGGTCTCGCCAGTCATCGTCATCCCTTACTGGCTCTGTCAGCAGATACTCCATATCGAACTGCTCTCTAGTAGTAGGCAACTCGATTCCGTCGTGGGTTTCTAGCTTGATCGTCCACGAAATTAACGACTTCCAGTCGTAACTATCAATGTTATCGTAGTCCAGAGGGGCTACTTCTCCTGTCTCGTAAGCTTCAAGAAACGCAGTGTGGAACTTCTTGCTCAGGGCTTCAATATAGTTGGCTCTTTCCTTCGTGACTCTGATCCAGAATTTTCTGATGCCGGAGATCGACCATTCAGGATAAATCTTTAGGAACAATCCCCAATCCGTGATCTTGTCAACCCCACCGAGGAGCTTTCTGATGATTACGATAGCAACAACCAGCTCCGTCTCCCTTTCCCTTCCGATGTTCGCACCCACAGATCGAGCCATGTTCCAACGCCCTGTTTCTCTTTTGGCTATCGGAAACAGCACACGGTGCTTCCAATTACCCTCAGAGCGTTTAATGAAGCGCCGTTGCCTACCTCCAATATCTTTAGAGGGTTTCTTGCGTATCTCAGGACCTTCTGCAGCAAAGACTACCTCTTCTGGTAAGGGCAGATCCTCATGCTCATCTTCAGATAGCGCATCCCTAATATCTTCGGGCAGGCTGTCAGCAGTAAATTGTACGTCATGTGGCCATTCAGCCACAACGGGATTCATGTTTGCATGCTCAGGCTCAACCCTCAGAGAAATGAAGATGTGTTCGGGAGCGATGTTGCCAACATTCTGAAGATAGACACCTTCGGGAGAGCGTTCCCAAGCCTCAATCGCTTCTATGTCAGCACCGAAATTGCCGTAGCGAGGTATCTTTTGTCGAACCAATGCTCGCCTGAACTGTGCCCTATCCACCATTTCATTCTTGTTCTGCGGTAGGTTTTGCCTCAAGAACCAACTGCGGTCTGGAAAAGTTCCCGCCGCCGCAAAGCTTTCTCCAGGTCGATTCGAGAAGAACCCTCGGGGGAATTTGCCAGGCCAGACGCCATCTCCAATGGCCGTAATCATATGGATAGTGGTAAAGCTTGGGCTTTCATTTGCTCCATCCAGCACATCTGAATCTGACCTAGCATCAAATGGCAAGACATTGTCGCCGTTGTCTTGCTCTTCTTCTCCTCCTCCTCCTCCTTCTTCTTCTTCTTCTCCTTCTTCCTCTTCATCGTCTTCGTCAACCTCACCTTCCAGTGCAGCGGCTTTCTCATACGAAGCCGGTGTCGTCGGGGCCACAAAATGAACGGAACATGACGCCTCGAGTGCTTGCGCCATACCAGGGGGGGCGACCTCCATGTTCCAGCAAGCGTCATTATCAAGTCTGTCTCGCTGCTTTGTGCCGGTCTTTGGTATCAGTCGGCGCCTGCCTGATTTGTTGGCAACCTGACCTCCCTGAATTTGCGTCGCCGATTGCTTTCGTCTCTTACGGCGCGATGAAGTCTGTGGCTCGTCTGAGTCGTCGCTCTCGGGTCGGGTCCGTTTAGAGTTGATAGCGTTAGAATTGGCTTGTCGAGCTGACCGCATATCGTATCCCAGAGTTAAAATTTCCTGATTTGCGGGTTCGGAGGTCTGATTGGCATTACTGCTCGGGGCGTCGATGTTGTCATACTTCTGAGAAAGCTCACCGCAAATTTCGAGCTCCTTGCCAGCGAGACCAAATTTCGCGGGCACATAAGGATTCGGGTACAGCTCCTCGCATTTGCTTTTCACTTCGGTCATCTTTCGGGATATGCTTTCCGGCATTGGCCCCGAAGCCTTGCCATAATGACCCTTGTGCACAACGGAGATAGGCTTTACAGTCCCGTGAATCAACAGGCCGAAGTGATGGATGCTGATGGCGTGATCTCTATCCATGCCTTTCAAGACCGTCTGAAAAACTTTCCATTCGGGTATTGGGATAGAGCCATCACTAACAGTCTGGCTCCACTTGGTGATGACGAGACTGTACAAGGACACATCCCCGGGTAGTACTTGATCGTTCTGCTCGAGAAGACGAAGTACGAGACCAGTCATGAGCTCTTTGCGCATAAATGCTATCTTCTGCTTTCCGTAGAGCTTCTGTGTTTGCTGTCCATGTACACTTGAGGCTGTAGGGTTGCTATTCGTTATATGAGTAGATTTTGGTAGATGGTCCATCAGGGAACTGGACTGGGTTGTTGGACTAGCCACTGCTTCACCCTTGTCTAATGACTGATGAAGCCGGCTAGTCGTCAGATCCTCCGAACGATCGGGAAGATTCATGAGCACTGCGTATTCTGGGCTTGGGCTTAAGGATGGCAGAGGCCTTCTGGAACCCGGGGTCTGCTCCACATCTCCTAATGTATCCTCATCCGGCGTCTCATCTGCTGTCAAACCTGCCGATAGGGCACGCGCACGTTTGCGAGGACTGATCAACATCCCTTCTTTGTTCGGCGTGTTCCCGCCCAGCGTATTGCTGAGAGTTCTGATTGCCTTTTCAGCGACTCGCTTTTTGTGACCATCGACACCAGGAGTGGTACGGTTCGATTTTATGAAAGGCATGTCGAGAACGTTGTGCAGCGTTACTGATTGAACAGTAATGCTACGAGGCCCTGCAGCAACTCCTTGAGCCGACAGTGGTATTGGAAAGGCTTCGAGTTTCGGTCTCCTCGAAGGCAAAACTCGTTTCGGAGTCAGTGGCGGTCTGTTTGTCGAAGATTTCTTATCTGTGGGATTACTTATAACTGGCTTGTGCTGTCTTTGTGACAGGAAAGGAATAGAAGGTTTCGGAGGCAGTGGAACCCACTCAGGGTTGCAGGCGGACTGAGATTTTTGCTGGTGATATTCGAGTCCGTTGATGTTCTTATAACTGCTGCCGCATTTGTCACATCTGAACTTTTTAGGGCCGTGGGCTCGTCCACCTCGTCTACGCTTGTCGGGGGTCATACTAGCATCCGCAGCAGGCTCAGAAACAACTAAGCTGGTAGGAATATTGGCCAGACTTGGCGTGGGTCGATTGAAGAAATCGGGGGTTCGGAGGGCTGGAGACACAAATTTCATGACTATTGAGTTCCTTGGCCGACCTTTGAGCGGTGACGGGTCCAATGAGTTCTTCTTCCCATAGTATACACCTGGCGGCAAAGGCTCGGATGGGTCTCTGCTGGCAGAATCGGCATCATCAGCTTTTGGCGACACAAGGCTGATCCGTTTATATTCTCCCGGAATAACTTCATCGCTAACTTCTTGATCTCGTTTTAAACCGGCCCGTGTGAAAGACTTGAGGCCAGTGAGCGGCAGAAAGCCTTTGACACGTGATCCTGGTTTAACAAACTCGCCAGGAGAAGGCTGAGGGAATACGGGACTCCCAGTCATGTACTCCACAAGCTGAGCATTGAAGATTGTTGATCCATGCTCGTCGGTGTTCGCTGATTTGATGAGTTCTGTTTGTTGATCACGGTCGCCGGCAATTGCACCATGTGCACGGAAAGTGTATGTCATAGTCTTTCTAACGCGCTTGAACTCCGAGTGAACGGCAAATGGTTGTTGATGGGGCGGCAGTGATCGCGGCAAGCTTATCATTGTCGTCAATGTCGATATATACTTCCGGTAAGCCCAGCCAAGATTGAACATGCCAAGCTCAGTATTCGACGAACCCTGACTGCCACTACGTTTGATGATCTCAAAGAAGGTGGTTGCGATAGGTTTGGATGGATCCCATGCAGAAAGCTGTATCAGTGCTAGACTTGGTGGAATCCGAGGGGCTAGATGCTTCAACACTGAATTCGCCTCTGGTGGACTAGACTCTGTCGTTGCAGCTGCTGCGGCTTTGCTAGCGGACTTTTTAGGTTTCTTTAAATTCTTCCTAAGTCGTGAGGTAGGTACTTGGAGACTGGCTTTGGGCATAGTCTTGTATCTGGTCCATTCCTCCTCGGTCGGATCTCGTATGAATTTGACACAATCTTTGAAGAGTTGGCCCCCTTTACCCGTCTTCATGGGCTCAAATCGAATCACCCCGATTCCAGCCCACCATCGCGAAGATTTGGCGAGTGCTCGCATCTGAGGTATACGATTGGTGATGTTCATCTTGGGTCGAATGTCACAATACCTCATTGCCTGGTATGCTTTCAGTATCATCAAAAAGGCTTGTGAGATGGCGACATAATCAACCTGACCACTAGTATAGTGATGACTGAATGACACTGGATCCCAGCTTGCCCTTAAGTCTTCTGCAGGCGTATTCAGAACTTCGTCTGGCAGTCCCTGACGCTGAACATCAGCCTTGGCGTGGTTGGAGAACTGAGCCAACCATATCTTGCTGGTACGGCATCCCCGCAATGTGGCCTGCTGTTTGATGATATATCCTTTCCTGGCCAAAGCTTCGGTACGTGTGGGCAATGATCGCTTGTCTTGACCTGTAAGTCTGGTAAGATCTCCTTGAAGGATGCCCTTGGTTCCAACTGACGCGATGGCGATGAGCGCTCTCCACTCAAAAAGCGGGATACGCTTATAGTCAGGGCCATGACCAGCAATAGCTTTCCATTGGCGTTCCTCGGAGAGTAGTAGATGGACCTCATCTTGAACGAAAGCCGTAGCGTTTCTCTTTGTACTTGAACGACCAGTTGCCGGCTCTGTTGCATCTTTGGACGTTCCCTCGGCAAGGGACACAATCTCTTCGAGTGGGACTCTAGCCGCGGTTTCTGGCACAACGATAACGTCCTTCCTTTTTACAACCCACTTCCATATGATCGATGCATGAGCAATGTCAGCCTCAGCCACATCCTGAGGTTGGCCTGAAGCAAGATCAGAGGGCTCATCGCCAGCACCAATATCATCGCGTCCGTCGTAAAACGCTTTCACTGCCTTTACGAACTTCTTCGCAGAAAGTCCTATGGTTCTGTTAGCTAAGCATCCCAGCTTGGCGAGGAAGCTGGCCAAAGCGTGCATGTTTAGCCAAGATGACTCACCCTCGAGACCAGAAAAGGCTATCTTGGTCAGAAGCCACTCAATCAGCTCGTCGAGTCCACGATCCATGGCTTTAGACTTGTCAAAGGCATAGGCGTGGCTTGCCGTAATACTCTGTAGAACAATTGATAGTCAAGATAAGATAAGTATACTTCCAGATTAACCTGTAAGGAATTGCACAGAGGATACAGGATGACACTGCTCACGGATCAAATTTGTGAGTAGTGATGAGGTGTTAGAATCCCCTTGGTAGAGGGGGCCACCTATGAATGAAGAGGAATTCGCGGAGACTAAAACTTCCCTTAAGGAAAAAAAAAAAAACCTCCCGGATTAGTTGGTATTTTTAACAAATCTCTGCCTTTTGTGAGAAAAAGCAAGTTCGGCGAACATCATATTTCAACTGTATATCGGAGGAAGGAGCGATACTTACGACATTCAGGAGGATGATGGTACCTCACTCAACCAGCTGTGTCGAATAACGAAAGGCACGATAAAGCCCCGAGAATTGTGTATTTCAGAGACTGTGGGGGCCGGGTCACAAAACCATAACCAAGCTGAAGCAAGTGATCCAGCAGAGAGTATGGTGGTTGGTGAAGTTGTAGAATACGGTTATAGGCTTTGATCAAAATGAGTAAGTAGGTGGTCTAGGGACCAAAAAGAGCCATACACGACTGGCTCCAGTATGCAGGTGCTGCAGAAACCAGCTCGGTGGTCAATATCTTGAGTACGGTGTGGGGCAATCGCAGACACGGTCGACCGAACGTTGCGAATATTATCCGTGATACCGAATAGCAAGGCTGGGATGGAAATGAACGATGGAGAATCGTGTTGAAATGAAAACTCAGCAGTCTGGCGACACAGAGACTCGAACGCGCAGCTTTTGGAAAAATTTAAGAGAGCTTAAGGTTGAGTTTGAAAGCTGGTCAGGTGGGGGCAGCGCGCGTCTGGCGGGATCCGAGGTGGGGGCCATGCAGCGACACCTGGCGAAGTGAGCTCAAGCTGCTCAAACTAAAGAAAATCAGTATCAAGAGAATTTATTCAGCCCTACACCCAACAGTAAAACTGTCTCGTCACGAAGCAACGGTGATGCAAGCCTACATATTAGTATCACCGTGCAGTCGGGTTCAGCATAACGTGTCTGTCCATTTTTATAGTACCTCGATTCCAGCTACCTATCATCTTCCAGATGCCCTCTGTAAGAGGCCTAATTCCTTTACTGCATCGGTCGGTTGCTTGTGGAGGCTGTTGAGAAACATTTGACTATTGCCTCGTTCCTTCTTGATCGCTCGAGTTTGCAAATTGGACAGCTGGGTATCATTTCAATAGCTCGTGAACAGCTCATTGTGCTTGAGGCTGGCGGAGACTTGGCCGCTTGCCCTCCATCATCTTCCGATACTGGGCAACGATGTCGTCTCGTACTTCCTGGAGCTCTTCTCTTCTCCTCAAGCTGCCTGCGGCTTTGGGAATGCCATCGACTGCAACAGTCGCATCGCGCACGACGAGCGGCTTCGGCTTCTTGAGTTTGAGCTCGGGTGGCGCTTTGGCGATATCGTGGAGGCCAGGCCTTGATTCGCCTCTCTTTCTTTTGAGTTCTTCCCAGGGGTCCTCTTCCACACCTCCTACCTCGTCGAGGTATTTGGCACGTTTCCCCTTCTTCTTTTTCTTTCCAGAAGGAGCCACTTGCGTATTCAATTTCCATGAAACACCGGCCTCTTCGTCTTCCATCTCTTTCTCGGCCTGTAACTCGGCCTCTTCTTCACGCTGTTCCTTGATCTTTTGTTCTTCCTCTCGCCATTGGTCGTAGAGCTTGTGCATCTGCCGCTCCTTCTTGGTACGCTTGACCTTCAGGCCTACAGGGTCCTTTCCATTCTTTGCACTCTTGTTGATCAGGCCACTAAGAGGCAGAGCCGCGTCAACACGGGCAACAAACTCTGACATTCGCTCTCCGGGCTTGATCGTTGGAATTTCGAGTTTTCCCTTTTCCTTCTCCTTGGTTTCTGGTGCAGGTGTGTCGACGGCGGTAGCATTTTTGGTGCTCTTCTTTGGCTTTGCTTTGGGCTCATCGCCATTATCGAGACCCGACCTTGGCTTCTTCCCTCCGGCATAAGCCATCAACCTCCTAAAGGCTCGTGGGGTGTCATTTTGGCCTGTACCCTCCCTCTTGCGCTTCTTCCCAGGTCCTTTGTCTTGATCACTAGTGAAGATGGTCGTAGTCTTCACAGGTAATGGCCGCGCAATCTGTGATGGTGGCAGATTGTAGCTGCAGCGAGGTCACGCAAGTTAGCAAGTCGTTCCGCGGCATGACGTGGGATATTATGGGGTAGTCTTACGTCGAGCCAACTTGCTCCCGACGCTTGTGCTTGTGCGGCATCGTCGTTGACGTTGGCAATACACCTGGTTGGTTGTGCTATACTTGTCGCACAAGTGAAGGATGCGATCTTCAGCCTTCGTGTTGTTTGGCGGCGATCTTTGCGGTCTGCTTGATGGGTAGGAATTTTCTAAAAATTACTACGCAGCCCCACTATTGCACAACCTTACAGTAGTTCATTTGGTTCAGTTGGCCTGATTCCCCCGATTCACACCTGTAGCACGACGTGATACGGGGCATTCCCCACTACCGCTGATAGCGTTTGATAGCGCTTGATAGCGGTGCTCTGCGCCGCAACGACCGCTAGCGCCCCGCATATTCAAGCTAAATGCCAAGCTTTGAGCCCTAGGTCGACGGCGCGATGGTGCCATAAGGCACCCTAAGTCTGGACCATGATGGAGCTGCCCATGTGCTTACAGGCGGGGAATCTTACTGGTCGGGGAAGCCACCGGTAAGCAAGCGAGTCTGGCAAATATGCTTCATTGTGAGGCCAGCCGTCCAATTCCCAGCTCTGCAACAAGCTTATTTAGTATGCTTCGCTAGTATATCTCTTGCACCGATTTGGGATGTCTGTCCGTCTCGACTCCCGCCTCAACTTAAAGGCCGCATCTCCAGGCCATGGATGAGTAGGCAGTTTACCAGACTCCTCCTTCTTTCTTGGCTCACTCGCTCTTCCGTCTCCTGCCTCGCTCGGGCTGCTTTGAAATAGCATCAGATCACCGCTGCAGCTCAGCCTCCAAATCAGCGCTTCCTTCAATCCCTCGCCCCACTTCCCGGCGACAATCTGGACGATCTTGACGTCGGCTTGTTCTGTCCGGCATTTCTTTGAGCTCTTGGACGCCATCTGTCACCATTTTTAAATATCTTTCCAACTCACCAACCCCATGCATCTCGTCCGTCGCGCGGGACCTGACAATATGGACTCCATATCACCATGTTCTACCCCTTCGAAAGAAAAGAAGGCCTTTATATTGTTAGATCTCTTTAAACCCCGTCGTGATAAGACTGAATACCAACCGATTCGAAGCACTAGTGTCGAAGAAATGGCCCCCGAAAGAACAGAAGATGCGGAGAGCCTCGAATATGGATCGATTGTGCCCCCCAGGCGGAAACGGCGCTGGCAAGGCTATATGATCTGTGGCAGCATGTGGGCGTTCACACTCTTGTACGATACCATCCACAAACATCGAGCCCACAGACTAATCCGAGCGCAGAGCAATTTTCTTATGCATAGACCTGGCCCTTGCAATTTCGCGGAGTCTGTGGGGTTTGGATGACGACCCAGACAAGATATTCGCGAAATGGGGCCAAGAAGACACAGCTACCGAGGGTCTGAAGTGGTACCCCACGGACTTCCTCAGAGATGTGCAGCCGATACCTTGTCACTCACACAATGACTACTGGAGGACTGTCCCTCTCTTCTCCGCACTCCATGCCGGCTGCATAGGCGTGGAAGCCGACGTGCATCTGTTTGACAATGATGACAAACTTTACGTCGGACACAATGATGCGTCGCTGACGCCTAATCGGACTTTGCAATCACTCTACATCAACCCCCTCATGGATCTGCTGAACCAGACGAATCCGAGCACACAGTTCTTCAACGGAACTGGCACAAAGCATGGCATTTTCGACGCTGATCCCAGCCAGTCCTTGACATTACTCATCGACGTCAAGACAGACGGGGCGAAGACCTGGCCCCATGTCGTCGCACAACTGCAGCCCCTGAGAGAGAAGGGTTGGTTGAGCTACGTCGAGAATGGCGTTCGTCATAACGGCCCCATCACTGTCGTTGGTACGGGCAACACGCCATTTGAACTCATCATTGCAAATTCGACATATCGAGACTACTTCTTTGATGCTCCCCTACAAACAATGTACGAGGACCCAGACAAGGATGTTGACTCCACAACAGTCGACATGAAATACAACTCAACAAACTCACACTACGCCAGCGTGAGCCTTGGTAAATCCATAGGCTCGACATTCCTCGGCGTCAGCGATGAGCAACTCAAAACCATCAAGGGCCAACTGAAAGGCGCGCATAGGAGAGGCCTGACTGCGAGATATTGGGATACACCAGGGTGGCCCATCGGATTAAGAGATGGTATTTGGCATACGTTAGTTTTTGCGGGCGCCGATATGCTGAACGTGGATGACTTGAGGAGCGCTGCAAGGAAAACGTGGTGATGTGTCTTATTATTAGCGGCTTGGATATACCCAGATGATCATTTATGAGAATAAAAATAAAATAAAAGAATTCAACAAATAACCCCTTCTCTTCTTTTTCTTTTTTACATTAGAGATACAGCTGCCGCCCATATCTTTACCACTGACATATTTCTCACATTATCTTATCATTCACGCTCTGTACGCATTAGCTGCCTCCCCGTGGTACCCGACCAGCCTAATCCATACCGACACCAAGTCTGGATCTGCTAGTCCATCGGTACACCATGATGCTCAGTTTTATAACGTATAAAATTGAGAGAACGAAAGTCGTGCAGTGTCATCATCTTCCAGCCATGCAGTCATTTGTCTAGCCGAGGAAAATGATGATATTCTGCATAATCCTCTGCCGCCTACCTAGAGTATCCAACAAGGTGTTCCGAATGGCTTGTACCTAGCTGAGGATAGGGCCCTTGGATGCTTCTGTATATTATGAAGAGAAGAATACTTCTGAATTTGGATATTTATCTCGCCAGAACGATGGACGCCTCATGCAGAGATACATGAAGCCGCACCACGTCATTTGAGTCTCAGCGCATTTATATCTCCAGAGACGTATACAAGCGCCGTTGTGTCTTAAGCATGAGTACTTCCAGTGAACAAGTAATTGGAACTGGGTCAAACTACCTTCCATCATTATTGAAATAGGTTGCCGTATTCTGGTAGTTTGATGCACTCGTGTTTCCTACAGATTGTGGGGACTCTCGTCCTCTACAAGCACTGGCGGAAAAGGCCCGGGGGGATTAGGTATAACTTACCCAGGGTCCATTTATTTGGGACAACGGCACTAACAACCTTGGCCCCGCCTGGTAAAGTACTCTGGAAAATCCAGGGTCCTTTTTACAGCTCCACAGCCATGCTTATTAGGTACCGACAAGTGACAAAAGCTCTACTGTAGCCTAGTGAACCCAAGGCTCTTTGCCCCTCATTGCCCCTCCAAGCACTTGAGCCTACATGACTTGGGGGTTTCGAGTTGCATACAAATCGTCGTGAGTACGATTAGCGACTCAACATGTCTGGCAAAACGGTTTTAGTCACTGGTGCCACCGGCTTGCTTGGCAGGCAGGTCGTAAGAGCTTTCGAGAGGAAAGATTGGACGGTCAAAGGTACGGGCTTCTCGAGGGCCGATGGCACATCTATTCTGAAGATCGACCTGGGGAGTGCTTCCGATATTGAGAAGACCTTGGAGACAGTCAGGTAAGCCAGCTCTATCACCAGTTACCCTCGTCTTGTATTTGCGCTAACGACACGCTCACCCAGACCCCAAGCAGTTGTGCACTGTGCAGCCAACCGATTCCCCGACAAATGCGACAATGACCCTGAAGGCACTCGAGCATTGAATGTCGCCGCTTCCCAGTCTCTCGCGAGCTTATGTGCGGCCAGGGACATCTTCCTCATCTACATCTCGACAGACTATGTCTTCCCAGGGAAACCTGGCGATGCGCCGTACGAAAGCGACGCCCATCCGGCACCAACGAACCTGTATGGACAGACAAAACTCGATGGTGAACATGCAGTTCTTGAGGAATACAGCAAGGCTGGAAAGCCGGGTCTGGGAGTTGTCCTGAGGGTACCTGTGCTCTATGGCGATGCTGAGACCCCTGCCGAAAGCGCAGTAAACGTTCTCATGGACACAGTCTGGAAGGCACAAGACGATAGCGCAAAGGTTAAGATGGACCATTGGGCGCTGCGATATCCTACAAACACAGAAGATGTCGGGCGGGTATGTCATGGTAAGTGTCTACGCAGAAGCGTGACAGCAACAGTACTTCTGACAAGAACGATAGATGTTTCGGCAAAGTATCTGGAATCTGCAGAGAGGTCATCCTTACCTCAAGTCCTGCAGTTCTCATCAGAAGACAAGATGACCAAGTACGAAATATGTCAGCACTTTGGCGAGATCATGGGCCTCCCAATCTCGGGCATTGAAGCCAACACGGAGGGCAATGATCCCAACGCTAGCGTCCAAAGACCTTACGACTGCCACCTCAGTACAAAAGCTTTGAAGGACCTCGGAATTGATGTTTCAACTCAAGATTTCATTGGTTGGTGGAGGTGGTCGGTACGAGCTTTCAGGAAATGAAGGAAATCTCACTCCGTTTAGGTTTGAATCAAAAGCCTCTTTGATTCAGAGTCATCTGCGAGCAGGTCGAATTCATCTCAGAATGTTTAGCATCGATCTCTGGTCCGTGAAAGAACGCGCTGTTCTTGGATTTTTTTTTTATTCTGGGGAGTTTAAATTTTTTTTATTAATATAGTTATTATCCGGCTAGTCGTGACGTCGCTCTTATACACGTTGATGCGTGGATAGATACCGCAGCGACTTCCAAGGAGGCGCTTTAATATGGATATGGGAGAAATGATTCTAGAACGGTTCTTGCGAATTGCGGTCAGCATCCTACCGGCATACTCTCCCTCTCCCCCACTTGTTATGCGGCGCGCCAAGCGGCTTAGAGCGACTGAAGCCGTCACATGCAGGTCCAAATTTGGGGTTTCGCTGGCTCCAATGAATTTCCCATCCTCAACTCTCACGCGAAAATGCTCGTGTGACCGGCTTCACGGCATCGTAATGCGCAATGTTGAACTTTTGGTTGCTATTAACAAACAAGGCTAGTGCTATATGGTTGAGAACAGGCTACATGCCGGCTGCTCCCCCATCTATTCGCGCCCTGACGCAACGCCGAAGCCCCTGGCATGAGATTGATCATTATGCTGCCTGTCGTGCTACAATGCTAGACATTGCCCGCCATATTTGTGCAGCAAGCCCCGAACAGGAAGGGAGTGGCCGAGATGATTACAGGTATTTCTCATGATTGACCCTCTGGCCGCCGTGCCAAACCACGAGACTTTCTGTTTCCGGCTTTCTACTCCTGATCGACCTCGAACTTGTAACTTAGCACCCATCATCAAATTCGACTACCCCTGGCAGCGACATCTTGAACAATCTTAAGTCACAGAGTGTGAGATCGCAGTACGACCCTGCCACACACTTGTACGTACGACGTGTCCCGCGTGTGGATATTCCGGTGGCAGTTACACTCACATCACAATATGCGATGCGCATAAAATAGCAACGCCGGCGGAGACCAATTGACAGCCACCCTTGGTTCGACGAGGGTATCGTCTTTCTAGCGTGCCATTGTCTGTGCCCAGATCCGTCTGATTCTTCGTCACGGCTTGCGCGCGTTTTCTGTTCGTGTGGAGATTGCGAACTCATTGCCTTTCCGCCCCCTAGCATCGACGGACCTCCAGTTGCAGAAAGCCCTATGTATAACGGACCATTGTCCCCCTGCTGAAGATCATTAACCTTCGTATTACTTGTACTTACATCGCCTACCCTGTCGCCCGTACTTCAACGGTAGCGGGTCGATAGTCCCTCGACCAAGGTTTGCTAGCCATGTCCTGGGAAGAAGAGCCGTCTGGCGGCCCGGCCGCTCAAGCGCCCAAGTTCTCGAGATATCGAAGCGTAAGAGTCAAGACTGCGTCGACAATTCACAGCACAACAGCAACAGATCATAACACGCACACGGTTCAAGATGCGCCGCAATCACACTCTTCCGATGATACTTCCACATCGACGCCCGATCCTGCACGGGCAAACTCAATTGCCAGGTCGATGTCTCGCTACCGCAGGCACGCGGGCAGTGTCTCTGGTGATAACGATGCAACCTCCAAGATTACTGCTCCACAACCTTCGATGCCCCCTGTTCCTGCTATACCCTCCATGTTAAGGACGAACAGCAGTGACCATACCAACTTCTCCCTTTCCAAAAATCATAATGGCGAGGGACCGATCGCCCAGGGTTCTTATTCTCCCTCTTCTCGACCTGATCGCCAATCCAGGCGCACCGAGCGCGCGCACAGAGAATTGAATCGCAAGGCTGCAGATTACGAGAGCCAACCAAGCGCAGAAGCCGAGCGCAGAAGAATGGCTGATCGCGACGATCGCGAGAGGCGCAAGCAGGAGCAGGAGGACGCCGCCAAATATGCCGCACGAGTTGCGCACAACGAGAGCGAGAGCGACCGACTGTTGGCGAAGCAGAAGAAGAGGGATCTCGAAAGACTCCAGGTCTCATTAGCCAACAATCATCAGTCGGGCTTCAAACCACCAAAGTCGCCCAAAGCAAGGAGCCCAGTGGTTGAGAAATTTGTCGCCCTAACCAAGCGCCGCAAGAGCAAGGAGGGTCTGTCGCCGACATCGTCCACCGCTGGCTCCGTCTCCGGTGATGGCGAGTATGGCCGCAGTCAAGCCAACCTGCCCAAGGTGCCCAGGTTGCCCGTAGGGATTGAAGTTGGCGGCAAAGGCATCGTGCCGCAGAAAGACGCACCCGTCTCTGCAGTGAATCACGGTGACCGAGTAAGTCCTGACCGCACCCAGTGAGAAAGGGTTATGGTAACAGTTATTCTAGATTGTATCGGTTCAATGCCGCCATCATACTTTCATCTTGCCTGTCACGCCGGAAACGACACCGGTCGACATAGTTCTGGCAACAGCCAGAAACATGACATATGACTTGGAATGGAGCCCTCAAGAGTGCGTTGTTTTGGAGTCCTATGGTCCCTTGGGCCTCGAACGCCGTATTCGGAATTTTGAGTGTGTTCGAGACGTTATGAACTCATGGGACCGCGACACGCATAATTCCCTGATAGTCACAAAGTCGGATAACCTAAGTAAAGATCGTGATCTTGACATCGAATCAGTGCCAGAAACCGATGAGAACCCCCAAGGGGTTCAATTATATATGTATCACTCGAATCGCCCCGGAAAATGGAACAAACGATGGATTACCCTCACGGATAACGGGCAAATACTTTGCGCCAAGAAACCGGACGCAAGCCCATTGGAAAAAGATACTCTCAGCTTGTGCCACTTATCAGACTATGATATCTATACGCCCACAGAGAAGGAGACTAGAAAGCATATAAAGCCTCCAAAGAGACGTTGCTTTGCCATCAAAAGTCAACATAAGCCAGCCATGTTTTTGGACACAGAAAATTACGTGCAATACTTTTCTATGGAAGATCCGGGAATGGCTTCGCTGTTCTCCGAGAAGGTTCAAAGCTGGCGCAGTTGGTATCTTGCTGATCGCAGACCCGCAGCTCGTCGTATTTCAATACCAAAGATGGACGATACACCACCACGGTTGCCGTCCGTGAAGCATATCTCGGGGAAATCTGGCAATCCAGCCTCCGAAGGTGGAAACCGACTGAAGAGTTCTGTTGACGACTCGCCATATAAAGTTGGTGAGTTCGAGCCGCTCATCGACATGAGACGCTTCGACAAGAGGCTATCATTGTTCGGAGAAGACTTGCCTTCTGCAGCTGCGGCTCCATCCACATCCTCTAAGCAACCACCATCCCATCGCAAGAAAGAGTCAAAAGACAGCCAACCTGATGGTCCGCTGATCGACAGAATCGTGTCCGCCAGTGATGAGGCGTTCACCGGAAACGGTCTTTTAGGTCAAAATTACAACGCTCGCAAGGCAAGCGTTGATCAAGGAGCAGCCCATACCAGGCGGTTTTCAAAAGACTTTGGAGATTTCGGGAAAGAAGCTTTCACAGACGGACCGTCACTCCTCAGTAAGCAGGCTGAAGCCAACGCTGCGCCGAAGGGGGATGTTTCTTGGTTTCCATCGGCTCTGGAGCACTCTCAAAAACACCGTGAGACGGACAACCCGCGACCGAATACCTCAGCAGGTGTTATCACTACCAGACCTCCAAACGGGCGCTCGAACTCTTCGTCGCATCCTCCGCCGATCCCACAACAGAGCCGTATGCGCTCGGATCGCCCTCCCATCTCAAATCCGCATCTGCCGCCTAGTTCCCATCCGCAACCTCTTAGCTCGCATGATCCCAACCCGACTAACAGCCGCCGCCAAGCGCCAAAGCCGCTGGTGAACCTAACGACCCCAACTATCAACGAGCCGCCGCAGTGGTCTTCCAAGAAGGGCCACGGCGTGCAAGCACCAGAGGGCATGCGCCACCTTGTCGATCTGATCAGTGTCGGCGCGCCGAAAGACAAGCCGAGCGGACTCCTCGAGATCCCGCCGCGGAGCGCGATGCGCAGACCTCCAACGTCTAGTGGCTCGGCCAGTACCTCTCCGTACAGGAGCGGTGGCAGCCTCAGCAGGACCAGGTCACAGAGCTCTGGGCCGCCGACTAGCCGACCCCTCATCGAGGATGTGCCGCCTGTGCCTAATCTACCTGGCATGCCACTAGCGAGCAGTGGTGGCGGAAGAACAATGACCATGGGCGCGAGAGAAAAGGTGGAGATGGATGCCATGCGAGAGGCCATGAAGGCTAGGGAGAGAGATTTCAAGGAGCGGGAACGCGACAGAGGAAGAGCCCGGGAAAGGGGCAGGGAAAGAGAAGCGAGGAATGACTATAGTTCTACGGGGCGGGTAGGAACCTTGAAGGTGGTGTAAAGTGGGTCCGATTTCGGGTTCATAATCCTTTTTTTTTCTTGCATGTTATAGCGATGGAAGTCGAGACGGCGGCGTTCTTGTTGATTGTGGGAGCATTGGTTTCGGTGCAGGAGTGATCTGGCACATGCTTTCAAAGGATAGTCACGGATGCATAAAAACGGATTGGCGTGGTTACGATGGTGAGGTCCGTCTACAGCGCACGCTCGGCCCCGTTGGTTGGAGATTTGAGGTGTTACGCGAAAAAGAAAAAGGCGATGTGAAAGGGCATTGTCTAGCAATACTGCAAGTAGCTCACTTATATTAATCTAGCAGAAGTTTTCCCAACGACCAGCGCACAGGACCACCTGAGCGGTTACGTGGTCTAATCAAAAGATTGCCAGCTTTCTTTAGAAGGTTCAGGTAACTGGTTCGAATTCAGTCTGTACATGGAGGAGTCAGCCTACTCCAAGAAAATATGACCTAGCTCGTATAATCTGTAATAGTAATAAACTTCCCATGAATCGGACTTGCTCTTATCGCACCTCGTGTCCAAACAGAAGCATTCTGTTATTCACAATACATCATACTAGTATTGCTCACGGGAAGCACCAGAAACTTGTCTGGTAGGTGCTGTTAATTACCTCTTGAAAACACCTGCAGTGCTCGGAAAGTTGACAGATGAGGTTTACAACCGATGGGCAGCAAATGCTGAGATTGACGCCACATTGGCGATGCAGTTACCATACCTCCAAGTTGTCATTTATGAGGCCATGCGGATTCATCCGCCTGGCTCACAAGGATTTCCGCTGATATCGCCAGGTTGCAACATTGACAAATTCTGGGCACCACAAGGGGTAATGACACATGTTCCAATAATCGTACATGGAACTCCTGTCACAACTGTAGACCGAGGTTTACACCAGTGCAAGGACGGCCACACACAGTTCCACAACCCTATGTTGTTCAAACCTGAGCGATTGCTGGATCTGAAGTACTGAAATGGTAAAAAGGCAGTGTTTGCACTTCATTTATGTGTAAAATGACATGTTTGAAGGTAACGTAGTAAACCTGAGCGAGTCGAAGGCCGCCTGGGGAAGGCTGACCTACAGGAGTTAGGTGCCAAAGTATAGATCATATACAAAAAAGTGTCTTGCCGGTATTGTGGAAAAGTGGCACTGGGAATTGTGGCACACTATAGAGGGAATAGTTTGCCAAAAAAAAAAAACCGCTGATCGAGACAAAAATGAAAACCATCATATTCCACTGCTAGCGACTTGAGGCGGTGCTTCGGGTTACTATTGCCGATTGTGCAACCTAAACGCCGACGACAATTTTGCAACTCACAAGATCAACTGGGGAATCTCCCATATCAACAAGCAGGTTTGAGATGGCGGCGTGACGGAGTGTCCAAGATGGTCACAACTTACTGAGTCACGGTCCTAGCCGCTTGAACCACCACTCGTCGCAGGCCGACGAGCGTCAACCAACCCGCAACGGCAAATTCTAATGTGGTTGGCGATACGCGAACAGGACCTCTCTATTCTAGGTGCTCAAAGTTCAAGGATATCAATTATAAGTATTCTAGAATCGGTGCATAAAAGGGGCGGCAACATCTGCGACAAGACTTTTATCGCCAGGATAATTAGTGAATGACACGCAGAACGCTTGAAATTCACTTGACGCTCTAAGCGAGACACCCAGCCACGAGGCTAATTACGGGAGAGAGTGCGAGAAAACGTGGATGCGATATCACTGGGAGACGATGCATCAGCAGTTTGGAAGGTTCAGCAACCTCTGTTCTCTTATAATACGAATCGAGTATATGGTTCTTAGTTGTAAATAATTCTGTAAGCTATACTTGGAGGACCGCCTTGACTGACTATTACTAATATCCTGTTATCAAGCTTAATCCAACAAAACTTAGTAATCGGAAAGTTCAAGTACGAAACTTTGATATACCGTTCTAGGAGAGCCCTTGGTCTATGCAATTTCTATAAACAATCTGCTATTATTGAGCTCTTCGACCCATGTCCAGTACTTTTTGTTGATCCCTAAGACCATCAATTACTTCTGCAGATGATCTGGATCGCGTCCAATTCCCATCACCAGCTGACAACTCAACAGGACCTTTGGGGATATTGGATAGCTCTTGAGGTTTGCCACCGTCTTGCGGTGGGAGCTCTGAATAGAAATAGCTCTCAGGCGTATATACGCTTTCTTGCATTTGTGGGAATTGTGTCGTTGTTGTGACTGGTCCGTTACCCTGTGCGGAATGCGCTTTTCTCTTCCGCTGCGACCGCCACAAGAGGTAAGACAGGAGCCCAATAAGAAAGACAGCCACCGCGATGCCTACCCCGATTCCGACAGCCGCCCCTACGGATAGACGAGTACCTGTGCTGACATTGGGACCTGAGATATTAGATGAACTAGTCGAACTTGTTGTAGCTGCAGAAATGACTGAGGGGGTACCGGTAGTCATAGTATCGGAAGGTTGATGTACGAGCTGAAAAAGAGGGGCCATAATAGTGAAATTGTCCATGATAGAACTGCTGTAGGCGAATGGCAGCGATTTATAGGCATAGCTGATAGTACTACTGCCGCCCGGACATGTTCCAGTCAAGACGGACGTTGACCTTGCCACAGACACACAAGTTTGGTCTCTGGTCTGGATCACACAGGTATAACCGCTAGAAATCAATCAATTCATATATTTATGCACAGTTACAAGTGTTCTGCACGTACGTCGGACAACAACCAATCGCCGTCTCTGAGCTGGTCAATCGGAATTGAAAACTGAATCCATCATCTTGACCAACAGTGGAAGCACAAGCCGACGTGTAGCCGTTAGGGCACATGACTCCTGGCGAGTAAAATCCCCAGCCATGGAAAGCAGGACCTCCGGTTATGCTTGGAGGATCGCTTGTTCTAGCCGGCCAGCACGATGAATCGTCTACCGGGACAGCCCCGCCGTTTGCGCATGTTTGTGCTTGCCATCCATAATCGCATGTGGAACAGCTACCATACACAACGATGTTGTTGCAATAGCTCGGCGCTGTAAATGTGGTGGTTAATGGACCCAAGTTCCTTCTAGTAGGTGAGGATGCCGAGGACGAGGTTGATGTAGCCATCGTGGAAGGCCCATCGGCGTGTCTCCGTCTTGGATAAATTTTCTACATGTACGCTGGTCGTTAGGAACAACGTGATATTAAAAGCGAACATTATTATTACTTGCGATCCGTTGGGCAATTTGTCGAGCGGCTACGCCTCATAATGGCCCCTTTCGCCACGCATTGCCCCCATGCCGATGACAAGGCCAATCATGCCTGTCGTCGCGTGGTTCCGACTTGCCAAGTGATGACAGGAATTAGTGAATTAGATTGTTGTTTCTTAAATTGGAAAGGTGTGCTTACTGGCGGCGTCTTTCTATTGCTTACCAACTAATAAGGTGGGAAATATCCCGGGAAATGCAATAAATCACTCTTGTGTATACGACATCTGCCTTGCGCTAAGCTCCACTCGTACATGCAACATCACAAACAGGGGAGAAAGCGCATTGCGCCCATCAACCCAAAATGTTCCTCGGAAGCATTGGATCTTGTGATATAGTAATCAAGCCTGCTAAAGATTGCGACCGGCTTGCTCGACACCAAGATCTTATGGCGTACGAGATGGAAAGCGCAAGATTTTGGGATAGGATGCTATACGTTGTTAGAAAAGGAGTCTACGAGTATGTAGATAGCCATAAAAACAAAACCGAAATGGCAACTTTTAGTAGTAGCAATAGCCGCCTTGATGGCGAAAGCTCTGCTGGGGCAATATATCCAGATAGATCAGCCAACAAACCACCATCGCGCCACTCACATAATATTCAAGAAGAGCAATTTGCGGGCCAATGCTCCTATCAAATCCTCTGGAAAAGTGAAGAGAGTATGTCCAGTGCCTCCAGTCTGACCGAAAAAGGAAGGAAGGCTGGGGCTGGAAAGTTGGCGGGTTGACATCGCAGCCTTTGAGACTGGCAGGGACAACCTTCCTAGGGAACTCGCGATCCAACTCGCTGATCCACACACTATTGCTACATGCAAGTTCAGCGACTTGCAATTGACGTGGTTCCGCAATAGAGTTTTGTACGTGCGTTTCGATATAGCATCTAAGTGTATTCTGACACAAAGGAATGATGTAGATGGAGGCGAGCGGGAGTACGGAAATTTCTGGCTGGAGAAGTCCAGCATGTGGCTGCATCATAGCCAACAACCCCCTTTGCAGAGGAGACATGATGGACTTTAGGATGGGAGTAGTTGTAGCCAAGCTGAGACAACCCACCGGGCGAGAGAACTTCACATATCATGAACATTACCAGGCCAGCATCTTTGAGGGCTTGAAACTAATCTCGGTTTAGCATGAGACCAGTCTATTTAATTAAAAGTGATCCGATAATCATAGTGCAAGTGGGTGTATCTTTAACTAAAATTGATGTTGAAATGCATTAGAAATGAATCATCCTAATTTTCTTGTCTTTGGATCTGCGATCAGGAACAGTGTCCTTTTCAAGTCGGCGTTTCAGTGTCTGGGGAATAACGCTGTGAGATTCTTTCGTTCCATGGCTTCAAATTTTCGCCGGTATATTGTCCTAAACTCTGCCGAATCTTTTGTAGTTAATGGACTGGATCTCAGCATATAAAGAACCCGGCTCGTTGTCCTTGGGATTCTCAGGTGGTGTGGTATAGAACCGAAGTCCCTTTTGCACGAATGATCGGAACCCGGTAATGATGCCACCAGGAATTTTTGCTGGAAGGTTAGGATTGGAGTTTTCTGCTAGAACTTGCGTGTTTATTTGCTGTTTGGACTTGTTTTCAGCTGCAGTTAGTGGCTCTTTGACGTGAATCAGACTGTTCTCATGCCTGCAGTAGAGGGATTTGAAAAGTATGAATGAGACAGGCATACCGCAACAGAGGATGCCGATATTGATCTCGCAGATACTAGATATGCCGTCTGATTGGAGTATATCACGAGAAGAGTTTATAAGGAGCGATTATACCCTACGCAAGTTATTCAAGGCTGATTCTTGCTTGTAGAAATCTTTTCATAGCCACATACTGCTACGCCGTATGGAATGTAGCCTTACAGGCAGCACCTAAGAACTGGACACTCAAAGAGGACAATACCTTAAAATCTATCACCTGCTAAACAAGAAGAAAACCTTAAGATGTTGTAATAGACTCTAGAGCTTCCAGCTCCACATGTTGATGATTGAATACGGACTCAAAACAAACGAGCAAAGGCTATCAATGATCCCAACTGCTTCATTAGAGGATAGTCATGATACTCAACTCATTTTCAACTGAACCGCCGTGGCTTCGTCACATTTCAGGAGGTGTCTTATTACATGCGTGGCGATTTGCTTCTCGTCCTGGAGGCAATGTGATTGTTTGGAGTCTGTTCATTGACGAGCCGGTGCTTAGGCACGCTTGAGAACTCTGTATTAAAGTAAATCATGGCGCAACACGTTTCGATAGAATTGTCTACGCTGGCTATTTCTTTTCCAGTGTACCAAGACTCACTTTGCTGAGCACTCTAGGTTGAAACCCTTTGTGAGCACCAAGTCAACCAAGCTTTGGTTTTGCAAATCGTAATGACTGATCAACTCCTCAGCTCTATCCTTGCGTCCAATTGGAGTCAGTCGCACGTTGGAATAAAAGGATTTGATAGGCAGAGGCCGGTATATCTTCGTGCAGCCTGGGGAGAGACGAAGGGAGAGGGTGAGGGTAGACATACGATCAATAGGAGAGAAAATCATAGAACGATTAATGGGCATATGTACAAAGGTTTGTTCTGTCATATTGTCTCGATAGTAAATAGTGCATCTATGATATGACACTATTCCTCGTCTCGTTTTTCTATACTTGTTCGAGCAGTCCAGAGTTTTTTTGTAATATAACTAAAGAGTCATACCGAATCTGCGCAATCTGCGCAGCCTTTAGAAGTAAGACTATACGATTGCTCGTGACAAAGAAAAGAATCTTTTTGGAATCACAGTCGATTAGAGTCGCTGCCACCCAAAAGCTTAACCGTAACACTACCGAAAAGTCATACACCAAACGTGCACATCTGCACAGCGTCGGCATTAGGTGAGTAAATGGCTAACGAGGCTATGCCGTAAGGTTACCGCTATGTGTGAGGCCCGCTGTCAGAAAACGTTTTCCTTAGTACTATGGAGTTCTGTAATACCCGTACCATTTACGCTCTCTACCCTGTCGAGCCGTCTGTGGATCCTTCGCAACTGCTTCGAAAGCTTCAAGCAGAACATCACTTGAGAGTTGTTCTCGTCGAGTATGGTATCGAACAGCCATTAGAGCAAACCTGCAATTAACCTATTTGGGTTAGACTGTAGCTATGAATACTGCCATTCAGGGGACAAATATTACGGGATTAGACACGATTCGCCGAATCATAATATCGCTATACAAAGGCCAACATCCTAAGCATTCTTATACAAATATTTAGATAAGGACTCTCGTTTTCATATTGCATAAAGAATTTTATAACTGTGTATAACGCACCTGGTGAAGGAACCCCTATGATAGATTGGGTAGTCGCTGTTATATTTCAAGTTTTGGCAACACCTTCCTTCATTCTGCTATGATGACACAGTTGGACGATTCTCTCCTTGACTTCCCAATGCGCCATCTTCGCTACTTCTTTCTTTTCAGTTTAATACTCACTCAGAGGAAGCAGCCTCCGAAGCCCAGCAGGATGGATTATCAAAAAACCCCAACGTCCAGTTCTCCGGTCTTCCCCCCTTTCTTTTTCCCTTTTCTCGGTGGCCCGCGCGAAGCACTGATCGAAGCACCCACTTTCTGGCAGATACACTTCAACCTACTCACAATGTCGGTAGACACCGTTGCAATCATCTCTCTCCTTTGGGGCTTTTTTATAAACACCCTCGCCTTTCTTGCTGCCCACACTTCGCTGGGAGCATATATTCATCACCTCTCTTCCCGCCTAATGGAGAAGTTGAGGGAAAGCGGTTTCAAATGGCCCGAAACTCCTGTGACCCCCGATCGCCAGGAGTTCTTTGATGCCCTGAAGCAAATTCGTGATCTGCAATTGCAGAACTTGAACGAGCAGAAGGTGACATCCGATCTCCTGCGTGAGTTAAGGGACCAAGGCACGAACCATCATCCAGAGATTCGCGATGTTCTGTCGGAGTCACTTTGTCGTTTGACAACTATCTCGGATGGTTCTCACGCAATTCGCGAAGCTCTGGACAACCACAGGCTTCGGAAGGATGTACAGGTGGCGCTGGCATCTGAGGTGGACAGAATTCTTCGAAATCTTCCACAATCGATTCGTGAGGCAGAAACCCGACCGACGTATCGGCACCGACGAGTGGCGTCGGCGTGAAGGACCACGAAGCGTCTTACTTCCGCATAGTGCAAAGACGAGGGCTTTAGAAATGTGTTGCAACCATTATAAATACTTGCGTGGCCAGCACGAATACTTGGGCCAAGTTGCTAGCTACCACTGAATGCATCTTCATCATGTTCTCGCTTCTGCAGAGATTGAAGCAGTTTGCCTTCCTTATAAGCCTCCAAGCACTGTTTTGCATTCTTAAGCACAGGTCCATCGGTCTTCACAAGACTAGGGCCCCCAATATTTGCGAAACAGCCAAGTACCATTGCGCTGAAAGGAAATAGTTGTGACCGCCTTTTTTGTCTGGAGTTTTACCCCTGGCCGTGTACTTTTCGTTGATTAGTAGAGAAGCGGATTTCAGACTTTTTCCCATGATGCTTTCACAGCGCCACGGGGTACCTCTCGAAAAGGTGGTTTGTACCTGCTGGCCATAGCATGCCATTTCGGGTCATGGGGTGAGCGACAAGTACCCAGCCCGTGATAAGTCTTTGCTGTGACCGTCCAGCCGCGCTCTGTCGACTCAACAGAAGTTTCCCAGTCGGTCTCACACCTTCGACACCACCCTATGTCATAGTGTCCAGTGTTATTTATCAGATTTGTAGGTAACCCTACGCGGACTCGGTAACCTCTACCCCCGCCGACTTCTAAGTGTCGGCATATAGCAATCCCTTTAGTATTTAAATAAGTTTGTAAGGTGCCTGCGTCGGCGCTTCCATGGAAAACTGTATGTATGCAAGATATGAACAGCTCACCGTGAACTACCTTGGCTGCCCACACTTCTTTCCAACATACCCCATGTTCCTTGTCCTGGTGATCGTATGTAAATGTTAATAAAGAAGCAGGAAGACCATGTTGCGGGCCGAGAATTTGGTAATTCGTGGCAAGGCGGGCAGTACACCAGTGGAAGTAGAAACGACTTAATCCGAAATTTATATGAAGTGGCCCATTCGATTTTGTAGTCATGTGACGGTGAAAATGCAAGTGTTGCCTAAGCAACGTGTAGGTAGTGAATTGTGCGAGCTTTTGACCAACAACGCAATAGCTAACGCCTACGATATCCTTTTCTATGCGGCAAAGTAGAATTTCCGTGGCGTTTGCATCGAGGCGGCGGGCCAAATCCTGAACATGTAAGATATAGTACATGCGTTTGCATGTCAGAGCAAGGCAAATAGCGTCAGCGGCTGTGAAGAGTTCAGCGATGAGGAGTATAAGTTCAGTTGGGAGGAGCCCTAAGCTTGGTGCCTGAGTTTCCTGTATTTCTTGGACCTCTTGTGACTCTTCGGCCTCTGGTGTTGTTGAGATCGCAGTTGGGGAATCATGGTTGGACGAAACAGATACCGTCGATCGGGCCTGATTGGGAGCGGTGCGCCCAAGAGCCCAGCGTAATAGCCAAGTACACACCATTGCCGGTGTACCTGAATGGTAGAAGTAATGTGGAGATTTAAAGGCAAGGTCATGGGTCCAGGTTCGAAGAGTGTGTGTTGTCATAGGCTGATAGGTAAGAAGAGTCTATCATTGGATGAATTAGCGCCTATGAATTTCTCACGGAACCTCATCCCTCTCACTAAGAGGTAGCCTAGGCGTCTAGTTAATCCGGCACCGGTGCATCGAGCTTGTAGGGCATTGCGCCTCCAACTCCTTACCCGAATTGACCCTTCGCTTTAGGTAGGCCAATTAGTGGTAACTGTATTGACATGTTGTAGCTCCAAGAGCTACGACTATAGCTACCGTCAGAAACGTAAAGGCATTTTATATAACGTGGCTCGTGCAGCGACACTAGTGTAGTGGTGATTACGACTCCAGCGCCGTGACAATGATGATGGAAATGGTCGGTGAGTGTTTCGAGTGTGGACTGCTGTATACCGTTCGAAAACGCTTTCTAGGCCCACCTAGCCAGGTGGTTTATGTGGTAAACGTTTCTGTGTCACAGGCTGCGGGGCAAGTGATCCCTTCTCGCCAGATAGGTAGGTCCTTGAAGCGCTGGATTAGTACTCAGGTGGGTGATTACTAGGGAATCCCCGGTGTTGCATGTTTTGTTTTTGTATATTTGTAATGCTGCCTACTACTTTTTCAACATAGTGCCTCTGCTGAAGATTGCTGCGACTCGGAGAAAATCCATTTGAAAGTGACCTTATGTGCCTCAGAGATGTCCTCGAGGCGACCAAACATACTTGGAAACCATGCGTCTTTCGAAATATCTTGGGCCACGTTGGAAATTGTTTGAGCAACCTCACTTGGAGTAAGTGAATCTGAAGGCTCCTTGAGATTGTCAGAGAGTGCCTCCCAATCGTGTAGTTGCTCTTGATGGTAACTTGCTACAAATGAAGTAATATTGCTATATCATTGGCTAGACCTATAAGCAGCCTTCTTCGTGCTTCATCGTTATTGTGACAACTCTTACATCAAACAGGGCTAGCATATTTAGATTTGGAATGAGTGATACCAGGATTAGAATACAGTGATACAAAATCTGATTATTGTGGGCGAATATGGGCCTTTGTATCCCAACTGCAATGGCTCCATTCTGGTTGTAGGTTTTACACGTGCTTTTTCGGCAAGAGCACATACAAAATGTGCCTATAAATCGAAAATGACGGTCTGCAGAGGCTTCTTTAGCGTGTCGGGTTGATTGGCGATTGGACTGGAAAGCCATGTTTAACAAAGCTTTGAGTCACGGTTATAGATCCGGTGCAGCAAGACATTGGATTTCTAATCAAGACATGAAACCGTCTTGGGCGGTAAGAGTATTAGCAACTATCTATATATTATTGTTCATCAACTTGAAGTCAAATCTTTTGCTCTACTTGCTGCGCTTGTAGATTTTGTTCAAGAATGTCTCGAAGACCGACTTCTTCAGGCCTTCGTTTTCATCGATCTTTGCGATCTGTGCCTTGATCTCGCCCACGACCTTCTCCTCATACGCGTGATACTTGCTCTTCAAGTCCAGCTCGTTGTAGAGCTCCTTGATCGTTGCGACATCGGCGTCGTCCTTCTTGCCGTAGTGGGTCTCGATGATCTTTCGTTGCTCAGGAGTAGTGATCTTCAGGGCCTGGTTGACGAGCCACGAACACTTGTTGTCCTGAATGTCTGTGCCATCCTTGCCAATGACGTCCTTGGTTCCATAGAAGCAATCGAGAAAGTCGTCCTGAGCCTGGAAATACTCGCCCATGGGGATCAAGATATCCTCAGCCTGCTTAAGGTTCTTAGGTGTGGCAATGTTCTGATAGTGCAGGGACAAAGCGACTGGTAGGTAGAAACTATAGTATGCGGTCTTATAGACAACAATGTGACTCCACTTCTCCAAGCTGTAGTTGTGTAGGTTGGACTTCCCCTCGGGGGCCGTGAGCAAGTCGCAGAGCTGGCCGACCTCGGTCTGCCATGCTGTCTCGTGGAACAACTCGACCATGTCGATGTAAGCAGGGTGTGCCTTAAAGTACTGCTTCAACAAAAGGTAGATAACAGACTCAAGCATGAAAGCATCGTTGATGGCGACCATGCCGACACCCTCCTGACGGTACCAACAAGGCTCACCACGGCGGGTGATACTACTATCCATGATATCGTCAGAAACGAGGAAGAAGGCTTGAAGGAGCTCAATCATCCAGCCAAGTGTTGCGGTCGAGAAGTACTCTTCCTGAGTAAGTTCTCTTCCAAAAAGCTGCTCAGTAGAATCAGGCACGGACATGCCTCTGTTACACTTTCCACCCAGGGTGTTGGCCCTCACAGACTATACTCATGTTAGAAAGCTGACCGTGAAAAAGCGCAAGCGGCAGAGGTTAATGCTAATTTGATTCAAGAGTGAACTCAATCTAAGCCATACACTTGTCTTGCCCCTGAAGGAGCATAGGACAAGGGGTCAATAAGGAAGAGTGACTACTTACTCTCTCAAAATACGTGAGATACTCCTCAGGCAGTTTGTACTTCTTGGCATGGCCAAGAATTTGCTCGATGAGAGTGTCCTTGAAGACATTCTCAAACTTCTCATAAGCCAACTGCTTGGCTGACTTGTCCTGGGGCGAGGCCATGATGCGAATAGGTCGTTGAAATGCTATCTCAGAAATGCAGTGACGAGCAAAGAATGATGCAGAAGCCAGTTGAACCTGGATTGTACGGGACGAGGGCGTAACTGCCTAGCGGGGTTGCTCAGAGGTAGGCGGCAAGTACAGAAAGCTTTCAAGCTTTCAAGAGAAGTGAAAAGCGCAACGTGTAACGACGCGAGTGAACTGAGCTCAACTTTGCAGCTGAATACCCCTCAAGCGGTCCAGATATTATTTGCTGCTGCTGTTGTTGACCAGGTACACAATTCACAAGATTTGATTGAGATCAAGGGGTTTTATTGGCGCTAAAACCTATCAAGGTTAGCGTAAATTACATGTCGTTATTGGACTTCACCGGCCCCGCTCTAATGTGAACCTGGGCCACTAGAACCGATTTTGTTCCTTGACCTACCCACCTGCAAGACGGGGGAGATCAACTGTTCTGGATAAATACTTATATATATTAAATACCTAAACACTCAGGCTCGTCTTGGTGTTCCAATTTCACTCCGTTTGTCACAAAATAGTACTTCAGCCTGTGGTGCAAGTGTTGTAGGTTAGCGGTCATGATTTGATTCGATCTGATTCGATCGTCAGGGAAGCCGTGGGCGGCAGCCTTGCTTCGACCCAATCCCACGGTACTGTTTCAGTGGTTCTCTGGAATTGAAACACTGTGAGAGATTTGGAACCAAAGGGGAGACTTCGTCTTGCTGTGAGTTGGAGAAACCTACTTCGAAGTGACAAGGATTACCCGTATATATACACACTGGGAAGCTAGGTAGAATCGCTGACCTCGCATGTCCTCATAACTAAGCTATGAAGGCTGGATGCAACAGTGTATCCTTCCAGCTTCGAACCAAAAAGAAAAAAAAGTCTTTTACATGAATTCAGGCACCAGTGGCACTGCTGGTGTTGTTGAGGGCTAATGACTAGTTTTATTTCGAGACCTAAATGTATTTTATTTACCAATTACGTCACTCGCTGTGATTAAGATGTTACATCGTTCATATATCACAGAACAATTTTTACTATAGAAAAATTCATAGCAAAGCAACCCTTCCAAGCCTCTAATTTACGAACGGTTAATACAAGCACCAAGGGCCACATCAGCATAGAAACCTCTTAGTATCCACTCTCAACAGTCTTGGGAGAAGAGTATAGTACAAAGGTGCGTTGCTCGCCAGCCTGAGAGTTAGCCACGCGAATGTTAAGGAAAGAAGAGAGAAAATAATTACCCAACAGCTCTTATTAAATCGATCGTAACTGTCCCCATATCCAGCAGTGATGGTAAGGAGCCCCGGGGCAGACAGACAGACCAGACGAGCACTGAATGCAGTCAGGAGAAAGCACATTTAAGGGTAGTTCAGCTACCTTGTAAATGTCATTTTAATAGTGAAGACCCCACCGTCCTGACATAACTACCACCCGTGTGACTGTTTGTGATCTAGATTTACGGTGGCACCGGCGACCAGAGACATAAATCTGCCAATATCGAATGGGTACGAGGCCATAAGGGACATGCGGCAATGGCGGCGTCGAGGCCTACCGAGGTCGCCGAGATCATCCTTGACGGCTGCAGCCGCGTCTGCCTCCTGGATGTCCCAAGCCTTTTGTCAAGCACGCCGCCATATAGATTGGGAGGAAGACGTGACACTACCGCAACGCAGAGGCACAAATGAACGCGCCTGCCTTTGCGCGAGAAGGTGACGCTGAACCAGTGGTTCATGGATGCCATATGCTGCCCGCCCGTCAGAAAGAGGAAGACTGAAAATGGCCCGGCGTCAAAGTTATATGGAGCAAATAGCAGGGCATCACGTCATGAGTTATGCTAAGTTGCTATTTAGCTGCTCGACTATGAAATTCAGATGTCAAATCGCACTGTCGGGTTCGCACCTTCATAGCGCATTACGGGCACAATTATGTTTCCTGTCTGAGAATTTGAGTATCAACATAAAAACGAAGGACACATCTTCTGTTGTTTGAATGGCTCGTCGGTCTGATGCGTTTCTCACTCATATGCAACTGAACATAGGCTCATATGCGATTGCGTTAGTTTAAGTTTGTAAAGGCCTTGTACATACTACTCCTGGGGTTGTTTTATGAGTAATCCTCTCGCTTAGACCTGGTCAACGCTAAATCACCCTGAAGAACGACTTTTTCTATTTTTGTGGCTACTCTCTACTAAAGTAATAGTATCTTACGGTGGTGTTATCAGTTCTGTCCGGAAAGCTCGCACTTCGTGTCGTGGACAAGCTTTCATTAGACGTCTGCGAACTTGAGGCTCTTATACTTCAGGGCCCATTCCTCTTTATTCTGACAGATCGAAACGCCGCCGGATTCCTGTTTTGCATTAACAAATGCCTCCGTAATTTGCGAGTAGAACTACTTGAAGTGGCCAGGAGATTGGAGATTAGTGTTGTGATTTGGGCGCCCGGGAGCCCATGATGGTGGTACGGCCTTAAGCCTAGAGCTGGGAAAGAATATGTGAACTACAAGTTAATCTGGTCCCAGGGCGTAATACGTGTAGCGTAATACAGACTATAAATGGTCACCCCTATAAGGTGTTGCTTATGTAAGCGCAAAATATGTTGCTGATCACTGGAAAGACGACTTTATTCGGTCTCTGCTCTGGAAAGTAATTGGATCTAGTCATGCTGAATGTTAGGCAGGGCTATTGTCCTCCTTCGTGGTCTTGGGCATCTGCGTCGGGTCAAGCCAGGTTCAGCGGGCCATGCCCTCTAAAGTTCCACCTACAAAGGCTGTCAGATTCGTGGTACCGTGTCAAGATGAGCGGAATAAATCCTCGGGGTTCTGTCAAGGGGGGTTGGGTCTCCATCAACGCGCCTTTACTTGAAGTCACGTACAAAAGAGCAGGTTTAGGGCACGATTCTTGGTCAGTATGCTCGACGGTGAGCATCTTCTGCTTGCAACTAATGGCCACTCAGTATTTGATCTTGACACATACCTCGACATAGGGAATAGTGAAAGCAGGGTGTGTTCTGTAGTTTTTTACAGGAACCGCAAACCACGGTCCTTACGAGACATGATTGTTGGAGGGGTGGAATGGACTTCTGGCCAGAATGGAAGACGATTCGACGCATGAAAGGGATCATTCATTCTGGAGATGCCGGCTTCGGTCTGCCACCCCTTGAACACAAAGAGAAAACTTTGGTAATGTTCAATAGGAATAACCTACGAATCTATGTGAACAACCGACCGAAATTCTCAGAACCAGTCCTTAATCTATGACGAGAGCTAAAATACCACTTTACTGTGTACCGGGTCTGGCTTCCCCAGATCTGCAGTCTTGATGTAGTGGACCACGCTCTTTGACAAGCATCGGCAGCAATTCCGATGCGGAGCAAAGGTTCTTATTGGGGCCGAGGGGTGGATCTAACGTCAGATTGCTACAAACGGGACCTGGGCAGCGCGGCGCATGCACTTTTTAGTGGGCTTAGGTATGAGAGAAGCGCGTTGTTGGAGGGGGTCCCAAAGAGCTGAGCTTAAGAGCTTGACAACCGTGATCCGTAGAGCAAAAGCACTTACTGTCAACAAAGCTCCAAGTTAGATGTTACAATATACCGTCTCGTGCATGGCAATGAATCAGACCAACGCAACCTCTCAAAATCCAGTGTGACCTGTCCGAGTGTCTCCGTGTTCAATTGATTGCACTTAAGACACGCATGTGTTACTGCGCCCACCGACACTGACCGCGTTTCCTCAACGTTTACATTCTCACGGCGGCCGTCGAGACTCTCTGGACGAACCCCGATGTACCCATCAGCCTCAATACCCGGCAAGACATGGCTCTGAACGATCGAGAAACCTCCCAGCTCCGAAACGCTCTCCAAGAGGCGGTCATCAAATGCTCAGAAAGATGTCTTTACCAGTCATCCAAGTGGTGCGTCTGACCCGTTCCCAGCGCATTTCTATTAGACCTCTAGCTGAATCCGTCCTTTCACTCCAGGGCTGCCGAGCTCCTCAACGCGATCCCGGAGCCAGAGATAGACCTTGACAGTTCACAGCTTTCCGACACCGGTGCCTACGCGCCAGCTATCTTGGCCCAGAATGCAGACCCGGAGGAAGCACTGTTGGAGGCGAAAGAGATCAACAAATACCTGCTGGCAAAATCCTATTTCGAGTGTCGCGAGTTCGATCGCTGCGCAGCCGTCTTTCTCCCAGAGTCCATGCTTTCCGGCATCGTTGCCTCAAAGGAGCCCAACGCGGCATCCAAGGGCAAGGGCAAGGCAAAGGCAAAGGCGACAAAGGCAACGCCCACAAGTTCGAGAACCACAAGCACCCCAAGCCTACCTCAGATCAGCCAGAGGAGCTTGTTCCTTGCCTTGTATGCCAAATACATGTCGGGCGAGAAGCGAAAAGACGAGGATTCCGAAATTGTTATGGGCCCGCAGGATCTCGGCACTTCCGTCAACAAGCAGTTACTGACCATTGGCCGCTATCTGGAGGCTTGGTTCGATCAACGGAAAGACGAGGACGGTGAGGATGTCGATAGCCAGGGATGGCTGGAATACCTGTAAGTTGCCCCGAGTTTGGCCGCTACGCTCCGTCTGACTGGCGATAGCTATGGTATGGTCCTTGCAAAGCAAAAGAATGACGACCTAGCCATCTACTGGCTAGTGCGCAGTGTTCATCTCTTTCCAATGAACTGGGGATGCTGGCTCGAGATGACATGTCTAATATCTCGAATCGAGGATGTAAGTCTCTTTCATCCGGACGGAGAAGGCAGCATGACAACTAACACAACCCAGTTGAATCGCCTGATGCAGCGATTACCAGAAAACATCGTCTCTTTCATGTTCCACATCCACGCGAGTCTGGAGCTATATCAGCATGATGGAAACCTTGCCAATTCGCTGGACCAGCTTCTGACCATCTTTCCTACGTCTTCGTTCCTACTAACATGCGATGCACTTCTTTCATACCACGCCAAGGATTTTGTAGCCGCCGAGCAAGCATTTAGTCGGCTGCTGTCGCTCCATCCGCATCGCCTGGACTCCTTGGATCACTATTCCAACATTCTTTACGTCATGAACTCGCGCCCCAAGCTTGCATTTCTTGCGCATTTGTGTTCAAGCATTGACAAATTCAGACCCGAATCATGTGTGGTTGTCGGTAATTATTACTCGCTTCTATCGTTGCATGAGAAAGCAGTACAGTACTTTCGCCGTGCTCTAACCTTGGATCGTTCTTGCTTGTCCGCTTGGACTTTGATGGGTCATGAATACGTTGAGCTCAAGAATACTCATGCTGCCATCGAATCGTACCGACGTGCGGTTGATGTCAACAGGCGTGACTACCGAGCATGGTATGGTCTCGGGCAGACATACGAAGTGCTGGAAATGCATGCGTATGCGCTTTGGTACTACAAGAAGGCTGCGGGCTTACGACCTTGGGATGGCAAGATGTGGATGGCCGTCGGCTCGTGCCTACAACGAATGAACCGGAATCTCGACGGCATCAAAGCTCTGAAACGAGCTTTGCTAGCTGAGAGTTACTACGATACAGGGAGCAGTTTCGGAAGCGCCGGCAGTGCAGCTGGCGGCCTGCGAGGCGCACACATGGATCCAGATATCCTGCTACAGATCGCTACCATGTACGAGGCCCTGGACGAGGAAGAAGATGCAAAGGCCTATATGGAACTGTGCGTAGCACAAGAGGATGGATCAGCGGAAGGAAATGTTGGTGAAAGCATCACTATACATAACGACGATGGCTCAGACGAGGAGGGCGAGCGTCCAAAACCACTCGGGGACGGTAGCGGAAGGGAGGGGACCGGTGTCACACAGGCGACCAGCAAGGCCAGAATGTGGCTTGCCCGATTCGCAATGCGCAATGAAGATTACGATTCCGCGAGTAGATTGGCAAACGAGCTTTGTCAAGATGGCGTCGAAGTCGAAGAGGCCAAAGCACTGATACGGGAGGTGCGGTCGAGGACGGACGCTGGGAGGAATTCTCGGCCTGCTCTTGCTAGCGAGTTTAGTGACGACCCTTGACGAGTTCATGATATTCATACATTCACATGCAGGCATGGCATAGGCTGCGCGCAACAGCCCCAGACGGAGAAAATGGCATTTACAGTATGGCGTTCGCATAGAACAGCATCGGCTGGCTGGGTTATGAGCGGGGGCATCCCTGGTGTCGACTAGGCCAGTCAAGAATTGACTATTGAATTTTGAGCTTGTCGTCTTCGTTGGAAGTGATAACCTAGAACTCTGTCACTTTCTTGGCGCCGTATTCGCTAAGTCAGTCCGACTACTCAAGAACAACGTGACTCGCTGGTTTTGCAATGGGAGAAGTACGGGCGCTCCATGTCAGATGCCCCATGGATCCCACCCCCGGCTTTGCCTAGTTTCTCGTTTGCGATCAGATCCAGCAACGCCATCAACTCGTGTCAATTCCTCATTTTGGTGACGCCAGCCAGACCCCCGGATAACAATGGGCAAGCCATCGTCACGACAGGAAACTTCCAGTCGAGTTACAAATCGTGAGATCCACAGAGTCGACTGCCACCTGCCCATTATATCCCATGCTGTTCCGCTAGTTTCGTGCTCGATAGTTAGTTGTACTATGTGGAGAGTACATGCCCGACAACTGCCAGAGTCAGTCCAAGCATAGCATCTAAAAGCCCCCAATTAGAATTCAACGTCCGCGAACTATTGTGTGCACCGAACTCTTGTGTGCACCGTCTGGGGGACGGGATACGAAGTTCACACTTCCAATGGGCGCCCCGTCTCACCACCCGCCAACGCCAAGACCGCTTCGTCCACATCCGCGACTATCGTGAGTAACAAACAGCTCGTAACAATCTGGCTCGGTAACAAAAACTATTTGGGCCATGCAGCCCCAATTCCTCTCTCGACTAGCTCAAGCTTCAAAGCTCACACGCCAGCCCAAACAACCAGCTGGTGCCTTTTTCTTTTCTTTTTTTTTTCCCCTTTTCTTCCCACCCCATCCCAACCTCCCCTCGCGTGATGATACCCTGATGTTCCCGCTCTCACCCAACCCACGAAAGAACGCACACACGCTATCTCGACCCCTGTCACTGTAGGCACGAATGATCTCTCCCCCGTTAGCCCCACCATCGATTTGAATACGAGCTGACATCCCTGGGGGGTTGCGACCTTACCCTGCATGTCAAAAGAAGCTTATTCGTAGTCGCTGATTGCCGAGCTTATATTGCTGATAAGGAAATGCCTCTGCGTGTAAGCGAACCATAGAGAGGTTTGCGGCATTTCGAATGTTTTGGTAGTTTGGTGATCGGCCTGCTGATCGCACGTACCCGCAGTCGATATTGGGACTACATTGCAGCATTGCACCTGGCATGACATTGCGAACCACAACACTAACAAGTGAATACGAGGAAAACAAAGAACTCAGGTGAGCAAGTATCAAAAATTACTTTATTAGCTAGCCGCCTTGCGACGCTTGCGATCAGGCTATATAGGGAGCGTATTATGGCAATAGCCTGATTAGTTGGTAGTGTATGTCCGCTGATTTCCATACGCATGAGCTTAACTCCGGAGTGCTCCATGCCCCCATGCCCCATGCTCCATGCTCCTCGTAAGATCCATCAAATGGTATCATAGTCTAATGCGTTGCGCCAGGTCGCTTCCTTGGTCCAAATGATCGTGTAGAAGTTGTCGTAAAATAATGTCGTCCAAATGTCATCGTCTCTCTCAAAAATGTCAAAATCGTCGTTCATGTTCCATGTGTCCCATGAACTCGTTGCCTCCTGTAAAAATCTCAACCGTGCGGGCGGACCTAGACAGCAAGGCGTCTGGCCTACAAAGCCATTACCGCCAGTCCAGCCGCAAGAAGGGCACCGACCGGTCCAACTTTACCAGCAGCGGCAGTAGGAACAGTGGCTGGGTGCGAGGTAGTAGGCCCGACAGGAGTCTTGGATGGAGCACCACTGCTGGTGGCAGAGGCTAGAGTGGTTGACTTGCTGCTGGTGATGGGAATGATCCCAGAAATGTAAGTCGTAGGCGAAGGCGTGTAAGTGATCACTGTGGTACCGTTGCCGTAGGTAGGATAAATCTTAGTGGTCGGACCAGTCGGCTTGGGGCCTGGACCACCAGTTCCAGTGTAGCCAGTTCCAGTTCCTGGATAGTGAGTCTCCTCAGGGCATTCCTCCGAGATTGTTGTCGTGACAGGAGGAGGCTGCGTGACGGAGACGGTACAGGGACAGTCTGTGGCATCGTAAGTGTCTTGTTCGGAGATCTACAAAGCGTGTTGAGACTTACTTGTGATGGTCAAGGTGGTCTCCCGGGTGGCAGTGTACGTGACATTAGAAAGCACAAAGGTAGTAGGAGACTATACGACGTTAGCTTGCTGCTCGAAGGATACTGAGGAACATGCTGACGTACAGGACAGTAGGTGGTGTATGCAGTGGTCACGACAGTCGTCCAGTGAGTGCCTGTCTCTCCCCATGCATTCGCAACAGCGAACAAGCCCGCAACGGGCGCCAGGGTTTGGCTCAGCTTCATGTTGGTTCAAGTCGATGATGGAGCGAGTGTGTGTCAAGCGAATGACTGTCGTGTTACAAACGATTGTGATGTGGCTTAAGTCCTTGACGGATATGAAAATGCAGATGTTTCTTTTGTCTGGTATCTTTCCAGAGGAGGAGAGATATATCTATTTATTTTTTTCTGCTTTGCCCTCAACAGCCATACAGCTTCAGGGCAGGTGGGTAGATAGCGGTTGCCCACCCCAGCAACAAATACTGGCAGTCGGCGCACATGGTACTTTCCATACGGGCTTGGACTGTGACGTGACATGCGGCTCGTACTGTAAGTTGTAACCAGATGCAGTCATCCTGGTTTAGCCCGGTAGGCCCGACTTTCTCAATGGTCTATTGATTACACCCTGGTCACAATTCTCTCCCCTGGTAACAAGCGGGGTGGAGACATAGAATCCCGGTGATAGGTGGCATGGACTCGACCATACTCGACCATACTCAATTGCAGGCGGATATCTTTGGTTGGGCCTATCAAAGTATGCACGTTACTTGTTGCGAAAGCAACAGACTGCAAATGAGACATGAACAACACATCTGGTATTGTGTGACAACCCAGAAGGGGAAGTCGCCGCTCGATTGTGTCTTGTCTTGTGCTTACATGAAAAAAACGAAACCTGGTTGAGACACAAATACGAGGTGAGCTGATGGGCTTATTCATCATCGCTTGAAAAATGAATACGGTCGTTTGCAAGAGGACCATGCTTGCCAAACCCTGGACCATCAAGGAAGCCAGACCTCGTCTGAGTTCTGTAAATAGTCTGAGCCGAGGAAGGCGTTGCTTGCTAGGCCAGGTTAGTGTGACGCTGATGGGATGGTCTTCATGTTAGTCAGTGCCGGTGTGATTTTGACTACTCACTCTATCGGGCACCCATTAGTAGCATACAGATTAGAAAACCACAAGCTGCTGTAATTCAGGAGGCGGCGGATCTAGGATCACCAAAATGTGCATTATCAGCACTATATACGATAGTATAGATAGATGGTTTAGGTGTGCAGGTGATAGTAGGACTTAAGGCAACTGTGCCAATTTTTGGCTCTTGCTTTTTTTGCTTGTCATGCTCTTGCCGTCCCTCTTTCTAAACAAGGTCGCTGAAGAAGACGCGGGTTTGTAAAACGGGTCAGCAAACATGGGAGCGACAGATTGTCTACAATTGATTGAGCTGGGTTTCGCTAGTGAATATCATGGTAAAATGTGTGCGAGAAAGAGGAAGGAAAATTTTTTTTTTTGAATTGCCAAGCTTTGCATGTTCCCTTCGGTATGTTTTGCATTCTCGCTCAGCCCGTGTGGCTCTGCTATGTTAGCCGCTGGAACGCCTTGGGAGCGGTAGTCGCTATGTGTGCACCTGCGCCTGACGCATGAAGTGGGGCGCGGTGTCTGGCTCGCTACTATGGAGCAAGTTAATTATTAGTGTGCTATGTGTCTGAGAGATCTCACAGTCACATGACCTTGCCATGTTTCTACCTGGCCCGTGCCACAATTGTATGGGGCACCGAATTTAGGGTTGGCCACAATTCTCCAATCCCCGAAAATTCTCGCTTGAAGCAGCTCTTGCCTTTGAACACAACGGACGCCCAACGACGACCAACTTCGACGACTGCTAACGACATCAACAGCAAGCAGCAACAATGGCAGTTACCGGCAAGAACTATGGCGTCGGCGCCAAGCGAAGCACTCCTCTCGCCAACAAGAAGAAGACCGGCTCGATGAAGGGACACTTGAGCAAGCGTACCGCTTTCGTCCGCGGTATCGTCACAGAGGTTGCTGGGTGGGTACTTGTCTGACGATGAACACTTGGAACCAACGCTCATATCTCTCCCAGTCTCGCTCCCTACGAGCGCCGCGTCGTTGAACTGCTCCGCAACAGCAGAGACAAGCGCGCAAGAAAGCTCGCCAAGAAGAGGGTATAGCCGCCCTTCTCAACCCATCATGTCGAAGCATTGCACTAACCACCATCTTCTCGCAGCTCGGTACTTTCGGACGTGCCAAGGCCAAGGTCGAGCAGCTTCAGACCGTTATTGCTGAGGCCCGCCGTGCTGGTCACTAAACAACCTGTACATCTGGTTTCTTTGGCGTAGGGGCATAGGAAAGGGCACACGGACAAGAATTCGGCAGCATCAAACAGGACTGCGTTTTCGGCGACCCGACTATCGACTATCTTTTTGAAAAGTCGGAACGGCACTTAAAAAATGGCATCTAAGGCGGCTGGTTGATAGCTGCGGTCATTACGATATTTCACCGTAATTGATGTCAAAGCCTTTCCTCCAACCACTGGCACACGGCGTAGCTGAGGAAGAAATGAAGCATTTTGCATTGATGACTGATTACCTTGCGTGCCCTCACGCGAGTGAGCATGAGAACATGGAATGAGGTGCACACGAACGGGTGAATTAAGCTCTGGTTTTTTCCAATGGACCCAAAGGCATACGGTGATGACTTCCCATTTGGTTCCTTGTATCATTCCTGGAATGGTCTATCGCACGTTTTGACCGTGTGAGGGTTGTGATCTCTATCATGGTCTTCGTCTGTTGTTCCGCTGAGATTTACAGTCTGGAGCCTGTACCTGTGCCATGAACATTCTTTTTTGTTGTTCGTCGTCGTATCATCAGTGTGACAATAACCCACTGTTTCGCCATCCTGGTTCTTGTCTCCAAGCAACGCCAGGAACTCCACGATGCAACCCTCTGGTCGTTCGTCCCGCCAGTCCTTAGCAAGCCAAATGTGGCCGAGCACTGAGTGCGCCTCATCTCTGGTGAGCATCGTCGCCAAGTGAAGTCAGATCCGTTGGACGACTACTAGCTGGCCAGCCGCGGAGGTGGTGGCAGTCGCGCCAGTCTTCATCACGCTCAATTTTGGCATGTAAATGCTGACGCCATCTAATAATATATTGTCTTGGGCTGAGCAATATGTGGACGTTGGTTACATCTTACAGTCTATACCAATTAAACCTCCAGTGAATGTATGTTGCTCCATAGGACTCTTAGGGATGACGTCCGCCCAAGGTCCATCTTTTGTGTCTCCCTGTAACATTGCAAACATGCCCCCGTTGTCCGTGGGAAGGCCAAAGTTGCGCTTACTAACAGTACGGAGCAGATCTACGGGTTGAAGTAGGAAACTCCTTGCCTCTAGCACCTGAGCGTCTACCTCTTGCGTTGCGGGTCGCTGCAATCGCCATGCTGTGGCCATGAAATTTATGGGCAGATAGATACCGCCAGTGACGAGCCCGAGCCGCGCCATCAGCGTGAACCCGACATATGAGAATGCCTGCTTTGCGGAACCAGTCTACCCCGCGACGTCCAGACCAGGATCCCTGATCCTCGCCTCCTCCTCCTCCGTCTCCCCCTCCTTGTCGGGCTCGTACACGTATCCCAGCTCCTCGAGCGTCCTGGCCTTCTTGCCCCCCTTCTCGAACTTCATCTTCGCCTGCGCGTACAGCCCCCTCTGCCAGAACATCTCCGGACCCCACCGCGGCGGCAGCTTCCCCCTCGCCGAGTCCCTGACCAGCCAGTCGTGCATCTCGTTGATGTACTCGGCGTCCCCGAGCGGCGGGAAGACGTGGTACTTGCCCTGCTTCCTCTCCTTCGCCTCCCTCCGCTCCCACTCCAGCATCTCCCGCGCCGGGGGCAGCGGCAGCTCGTTCGCCCACGCCCGCGCCAGGACGGCCGCCTGCGCCTCGGAGAACGGGAAGGGGATGACCTTGATCGGCAGGGCCAGGAACGCGAGGGTGGGGTGCCGGATGTGGAGGAAGTGCTTGTAGAGCCCGTGGACCTTGCGGCCGTCCGTGACGATCTTCTCGCCCTCGCCCGCCTCTCCCTCTCCCTTCAGCTCCGCGTCCCGGAAGAACGGGAACGTGTACAGGTAGCCGGTGCAGAAGAGCACGGCGTCGAGATCCGCGACCTGTCTCCCGTCCTTGAGCTGCACGCCGCGCCGCTCGGGCAGGAAGTGCGATATCTCGGCCACCTCCTCGAAGCCGACGTGCTCCCTGACATCCTCGGGCGTGCCGGTCTGCGCGGACACGAGCAGCGGCTGCCGGCACACCTTCGTGATCTGGCTGGCGATGTCGAGGCCCGAGGCCGAGTTGCCCACGAGCAGGACCTTCTTCCCCTCGTAGCTCCGGGGCGTCCTGTACGTCTTGGCGTGCGAGACCAGCCCCGGGTGCGCGCGGTCGAACTCCCGGATCCCCGACAGGTCCGGCACATATGTCGTGCTGTAGTGCCCGCTCCCCACCACGACGGCGTCGTACGTCGCCGTCTCCTCGCGCCCCGTCGGGAGGTCCCGGGACGTCACGTCCCACTGGTCCTTCTCTCGCCCGCCACCGCCGTCGATCGCGACCTTCCGTAGCTTGATGTCCAGCACGCTGGTCGAGAATCGGATCAGATGCCGCACCTCGGCTGCGTACTCGACCAGATACCGCTGCACGACCTCGCGCTCCGGGAAGATGCGCAGGTCGGCGTCCTGCTCCACGGTGCGTCCCCTATCATCCGTGAAGGGCAGATCCGAGAACTGCATCAGCGTGTGCGGGATGTTGGTGTGGAGCCTCTCATACATGGGGCTCGGGAAGATGGGCCTCCCATCTCCCGCCTCCCCGTCTGTGAGCGGCGGGTCTGGAGGGCTCAGCGGGGAGGTCTGCGGGATGGGCGTTGCATGTGCTGGCGATGCGGAGTACAGCCATACGCCTCCGACCTGGGGCTGTTGCTCGTAGATTGTTATCCTCTTGAAGTGTGAAGAGCCGGTTGCCGGTGTTGATGAGGGCTGCGCGAGGAGATATTTGGCAGCTGCGAGACCACTGGGCCCGGCGCCGATGATGGCGACGGACTCCACGTCGAATGGCCCCGGGATGTCGCTATTTATCGAACCCATGGCTCCTAGTGCCGAATGCGAGAGATGCGGTGGCTGGTATTTCAGAGCCCGTGGAGATAGCGATGAGATGTGCCGGGGAAGCACGGGTATAAAAATGTTGGAGTATCATGTGAATATGTTTCTACACATCTGATGGTCGGGGCTCGGCCCGACTTGCATCGTAAGATAGTGGAGAAATGCTAAGGGAGCCAGATGCTTGCGCGATATGATGCCATCGCCGGATCGGGTGGAGCACCGGACTTGGATCGGCATCAACCGGCGCGGCCGTCGGGTCGTGTCACGCAGACCATGCCAAAGCAGTCAGCAGCAGCAAGATAGCAGGAAAATGATAAGACGAGGGCGGCGGCGCCACTCTCGGTGATTGTGTACATTTATGCACATCTTTAGACACGCGACCAAAACGGCCGCTTTTGGCTATTACAAAACTTTATGTATGCGCGCTCGACAATGCCAGTCATGCAAATGCCAATACTCATCCAAACTATGGACATTGAATACGCCTTTCGTTCCATGCTAGCCAATACACAACGCCATGGAAATGCAAATTCGAGGAAGGCATGCTGCACAACTATGCAACCTAGTTTTGCCATCGTTTCCAAAATTTCCATCCGGGCCTTGACTCTCCTCGTAATTCTCGTTTCGTGACTTGGTCCCGTCCGTGCATTCTCCAGAAGTACACAGGAATACCCACCAAGACAAAAGCGACGACGATCAATGTCTTCAGAGGCTGTGCGAAAACAGCTCTGCTAAGCAAAAATAAGCTCACGCAGCAGAATATGATAGGCGTCGTAATCCAGGTCTTGTACGGTCGTTCCAAGTTTGGCTCCTTGACACGAAGAATGATGAGCCCCAGGACGGTCAAAAAGTAAAACGTATAGCCGGCGACTCCATAAAAGGTGATGAGCTCGCCAAATTCGCCCACAGCGATGTAGGCGACAGAAAGAAGTCCATTCAAGACAATCGCATTCACAGGTGTAAAGAACAGACCAGTGTCGTCATCGCCAATCATGTTATGCAAGCGCTTCATGAACCAGTTCCTCGTTCTTGTCGACGACAAACCAGGCTCCGTCGATCTTACACCGATACGTCCAAAGAGGGCAGGGAAATAGCCTTCCTTGCCAGCTACGTAGACAAGACGGCTGCTGGTAAAGGTTTGCGAGTTGAGCGCGCCGAAACATGAAGCGCTTACGATGATGGAGAGAATAAGGGCGCCAATGGGACCAAAGACCTTGCCTCCGAAGGCCACAGCCACCGTGTTTGTCACGTTGATGGTGGAAATCGGCAAGACAAAAAAGTAAGCAACATTGGCCAATACGTAGCTCGCAATAACCAGCGGCATTGCCGTGTGGATAACACGGGGAAGATCACGCCCAGGATTGCGGAATTCTCCTACAACGTAGTTGGTCTATCATTGAGATTAGCGCGGATGGTTTCCCAGTTCCATGTCAGAGGTGACTCACGTTGTCCCACCCATCGTATGCCCATAAGCCTGCGTAGATTGCGACCGCCCACTTGCTAACGTCTGTGGTGGTTCCCTCGAACCACGAGTGGGTCTTCCAATCCTCGTTGGCAGTTCCAGTGACAGAAAAGCCGGTGAGAGCCACTACTATTCCAACAATAGTGACGCCAATAAGGGCAAAGAATTTGAGGAACATGAGCATATCGTTGAGCCGGGTACCCAGGCGGGTCGACAGGGCATTGATGAAGGTGACGGCAAAGAGTCCGACGAGGGCGACGCCCTTGTTGACCCAGGGGTTTATGGTCTCGGCCTCGGCCCCAATGGCAGCCCGCACCAAGTACTCACCCATGATAATGGCAATGATGGCAGCGCTTCCAGGCCTTAGCACCAGAACAGCAACCCATGTGAAGAGGAAGCCGGAGAGCTCCCCCATGATCTTGCTCAGATATGCCTGTGGCCCTCCGTTCAGTGGGATAGCACCACCCAGCTCGGCATAGCTCGCTGCTCCAGTCCAGGCAAGAACACCAGCTATGACCCATACGATGAGGGCTGCTCCCGGGGACCCAACATTTGTATTGACTTGGCTCGGGGACGAGAAGATGCCGGAGCCAATAATCAGACCCACGATCAAGCTCAGACCGTTCATATATGTGAGAGTCTTGTGTTTTTCAAGCGATGCTCCTCCCAAGCCGCCAGCCTGTCGCGCTGCTGAAGTGGGCGCTCCCAGGGGCGCATAACCATTGCCTGCCGAGGAAGACAGGGGGAATAGGTTTGCGGCATAGTCGAAGTTAGAGGCGTTCGAGTAGGTGCGGCCATGTCCATAGCCGCCACCGGGCCTCACAGCAGGGTTATTGTCGTCGAGTGGGTCGTCCTGTTCGAGGGAGAGCTTTCTCGAAGATGATATCGAGGGTCGCGAGTCGGTGTCTGAGTAGGTGTCGATTCCTCCTTGACTCGAAGATGCCAGCGACGCCAGTTCGAGGGAGTCCCGCGCGCTGGGTTGAAGACCAGAGGAGTAGAGAGCTGGCATTGTCGCAAACCAGATCTGCGTCGCCGCAGACACAGACTTCTTCTTGGATTATCTCTGCCAGGTATTGAACTTCGTTGCAGCCTACGCCATGTGCTCGAAGGTTAAGGCTGGTCACAGTTCAGAGCCGGTTGGGAAGAGAAGCGCAGCGGCCGCCAGGGAAAATTGGTAGTGGTTACGATGCAAATTGTATGTACGGTAGACTGTGTAGCGGCTAAGCGTTCGAATAGGTTGTATTAAGTGGTGGTGGGTCCCGTCGTTATAAGCCGCGGGTCGTGCAAGTATGGGACTGGAATCGTGTTATGTCGTTAAAGGATTCGCGCAAGGAAATATGTACGGTTGCAGGGAATTCACAAGTCAGTGGACAATGGCCATTATGCTTGGTGTTTCTTGTTTGATGCCAGCGTTGAGCTCGAGGCTCCTTTCTAACCCAGCGGGAAAAGCGCCCCGTGCCCATTGGCTAACTTATCTAGGGGGTAGTTTCGGCTCTTGCAATTCGACCCCCTGATCGCTTGTCTATTTCGCATGCCACCTTCCAAGGATGAGGACTCGAAGGGCTGATGCTTCGGCCGTGTAGCACCTGTACTTGTGGGTTCTTGCATGCACAGCTGTCACCTTCTCTTGTTTCCATGATTGGATACCATGAGCCTCTCCTGATCATGCTGTCTGACGGGTGTCTCTGGATTGCATGTCTCACGACGAAAAGCCATGACCTCAGATTAATTCAACGGCTTGTGGTTTGGGGCTTGCGGGCGTCCTGTGGGCGTCCACCCGCAGTGCGCTAGGAGCCCATGACGTTTCAATCCATGCAGGCCGACTCTAATAATTCCGTCCGCCTGGAAGCACTGGAATGGAATAAAAATAAGGAGAGAAAAAAGTTAAGCTTGTCCTGGGAGCTAGGTTAGACTACTGTACTGCACAAAGCTATCGGACCATACAGCACTTATCGCAAAGCTATCGCAAAGCTATCGCAAAGCGTCGATCTTTGCCCTCACGCGTCACTGGCTCGACGACGCGTCGCATAATGATCACCAAACCTCTATAGCACTCAATTGCGAACATGCGAGCCCCCTAATGCGCTCTCTTCTTTATAACGCTCCGGCCCGCTTCGGGCTTCGTGTAGGAGCCCTGCGCACCTGCATCTCGTCCCCCAGGTCCTATGCCACGCCTGTGCATCAGAAACGGAACGACCGCCCCCAGCTGAATCTACCTGCCCTCGACGAGAAATGGCGATCCAAATGGAAAGAGAGTGGTGCCCTGCACGACATTGCAGACCCTGAGCTGCGCAAGCCGGATGGGGACTCCCAGTCGGGACCCGGTGTCAAGGAGAACATGTACATCCTCTCCATGTTTCCGTATCCCTCGGGAAAGCTGCATCTGGGCCATCTGCGGGTCTATACCATCGCCGATGTCATGGCGCGTTACCACAGGCTGCAAGGGAAACATGTCCTCCTCCCGATGGGTTGGGATGCCTTTGGTCTTCCCGCCGAGAACGCCGCCATCGAACGTGGCATTGACCCTGCCGAGTGGACGAGGGACAACATGGCCCGCATGAAAGAGCAGCTTGAGGTCATGAATGCGAGTTTCGACTGGTCTAGGGTGAGTGGTCTCGGGTCGCATCCTGCTTGCTATAGCATTACGTAGTGTCAATGCTCATGTGACCGTGCCTACAGGAGTTTGCCACTTGTGACCCGGACTTTTACAAACAAACCCAGAAGATATTTCTACGTCTCCGCTCCGCCGGTCTCGTCGACCGAAAGCGCTCCGAGGTGAACTGGGACCCAGTTGAGAACACCGTCCTGGCGAATGAGCAGGTCGACTCCTCTGGCCGTTCATGGAGATCGGGAGCTATAGTAGAGCAGCGGTCGCTCGAACAGTGGTTCTTAAAAATCACCAATTACCAGGAGTCTCTTCTCGAAGATTTGAACAAGCTGGGCAAGGATGATGCATGGCCAGATCTCGTCTTAAGCCAGCAGAGGAACTGGATCGGTCGCACCAAGGCTGCCTACTACGATTTCAACTTGAACCTGCCCGAAGGCCAGACGGAACACTTGAAGATATATACGACACGCCCCGAGACCATATTCGCCGTGCAGTACCTCGCACTTGCGCCCCAATCTCCCCTGGTGCGAAAACTTGCTGAGAAGGATGTAGAGCTCCGTGCATTTGTCCAAAAGGCCGAGCAATTGCCCCACGACTCCAAGGAAGGTTATCTGATCCCGAATCTCACTGCAACGAGTCCCTTAAACGGGTCGGCGCCTGTACCAGTCTATGTAGCGCCGTATGTGAGGGGCGATTATGAGACGGGGGCGCTTATGGCAGTCCCTGCCCATGATCTAAGAGACTACCACTTCTGGAAGCAACACCAAGGAGACAAACCCATAGAGTACGCCGTCACCCCGGCCAAGGATGGATCCATTAAAGGTTTAGATGGCCCATATATCGGCACCGGCTACATGACTTCCCTTGCAAAGCCGTTTGCCCAAATGGATTCGGAAGGGGCTGCCGAAAAGATTGTCGAGCAAATCTCAACAGAATCCTCGGCCGCTCAGCCTGTTACCAAATATAGGCTTAGGGATTGGCTGATTAGCCGGCAGCGGTACTGGGGCACTCCTATACCTATCATTCACTGCAACTCGTGCGGTGCGCAGCCGGTTCCCGATGCTGATTTGCCCGTCACTCTACCTAGAGTTGACCATCACTGGGCCGACGGCAGAACGGGCAATCCTCTGGAGAGTGCCGAAGACTGGGTGAATACTCCTTGTCCCAAATGTCACGGCCCCGCAAAAAGAGACACAGATACCATGGACACTTTTGTCGATTCCAGCTGGTATTATCTGAGATTTGCGGATCCAAACAACTCCGAACAACCTATCTCCAAATCAGCATTGCAAAGCCATTTCCCTGTAGACATGTATATTGGAGGTGTCGAGCATGCTATCTTGCACTTGCTCTACGCTCGCTTCATCTTCAAGGCGCTGCTTGACGTTGACTATCCTGATGTGGCAGCAAAGTTGCCTCTTGTCGAACCTTTCAAGCGACTCATAGCACAAGGCATGGTCCACGGCAAGACATACACGGATCCTGATACGGGCAAGTTTTTAAAGCCTGACGAAGTAGATCTCTCAGACTCCTCCAACCCAAAAATGTCCTCTTCGGGCAAAAGGCCGAATACTTCCTTTGAGAAAATGTCCAAATCTAAACACAACGGAGTGGACCCAACGTCCTTTGTTGGGCAGTACGGTGCCGATACCACCAGAGCCCACATGTTATTCCAGGCGCCTGTCAGTGACGTGGTCAACTGGGATGAAGACAAAATTGCTGGTATCACGCGTTGGCTCAAACGCTTACACAACTTAGTCGCAGACTTGGCACCCGTTGAGGAGAAGACTGCTTGGGATGCACGAGAGTATTTCAAGCATCAAACACGGGCCACAGGCAACGGCGGGGATCCCGCGCAGTTTGATGCCGACGTCAACGTTTGGCGAGCAACTCAGCAGGGCATCGCCGCCATATCGCAGTCGTATGAAAAGGTATACGCTCTGAACACAGTAGTGTCACACCTGATGCAATGGACAAACACGTTGCTGGAGAACAGTGCGGCATCTGAACTGGTCAAGATTGCATCCGTCAGCCAGTTATTACGCATGCTAGCACCTATTACGCCAGCCGTTGCCGAGGAATGCTGGAGTATCCTGTATCCCAAATTGGACAGCATTTTTGATCCGAAGGCTGCCAATTGGCCTGTCGTCGACGGTACTCTTGATCTGCTCACACAATCCTTCATCAAGTGTGCTGTTCAGGTCAATGGCAAACTGCGGTGTGTTGTGCAGGTCACGAAGCCATCGGACGAGCTGAAGCAAGGCAGTACGGACTGGAAAGACTGGTTCGTAAATCAAATCAAGGAGTCCGGCGAGGCGCAAAACAAGATGATGAAGCCCGACTGTGATATACGACAAGCAAGGAAGACCATCGTCGTAAAGAATGGTCAGACGGTCAACTTTGTACTATAGATGAAGGATGCGTACCATGTCGCTACGGTCCTTGGATTTTCATTTATGTAGATACCTAGCTCCACAAGCACGCGCAGAAGCACCGTGTAACATATATTTTGTATATAAATAGAACGTGTACAATTGCTACGATTGGCTGCGTAATACACGACCTGGCTTTTCACACCGAGGCTATCTAGTTAGTCTTTGTTGATCTTACCTGCCAGCCAAGCTTCAGATGCTGCAGGAACGTGGGACCCTGCATTTTAGCGGCCCGTCCCCCGGATGCAGCCCTTGAAGATCACTTTGTGTCTACTACATTCACCCCCTTCTCTAGTCAATACCGACAACCAGGCGCCACTTCAAAGCTCGCTTTACCATAAGTCTATGAATGCTTTCCTGAATTAATTCCCAGTCATAACGGATGCCCCGTCTTCCCCCCTCCCTGCTCTATCGTGCCCACAGAATCTCGCCCCATCTCAAGACCCTCCTGCCGGCATGCCGGGATCTTGAGTCGGCGCAGAACGAGCTGCGCTGGATCAGGGAGCACGCCGCCTCTTCCGCCTCTTCTCGGCCCAGCTCATCGTCGGCAACCACCAGCGCGGAGGCCACGACCGCCCGCCTCGTCGCCCAGCGCGGCCGCGGCGCACCCCTGCAGTACGTGCTGGGCTCGCAGCCCTTCGGGAGCCTGGACCTGAAGTGCGGCAGGGGCGTCCTGATCCCCCGCCCGGAGACCGAGGCCTACGTGTACCACCTGGCGGAGCGGCTGCGCAGCGGCGCGCTCCCGGGCGTGCGGCCCGGCCGCGGGGACCTGCGGATCTTGGACCTGTGCACGGGCACGGGCTGCATCGCGCTGCTCCTGCACGAGCGGCTGCGCGGCAAGTTCCCGGAGGTCCGGGCCGCGGGGCTCGACGTCAGCGCGGCGGCAGTGCGGCTGGCCAGGGAGAACCTGCGTAGGAACGTGGAGGGGGGAGTCCTGCCCGAGGGGGCGGGCGTGGTCTTCGGGCGGGCGGACATCTTCGCGGACGACTGGCGCCGGCACGTGCCGGGCGGCGCGGTGGACGTCCTCGTGTCGAACCCGCCCTACATCTCGGCCGAGGGCTTCGACGGCGGCACGGGCCGCTCGGTGCGCAACTTTGAGCCGAAGCTCGCGCTGGTGCCGGGCGAGGGGCTGAGAGCTGCTGCGGAGTCCCTGCGCTGTGAGCTGGCGGATGTGTTCTATGCCCGTTTGTTTGAGATTGCAGGGGAGCTCGAGCCGAGGGTCATGCTGTTCGAGGTTGGCGATATGGAGCAAGCGATGAGGGTGGTGAGGATGGCTACACGGATAGGCAGTGGGGATGAGTTGGGCTGCGAAATATGGAGAGATGAGCCAGCCACAGGCGAATCGGAGACTTGCTTGCTAGATCCTCAAGGTCCTGAGCTGACCATTCGTGGAGAGGGGCACGGAAGGTCAGTCGTGGTATACCGCAAACTCGGCGGCGGTTGAAATGCGATGTAAGATGGAGATGTGGTCTTGAGATTAATACCGACTCGCTGGTCGATGCGTATACACTACTATACACACGTCACGCAGACGTGGACGCGGGTCTAGGTCCTGTCTATAACCTAACTATTTCACCTCCCTGCTTGATGGCACCTCTGAAATGATCACTTACAATATTGCCCTTGACCAATGTCTCCTCGATCAAGCCTTCCACATGCTTCGGCTCGACCCTTCCGTACCAAACTCCATGACCGGCCAGTGGATGCTGCCTCGCATCCTTTGTGTTTACAGTCGGCGGCACGTACATGATCACATTCCCGGCGAATTTGTGTCCGCCAATGTGGCTAATCAGACCTACGCGGGCCGTCGAAGGCGCATCACCTGTCGTTCCCGAAAGCGCGGGAGCCGACACGCTCTCGTCGATAAGGGGGCCTCTCATGACCTCGAACCCGGCCTTGGGCAGCTTGTCCTCGAACTCCTGCTGGAGAACGGGACCCATGACGCCGCAGCGCTGGTCCCGCCCGCCGTGGCCGCAGATGAGAACGAGCACATCCTGCACGTCGCGCACGCCGTAAAGCAGATGTTGGTAAGCCTGCTTCCGTACCATGCGGTCCTTGTGGATAGGCGAGAGCCCGTCGTGCATGGGGTGCAGCTTCTCGGGCTGGAGGAAGCCCCTGACGAGGGCTTGTACGGAGTCGAAAGACACGCGGGGGAGGAAGGGGATGTACTTGAAGCTCGGAACAAGGTAGGCGGAGGTGGTCTGGACTTCCGGACGCCTCGAGACCGAGGAGGGAAAAGACGAGTTGAGTACGGAGACATTGTGGAATGGCTAGAAGGAGGGAAGAAGCACTTACCGTCAGCGACATGGCCTGTAGGTTGCCCGGGAGATGGTGTCTGGCGTCACTCGGCCAAAAGCACTCACATCGCTGTATACTCCTCCCCTGCCGATAAGCTCCTTCAGGTCTGCTGCGAGATTGTCGCCGCCGTTGTCTTCTTCTATGCGCGAGGGCCAGTCATGTTTGCCGGTACATATTAACACCTGCTCGGCGTAGCTGGTAATCAGACCGTTCAGGCTTCGGTGGTGGTCGATAGGCAGGCCCTCAGGCATGGCTGGCGTCTCGGCGCAATCGCATGTTGGCGATGGACATTTGGCGATCGTATTGATGTAGCGAGGTGTAGGAAGTGATGTTCTGAAGGCGTGATTTATCGAGCGACTGCGCAATGGTCGCCAGCATCGAAGCGACATGGTGGTGGACATGCCAGGCAGTGTAGGTTGTCAGCGTCAAAAGTGTATAATTCAGTATCCATGTTCGTACAAGAGTGCTAACTAATCAGACGGTTGTTGTTGTTTGCTGCTCAAGTCCACTGCTGGAAATGACGTACGGGACTCGCTGCTGAGACGGATTTAGCGGACCAGAAGGATGCCCCTTAGACTAATTACCTTGGGTTAGCGGATGGATGTTGTCATATATACTGGTTAGATGCATGAGAAGGCTTTCTTGTTTGTCGACGAACCAAATTTCTTGCCACCGTCTCGATATCCTCCGGGGAGATTCAAGGCTTGTAATGGTATTAATTGCAATCACGATTGATTTCCATTCAAATCCCCTAGCATGAGTAGCTCCAGGGTGTGTTCCAGTTGCGTTCGGGCAAGTCAAGTTCGACCGCGCCAAACGCTGCACTTGGACTCGCTCACACGCCATGCTCTGCAGCGTCAAGCCCCTTTACAAGCATCGACGCGGCTGGAGTTCTCTACGTCGATACCACGACAGGAATCTAAACACCTGGTGGCAGGGCACCAGGTTCCTAGGAAGTCGAAAATACCGTTGCTCTTCTCGCTTACTGCCGCTGCCCTGGGCGGTGCAGCCTACTATGCACTCAGTGGGGAGTCAGAGGACGATAGCCTCAATGGTACAAAATTCACGCCGTTCAATATCATTGCCAAGGAGCAGGTTTCGCCTACAGCATTTATCATCACTATTGCCTGCCCAGAGAAGGTAGCAACGAAAAACAATGCCAAGATTAAAGCCGCGTGGGACCACGGCTTGTGGTCTGTTGAGATGAAACAACCTCAACTCCAAATCGCAAGGCATTACACACCACTCCCTCCATTGAACAATGCCCGCACTGATGAGAACAACCTGCGCTTTCTCATTAGGAAGATGGATAGCGGAGAGATGTCAAACTACCTGGCCAGGCTGCAAGTCGGCGATCAGGTATGGCTACGGGGGCCACATTATGGATTCGATGTCGCAAAACGCATGGGCGACGCAAAAGATGTCGTGTTCCTGGCTGGAGGTACTGGTGTTGCGCCCGCTTTGCAAATTGCCCGCAAGCTACTGGGCGACGCAGAACATGCGGCTGGTGGCCGAAAACCAGCTATACAAATCCTGTGGGCGAACAGAAGAAACATCGACAGTTTGGGCCGGGAGGCACTCACTGGGAAAGCGAAGAGAGCAGCCGATAACACTGCGTCGGATACACTCACAAAGCAGATTGTGGAAATGAAGCGGGGATACGGGGACAGCTTCAATGTCCAGTATTTCGTTGATGACGAGAAGTTCATCACGCTTCAAGACGTCAATGCGGCCGTGGCGAACCAGACCGGTTCCGAAAAACGACCTTTCTTTGCAGCCACGGACAAACGATGTCGCTGGCACTCGCATCAAGGGCTTGCCACGACGTCAGATGAGGACGATAAGGATGCCGGTGGATCTCCTTGCTCATGCCGCCCACATAATATGCCGCCCGAACCTATCGGCAGGAATCTTTTGTGCGTTTCCGGCCCCGATGGGTTTATAGAAGCCTTTGCGGGACCAAAGCGCTGGTTCGGTGGCAAGGAGATCCAGGGTCCGGTCCTAGGCTTGCTAGGATCCATGAAGAGGATAGACCCCAAGATGGATGATTGGCTTGTACTCAAGATGTAAATAATATGTATATCAACTCTGGAGTCAATGATTGGCCAGTTCTGGTGCAATGTAGTATCAAGCTCAGAAAGCAAATAGCCTCGGTAGACCGTATTATAAATCCAATCAAATATTGTTACAGCTGCACACTTGTTCACGCTCAAACTGATAATTGGCACATCGCCACTCTCTCTGACCCAAGGAAAAGTGGTCATTTCTTGGGAGATGTACGACGGTTCTCAGTCCGAAAATTAGGGCTCGGCGTTTCGAAAAGCATCGAGGAGAGGGGTACGCATTCTTTTGCCGCTGCGCCAGATTAATCCGCATTCGAGCCGTCACGAGCAGACAAAAATCTTGCTGAGTGGTGCTACACGGCCCGAAAGCAACACAGTGTGATATGGAAGAGTTGAGGGTGGTTGGATAAACATGTGATGCTCCTGCAAATGTGTGGAGTAATGAGTTCAGACGTGCGTCATGCACAAGTCAAAATGTTATACAGAGGATTAACAATCACCGTTGCACACGAGCGGGGAACGATACGTGATTGCTAATTACTATATGGATTGTCTCGGGTGCCGAGCAAAGCGAACCCATCTCGCCAACAAGCAAGATTCAGAACTTAAATACCGACATTGCCCCATTTCCTACAGCTCGAGGACAAACCACAGCTTCAACCCAACTAGCAATTCTGAGGATATGACTTCTCAGGGGCAGAAAGTCCTCATTGTAGGCCCTGGCTTTATCGGCTGGAATGTTCTAGATCTTTTGGTCAAGGAGAATTATCTGGTCACAGGTTTTGTGCGAAGGAAGAAGCATGGCGAGCAGATCAAAGCCTCCGGCGCTGCAGATGTCGTGATTGGTGACCTGCACGACAAGGATCTGCTCGCCGAGCAAACAGCCAAGCACGACATCGTGTTCCACACGGCGACATCAGACGACCTGCCGAGCGTCGAGGCCGTCCTGGACGGCATCCAGAGGCGCGCCGACCAGGGCCTGAACACCATCTACATCCACACGTCCGGCACCTCGCTGCTGGACGACAGCGCCAACGGCTCCAGGAAGACGGACAAGATCTACTACGACGACAAACGCTCGGACATCGACTCGCTTTCGGACGATTCCCCGCATCGCCAGATCGACCTGGCCATCCTCCGGAGGCAGGAGAGTCTCGGCGACAAGGTCAAGATCGCCTTGATGATCCCACCGCTCATCTACGGCTTCAACGACGCCCACAAGCGTCTCAGCATCCAGATCCCGACCCTGGCGCGCTTCGCCTTGAAGCACGGCTACGCGCCGTACGTCGGCGAGGGACTGTCGGTCTGGTCCAACGTCCACGTCAAGGACCTCGGCAGGGCGTACAGGATCCTGCTCCACCACATCGAGCGCACGTCTGCCGAGGAGGCGCGGGAGAACCCATACTACTTCTGCGAGGCCACGGGCGATGAGGAGCCGAGCTGGAAGGAGTTGGCGGAGCTCATCAGTGATAGTCTGCACAAGGCGGGCAAGATCGAGGATCCCAAGCCGCGAACCCTCCCCAAGGAGCTGTACGGGGAGGTTTTTGGCGACGAGTATACAGAGGCTGTCGTCGGGTGTAACAGTCGCAGTCGTGCGGTCAGGTTGAGGAAGCTTGGCTGGGAGCCGGTGGAGAAGAGCTGGAGTCAGAGCTTTGTTGAGGATGAGCTGCCGCAGATTCTGACGGAGGAGAACACTGAATTCAAAGGTTACGCTGGCGCAGTCACCAGCTAAGTTTTCTTAGACAAGCACAAAACCACCATGTTAGACTAGATCAAGACGAGCGGTTTGATGGATTATGATTAATTTAGTGAGCTCTTATTCTATACAATATAAGTAATCATCCCAGTCAAATGAGAAGGTATCTATTTGTGGTAGTTTAGAGTATGTCACCGTTGTCTCCATGATTTTCTGAATTGCCACCTTTTCGCTACTATTATCTCCGCCGCACTCTGTGCGATCCTTTTCACTTTCGATATTCATATTAAATGTGACCATGTTATAACCACTCTCTTCATCATGGTCGAAACGGTTGTACGACGCATGGCGGGGTCTGCCTCCCGTCTTTGCCGAGCCACCAATGGTGTGCAGAGCGCCATGAGAGTTTTCTCCAGTGTTACTTGTGATGCCTTTCGACGAGAAGAGCTTGGGCGTTACGGATCTGGAAAATAGGCGAAGAGTCGAGACGCAGGCACACACTACCAGGAGGTTCGCTTCGATAGCCCTAACCATAAGAACAAAAAACGTCAGCTCCAAAACCCTCGATATGAAGTGAACGCCAGGTTTCGAGAAGGTCATACTCACGTCCAAAGATCAAGAAAGATTGCGACCCATGTTAAATCAGGATCGTTTGCGCCCAGAGTTTGTGTGAGCAGTACAAGACGCACGATACAGGACCTTTCGCCAACACTTGCATGTCGTATACTTACACCAAGGCGATGGCGAACAGAGCCATTAGTCCGTCTTCTTACGCACCGACAGCTGCAACGACAGGAACCATGGGTACCAGAATAGCTATTATCATCAGGTCATTGACAAGACCCAGCGCCGCATTGAATTGTACGTTGCCACTCGATCGATGATGTTCCGGGGGTATTGAGGTCGTATGCGCTGCGGATCGGGAAACAAGGAAAGATGGATGTGAAAAGTGTCGCTAGTGAGTCACCGACGATAGCGAATATCGTGAAGTATATACAGTAGACATACCTCTTCGAGCTGTTGCTGAGTTCGAGGTAGAACATAAGCACCACAGGCTTACAACACAGTAAAACAAGAGCAAAGATGATTAGTCCTAGATATTGAAACCACATAGGAATCGTCAAAAATTGCTTGTGATTATGCATTAATGTTCTGCCGCCGAGGGAGCACTTACAAAGAGCAACTATCCAAAATTTTCAGTTAGTGTTTCCCATGCATCAATTCCAGCAACTTGAGCTGCGACAGACCCTTCAGATGGTACATGAGTTATGGGTTGCCGACCACGCCGATGAAAATAGCTGACTCACAGTAGAAGGTACCCTGGACCGCCGCACTCGCAATCTGATATCTTGTTTCAATTATTGTTCGTCTTCAACTGTGAGGTGGTAAATGCATACCCATCCAATCAAAAGCAGAACTGTACCAGTCAGCTACGTAACGGGACAACAGCGGTCCTGTCAAGACTTACCATCATCGAGCCCAAAATGACCTCTAGTGAGCAAATCAACGTAAAGCTTTCGTAGAACGAAGAAGAAAGCCAGAACCAGCCAAATGCTCATGACAGTATATGTTGCGACAACGTCGCGGCGCTGCGGATGACCGAAATCAACGACGTAGCCGTCAGGAGCTGGCAACGGCGTCACCACTTGTCGAGCATACGATTCGGACATTCTAACACACGCAGGCACTGTTGGTCAGTAGAGAAGCAACGAAAAGCCAATACAGCTGTTGACTCTGTTTGAAGAAGAACCGGCATCTGGAGAATATAAGATTTCTAGTGTCATCAAGTGCATAGTAGGTATAACAATATGGTTATCACGACCGGCCGAGCCTGCACATAGGAGACATTCACTTTCAATAAAACATTCTAATGAATGTTTGCTGAACGTGCCTTGGCAGTATCCATTCTGTGAACGGTGTCTGTTGTTTCTTGCCCCGTCTCTTTGTTATTAATCTTCTTAGAGTGGTCTACCTTAAGGATTTCCTCGGTACGAATTGCGAGACTAGAGTCTGGTTATGGAATTGTGGCACAGACTGGCGGGATTCGGATCTGATAAAATTAGAAAGAGGAACTCGGGTAGTGTTGATTATGAGCCTGATGAGGCATGGAGATGACAGGCCTCCCCTTCCCAGTAGACCATGGTTGCAGATGGCTCATTGTCAGTCCGTTATGCTGGTTTGATGTAATGGAAGATCGGAGACAGTCCGGCGCTACTACATGTCGAACCCAGGAAGAAAGTACAACGGCGGAATCTAACGCGCGGTCTGGGCCGGGATGAAAACGACCATTGTTGCCGAGAGGGCGAAGCTCGGGCGGATTATTGCCTCGTTGTTGGTTGATCGGAAATTGTCACTGGAAGATCGGCTAGGGTTTTAATTCGGTTCCAAGCTGTCGGACTCGTCGACTCTGACACCATTGGCGGCCACTGTGCTCAGAACTAGAATTGGTAGCATCGCGTCTTGGCTACAGCATGCGTTGTAGCATTTCGTGCCCAGCTCCACGGACCCATTTACTTTAAGCAAACAATCGTGATCTTGCCTTGTGCCCGTAATGTTGAACCCGAAGCAAACAGATTGGGAGATTTACTGCCACCATGCATAACATCGAGACGGAATAACTTTACGAAGAATAAAGAGAAATGCCCCAAACTTGTTGTTATTCAAGTTTTACGCTATTTAATCATAATGTTAAATTCAAATAAAAGATAGCTTGAATTGTTTCGTTACGTTCAATTTCAAACTGCCAATATAGTCAAATGGTGAGCCCCGGTTTCGGGAATAATAATTCCGGGCACAAGCTCACTAGCAAATGTGATACTACCCGATATCAGGTCAGGGACGGTAAGCAACCCGATTCGTAGCCGGTATGATATATTTCGTATGGTTCGATTCGTGCAGTAGTGGCCCAGGGGTCAACGTGCATGTAGGATAGCCATGCAACAAAACTGTAGTCATTCTACCCTGCCCTTTTCTCTCCAATCTCGAGTCATTTGTATTGGGCCACACGCGCAATCATGTTTCTTCAAGTCAATGCATCCATGGCCTTGTTGGCTGCCGCAGCGTTTCGTGGCGGTGGACATGCTACGTGGGCAGGAGCCAGTGGCGTGACCAATGAATGGTGTTACCATTGACCTTGGCTACTTTAATCAGAGCACCTACGACGCCAACACCAACCTAGCTTCCATTGGGCCTGGTGGTCATTGGAAAGATGTCTATGCGCAATTGCTCAAGTATGACGTTGTAGTGGGCGGTGGTCGTGACGGTGGCGTAGGGGTTGGTGGATTTCTCCTATGAGGTGTGTTGAAACCCTATTTGAGACCCCGGGTACTCCATCGGGGTTGTTCTGCTGACATATTAACACTAGACTAGGTGGCAACTCCTACAATACAGGTAGATACGGTCTTGGTTGCGACTCCGTGGTCACGCAGGTGGCCATTTAGCCATTGCCGACCTGGTTCAGCGACCTCGGAACATCCAGAGGAGGCAACGTGATGGGCTTTGATAACTGGTTGACCGATGCTGGAATCCTTTGGTTGACCCAGGCAAGAGTCAAGACGGAAGAACAAGAAGCAATCGCCCGAGTGCTTCTCAGCACCCAGGCCGCTGAAATTGAAGACTTGGCCAAATCGCTTGGCGCTGATCTGGGTTGGCGTTGTCTCAACTACGCGGATGCTAGCCATGATCCGCTATCAAGCTATGGGAGCTGCGCATCCCCAATTCATTCGTGATGTCGCAACTTAGTATGATCCTGATGGTGTATTTCAAGCGCGGGTTCCTGATGGCTTTAAGGTATCGAGAGTGCCATAGTGGGCCGTAAAAGAAACGAACGCCCTTGACATGATTTTATTTACATATTCGCGAAACATGTACATGTGTGATGTGTCACATGTTGACTATTTATCCCATGAGGAAACTATTCACACTTTGCAGAGTAGCTCTGCTAGGATTAGCTTCCGGGTAAGCAGTCATTACTCTGCTCAGCTTGATCTTGATGACGCTTTTGTTTACGTCTTTTGGGGTCTCGAAGTTGCTGACACTGCCTTCTTCATCAAAGAATTGGCAAAGTAATGCTAGCGATACCCCTATGGAGATATCTTTACCAGTCTCACAGAGAACGAGAATCCCCTGGAGCTCTGACTGTGATGCAACTAGAGCTGACTTGGCGAAATCACAAATTTGGGGCAAAGCTGCCCTCAGGTTACGGCTTGCAAGCTTGTGCTTCCCGAGACCTACCTCCATAGACGTCGGGCTTTTCGCCCAACTAGAAGCGTCTGTAACTTCGGGAAGAAGGGAGATGGTACAAGTAAAAGCGTCGGATACATGGCCCTGACCGAGAGGAGCAACGGATATGTATGGTGCTATCTGGCGAGGCTCTTGCCCGGAAGTCTTCGCTGGATTTGCTTGTACGAGCGTCTCAATCAGAGCAGGTAATTCGGCCTCGGGAGTTGACATTAGATCATGCTCATGATCCCAGAAAAGCTGAGCTGTCAAGCCGTAGGCCCAGTTTTCTGTATCGTCTCCCGCGCCCTGGATGTAGCCTCCTTCACTCAACTCTGTGCCGACGACCCTTCGAGAGCTTGTGCAACATATCACGGGATGAAAATCCTCAAACACGACATCGGTAGCCAAAAGCTGCGATTCCTGTGTTATCCACATCGGACGTAGTGGTTTCTTGGGTCGTCTTAACTTGTCGAAATCAAGGTTCAGATTTTTCAGGGACTCGACAAAATCTGGTATTCGAGCTTCCATTTGCGCGTGCTCCGACTCTGACACCGAGTTTGGTGGGGTGTGAAGGGCATGGGTTGACACACGGTCCGGGAAAAGCACGCGGTTGAGAACGCAACACCAGATGGGAATTGTTCTGCCCAGTGCGTCCGGCATGCGCTTCCCACGCCTTGTTGAGTCTACGATTATGCAACCGTCATTTTGGCGAATGATATCGAGGAGTTGCAAATTGAGCCGCCGAGTTGAGAACTTCCATTGACTGGTATGGCCGTCTGTGCTTTTGAAGTATGCGGAACCGTGCTTGACTCTAGGTGGGATGTACCAGCTTCCACAACGCTCATTTGCGATCAGGGGACGACCATAGGCAAGCTGAACCTCTACCACAAAGGCCGAGTCTTCCTTGATTGACTTGAGTCTGTTGGTGATTGACAGGTTTGACTTTTTGAGGTCCGTCAAAATGCGGGAGAACTTGTGGTTTGCTTGATCTGAGAAGACGAGATCTGAAAGTGTGAGGTTTTGTGATACACCCGAGGTCGCGTTCTCATTTGTACCCATGTTTGGTTTTCAACTGGATGGGCGTCGGCTAGGGGTTTGGAACAGTATGATGGTCGTGACACTGGCCTGATCTGTGCCCAATACAACCGAAGGTGGCCGAGGACGGAAACAACAGGCTCGAACAAGCGTGCAAAGCAAGGACCAGTCTAACCTGAGGTTACATAGTCCTAAGCGAGGGATCTCTCTGAGTTAAGGTTATCTTAGCCTATCCGACGGCTAGTGCAGTTTACATACGTATATATATACACACGGTAGCCATAGGAGTATATACCGACATACTTCAGGTGGGCTCAGATCGCCGCCATAGCCCATGTCCGTTACAGTTCGCATTTAGCTATAGCTGGCCGGTACAAGTAGTCACTGATACCTGCATCTGGGTCTTTACTCCTCTCTTGGACCTGGTATATCGCCATTGCCAGTCTAATATCGAGGTCGTCTTGAGGTAACGTACTGACGTACCTTCTCGAAGCTTTTTGAATTGGATACCACGAGAACATCAGACATTGGGGAACGATTGTTCAGTCTTGATTGCAAAGGAGCCAGTTTCTTTGGATAATCTTTCTTTCTTTCTTTCTTTCCTTCCTTCTTTTTTTGGCCCAAGTATTCATCGAAGAATGTGCTACGGACCTATCGTTATGGATCTCACAGCTAGCGCCGGATCGCGGGGCATCGACAACTCGTTAAGCGATTGTCCCCAGTTGCGTAATCACCACCAAAGCTGTGCTGTACGTATTGTAGATTGTCAGGTTAGATTAGATATAAAAGTCCTTGTCGTCTTGGGAGCTCGATAGCTTCAACGGATTTAATTTTTCTCTGCATTCCCCATCCTCTTCCACCGACGCCCCCATTTGTCGTTTTCCTTGAGCCGGTAGTGGTACCTGCATTTTCCCCCATCCGTACCGCTCACGGTGGTGGAGTCTGCGAAAAGAAGCAGCTGCCAGTGCGACAAGATCATCTCCTGATGCCACCACCGTCTTAAGAACATAGGCTCACTTTGTTCCCAAGATGGCTTGGAGCGGCGAGCCTGACGATAATGCTGTCCAGACCTTGCTTGACTTCACTGACCATGCCTTCGACCGCAACGAAGCCATAAAGCGTCTCAAGGCCAACAACTGCGACGTCACCCAGGCCGTGGGCGAGTTCTACGACAACCCTGACAGCGCCAACAAGTATCAGTGGGATGACAGTGTCTGGTCAGCCGATCGAGACGCGACTGGAAACACTGCTGGCGTTCAATTCAACGTCCAGGGCCCCGACGTCACCACTACCCAGATCGACAGCACCAGCGCTGCACCCACTCGCCCTCCCTCCAGAACGAACAACCGATCGCCATTGGGTAGGCTTGTCGACTTGACTGCGTTTCAGGCAGCAGGTACATACTCCTACACGTCAGACAGCCGAAGCTAACTCTGCCCGCACAGGAGCTCCCGCTACCCAGGCGGATGAGGATGCCGACCTCCAGCGCGCCCTCGCCGAGTCTGCTGCCGAATCCGGCCTACCCCCTCAAGAATCCGGTGTTACTGCCGGCGATGTGAACGAGAAGAAGTTCGGTCCTGCCACGCGAGCTGAATACGAGCAAGACCAATGGGCCATGGTACCGACCAAGGTAGAAGCCACCCTTTCACAGAAATCAGAGATTCCGCCCTCCGCTCGGAAGCGAGACCCCGCTGCTCCTGCTTTTCTTCGCGCCAGCAAGGACCATCGTGTAGGAGCAATCCTGACCATACTCAGCCATATACCTCTCGCACGTAACGCCCTCTTATCATGCGGAACCTCGAGTCGCACTTATGGCTACAACGGTGAGTGGTGGGCGGGCCACCCAATCCTGAAGCAGGAGAATCTGGGCGCAGATAATCAGGACGAATGGAGCGCAGCCAAGGACCATCCCGACTTCCACGATGAGCTTCATCGCCTGATCGCCTTCCTCGAGAATGGCGATCGTGCCTACGCTTCAGTAGATGGCATAGTGGACACTGATGCTATTGATCCTCACCATGGGTTCAACTGGGGCAGCTTTGATTTCGAGGACAGGTTCTTCGAAGTTCTCAAAGGAGAGTACGAGCAAACGCTTAATCCGTTACTGGAGCCGTTGATGTCAACTGCTAGAACCGAACGCATCGTAAAGCCTGCAGTCGATGAAATGCCCGCCGGCCTGGATGACGCCGCCGTAACCCAGACCGTCGAGAGCGACAGCGTTGACGAGGCGAATATCAATTTCTTGACCATTCCCCTGATGGAGAGCGAGAGCCAGTGGGTCTCCAGCCTGTACAATGCTCTTGACGCCGTCTTCTGGAGCGATGCCTTCTCCAACCGTGAATTTCCTACCGACACCTCTAACACGGCCGTACTGACCAACGTTGGGGCCTTCTTCGTCCTGAGGATTGGCGGAGATGGTCTCTGTAAACCCTGCGACGTTCCCGTGACCCTGTACCTTGATCGCTACATGGAAGACCGGAAGGCTCAAGCTATCACGATCCAGACTCAGATCCACAAGCTAAGGTATTTTCTCAGTACAACCGAGAAGAGAGAGAAGAAAGTCCTGACATGTTCGGGTGCGACTGATTGTCGCGCTCGAAAATGGTTTGATGATAAACCGCACAGCGCTCGTGATTGCTGGCAAAAGACAATTGAGGCATGCGAAGCGCTGATTGGCAGGCAGCGCAGACTGGCACAGCGTCGCTACACGGACAATGAGTTGGAACAAGGCAAGACGCCCTCCATACAGGACATTGCGCTTATATACTCCGGCGACGCTCCCTACGAGCTTACTCCCGAGGAACTCGAAGTGCAGCACACTCTTGAGCGCGCTGCTCAAGCGGCCGAAGAAGAGCTTGCTGATATCGACCGTAAACTAGAGGGTATACATGGCAATCTCCGACTTGGAAGTACTGTTCGTTAATTATCTAAACAGGCATCAATTCAAGGCGTCAACAATTTCTTGAGGCTCTCGACCATTTGTCGATGAGACTAACGACTCGCGAAGACGAAGCACCTCAAGATTTTGTTGACAAGTACATCACACCCTCTGAACCGCAGTACTACAAACCGGAATTCTGGAACCCGACTCGCAGGTTTCTCCTTAGAGGTGTTGCGACAACGAACGAGATTACGTATGTGTGTACTAGAAGACAAGTTGATCCCGTCGAGCTTGGGGATCAGGCCGAACTGAGAGACCAATGGTGGCGACTTGTCTACGCTGCACAAGAGAAGAATCCCATCATCGTCGAGGTAAATCAGACCCCCCGCTATTTCTAACACCGCATCGCTGATCTTTGGGTACAGAAAACGGATGCAGAATCCGTCTCGATAGCAGCTGGCAGTGAGTCCAAGCACCCGCTATTTGTTTACGCCTCGGAGGATGCCATGAACGCGGACCCAGTGCAGCTTTCGGATGCTTTACGCGTAAGCAATCCCTTATATGTTGTGGAAACACATTCTGATCACTGGTACTTATACTAACTTTGACAGACCTTTGTACGTGCCGACAACAAAGTCTTCCAGAACGAGCTGTCCAAGGAACAAGTTCAGACAGAGACCTGGACTGAAGGGGACAGCGGCAATGTCGCTTCACCCGGTGACGGCCCCGTTCCTCTAACGGCCGACGCGATTAATGCGGTAGCTCCCGCACATTGGGCATCCGTAGCAAAACGGAAGCACAGCCCTGCTTCGTCTGTCGCAACAATCAACTCGACAGGTTCACGAAACATAGAGATGGTTTCTTATGATGACGTCCCGCAGTTCGCCGACTATGGAGACCCGTCAATGTCTTGGCATCATGAGTACGCCAGTCCAGTACCACACCCTAACAAACTCGGCGGTTTGGTCGAGTCCCTCGAGAAATGCCAGACTTATGAGCCCGAGTCGCCAGTTCTTGGCCGTCGTGATCCACCAGAGCAGAATAGGCACGATTTTTCGTCTTCTAATGCGACATCTGATGCAGTAAGGGCTCCAGAGATGCAAGAACGTTCTGGTGGCCCATCGCCGTTCATGGTCAATCGACCAGTTGAGAGAGCTTCGCAAGCTGCCCCGGGCCCGGCCAACCTCATGGATATGGATGTGGACGTGGACATTGAGCACCATGAGGGTTAGGAACCTCAGGTCGCTGTCCTACAGGGACGAAAGATTTCTAAGCATGTCTATTTCACGACGGTAGCCCATGGTCCGTGGTAAGAAGAAAGAGAAAAAAAAGGTTGGGTCGGTTGCAAAGGAGTTGGCCTCGGTGTACCACAGCATATGACGTGTTGTGCCTTTGCTCTCACTTTTTCTGCATGTCATTATCACGGTTTACCGGCGGTTTACCGGTCATATCACCACCCCTATACACTTGCATCAGCATCACCGAGGATAGGTTTTTTTTTTCTTTTTTTTTTCTTTTAAGGTCTGCTTTATGAGATACCCTTTTGCATCATCAAGCCATACATGTATCAATCAGAAATCATATTCCTAGACACTAGCAGAATGGACGAAGATATTCATGGAGACCAAGCGGTCACACGTTCTCACCTGCATGCAGACGGTGATTATGAGACATCATACAGCAAAACGAGCGAGGCGGATCTTATGTGTACTTCGTTTGCCCACTGCCTACTTGTGAGGTCGTAATCGAGTGTCGGGACACAGCATTTCATGGACGTCAAGACCAATTGCTGGTGGACTCGCAGTAAGATAGTGTGGAAACGAACGAAAAAGAAAAGAAAAGAAAAAGTTCAAATCCTTGTCAAAATATAGGCGGGACGTTGCAAGTACCAGATATGAAGTTAGTCATGTGGTACCGGGGTAAGACGGGTTGTCACGGTCATGCCAGAAGATCTTCGATCTACGTGTTTTTGAGCCAAATATATTCATGCTTCCTAGTCCGCAACCTGAACGCCGTTTGTCTAATGAACCAGAGTGCAAGTAACTAACTTGCGGGGGGAGAAAGAAAGAAGAAGGAAGAAAGCAACCACAAATCGCCCTATATCAGCAGGGCAAGCACCATGCCGGAAACACTAACTTGGACTCTCTATTGCTGGTGCAGCTCGAAAATCCAAATGGCCTGCTTGCTGAAGGGGGGTAAAAGATGGGGAAATTGCCAGATATCCGTGTCAACGCCGTGATTCAACCGACGCTATGCAAATGTGTAACGATAATGGAAATGGGTCGAGTGAGAGCTTCGCAAGGTTCGATGACCTCGCTTGCCCGGGAGTCCAAGAAAGATGGCACCGCTTATGACTCGTCCTCGTCGCTGCCGTTCTCCTCGTCCTCGTCTTCGTCCTGGATCTCCTCGTCTGTACCAGACCCGAAGTCGAAGTCGTCCAGCTCGTCGTCCTCGTTCCAGAAGTCATCATCTGCATCCTTTAAAACTGGTGCCTCCTCGATGATGGTGGTGGGCATGACAAAACCCGCCGGGATGTCCCTTTTGGATCTCTCCACGGTGTCGGCGGCCTTCCTGTTGTACTCTGCACGGTTGTCGCGATACATGACGCCAGCGTCGACGTGGGCAGGCGAGCTGATCTCGGGATCGTCGAGGAGGAGGAGGACGGAGCGCAGAACGGACTCGACACCTTGGAGGGGTGACCAACGCTCGCAAGCGGCCTCGCCGGACGTGGAATCCTCGCCGGGTTGGTGCAGGATGGAGATGCAGACTCGCCCGTCCGGGTAGACGTTGGGGTGGTAGATGGGGATTTGGAACTTGAAAGACGGCGGAGCATACGGGTACTCTTCGGTGAACATCATCTCGCACTGGGGGATGTCAGCATGTCGTCTCGACCTTTGGGAACGCATGGTGGGGAGGTAGAAGGAGCAGGGGAAGTGAGTTCTCACCTTGAGATAAGCGTTCTTATAGGCACTCTCTTGGTTGAGCACGATGAGCCCAATGTCCCAGCGGAAGATGTTGTCTCTGATCAAGTCGACGTTGACCCATTTCTGCTTCTGCAGTTGCTGCAGCTCTGACATGAGCCGGGCTGCGGCGCCGCCGGCCTTGGACATGATGGCTAGCGGTATCGTCTCGCGAAACCGGAGTAGGGGGTTTGGGGAAAGAGACGAGGGCGGTTCACGAACGGGGAGTTTCTGAAAGCAGGATGCGTCTCAACGAGCGTCAAGGCGGTGTTCCTTTCTTTGTTGTGATGTGTGGTGTAGAGGTGATCACACGATGAGGTACAGATGATTCCTAATCAAGTACCCTGCAGACCAGTTGCCAGTTGGGGGGGCCCGGATGACACAAGTAAATGGCGTCGTAAGTGTCGGGGGTGGGGGGCGGATATGTATATATGTAACAATCGAGAGCTGAACAGAAAGATGAGGAACCTCCTCTCCAATGCTTCTCCTCCGAAAATCAGAAACGAGGAAGCAAAAAGAAGACAGTGTTTCGCGATTGTATATGAGGTTTGGGTTTCGATTCTCTGCGGATCCTCCTTGCCATGGATTGTGAGACTGTTAAGTACCGTACGGGATTGCATGCCGTCAGAGCTTAGGCGGAGAGACGGCGGCTTTAAGAATGTATGACAATATTCACTCCTGGACCTGGACCTGAACCAGTAAAACCCGCGGCCCAGCTGGAGCCCAGCGCTGAGACGATCTACATAACCTGCTAACCAGCTAACCAACCTACCGGTAGGCTAATCACTTGCACGTATGTGCAGTATCTGTACCCACAACGGTGCGCTAATCAGCCCCCGTGGCGTGCCCCCGAGGCCCTGGTTGCCTGGATTGGGGGAAAGGACCTGTGAGGACCTGAGCAACTATCGGAGCGCCGATTCAGGTGGCACTCCCTAATACTACGCAAATGCTCCTTCCCCCGCTGTTGCACCTTAAATGACGGTACTCTGTACTGCTGAATGTGTAAGCAGACGGCTGAGTCCACTCATGCCCTGACTCGCATTCTCTGCAATGGCAGAGCGCTTAGTTCCGGCATCGCATCAATACATATATACATACTTACTAAGGCCTGCTGCTCTGGACAAACTCTCCGGAACTACAGAACCAACACGTCGGCATCCGATATGTGCTCCGCAGCTGCAACATCACGAGAGAATAATGATGCGATATGCCTAACCTCAGTCAAGAGATGTTATCCATCCGTTCCGTCTCAAACGCTTCCACGGGACTACCGATGCTGAGTAGATGGCGTATTACCTGTTTGTTCCTATTTCACTTGGTGGGAAGTGGGAAGTGGTTAAGCAGACAAGTGCAAGGCTCCGCGAACTATCGTATGTTTGCGGCTTGATAGCATTGAAAATTTTGGGCGCCGACGTGCGACGATAGCGAGTGAGTGGCCAGCAAATGACAACTGTGATGTGTCGCAAGCGCGAGATGTTGTGGCGAGCTCTTATTAGTCGCCGGTGCGAAGCTTCTTCCACCAGCCCTGAATCAGGCGGCGGCGGCGGCAACCCCGGATTAGCTTTTCCCTCCCCTGATAGACTCCTTGAGAAACTCGATGAACTAAACTCTCGAGTTGTGTTACACATGTATACGCCCCCGAGCTCGTCGAGCATCAGTCTGCTGCGATCCCAATCTCCGTCTTGAGGATTGTAAAGGGCTGAGGAATGAGGGGTCCAGCTGACTATTGCAGGGCGAGAGTATAGTCTCGGGCGTGTATATAGCAATCCCGCAGATCCCGACCTACACCAGGCCCCACAACATGTTATGGGTACATATTTCCATGTCAATATTACTCATTTTGGTCGGTCAAGTTGGACCAAATCTTGAAACACCTGCACCTCATCTCACGAAGTGGCCAGCAAGTGGAGACGATAGAGAAAAGGTTTATCAGACTGCGTTATCGTTTAGACATTTTCGCTGGCATGTTTCTGGCGTACCTACATAGGAAGCTCTTAGACTAGCATTCAGGACCCGCTCAATAACCTTAATACGGCGAACTTCCTTCTTCGATGAAACACAACCCCACGGGGTTGCCTATGAAGGTATCTTACTGCCACTCTGAGTACCGGAGATCATGATAAGCGCGCACAGGATGATTCAGCTCGAACCAACTTTCACGTGGTGAAGGCGGGCGCCGAGATGCCATCATACGATCAAATTGGGTTCTGCTTGCTCCTAATCCTTTTGGTGCTTTGTAGCATCATATGGAACTGTGTTAATTTTGAAGAGCATGGAAGCAGGTTTAGAAAGCTGAATCAGGACCAGTGCCTGATCCCCCCTCGTCATCAACGCTCTCGTCCTCCTCCTTCGTCCTCTTCGCCCTCTTCAGAAAGAGCCTTTCTTTTTTTTTGTCATCGCGTATAGCCCTCTTGCGACCCACGGTACAATCCAAAACATATATCCGCTTGTTATTTTAGACAGTCACAGTACGGATAGCCTTGCAAAGGTCGTTGGAAAACAGCACCTGCTTGCGCCTTGACTTGAGGGGTGTTCGCTGACTTAATTCACCAGCCTTGACCAACGCAGTTCGAGTCTTGACATTCGGAAAAAAAAAACATTTTCATAGGTTCTAGTCTCGTGCTTATTGTATGTGTCGATATCCTCTTGCTCCTGCTTGTCTGCCTTGTTAAGCTCGTGTCTCCGGCCCTCTCGTTCGAGTTTGTAGTCATGGTATGTGTCAGCTTCAGATCCTTGACATGAGTTCCCCTCAACCTCATCTTCATCTTCATCATCGGAATCGAACTCGAACAATGAGGACAAGTTTGGGTTGAAATCAGAGGGGTGGTTGCTGGTCGTCGGAATGGGTGTCACGGCCTGGCTTCATTTCCTTGCACCAGTCTAGGTGCGCAACTGTCGAACTCGAACAAAAGTACCGCGGAAACTCTGGGGCGTTTTTATCTGCCTTACCCCCATACCATATTGGTGCCATAAAAGTGATGTCCTGTTGCTTGTTAAGTGGCAGACAAGGATTGCTTCACGGAGGGTCGTATAAGCACTTGCAATTGTGTATGTAAGCTGTTTGATAGTCGCGAGTCGATGCGCGCATCTTTCATGAATCCTGGGCCAATAGAGCTTGCAGATGGGGGGTTGCTGCATAGTACGATGGGCTGGGATGTAGAATGGACCATCGGAAAGTCCGCCGTATGGGTCTGCAGGCTTCCGCGTTCGGTGCTCATTGCCGCGATCATGTTCATAACAAATACTCATCCGACCCTTCACGAACTTATTGTCGGTTTGCAGTCAGATGCGAAATGGGTGGTGGAAAGTTGATGCTGCAGTCGCGTGGAAACAAAATGTTCAGCCGCCGTTGGAGAAGATCTGGGGCATGCATGTCGCACAGAGATCCTTCTTGGGCGCTGAAGATGATCTACGATGGCTGGGCGAACCCAGGTACTTGGTGCGGGGGTGGGTGGACTTGAATTTCAACAAGACCATGCTGCTTTCGCTGGCCGAGCCGAAGTGCCAAACCCCAAGACCCAAGCACAAAGCACAAAGCACAAGCACAAGTACGAGCATGAGCACGAGCACGAGCACAAGCACAAGCACAAGCACAAACACCCCTCAAATCTCCCGATGTTGACCGATGTTGACCGGTGTCGGGGGAGACCAGGGGAGACCAAGGGAAATAGATACGGAGAAAACATGCTCATGGCACGATGAACAAAGTTTTGAACTATGCACATGGCAGGTGGAAGAGATGAATCTAATTGAGGGGGATGGGACGACAGTAATCCATGCCGTACTCCATACTGTAGCAGAGCAACGTCTAGTCTAGACCAAGGTAACTTGCTGTTGAACACAATACAACACAAGACCGTACGTTGATGTCAAAGGCTCTGTGTAACAATAAAAAGTCAAGGCCTTTTGTCAGATCGTTGGTCATGGAAACGTGATACAGCAGCGGGTGGGCCAAAAGAAGTCAACCAAGGTCCCTTTGGGTCCCTTTTCGGGTCCCTTTTGGGCTGAGAGACGTGTGTGGTTGTGATTGTGGGTGTGATTGTAGTAGGCGAGCGATTGTCACCGTGGCACAGGAAAAGCAACGGGCGCTCCAGACAGTCCAGAGCTGGGCTGAGAGATGAGTTTCAGTGGTGGGCTGACCTGGGTTAGGCATTCCGAAGCTTACAGGGGCACACCCCCGCGTGTGATTTGTTTGTCGAGCTCCTCTGATTTCCCTCACCCTCTCTCTCTCTCCCTCTCTCTCTTTGTCTCTGTGTCTGTGTCTGGTCCCCCCTCTCGCTTTTTCCCGCCCCCATCGCCCATCACCCGCCCAGCTTGGCTTGTGCCCGGTGCCCACTGCCCACTGCCCACTACCCAGTGCCCACGCCCAGCAGTGAGAGAAGCGCATTTCAGGCCCCCCCGTCAGACTCGTCAGCTTTCTCTCCTCAACATCAACCGCCAATCCTGACGGTATCGACCAACCTACCGACCAACGACCATAGCGACGACTCCAGCGGCACTCGGAAACTCGCTGTCGACGCTCTTACGACTCTGCACGATTTTTTGCACCTCGAAACACCGCCGCGGGCCAATTGATTTTGTGCATGCAGGCCATCAGAGGTGTTTTCCCATCACCACTCCCGGTCGCCAGAGATCGCGCCACAACATCACTCACCGCACCACCACCTTGACCACCCCGTAACTGCCATTGCGCCCATCCCTCACAGCTGCAAAAACACCTCGAGCTCATTCTGCCGACTTGCACCTCCCGAGCGATACTATTTTTACCGGCTATTTCCTGCAAGAGCAGCGAGCAAGAGCGAGGTCGACTTTCGATATCGACTTTTCTCTCCCTAGGCCGATTGCCCGATATCCGCTCTCCGCTCTCCACTCTTGTCTTGTATCGTCTTGCCTTGCCAGAAGCGTCCCTGGCAGCATCACAAGCTTTTTCCCTCTCCTTGTTTCTCACTCGCAGTGCTCACGCCACCCCTCGACGCACCCACAACGCAAGCAAGGCACACATTCTCTCTCATATAATCCCATGGCGACAATGTCATTCAATCCACAGACGCCTCAGAGCCCTTCGCAGTTCTCCCCATCCACTGCGGACCTGCTATCTAGTATGAATAGCTCCATGACATCAGTTACTACCACATCTCTGCCGACGCCGGCCCACAGCGTCAACGCCTGCGACTCCTCTCACGATATCAACATGACTGACGCCGACTCGCCCAACAAGCGCAAGCGTCAACTCGACGACATGGGCGACCAAGAGCACAAGAAAACACACCTCGAGGATCCTCGCAGACTGGGTATTGAAAACCTACATTTGGATGTCGGCCCCAAATACCTTCTCTTGAGAACTCGTAAGGCATCCCTCTACTCCAACCATGTGTGCCACCGCTCCTGCTGCACTCCATTGACGATCGGTGCCACCATGTGATGTTTTTCTTTCTTCATGATTACATTTCATAATTAAAAAGGAAAAAATCCACCCCCAACGTGTGATAGAACTTTTTGGTTGACACTGCTGCTCTCTAGCCCGTTCTGCCGCTTCTCCTCGCACTTCAGATGACCTCTTTGAGAGATTCGGCCTGGCCGACATTGTTGCCGAGGTTGCACGGACAAAGCCGAATGGCGAGAAGAACGCCCTCAGAAAGACCTTCAAGGGCCAGATCAAGAGCCTTGGTATCAGCGGCTCCTTCGACCCCGTACGCAAGGAATCTGATGACCCCGAGGGCTTCAAGCACATGGTCACCGCACCCGACGACGGTTGGTATGTTCACGAGGTCATGGGCAAGGAGATCCAGAAGGGCTTTTCAGATCAGGTCTTGAACAGCCTGTCGCGAGCAATGACCATGGCCAAAGGTCCCGTCTCGAAGCAGATCTGGGACAGTTCCGTTCTTGGCGATCTAGCACCTGGTGTTGCTAAGAAGGCCAAGGATGACGTCTCGAAGCAAGCTGCACCCAGCACTCCGGCGGCAGTAGCAGCAATAGGCGCAAGTACGGTAAAGCCAAACAAGCTTCAAGTGCCGCAAGCAGATCGCAACCGACGGCTCGGCAAGAAGCGAAGTTATCAGGACAGCAGTTTTGAGGGGTACAGCGACGGCTTCCCTGATGACGATCAAGGTGCAGAGACTGGCTACTCGACGGGAGACGGTGACGACCGGTCGGCAAAGAAGCGGAGAAAACAGGTGAGCTCAGCTCATCAATCCTTCTCTAGTTCTCTTGGCTGACCTTTTGTTCACAGAATTCCGGCATCGTCTCGTCATTGGGCGCAGGCATACGCCAGGCGGTACGATAAGGTGGTTCATGATACCCAGTCCGAGGAACGGGCTCCAAACAATCTCAGCGATAATGGAAGGGGGGCGCGTTGTATTTTGTATTTATTTTGATGACTGACTTAGAAAGTGAGAGGGGGGCGCAGTACCCCTTTCATAGCGCAACGGTTCATGTCCTTTTTGCATTACTGAGTTTAGCAAGGCGTTGGGGGATTCCAATTTCGTCAGAATCCAAAAGCAGCAACTGCACCAGGCAGTCTTGGTGGTCCCTCCTTGTGTATGGGCAAGGAAGACCAAGCGAGAGTCGTCCTGGGCACGTTGTACATATTCTTTGCTATTACATGAATAAAAAGAATTACTAAGCCTTTTGTCGCCTTTCTACCGATTTGCAACCCTCGGCTGAGAAACACATGCTCCCATTTCCTGTGGCTTGTTGGAGAAGTAGACGTTCAAGGCGGAAGACAGAACACGGGAGTCTTGCGGAACAGACTCTGTTCTTCGGTTTGGAATCATGCACGATCACAGTAGTATCTATGGCCTGGGGATGCCGCGCCATTTGCCATTTCGTGAATAGCATGTGCCGTCGCAAGCCTGAAAGAACGAGATAGTCAGTCATGCAGACCGCCAAGCCAAGATCGACGCGAGCAGACAACTGGGAAGCGAGGTCCCAAAGCCTGATCTCGGAGTTTAACCCTGGGATCTTCAGCAGGAAAGAGGAGCCTACCACCTTGACCACCCTACCTAACCTTTAGTGCTCGCAGCAGCTCTCCCACCTGCCCGCACTTTAACCACTACCTAACTCAACGTTGACAACAGAGGGAACCAACGACTCCAAGCGCTCAACTTGGGTGGATCGTGGATCGTGGATCGTGGGTTCAATCTCTCCCTTCATGCACACACACTTTGACTCTTTGTTGCAACATGTCTATCATGATATCTTCTGCTTCCTAGACTCTCTCGTTTGCATCACCGAAATGAACACCTAAATCTGCTCTTCTTCCCTGCAAACCCATCTATCTACCTCTGACATCACGGCCTTGGCTGGGGTCTGCATCAACCCCTCCATCAGCTGAGTGTCACATTGTATTCAGCACAAAGACTAGGCATTACTTCACATCATGGCGCCACCGACTGAGAATCGCACCCCGCTGGTCATCCCAAGGCCAGTAGGGAGAGCAGGATTCAATCGTGGGCCTGCCATCAGCCCCAATGACCCAAGTCCTTCCCCGGCGCCCTCACTTGGGCTGTCGGATCCCGAGCAGAGCGACAAGCGCATCCTGCTGCTTGTCTATATCCATGGGTTCATGGGCAAAGATGATTCGTTTAAGAACTTTCCATTGCATTTACACCATTGTCTCAAGTTGCAGCTCAGCGAGTCTCACACCATAACGACCAAGGTATACCCACGGTATAAAACCTACAAAGCGATTGAGGTGGCGCGGGACAACTTCAGCAGATGGCTTGAAGCGCACGAGTCTCACAAGACGGACGTTGTTCTTCTCGGACACTCCATGGGTGGACTTCTCTCCGCAGAAGTAGTCTTGATGGCAAGTTTATGCTTCCGTCTACTGTGAGACACGGTCGCTAACACCCGAAAACAGCCCACTCGCAATCGAGCTGATGTCAGGTTCTTTCAGCACCGGATCCTTGGCACAGTAAACCTAGATGCCCCTTTACTTGGGCTTCATCCAGGGATAATCAAGTCTGGAATTGCCAGTCTCTTCAAGAAGAAGCCCGATCCGCCAACGCCTGTCCCAGCTGGCGGCGCGGATGAGATAGCTCCCGGGAACCGCCCACAGGAGCCTGGCCCTCCAGATACTCCGGATCCTGACATTGGGCGCCTGGTCCAAAAACTAACAATCGACCCAAACTATAACCCGGACTTCGCAAATGATGTGCGCCAAAAGGACCGTGGGTGGTGGAAAAACATCGTCCATTTCGCCACAAAACACAACTCGGAAGGACTGGTAGATGCAGCTACCAATCATATAGCGTCGCACATGGAGTTTGGGAGCTGTTTGATGGACTATAATGGCTTGAAGTTGCGGTATGAGACTCTGCGCAAACTTGAAGATATTGACGATTATAAATATCATGGAATGCCCCATGTCCCCGCGCGAGTTCGCTTCATTCAATACTATACAGTCTGCTATGGCTATCCAAAGCAGCCGAAACCTCCCAAGACTCCAAAGACTCCAAAGTCTGATGGAATTGGGGAACCTGGGCAGGCGCAGGATTACATGTCAGCTGGGAGTGGCAAGCATAGTGAGCCATCCACTCCCAGGACTTCTATGGCAGATCACCGCGAAGATCGCCATGACTCGGACTCGCAGAAGGGCAAGGAGATAGAGTCATGGGACACTCCCGGGGAACATGATCCAATTGAGCATCGAGGTGTTGATGGTGCCGATGACACGTCTATACGCAGTCTACAAACCCGTTCGGATGCTTATTTTACACCGAGCTCTAGTAGGCCATCATCGCCTGGGTTTGATGGCACGAGCGGCGACGCCACGCTTGTCCAAGTTCCAGATCCGATGAACTTGAGCAGCGCTAGTAAAGGGGCAGAGGCAGACAAAGATGAGGGTTGGGAGGTGGCAAATGCTATGCCCGCTCCTTCGCGGCAAGCACCACCAATTCCGAATACCTTGCAGCACACCCCGTCCAATAATTCTACTTCAAGTAGCTCGAGAGGGAAAGTTGAAGGGAATGGCAAGGAGAAGAAGAAAGAGAAAACCAAGACTAGGGAAAAAAGTCCGGCCAAGTCTCCCAAACCAGAGAAAGCAAAGAAGCCAGAGAAGCCGCCCAAGAAGAGAAAGTTTTGCAACCGCCCGTCTAGAGTCAATGGAGAGATGGATCCGAAATGGGTTGAAGTCTTTATGCAAGACGTCGATGAAGTTGCAGCCCACACTGTACTTTTTGTTCCCGGCCCACACTACGAGAAGTTGGTGGGTGATGTGGGCGAGACGGTTGTCCAGTGGGTACAAGACGATCTTACGAAGCGTATGGTCCTCTCTGAGCAATAGCACAACTCCATGGGTGAAGAAGTAGCTCTTTATACAGTATGTGTTATGGATGAGCAAATGATACCCTTCGTTCTGTGGGCGTAATATGATAGGACTCCAATGCAGTCAAGGGAATGTTCTGAGACTGATTTCGGCCATCTGTCTGCTGCCTTGTATTTTTCTCGAGAATAACAAGTGGGAGACAACGAGGAGTTCAACGTTGCCTCGTCGCTAGTAGTCACAGGGCTGTCCAACCTGTCTGCACTGCTGGCATGGTCTGACGTAGGTTAAAACAAGGAAGATTCCGGCACTTGGTGTTCGGGATTGTTCTTGATTGCGTTGTTGTTGCGACAAGCCACCCATTGACCGGGATCCGACGGAGGTTGGTCGTGTCGACTGTAGGCTTTTGGTTCGGGTCTAGTCACGTCTAGGAAGCTGCTGAAGCATTTGGAAGCAAGCGAATTCCGGAAGTTGGAATCCTCGACCCGTCGTCGCCAACAATAATACTGCATATGTTTTTGTCATATCTTCTTCTTGAGGTCGCCATGTAGCAATTTCCCCATCCTATGACATGGCCAGGGTTTATGATCGCTGACCAATAGATCGCAAAAAGAATAAGAAATTAGCCATTGATATTGTAATTATAGTGCGGATTTGGCGTACAACATTAATTCCAAAAAATATTTACGAAGCAAGGGATGTGTCTCTGGTCGTGATCAATCTGAGACTTTCTATTGGCGGCCCGATGGATCGGTAAACCTGACCCGATGCTGTGTGTGGTTCTTGGCGACGCGACAAGCTGGTTGCTCTGTCCGAGGCGAACCCGGTCAGGACGACGACCGAGCACGTCTTGTGGGCATTAGGTTGATAATGAGTCGAGCTGAAGACAGGCGTCTTTTACCAAGCTGGTTCTTCCTAAGGAATAGGCAATGGCTTGGCACCTGCCCTTGTGTAGGCATGAGACTATGATGTGCCAAAAATATAATATATTCCAAACCATAGCTTGTACGTGTGCTGTGCAACATTTACAGGATATATCGCCACGCACGTCACTCAAATGTTGCTCTCTACCGAATGGAAATACCACCACGAATGACGTCGTCACTTGCTTTCAGCTCGTCGCAGTCGGGTCAACATGACAGGAGCATCGAGACAATGCCAGATGAGGCACAGCACCTTGGGGAAAAAAGCAGGTGAAACCCCTTAGCGCGTACATGCGGCGTTTGTTGCTGTCTGGCTTGATAAGTAGATTGATAGAGTTTTGGCGACGCAACATGACGGATACCCTGTGCATCATCATCATGGTGAACATTGATGCCAACATTTCTAAGCCAAAAGAAAAAGAGGAGGAAGAGAAGAAAAACTATAGCTTGTCCCGACAAGCTGGTAGCCATGCGATGCCCTGCAGCCCCTTCGCCCGTAAGGGAAGGACATTACTTGTATCATAATTTCCATCAGTGGCTCTTGCACCGAGTTGATGTTCATGACTTTTCTTGATTCCTTATCCGAGACACTTTAGTGGCCAGGTCCCAACGACACCCTCAAAGCTCGGTCCGAGTTTGCAGAATTCCAAATACAGGAGACATCATTTTGAACGTCGGGGAATAGTATTTCGCAGCCTTGGATAGGGCAGCGATGGCGGGCAGTGGCATGGTGTTTCAACTTCTCACGCGGCAAGTAATATGAGTGAGGATGGCTGCCATCATAGGGCAGCGTAGTCTCTCGATTTCTCGGTTGCAGGATGTGGAAGCCTGTCTCGCTGCTCAAGTCGCCTCGAGGTCCTTGGAAAGCGGCGGTCATCCGAGTGGCTGCCCTAAAATTGCGAGTAGGACGATGCCACTAGGTCAACCAGATAGAATGCAAGGATGAGCGCTCGCGAGCACACGATGATGAAACTCTTATCATATCATACCCCATCTACGGTATACCATGCAAGAGAAAAGGGTGGGATGAGGGCATCGAGATCTGATACAGCTCGAGGGGTGCGATCCCCCCGCAGGACTGAGGAACCTGCCTCGGACGGGCGGCTCAAGAGTCGAACACCTATGGCGAGAAATTGGCGCTTCCATGACTATAAGAAGGGGCAGCTTTCGACTTCACACATCTCTCAATCCTCTCGAACTCTGCCAGAAGCAGCTCACACCCGAACCACTCTGCTCCCCGAACCTCGTTCTCATTCTTAAACCAAACAAGACCGCACACACCTACCACTGGACCAGATTCGAATCATGAAGCCTTGGATCCCTGCACTTCTCATGGGAACCACCGGTGCCCTCGCCGTTGCCAGCCCCACACCACAGCGTAAGCAGACACACATGTTTGATATCGAGTGCTTCAAGACATGTCGAACACGGCTGACATTCCACCTCCCTCCAGCTCAGCCGGACGGGGGTCCCGCTTCTCTCTTTGATATCGAGAGCGTTTCGACCGTTGGTTGTTATTCAGACAAATGTTTGTGAATCGGTTGTCCTCTTTGTACGTGTCGGGGGCATACGATCAAGGCAGAAGGGCGGGGCGGTCGGGGGATGCACATACAATTGGATAGTATATATCCTTCAGTAGACTCACAGATATCCCTGTACTCTTCTGGTAGCTAAAGCTTTGCGTCTTCGCGTACATAGTGGGATGCTCGTGGTGTGTTTCTGTAGTCTCCATGCTCGCTACGTATGTCGTTGAACCTTGGTGATCAGTGTCGTATTAGTAGAATTGGCCTGGTTTTGATTTGACAACAAGTATAGGCGATTTCATGGCCCGTCCGACGGGCGATGGCGGATCGATAGTTTTACCCGCTGTTCCTCGAGACCCCGAGACTTTGGTAGTGACCGATGAAGAATCTCCCAAGGTCAATCGAACAGGGATCTGCTCCATAGGCAACTCGGATATATCATTCCAGTCCATTCGCTCATTTTCAATCAATCCTCGTCGCGGCATCACTGTCTCATCGGACGTGAAATGGAAGGAATCAGCGAGCTAATTGTTTCGATTGGGGATCATGTCTAAGCAATTAGACGAGTATACATAGGGAGCATTGACTGGAATCGCTGCGAAAGGATTGAGTACGTTGTTTAATAGGTAGCAGGATATAACCATGGAAATAAAGAAAAAAGACAATTCGGATCCAGCCGGGAAGCGGTCAGCTCAAAGACATAAATCACCTGGCTGACTTATCTTCTTCTGCTTGAAGCGGTCATATATCATGCTTATCATCGGAAGTGACGGAAGAACTTCTTCCAAAGACGTAACATTTCCTCGGACAATACAACTTGTTAGTCTACTAGTGATCATTCCGGCAAGTTACCGGTGAGGTCAAAAGTTCCTGTAAAGAATACCATAAGCCTAGGTATCCATGAGGCTGTGAGGAAGATCTCGAGGCCGGGCCGCTCAATATACAGCCCGGGAGGCTCGTAAGCCGGGAAGCCGGAGAGAATACCCCCACTCGCTGCTATGCCGACTGGGATACGCGACGGCTGCATGAGGGGACTTTGAAGGCTGCAGGTAAGATACAGGGGCCTGTCTGTCTACCCCGGCCTACCCAGGGTATATGGCCTCTGCATCCGCGAGTATCTTCCGCTGTTTTCTTTCCAATAAATCTCCAGGAGTTCTAGGAGGGGCACCCACTAGTTTCTTTACACCATTTGTTCTGTTCGCGTCGATCTCAGCTCCGGCTCTACGGCACTCAGAATGGACGCTGTGGCAGTTCTCAGTGTCGCAGGAGCTATCCTCTCATTCGCCCAGCTCGGGACAGAGCTTTTATCGCCCTCGACGAAATCCTACGGCAATCGTTCTATACCGCTATTTGACGCAACTCATATCTCAGAAAGACTGAGAGAACTGGAGAGTACCCTTTCAAGTGCCGCGAAGCTGGTGGGTGCCCGAGTGGGGGAGCACGACCTCGCCGCATCTTCATTATTCGAAGAGGCCGCCGCTTCCTGTCTTGGAGACATTCGCATATTGTTGGAACAACTCAGAAATGTCAAAGAGCGCATAGAAAGCGGTGGGCAATTGAATCTCTTAGAGGACATGGAAGCTGCGTTCCGATCCTCGGTTTTTTCCAGGCTGCCACAAGATAAAATCGAGCATCTTTCTAAAGTGGTCACGGTTTATGTCAGCTCCGTCGTAGGGTATGCGACCAGTTACAATCAAATGAACTACACGCGAACAATACTGACCACTTATGCTAGTTCGCGGATTATTGAAATTGAAGGTATTGTAGATTCACTAAAAGGTGACTCCCGATACACTAGGCCGGAACATGAATCTCGAGTTGATTCAATGGCTCAGGATCTGGCAAGTCTACAAGCAGAATTGAGTAGAATCTCAGCACGTCTCGAGAGACGATCCGTAGTAGCGTCCTTTTCTCCTGACGATATAAGTACAATTCAGTCCCTAATGACCCGATTGGATGTAGAAGATCACATCATCGTGGATAGAATTGTTGCCAGCCTGAATTACGATAGCAGACCTGTTCGCCATGACTCTGTCCCTCAAGCGCACAAGGACACGTTTCGTTGGGCGTTCGACTCTCAGCTTGCCGATTGGTTTCGCTCTGGTAATGGTACGTTCTGGGTCTCAGGCAAGCCGGGTTCTGGAAAATCAACTTTCATGAAGTTTATATCCAGCCACAAACAAACAAAAGAGCTGCTGTCATCCTGGGCAGGCTCGACGGACAAGCTCGCTATCGCAGCACACTTCTTCTGGATTGCAGGCACGCCAATCCAGAAGTCTTGGCAGGGCTTGTTCCAGTCTTTGTTGTTCGACACATTTCACAAGCAACCCGCAGTCGTCCGACTTATCTGCCCCAGCCGGTGGGCCGCCGCCAGGAAGGGGAATTGGCAAGAAGCAGCTGAGCCATGGTCCGTGACAGAACTTGGTGTTGCGCTGCGGGCATTGGCGACCACGCCAGAATTTCCTCTGAAACTGTGCTTCTTCATTGACGGACTCGACGAATATGATAGTGACCATTCAGAGCTGTGCGACATATTATACGACATGGCCAGCTCTTCTCATATCAAGATATGTCTTTCCAGTCGTCCGTGGCCGGTTTTCGAAGAAAGGTTCGGAACCGATGACAAGAAACGGATAGACATCCACGAGCTTACTAAAGACGATATCCTGCAGTTTGTGATTGACCAATTACAGTGGCCGGACGACAAGGACTCTGAAATTTCCGATGAGGAGAGAGACGAAATTTGCCAACAAATCGCCACTGGGGCAGATGGTGTGTTTCTTTGGGCTTTTTTCGTCACAAAGTCCTTACGTGAGGCCGTGTCTAAGGGTGCTACTGTTACCGATTTGCGCAACCGCCTCAGGGGTCTACCGAGCGACTTGGAGCAACTATTCAGGACAATGCTCGAGAGTGTAGACAAAGTTAGCCACCCAAAGATGGCGGGCATCCTACAGGCCGCTTCTAATGCGCTAGAACCACTCCACATCGATCTTTATTGGATGCTCGAGAAGGAGTTTGAAAGCCGTGACTATGCACACCATTGTCCGATCCAAGCCACATCGTGGGAAGAGCGGTCAAAGCAGAGGGAGAACACGACTCGCAGCGTAAGTGACAAAACAAAGGGTCTTCTCAAGCTTGTAAACCAGCGATTTGAATTTCTCCACCGGACGGTCAAGGACTTCGTGCTAACAAAAGACATGGGCGAATACCTTAGAGGAAAGCTCCCGGCAGGGTATAATGGCTATATCGCCATCGCTGCCGCATATCTCGGTTTCCTGAAAACTACAAGTTTCGAAAACTCGATCATAGCGGGAGTTGTCAGGTTAGGCCAGGGCCGGAACTCCGGCCCCTTTACCTCGCATCTGAACCAAGCCCTGACGTACACGTCAGAGGCACTGAAGTCGAACGAGTCTCCAGAACTCCTGGCACTTTTGGGAGCTTTCGAAAAGTCTGTGGACCAAATGATCCGCAGCGGCCATGTTACTCTGCGTGGCCCCAATGCTGAAGGCTGCGATTCCAGATTGCTTTTTCGCGAGGAGCTTCTCCGACATAACTTGACTCCGTTTATCAAGCAGAGGCTACGAGAAGAAGCTGGCTTCTTTGATGTGTTCGACGAGCCTCCGTTCTACTCTGCACTCATGCCTATGTCACTAAGCAGTGGAGAGAGTCCTGCCCCTGTGCCAGCAGTTCTGGACATCCTGCTTCGATATGAGGAAAATCCTAACAACACGACGCGCGACAGATCAACAGGCATCTCGAATAGTGCCTCAGGAACCCCTTCTCCATGGGTCCTCTTCGCGCGGGACGTCATGTCCGTCTTTAACATGCTGACGGTGCCTTGCAACTTCCCTGCCATACGCTTCAACGACACGCTTAGCAACGGCATATTTGATCTTCTGTTGTCTCACGGTGCCGACTCCAATGCGAGTCTGCTACCAGATCGGCCTATTGGAGCTCACACGGCTTTCTCGCACTTTTTGGGTATTTCGCTGTCTCAATTCCTGGGCCCCGAGTGTTACGAGGGCTACCTCAGGACGTTGGGCGCATTCCTGCGTGCCGGTGCGAGCCTCGGGGTTCCTTCAGCCTTGAGTAGAGGGTCGGACTTCAGGTTGGATCCGAAAACAGATGACCAGAAGGCGTTTGGTAACCTTGCTCGAGAACGCCCGGACGAATCAGTATTGACTTCGTTTTGTACAGAGTTGGAGACACTTTTATCAAGACTTGCGGCAGATCCGGGGCGCGCTAATTTTATCCAGTCTGTAGTTACGATATTGGTGATACACTGCTCGGGACTGGAAGAGGAGTTGAGACAAATAGCTTCTGCCGTGTCAAAGGGTTGTCCTGAGTACATCCATCAGATTCTGCTACCAATGATCGAGCGTGAGCTAGCAAGAAAGGGGTCAACGAAGAGAAGCCGTGGCAGCTGGGATGGAGCATTGTCAAATTCTGCGGTTAAGCACCTTAGACATTAGGGTAGGCATTCAGAATTCTATATAACTGCGTCGCCTCCACTGTAATTGCAAACACCTGAACGCCGGCTACCATGCTCATTACAAACAACATTTTCCCGCCAGGAATACCGCCCCCACGATGTCTGCTGACTAGGCCCAGACATCATTTGTAAGGTTGGTGGCGACGTAGGTGGCGTCTTGCGCAACATAATCATTGAGTTGGGCCTCGATATCCTCGTCCGACATGTCGCCGCTGTCTTCCCTCCTCTTCAGGGGTGTGCCATCAGGGCTGCATCCGCTGATGGCCTCGAAGTAATAACTGTGGGCATCCGTGTCGAAGCCGAGAGTACCGGCGTTGCAAGCCAAGTTGGAATAACCCTCGCAGACTTTGACGTCGCTAGCGGTGTAGTCCGTGGTGGTTGCCGCCCCGTTTGACAACCAGTACTCGGGGGAGGTGTGGCGGTAGTTGAGAATGATGGGAGGCAGACGGGGGACCGGGTCGTCCAGGTGGGTGACGCGGTATTCGGCGCCGGCTTGGTCGGTCACATAGGCGACGAAGGCCTTGTTGCCGACACGGGGGCTGCCGTAGCCGTAGATGTCGATCGCGTAGCCGGCCTTGCGGGCGTAGGCGCCACCAACGGTTGCGATGGCGCCACCAAGGGAGTGGCCAGTGAAAACGATGCTGTAGGTAGGGTTGGCCTTGGCAGCGGAGGCGACGGCAGCAGTGACAGCAGAAGCAACCTCGAGCCAAGCGGCGTAAAAACCGGTATGGAGGAGACACCCGGTGGTGATGTCACATAGTTCTTGGACGAAGACCAGGCTGGCAAGCTGTTAGTGTACGGGCCTGGCGTGATTCAGGGTTCTGACACTTACTTCGTGATCCAGTTGCGAACAGAGTGAGAGCCACGGAACGACACCACAATCACCTTAGCTGTGGCATCGGTAGACACGAAGCCTTGGATATCAGTAGCATCTCCACTGTTTCACAGTCAGCACGGGCATCGTGTATAATTCTTTCGTCCAGTGCTTACGCAAAAGTCGCCGTCACCACAGCGCCGTTGGAGGTGACGTCTGGGCAGGCCTCGTCGATACAGGTCACAACCGAACCGACGGCAACTTCACTGTTGCAGTATGAGGCAGCAGCGTATTCGGCGTAGAAGTCCAACTTGGTAACTTGGGCGGCAGTAACAGTAGTTGCTAATGTGGGTAAGCCTATGTTTCACTCGATACAGGAAGTACGATCCAAGGCAACATACCTCGTTTGTCCAAGTACAACTTCATTTCATCCGGGATGGGACCTGCAGCGACGGAAAGAGCCAAGCTCGAGATGAGAGACCAAGTGAATGACTTCATCTTGAACCGTAGCAGAGAGAGACCGAAAACAGGGGGGGTGACCTTCGACGCAAGGAACAAGGCAGCCAAAGATATGACGGCTGCGACAAGCTGTGGGAGAAAGAGAGACAAGGGCCCTCCTTTGATGAGCTGAGTAGCGAATGAGGTACGGTACGACGATCTTATCACTCAACTATCGCGAGCGCCCGGAGGCTATATAGCCAAAAAATTCTTGACGATATTCTTCACGATTGGGGAGGGTCGGCCGCCCACCATTGCGGAAATTTCCTTGTCTCTTTGGAGTAAATTCATCTATCCCCGCCAGGTCCCTGGGGCTCAGACATGGGTTCGGGGAGGAAAGTTCTATGGCTAGCTTGAGCCTAGAGGATGGCTGGATACGCGTTCCTGAGAATGGTTATCTGAGCGGTAGGCAGACCGAACCTGCATATTCAGCTAAAATGGATGGCAGCCGCATGACCGGCGCACCGGATATCACACAGCGCGCGCGCATTACTCCTTCATCTCGAATCTCCAAAAGCGTTCCCTCGCGGATCTGGTGGCTTAGAGCACACTGCCAAATTGGTCGACAGAAATGGTGTAGTGGGGCCTGCGGCAGTTACCATAGTAGTCATCTTGTTGGCGATCCGCAAGGTGAGGAGGTCCATCCTTGTATTGCAGCCACACCCAAGAACCCTCGTGGCATTGATAAAGCGCCCACTACGGCCCCCACAAGTCACTGGGTGTCATAGTTCGGCGAAGATGCCGTTTCTAGACAGTACAGATCCCATCAATTGGGCAGAGGACAGTGTTACCTGAAAGCCATGTCACACTGCTAGCGGTAATGGTCACAAATCAGGTTCCGAGCCTCCGTCAAAGAGGTGATGAACAGGGAATTGAATTTGAGTTCTGCGCTTCCCCAGATTCTGGGGGCTTGTATTCAACAACCTAATAGTGGAGAACATATACATTTGCGGAAAACTATTTGCGGACCGCGGCGGACCTCGAATGGACATCTATTGGAAAAGGCACTGACAGACGTAGGTGGCACACATGGTACGCGCTGAGTGCCCATCACTTTGTGTGTGTGACCGGGTATCGCCTTGGAGCACACAAGATCGACACATATACAACTGATAAGTGAGGAAGGCACTGCATTGAGAGGATCTTAAATTGCTGCCAAATGTAAAAGAAGGAGTAGCTGAGCACCAGCTGAAAGCGACGATTGTCAGCTCTAGGCGCACGGTTTCCGATTAGGGTCCGTGGTATGTAGGCTATGAAGAAAAAAAAGAGGCAGGAGACTGGCAATGCAGTGAGGGGATCTACATACATAGTAAGCGGAAGAATTTGTCATTCCTTAGATCCTTGGCTATTATCCTTGTTCCAGCTCACAAGTGCTAGTCAAGGAATGTACGGCGCTGCCATCATCGCGTGCATAGAACTACGCTAAATTCAATGACAAAACTGATAATGCGGGTTTGTTCAGTGAATAATATATCGCCGTTGCTACTGTATGTAAATCGCGCGGTTTCGTGATAAGCAACTGCAATCATAATACTCAGACATTAAATATGGGGAGGGCTAATGTACGGAGAATAGTTCCGAAAAGTCTTTGCCGCAACGATCGACCGTAGGAGTGCCTGCATGTCTGTGAGATTACGTAGCTTTGCATAGTCCCTACATTTGTGTAATTGCGCAGATTGCCGGCAACGTGATATGCCCAACGGCCATCCTGTTGCAGCAGCGGTCTTACGGTTGGAGATATCAGCATCAGTGAGAAAGTCCGAGAGTTACTCCCTCGCTCGCCAAAGATCACGACGGCGGCGTGCAGCGATTGACAGACACCACAATCTCGGGTTTCGCTGCGCTCGAATTCAGCCCGCATGACACGGATGCCTTTTTGGGGATGGCTTTAACCCCAATCCTAGGCTGGCGGTGAACTTGTAAGTCAGTGTGACCCGTTGGATTTTAGCAAAGTCTGAAGTTAGTGTCGGGGACAGATCTATTCCAGGCATGATAATCCTCGATATTGCCTTTTTCTGTTTTCAAGGTGATGGAAGAGCACGCTGAACACAATTCTAGCCTTGGCTTGCTGGTAATCCGCTAGGTTAATACAGTCGCTTCTGCAAGACACCGCAGACACAGTACGCTAGAATTGTGGGGTATGCTTGGCACCTCGGTTGGCGTTTTGTCTTTTTTAGCGAGCTTCAGTCTCCATCCAAATTTGTTGAGAGCTAGGTACCAAGTGGCTCCCACGGTTTTGTCAAGGTCCCCATGTTCCACTCCACATTCATTGAGCTTCATTTCGTGTTCTGGAAGCGTTCGATTCAAACGGACTACATGAGTTATCTGTCATTTTATAATGAGTGCTGCAGTGGGGGGAGCCAGCGCGTCCTTTCGCTGGGTACTACGTAGGCTCTGGGGTTCGAAGACGCCAGTGAGGCATGGCGGGCGGGTCTAAAGGCACTTTCCATTTACATACAGTAAGTAGTACGTAGGCCGCGCTGAAGAGGTTCCATTAAGCGGTTACACTATCCGCCTAACCGTCGCTTCAGCAAAGCGTTCGGCTATTTCCCCACTCGGGTTAACTGACTGCCGGCCACGTTTTCTGTGAACAAGGGTCTATTCTAACGAGCTCTCATCTATTCCTTTCCTTAGACTACGACCTGGACATGAATCCAGGAAATGCCAACTTTGCTGCGAAGTCGCTCTGCAATCACGATCCTGCTCGATTATTACTACACTAAGTCTTCAGTGCTTCATTGGCGCACTGCGAATAGTGCGTGGTTTGATCACACGACAAGCTGCAGTGTAACATCAGCCCTGATCAAATACGTTAGGCTAGTTCACAACCTTTGGGCGCATACGCTCGGAGCCTTGAAGAGTAACATTATGTTGCACAGTCCTACTGTACTCGTACGTAAAAGCCGCGAACAACTGTCAACATCTCGTGCTATTACATCCTGTTTCCCTGGTTCTGCTTAGTGACACGTGCGGTTGTGAGCTATCGCGTCGAAGGAAGGTCCCAGCAGGACCTTGCTTATCGTCGTACGTACATTTCGTTCTCTTCTTGCGGTTGACATCCGGAGACTAGTTTCTGAGATGAAATCTCTCCCGCGAAGTTTGTTTTATCTTCTCGCGAGGAGACGCATCACCGTGGGTGCGTGGTGGTTGCCTTGGCCCGCCAATAATCTCATTCTCCTATCTATAATTTAGGCCGCGGAGAATGCACATCGATGTAGATTCAAGATTTAGCTCTGCTAGATGAGAATCACACAGGCGACTGGCTGCCTGGAATTGCCGGGGAAATATCCGATACACTGAAAAAAGACGGTTGTGGCGTCCTGAAGTTGTGCCTCAGGAGGATTGTAAGGACGATGTTGAACGGCTACGGAAGTGGGCTCTTGAGAGACCGCGCCAGGAAACCCGACCCAGTCGGTGATGTACCGCGTATTACTGTCATCATAGCTAGTGTAGGTCAACGATATTCTGTGTATAGCTCGGTTGGAATTATTAGGGACGATTGATTTTCTGGCCATCAGATCTCTCCAACCTCTGTGATATCCAATAGGATGGTTCGCTTAGAGTTGATTCTGCAGCTTGATTCCCACCTTCCCCTTTCCGAACACGACGCTCGCAATGAAGATCTGCAAGATGCGCTAAGCTAAGCCCGCTTCACCCTTTCACATGCAGACATTTTGCCCTTTTTTAAAGCACAATGAAGAACGTTTGCTCGTCGTGGGAGAGAGTGATAAACATTGGCAAGCTCGCCGAGACTCTGCCCTCCCTGCCGCATCATCCGCCTTGGGTGTACTTTGCTTGATTTATGGTATCATTTCTCGTCACGCCAACGCATAGACATAATCTCTAGCGCATCGGTTCCATTATACTGATTCTGGTTCCGCCAATGGGCACAGCGGTGTGCCTGAAGAGCATGATGTGCTGTGGTTGCTCTTTCACTTAGCGCAGCAAGCCTCTATACTGTACTTGCCCACGAGGACGCTGCTTTTAGATTCATAAAGCCGCGGAGTTCCTCTTCTGCACTAAAATGTGGTGCTTTTCCCACCAGACTTGCTAGCCTTATATTCTTATCCGCGTCACGATCTGACGACGCAGTCATGGTCTTTTTTGACTTCAGAGCCCCTTTGGGGGTCCGTGTGTTGTCATTGCTTGCTTTATCCAATACCGTCAGCTTGTCTTCCTGTGCCGTACTCCAGCCCCGGGATGCGGTGCCTGCCGGATACGTTGCTGCACCATACTATCCTGCACCCTATGGCGGATGGGCCGATGACTGGGCAGACGCATATGAAAAGGCGGCTGACCTGGTATCGCGGATGACTCTGGCGGAGAAGACCAACATCACCAGCGGCACCGGATTCTTTATGGGGTATGAAGCACCATGACTAAAATCCATTGACATTGCCTTTACTAAAATTTCACAGACCATGTGTCGGAAATACAGGCAGTGCACTCCGTCTGGGATTTCCTCAGCTATGCCTTCAAGATGGTCCTTTGGGTGTGCGCACGACAGACAATATTACCGCCTTCCCTGCTGGCATCACCACTGGCGCAACATGGAACAAGGATCTGATGTACGAGAGAGGTGTTGCTCTCGGCCAAGAATTCAAAGGCAAGGGCGCAAACTTTTACTTGGGCCCCTCAGTCGGTCCTCTAGGGAGAAAACCCAGAGGTGGACGAAATTGGGAAGGCTTCGGCTCAGATCCGGTGCTTCAGGGTATTGCTGGCGCCCAGACCATCAAAGGCGTCCAGGAGCAAGGTGTCATCGCTACGCTGAAACATGCCATCGGAAACGAGCAGGAAGAGTATCGGATGTATAGTGTCATCCAAGAGGGATATAGTGCCAACATCGACGACCGCACCCTGCATGAGCTTTATCTGTGGCCCTTCGCTGAAGCCATCCATGCTGGAACTGGTGCTGTCATGACCTCTTACAACGGAGTAAATGGCTCCGCTGCTTCGCAGAACGCATATCTCATCAATGGACTCGTGAAAGATGAGCTCGGCTTCCAGGGTATTGTTATGACTGACTGGCTCGCCCATCTCTCCGGTGTGCCGTCCGCCTTAGCTGGCCTGGACATGAACATGCCTGGCGACACTATGATCCCCATCGTCTTGGGCACAAGCTACTGGATGTATGAGTTAACTCGCTCTGCCCTCAATGGCTCCGTACCCATGGACCGCATTAATGACATGGCTACCCGCATTGTGGCTACTTGGTACAAGATGGGTCAGGATCAAGACTATCCGCCCCCAAACTTCTCGTCAAACACACGCGATCCCACAGGTCCCTGCTATCCCAGCGCTTTATTCTCGCCCACCTGTGTAGTAAATCAATACGTCAATGTACAAGCGGACCATGCGACTGTTGCGAAAGCTGTGGCGCAAGAGGCTATCACGCTGCTCAAGAACAACGGTTCCTTCCTCCCCATTACCACTTCGGCGACCATCAGCGTTTTTGGCACGGATGCGCAGACGGATCCCCAGGGCGCCAACTCTTGTACGGACAAGAGCTGCAACCGCGGGCTCTTGGGCATGGGCTGGGGTTCTGGAAGTGCTGACTACCCCTATCTCGACGACCCCATCTCGTCCCTAAAACGTAAGGCCAAAAATGTAATCTACTACGCTTCCAATACGTTCCCTGCCTCGGTGCCTACTCCTGGCCCCAGCGACGTTGCCATTGTCTTCATCAACTCGGACGCGGGCGAGAACTCGTACACAGTAGAGAACAATCACGGCGACCGGGATGCGTCTGGTCTATCAGCGTGGCACGGTGGCGATACATTGGTGCAGGCCGCCGCTGCGAAGTACTCTAATGTGGTCGTTGTAATTCACACCGTTGGCCCATTGGTCCTCGAGCCCTGGATTAACCTGCCATCTGTTAAATCCGTGCTAGTTGCGCACCTCCCGGGTCAGGAAGCCGGCGACTCGCTCACTGAGGTCTTGTTTGGCCAGGTCTCGCCCTCGGGTCACTTGCCCTATAGTATGCCTCGGTCCGAGGACGACTATCCTTCGAGTACAGACCTGATCACTTTTGAGTTCCTTGGGCAGGCACAGGATACGTATAGCGAGGGTCTGTACATTGACTACCGGTACCTGAACGCCAATGGGAAAACGCCGCGCTACGCCTTCGGACATGGCTTGTCGTATACCTCCTTCAACTTCTCATCGGTATCACTGGCCTCTGTGACAAAGTTGTCGACTGTTCCGCCCGCACGCCCTGCGAAGTCGACGAGTGTCGTCGCAAGCTTGAACCAAACCATCCCCGCGGCCTCGGAGGCGTACTATCCTACCGGCTTCAACAAGATTTGGAGATACCTGTACTCCTATCTCGACTCAGGCGAGGCGGACGCTGCTTACGCTGTGGGCCGATCCGGCACCGAATATGCTTACCCAGCCGGGTATTCCGAGAAGCAGAGCGCCGGCCCGCCGGCTGGCGGTCCAAATGGAGGCAATCCTGCTTTGTGGGATGTGGCGTATACCGTCTCCTTGACCGTGAACAACGCTGGGACGAAATTCTCTGGCAAGAGCGTGGTGCAGGCGTATGTGCAGTATCCGGGAGGGATACCTTATGATACGCCAGTGATCCAGCTTCGAGACTTTGTCAAGACGGGAAGTCTGGCACCCGGTGGCCGCCAGACAGTGAAGCTGAGTTTGACGCGCAAAGATTTGAGTGTGTGGGACACAGAGTTGCAGAACTGGGTTGTGCCACCAGGCGAATATAAGATATGGATCGGAGAGGCTAGCGATGATTTGACCTGGGTATGCTCGACAAGTAGCGGAAAATGTACCGAGACGGCGGATGGACCTGTGTAAGTATTTATACCTATCCTCGTTCATAGCTGTAAAGTTGTTTATAAGCGGTAATTATCATCAGTCTCTAACTAGTAGCGATGATTTTAAGATGTTCGTCATATCATCGCCTATGCATTTGCCTGAAGTCAAATTAGAACAGCTCGGTAGCAGCACTAGAAGCCAGGCAAGATGGAAAAATCCGCCCTGCCATTCCTAAACGCTTGTAAACTTGTCCTCGGTTGGTCCTCTTTGGTTTCGCGATTGTGGTGCTCTCACCTTCGGAGAATGTCAAATATCAAAAGTTCAGCCCCGTCACGACCAACAGACGAGTTTATCTCATGCCTTACTACGTGACCATGAGCATCTCGCAATTGCCTTCAATGAGGGCTGCCAAAGCTTTTGCATTACTCGAGCGGGCTGTGATAACTGACCACTGCATATATACAGGGATCAAATCCGCCAAATTGCGGGGATGCGCTTTTCGTGAGTCAAGCCATTCCTGCAAATATCCTCAATCGAGGCACATATCATCCCTGCGTACAGCATTGTCCGGCTCTGTCGCCTCTAGGTCAAAAGTCGCGAGACCCAAATGAAGTCAATTATTTCTTGGTTACGGCGACGTGGGAAAAACCAACCACCCGCGACAGAGGATGCCAGCGACGGGCTTAGCCGCCTTCCACTGGAGCTCCATTTTTTTGTGCTTGAGCACTTGGAACTAGGAGATTTCATGGCTGCGTTGAACGTTTGCTGCAGTTGGCGGTATATATGGCTGAGCGACGAAGTATGGCCATCTCTCGCATTGCGCTGGCTACCTGGTCTCTTGGAGCATATCAACTTTACAGTAGCTACTGATGAAAGAGGGGAGGCTTTCCGGCGCGCTTTGGTCAAACACCAGCTTCGTAATCATGGTCTCTTTTCCGATGTCTTGCAGCATAGCATGACACTCGAAAAGGATCGATATTTCAAGCTCAATAAGAAGGTGCCGGTCGAGGAGGGTGGCATACACTCATGTTCCAGTGTACGTGAGCCTGAACCTGATCTGGATCGCTTTGCCAGATTCAGATTATACAACAATGGGCGTATTGCATGGTGGCCCGAACCTTACGCGTTGCCTTACATCGCTGTCATTGACGATCTTCGGTCAAGGAAGCGGCATGTATTTTGCTTCCCAGGTCATAACGGAGAACAGGTAGGCTATCAGACCGCTCTGGGGGACAAGCTCTTCATCATGGGAAAAGAACGCAGATTGCACGCGTGGCATCTCGAAGAAGACACACACCAGTGCATTGAGCTGCCGTACGACTTTAAGAGGTGCGTCACGGATGGACATACCGTGCTCATTGTCGCGAAAGATTCGACTGTTTATTTGTGGAAGTTTGGCTCGGCTTTTCAACAGGTTGATATGTCCAACATGTATGAGAAAGCACCAGTTACATGGGGCGATCAAGGCGACTTTGTTCCGAGCGTATTGGGTCCACACCGTGTTGGCTTATGGCTGCGATGGGCAAATGTTGCTCTTGACTTCATTATTCACCCAAATGTCGCGCAGGGGTTCTTCGTTGTGACCTTAAGCGGCGGGATTTTATCAGTCCATGAAATTAATGCTGGTGTCCTGGTCAGTTCTTATACGTTAAACGAAGAGATGCTATCTCGGCGCGCACTGGAGATTTCCGGGCAATTGCGCTGGGAAAAGATCGATTCCAGAGGGGGCTATAGTCTTCTTTCGGTCTACCCAATGCCGAGAGGAAGCCCTACAGAGGACGGCAACGACGAAATATGCCGTGAGATATCTTGCCGCTGTCAAACCTGGTGGAGCGTTGGCGGACACACCCTGGTAACGGTCTGCTTCAATATCTATACCAAATCGTTCGAGGTCCTCCGCCATCAGCCACTGTCCTACTACCAGCCTAGGACATTCCACATATGGAATCAGCAGCTGTTGGCTGTCGGACGGGGTCGTCCACCTAACGGATGGCACGTAGCGTCGTTCCATAAGTATAACGGTTGGACCAACGTTCAATCTCTTAGTTCTGTGCCGCTTTATACCACCTCTAAGCTTAAGCTCGCCGGATCGTCCAGGCTTGCAAGACGACGGATGACTTTCGAGGAATTGGAGATAAACGACATGGATACACATGTCAAGGTCCCATACAATCTGAAATACATCCTTGATGCCAGACAACTCAGTACGTCTAATCGCGCGCCTTTACAACAAGAAATCACGAATAATATGCGACTTGTTGGAGATGACGACTACCTAATTATGTTTGAAGAAGGAGGGTACATGGCTTGGTGCTTCAGCGATAACATTGCCTAGTAGTCACCTATTCGACATATCGTATTTGACGAAGATTTTCGAAGGTCTCTGAAATATTCTACCCAATAAAGCTAGAGTTTATCTATTGGTAGCCAAAGGACATTACATAGAAGTTCGATGCCTTTAGTTGAGCTGTTCTGTCTGTCATCGTTGTTTCGATGTATTCATGTTCTGGTTTGTTAGCCTCACTGGCCCTATCTTGGGCTCAAATTGCTGGCATGTTGGAATTCAACAACATCTAGCACTTCTTTACGATGGCAAATCTAAATGAAAGCTTTGCGGGACAAACCTTGCCTTCTAAACACTACTTATGACCAACTTCAACACCTATGTGATGTCGATGACACCTTCAACGCATGATACTAGTGCAAAGATCACTCATGCAGCGCCCTTGACATACTGGATATGTGTCGCACAATAATACAAGCCTTTGCAAGATTCTGGAGCCGTCATAGGCGATCAATTACATTTTGGGCCTATCGTAGTAGTGGTCCCCCTCACTGTGCAGAAGAGAAGCATTATGCCAAACAGATGACCGTGAAGTAACTGGGAAACGAATCCTATATGTGCTATGACGTAACAGTCGTAGAGTTGTTGCAGCCTGGGGACAATATTGCATAGATTATTAACCGCAGGGGGGCAAGTGCCAGTTTCTGTTCCAAGATGCTTACACGCTGCACAGAGTATGCGAGAGAACAGATTTACCCCTCGCGAAAATCATCTGCTCCACTGCGGTTTTTTGTTCTTTTTTCTGCCTGCTACCATAGCTTGCATAGTAAACCTCCTGGTATTGGCTAAGCCTGTTGTCCCCAGTCAATGTCTAGGCTCGACCAGGTTCCCCGCGCTGCCCGTCACCGAGACTGAATCATACACAATTACGGCACGTTTAGCCCCAGAGCGTCCGGATGTATACACGTGCAATCAATCCGGTAGGAATATGAGCTGTGTTAAGTAAGTTCCATAGCAAACTCCTTACGTATCTGAAGGTAGGACATGGTCAAGAGAGCGGAAGGATCATGTCAAACCTCGATAAACAATCTGGTCTACCCATAAGGCAAACGAAATTCTTACGTGCATCAAACTCATCTTATCAACGCTAGGCTAAAAGCAAGAGTCCAGCCTTATAAGGTGTGAGCACTGAGCATCCGTAGAGTATTGTGATATTAACTGAGGGTCCGCCTGTTAGCCAGGATGTTAAAAATAGGATGAGCTCTTCTCAGGTGGCCGTGATAAAGCCACCGAATAATGCAGCCACCGGAGGATAAAGTACTCCCCAGACAAGGAACTTTAGGCGTCCTGCCTGAGAGCGGTATAATCCGTAATGACGCATCTTTGGTTCAAGAGCATAAGGCTGTATTCAGCTGGCCCATTGCCTATTGCCACCATACGGGGCACGACCAAATATTGGAGATGGACCCCACGAACAGAACCCACTTTTTCATTGCAACATCACCTGCATAGGACGACGCCAACAATTTTCCACGTACATATATAGTACGATCCTTCACCAAGAGCAACGGCCGACTGGCATCGTCACAAGTAAATCCGCTTACATCTGTTGCGGCGCAGCAAGCCAAGCCCGCCTGTGCCCAGACTGGGAGGATTGTGTTGGCAACAACATCACATCATGTCATAACCCCGCGTCAGCTCATTATGTAGTTAAATACAGCCAGAACATTTGAATGACACACTTTGTCCCACCATTCCATAGGAGCATACCCCATTCACAGTATACCAGACACCATCCCGTATTACCACATCTTCTTGTAGACGATACTGACAGAGGCCGTCCGCTCCAAAATGGCCAACCCCGATGAACTCCGTCAGAAGTACTTTACTTTCATAGCGCCTTCGTATTCCCACCTCACCGGTAACACAACCCGCGACAACTTTGCCTCTGTTCTCTCTCAGCGTGACCTAAACATCACCTCAGCATCGGTTGTCCACGACAATGCTGCAGGTCCAGGCACAGCCACATCTGCCTTGATACCATGGGCTGAATCACGCGGTCTCAGCCCCAAGATAGTAGTCACAGACTATATCCCGGGCATGATCCAGGCGTTCGAGAAGCTCAAGTCCAGCCATACGGACAGCAAGCTTTGGCAGAGCACTGAGGGCAAGGTTGTCAATTCACTTGACCTTTCTGAGTTCCCGGATGGGCACTTCACTCACACGATCGACAACTTCAGCGTCTCAACTTTCGGTAATAAGGAGCAGCAGGAGCAAGGTCTGCGGGAAGTCTACAGAACTCTAGGTGAAGGGGGTTTGGCGGTGTTTCTGACCTGGAAGCGCTTTCCCGTTGCGGAGTTCATAGAGCAGGCACAGGCAGAGATCAAGGGCGAGGAGTGGGCTGGGGAGCATCGGGTTCCTGTCAACGGAGCGGAGTTCTTCCAGGAAGGTTATCTCGCAAAGCTGGCGGTTCAGGCTGGTTGGAACAAGGACAACGTCCAGACCACCACTACCAGCTCTTTACTCAAAGAAGGCGAAGATGAGGAGGGGCTGTTCAAGTTCCTCCAAAGTAGTCCACCGGCCATGCTTGCCAAGCGGGGTTTGACGGAGGAGGAGAGTGCCAAATGGCCCGAGGCGATCAAGCACGCAATTCAAAAGGAGAAGGAGTCGCACGGCGGTATCCTCACTGAGTCCTGGGTTGTCTTGGCGAAGAAGTAACCGTGCAGAGTGACGATAGCATTAGACAATGTAATGGAGAATTGATGAGATGCTAATGGCTCCTGTTAGAGTGAGCAAAATTTTTTTTTTTTTTTGATATATTAGACAAATTTGCTCAACGCCATATCTCCTGATCTATCTGCAACTTGCATCCCACGAATAGCCACCATCACTGATAATCACGACTAAACAATATTTCGGCACTCCCAATCCCCCGGTGTGTCTATACTTCCAAATTCCGAGTGCTTTGCTTGCTCATGGTAAAGACATAAGTAGCGAAGGCTCCATGTTTCTAAATGTAGTAAACAATTGACATACTTGGTGACACCGAGCATCTCAAGTGCAGCATCACCTCCAACCCATTTCACCCCAAGCTTGGATAATATCGTGACCGGCATTGTTCATAACCAGGCAACAGAGTACAACAACAACGACAACAACACCGCAAATATGCTACGGCAGATAGTTCCTCGAGCTGGGAGGGCTTTCAGAGCACCAGCTGCTCGCCAATTGCTTCCCTTGGTCTCCGGACAAGCAGCAAGATGCTACAGCATCCAACCCAAAGCAGCCTCGGACTCTAAATCCGGTCGGCAACTGTTAGGTCGTCGTATGTGAACTGAGTACAGTTCCATGTACTATCCTTAAAGAACCACCGCTTATCCACCATTGATGTATGATTGACGGCTATTTGACGTTCTCTATGATGATGGCAGAGAAATAGTCCGACGTATAATTCCAAACGCCAACAACAGCCGCGGCGAAAAGCATATGAACCCAAACAAGATATCTCGGCATGGCTGGTAACCGAATTGCGAAGTCCGCAGAGATGCGCAAGCCAACAGGTTATTCCTACAATTGGACTTTAAGCCGCATTTGATATGATAGAAATTCTACGACCAACGTCGAATGCCAGCGCGGTGGCACCGAATGCGTGACCAGCTAGTGTGAGCTACCTTGAGTCTGTGATTCACCCACCGACGTTGCGGAAAGCGGTATGGTGACCCTCTATGCAGTCTACTGCCATATTCGAGATCCATTCCAATTCATGGAATATAGATGTGAGCAAGTTTCAACCGGGAATCGTCATGGTGGTTTGCCTAACCTAGGAGGTGGGTGCTATGTAAGTGGCGCGTACCAAAAACCGTTCATGGAGATATGGTGGCCAGCTGGCTGCGATGGTGTGGGTCTGCTGCCAATCTGAGCGAGACCCCTGAATTGCAGTGAGACCGGTCCATGGGAAGGCCTCGGCCCTTGAACCGATAATTGCAACTTCGCCCACGATCCTGCGAAAGTGGAAGTAATTCATTGCCAGTCGGCCAATTGGCTTAGCGAGTCTCTTTATCATTTAACTACAGAGACCCTCGATTCGACACGTCAACAGAATGTCAGGCATCGACTCCCCCGAGATCCTCGCGGCTTACGACGCCGTGCGCTCCGACAAGGACGAGACGAAATGGCTCCTCATCTCCTACGCCAGCGCCGTCGGCGATAAGCTTGCCCTCACTGCGACGGGCACGGGCGGTCTCGAAGAACTTGCCGGCAAGCTCGACGAGAGCCAGGCGCAATATGCGTATGTTCGGGTGGAATATGCCAACGACACCGAGTCGAAGCGGGTCAAGTTCGCGCTGGTCATCTGGATCGGCGAGAGCACCAAGGTGATGCGCAAGGCACGCGTTAGCATTGAGAGTGGAAACGTCAAGAGGGTCCTTGCGCATCACTCCATCACCGTCGACGCAAGGGACAAGAGCGATGTCACCGAGAAGGAGATTGTGCCTCGATTGCGGAAGGCAGGAGGTGCTGATTACAATGGTGGGAGGGGCTGATCTGTTTGTTGTTGTTCTTGTTGTTTGTAGCCAATGTCGTGGCGGGCGGTGTCGGTGTCGGTGTGGATGGTGGGGGCACTCGTAGGAGGAGTCAATCCTTGGGGACAGGCGGCTTCATTCATTGCGATGCATTTGCGAGCGGTGCCAGTTTTGGGTAGAAAAACACACAGAATCCATCATAAGAGGTCCACGCGAGTCTCGAGCAACTGCAGATGCAGTTCATCTCCATGCTTCCATCCAGACACTCACTTCACAAGCACAAACCAGCTTAGTCATATTGCATTGCATGGTGGGGTGAACCCTGAAGTCGCCGATTGCCCCTCCATTCAGAATTCAGGGTTCCTGAACATCGAGAACTGCATCAAGTAGGAACGAACCGTCTTGTCAAGATGGAGGTCTCAAATCCGCGACGAATACTTGCTGTCTCGTTGTCCGACGCAGAGCACCATCTGAGTAAAGTCGTCAAAGGTGAGCTTCTCTCGCTCGGTATAGATGAACCCTCGAACCGTCTCGTCCCTTGAGACCCCATAAATTTCTCTCCCTTCGAATATCGACATTCCCAAGACTAACACGCCGTTCAGACCTCACTGGCAATGTACCAGAAACCGCATCAACGACGCTAGCAGGGACCACACATGACCTCGAGCTTGAAACTGCATATTACACAGCATCAGTACCCATCTGGCTCGACCTCATCTCAGATCCTTCAGGCTGGTCAGAGTCGTTTCTCTCACCCGAGGCCAAGGAGGTCCTCAATGTCCTCGGCGGCGTTGTCGTGGTCTTCCCTCTGCCTCAGAAATCAGACTCTGACGAAGCACAGGCGGCCAGAGATCTTATTCAGCATGTCGGCAAAGTCGTCCAAGAAGGACTAGGTGGCTGGCAATGGGAAGGCGTCAGCCTCTGCCTGGGCATCGGAGAGAACGACGATGTTGATGAGTGGGATGAGCATGCCGCAGAAAGTGGTTTGGAATTTGTGCAGGTACGGGCCAAGAGCACCGAAACACGTAATGAGTATGGCGGTATGTATCCATCACTGGTCTTCCTTTAAAACAGCCCCCAGCTTATATCCCCGTGACAGAGAAAACCGGAATCTCACGTGCCCGAGAGGCTCTCGAGGCCAATGATTGGGCGCAAATGGACGAAGATCTAGGGTCAGATTTTGGCGATTTCGAGGAATCCTTAGATGTCAACGACGAAACTGGCCAACCGGGCACTTCGGGCGATAAAGCTCCTGATCTCGACCCTGAGAGTCTTGATTTCGGGTTTGACAAGGCTGATTTCGAGGGCCTCAAGCGAGCCATATGGAACTCGGGCCAAGAGGATGCAGAAGACTTCATGAACGGCGAGCCAAGTAGACGGGGAGTAGCTGCAGAAGTCGATGGCGAAGACGTCAAGCTAGATGATGATGAAATTCAGAAGCTTGAGGGGATGATGCAAAAGCTTCAAGCTGTCAAGGACATGAGCGCAGGATTACCCGAGGAGCAACGGAAACGGATGGCTGCAAAGGCGGTCAATGAAGTCATGAAGGACCTATGAGTGACTTTTCAATCATCTGGCGAGTGCAGTGACGCAATGAGAGTCATGCGTTTTGTTTGTGTTAGAGCACAAAGGTCATATTCGCACTGCATATCTCTACATGGGAAAGCATATGGGTGGGGTTGTATCGATCCAACGCGCGCAGCGAGAGCTGTAGGATGCATAACATGGTACCCGTTACATTTTAAGCAGGCCTTCCTTGCAGCTACTCGTTGATGTCCTGTGTCACTGTCTCCATTGGGCAGTCTCAACATCCACATACAAGTTAGTGATAACTTCATGTCAACCAATACCACACGCCAATTGCGCAAAAAACCATCCATGCCTTACCGATGAACATGCTCGTTCCTGACCGGTAGGCTCTATCTTTGTGCTAGTAAGCACATGGAGCTGATCCATGGTCCATCCCCGCGTAGACACCTAGGCAATGCTTATGTGAAAGCAGGAACTTCATAGAACGCGGATATTGTGCCAAGAAAGTTGTCAACTCAAGGTCATGACTATAAAAATGAAATAAGATACACCTAGAGTTGAATGATGGGTGTCAGGAATAACTATTCCTCAGTCAACTTGGGGAGAAGAAAAAAGAACACAAGACATGAAAGAATGAGAAGAACTAGAAGAACTAGAAGCAGACTTGACAAAAAGTTCGTGTGAGTGAGTGAGCACACACTATACATCTGCTGACTGCCGGGTTCGAACCGACGCATCTTTCGATAGTAGAGCTTAAGTCTACCGCCTTAGACCACTCGGCCAAGTCAGCTACATCAATATTACATAATGACCCATATTACGTCTTATGATAGTACTGTTAAAAAGTGGAGATACATAAATGATCAACCTCGTAAGTTCCAGCAAACGCGCGTGGTGCAATGCTTAAACTGCTAATGGGTACCAATCATTTAGCCGTGGTTACAATAATCCTTGAAACTTTCACATTCGTTGTCCTTCCAAAACATCCCACTGAAGGAGGGCTTGCTGTGTTACACCGCGGTGTCATATATGATCGATTCAAGTTCTAACCCCTCAATATCTCCATTGGTATACATAGGGTGCTTTCCTCTTGGGTTTTTTTCTTTCTTTCTTTTTTCTCTCTTCTTTTTTACCTGAGGCTAAGCTCCCGTGGGGTGATCTGCTCTGACGGACTTTGATAGTTGCAAAAACTTTAAACTCGTGCCATTTGGGCTCCATTTCAGGGGGTTCGGCTGATGGCTTACACAGGAATCTTCCGAAAGATGAAAGCGCTATCGACCTTCACACAAACATGCTGGTGTAGATCTTTCACTGGCGCGGAAAGCGTTTGTTCCAAATGGGATACGCCAAGTCGTCAGTTACATAGTACTTGGCAGAAATGAGACCGGATCACCATAGTGAAAACAAGGTAGACTAAAGGCAGAGAGTCGGGATAATAGATAATTATAGTTTGACAGCACCCATGGATCTACTTTTGGAAGCTTGGCTAAAACCAAATAATGAATCGGTAGGGTCAGATCTGTGGATAGTACGTGGTACAAGAACAGCATCGTCCATCCGGACGGTTGAGCTTAACGGGCCAAGTAGCATTCTTCGCTTAGAGATGGGGCCGAAAGGTGGGGGCGTGACTGTCTTTCAAGATGTACATACATTCAGGGCCGACCAGCAAGGGTTGCGACGGATAGGTGCCCGAGAGCTGTCCACAAAGGTGTTGACTGTAACTGTAGCTGTCGAGAGAACATAAAGCCTCACTTGATCTGCTTGGCACTCAAAGAAGCAGCCCACGTCGAAACAGATTCTGAGCTCCGTTGAGACCAAGGACTGTAGGTAAATCATCTTTGCTCTGAAGGACCATCTCTGTATCCCGTCGAGCATTTGGACGACGGCTGACCTAGGCTCAAGACCATTTACGAGACGTGCTTTCGCCAGTCGTTCAGGCAGAAACTATTTTAATCACTACGAAACGGTTATATTCGCTGTTGGCAACAGTGCGAAGGTCTTGGCCGATCCTTAATGCATGTAACGTTATGCAGGGGCAGAACGAAGTAACAGCTAGTTATTGGCTGGGGCCAGGCCACTGTTCATGCAAGCCCAAGGTTGGTTGAGGCCATCTTTTAGAAATGGGCGTTGACGTGGGCAGGTCCAGTGATGGTTTTTTTAATATACTAGTAACCGGTGAGCGCTAGGATGCCATGCCCTATCTGATGTGCCGGCACTGCAAAAGTGCAGGCTGGGCATAGTATACAAAGCCAAAATTCGGGGTCGGGGGTGAATGGTTTCCACGCGCAGCTCAAAGGAGTTTGCGCATTCGTGACTGACATGGTGTCGAAGCATTGCTAGATGGCAAACGCAGGCGCGCTACAGGGCTTGGATACGACTATACTCGATAAGGTGCAGAGTTAGCACGATTCAAATAGATGAACGCAGCAGAAACAGAATAAAAAAGGCGCTACGCAGTCTCATGCGGCTGAGGCGGAGCTTAAGGCTAGATCATCGGACGAAAGCTGGTGCTTGCCGTACAGGGACGGGGCATGTCAGATTCTCTGCCGCTGGCCGTTGTCGTTTCCAGGTATATGCATGTCCACGTCCGAACACACTGTGGTATGGTGATCTGCACCTTGAGAGCTTGCAGATGATACTTCCTAAGGCACATTTGCCTTGGTCGTTCCGCCTATCCAAGTGATGTGTCTTGAGAGCGTACTCTGCTTTAACTTCGGCACGGTTGCTGATTCTATACAGTGATGCAATTTGACGCAACTAGCAGAGCCGTCTAACCTAGGTCAGATACTACATCATGGTCAAATATTTTGAATCAAGGCCACGGGACATTGTTGTATAGAATATGGAGCATACAATAGAAGAGGAGAGATATGTTACGAATACTATTAGACAGCAGGAAGTTGGTGGATCCGACAGTTAGAGAATTTGCGAAGCGCTTGAATGGGCGGGGGGCATCAGTCCATGGTGGTTTCGTCATGAGAGAATGGTTCCTCAGTCACGCCAGCCAGCCCATGGACGGGTTTGTGGCGCGACCAGACATCACTGCCCAGATGGCGTGCTTCTAAATACACAACGGTTAGACTGAAAGCCACTGACCAATAAACTGAGGGCTTGCGTCTCTAGAAGGACGAGGCCAGAGCCGCGATGGCTTCCGATTGATCGCGCACCATGCAATGATTTTCCGCAAGGCGATGGAAGCTGCAAATGTTCGGACCTCTAGAGGAGCGCGGGATCTTTGAAGATCATGGCAGAAACGCACCTAGCTTCAACTGTGGTTGACCGTCTGGCCTGATAAAGGAGGATAGCGTTCCGTGAGGATGATGCCTCGATGCACCGCCCACGACGGACAAGACTAATGCATTGCAGCTAATCGCGCTCCGTCTACACAGTGCGCGACCATAGTTTGCATCGCGTGTGGCTAGAGGAAGCGCTACTGCAGGAACGAAAATACTGCATGTCTGTGTGCATCAGACCGGCGCAAGTACAATTGTGAGCCAATGTGATTGAGGCCAGAGGCGGAGGTTCAAACGGAGGATTGGACGAGTTGGACAGAACGCTGACATGGGGTCTGCTTGATCTGGTCATTGGCTAGTTTGTGCTAGAGCCGACGTGCATGTCTTGAGTTTGGCAGAGGAGAAGCGCGCAGGGATATCCAAACGGGCAACAGGATGGACCAGGCTTCCTCGTGCAGTCAGTGGATTGGCTGACTGTGGCGTGGGCATCAGCAGGATCACGTCTCCTCAGGCTTTGGGCAATGGGAACGAAGGTCTGCTCGAATGGCGAACCCAAGAGGACATGATGAGCCGCCGATTGATCCGATCTGGCCGACACGAAGTTCCAAGGGGGAATGACGATGCCGGCCGCGGGAACCTGGAGCGGCTTGAGACGATTGAAAAAAAAAAAAAAAGACAAAAAAAAATTGGGAAAAAACTGGCCCACGCTTGATGGCGCTTCAATGGTCAGTAAATGGTAAATATATCTATCCTGCGACGTGCAGAGTCACGAGGTGACGATGGCAATAATGGCGATGCACTATCAGTCCTAATGCCTAACTACTTAGACCTGTACTGTAGTAGACCAAGAACCAAAAGATTATGCACGATGTTAGAGGATCCTGGTCGTTTGCTTGGCTTGGGCTTGCTTAGGTTACGGCCCCTTTACTCGTGCGTTTGCCGATTCATGCAGCTCCGCAGAACTCGGGTAGACGGTGGGGTGATGCATGCATGTCATTGGATGGCTGCCCGTAGGCGGAGACCGACGGATCAGACATATTATTCTGATTGGCTGCCGAGCACGCGCCAGCTTTCAAAACGACCCCACGTTCAGCATCAGAAACAGCAAAAGTAAGTCTAGCAAACCATACTCGGGCGAAGAGCTAGAGCTTTAGAAGCTTGACAACATCAGGACCAAATGCTATTTGTGGCGTCAGCCATTGTCAATTCGTTATGACGGAGGCTGCTTTGAGAGTTGATGCTGCGCTTCTGACCACTATACTGCTATCTCATCCATCGAATTGATTCAGGAAAGAGGGGCGAGAGGAATGGGCTTGTGTCAGGTAGTAAACGTCGTGTCCGGTTCCATGGCCCGTTAGAGAACGGGTCCTCGGCGCAGCTGATCGAGCGGCAGGCAGAATCGGGCATATAGGAGGTAGCTTCCAAGCAAAGACCCTTCCGTGTGATGTTATGTTGTCGTTCAGCGAAGTAGAGAAACATCAAAGGGTTGTATCAACAACATCTTGGGTCGCGCCAGGGTTATTCAGTTACCACAACAACATCCCGAGCAGCATTCATTCGCTTCCCAAGGTTCGACACGATGAAGACAGGTAACCCAATGCCTGGGAGGTCGCCAGATCTACTGATGCTGTTGGCTGATAGATACTGGTGTCTCGGCTTGTTGTGAACTTTCTGACCTCCACTCAACCTTGCATGCCCGAGGCTAGTGGGAGCCACCAAGGGCGGTAGGACTAAAAAGCTAGACTCGAACAAGCTACATAATCGCGTGTGAGTGGTTCTTCTGCAAACATGCAAAGCCGCTGCATCCTCGTTAGAGGTACAGTAGACAGCATGTATGCTGGACGAGGCAATGCCGAAAAAAAGAACCAAATTTTTTTACTGGGACGATCTGATCCAGCACAGGATGAACGTCTTCGATCCTCAAAAGGGATAGTCGGACGAACACCCACAAAACGTCACATGACGATCCTAAGTGGGTAAATGGCTCCAGTCGCAGTAGAAGAGCGGTATGGTATGGACTCAGAAATATACTATCTCCTATCTGAGCTCAACCGCCGGCACGTCGTCAATGCTTGACCAGACTTAACAACGTGGTGAACATTCTCCGTGATCAGCATTTGGACAATTTCTGTCTTGATCTCCTGCTGCACGGGGATAGGCACAAGAGCAATTGGGGAATCCGGTTCCAAGTCCCAGCCGTCTGGCCATCTGTTTGATGCAGTCGCTGCTCCGACCATGCGGCCACTGATGGCATATCCATAACTCCATACTTTGAGCGCGTAAGACAGTTCACACTGTCTGGTTTCCAAAGTCGGACAAGTGTCAGGGGTTTGCACCAAGGTTCTAGGGACCCTTGCACGACGGCGCTAGAGCCAAGTACTCCTAAGGAACCTTAGAGCATCGGGCCCTTGCGCCAAAAGAATGTCCTTCGCTCTGCTTTGGCGTTCCTAGTTCTCGCGCGCTGTTTGCTATTGCTTGTGCGATAACTTGCGGTTAGTCATCAGCCGTAAACCTGCCAAGATCCTATACCCAAAAGTACCCATCAAGTCACTTCTGTGATCGCCCCCCAATTGCCGTCAGTTTCACTGGATCAAATGATGGATCTGCCTGGGTCTGACTGGGTCTGACTGGCGGTGCCTTTTCTCTTTTGTCCCACCCGCGGCCAGCGATCCAATCCACAGAACCCGACGAAGAACACCACTCGCGAAACCGCTGCGCCCGAAACGGAAACGTCCTGTTACCTTTCGCTCTGGAAACTACCCGCTGTCTTGAACTGTTCAGGCCAAGTGGCTGCTGTAACTCACTCAACTGTTCTGTTGTGCTGCGCTGGTGCTCCGTTGCCTGAGCTATGTGTGTACCGCGAGGTGCTGGATTAAACGTTGAGTCTCCATCTCTTTTCTTATGTATGTATGTATGTATTTATGTGTGTGTGTGTGTCCTGTGGCTACTTAGTGTTCGTATCTGCGAATGTTAGTCCTGTCCATCTGCATACTGCTGCTGCATCGTCTTGGCCCAGTTAGGAATGGTAAGGCATTACAAGGTACTATGTAGAAGAGAAGAGAAGAGAGACGGTGTGTAGTAGCCAGGCTCAAATGGAACATCTCGCACCGCTTGTGCAGCCAAAGTGCAGCGCTGCTCCCCACCAGTGCGAGCGCTCCATCGTGAGTATGGCCGGCTGGGGTTCAAGGGGGCCCCCTAGCCCGCCAAAAGACAAGTCCTTCCGCGCAGAATCCAGGAACCCAAGCCCAAGACCTCTCCTCCAAGTAAGCCTACCCACAGGGGACCCGCTCGGGTTTTTTTAGTATGTGCCGCCACCCCTTCTCACTCTCTCCTCCTTTCCCTTTTTCCCTTTCCCTACCTGAACTCATCCATCGCCTTCATTGTCGTATGGTCTTATCGTTTGATCGATAATTCCTCCTCTTTTCTCTCAGTCTTTCCTTTCCTTCATCCACACTCCCTCTTTTGTATTTCAGCCAGTACGGACACCGTCACTCCTTCCGGGTCCATTCCATTCCTTAGGCCTCTAACTACTTCGGTCCTTTGATATTATTACAGCACCGACTATCAGAATACCTCCTTATCCATACACTTTGGACTTGGACGACACTCCTTGAACACTTTCACACAGGATCTGAACCTATATTTTTTTGTCGGTTTGCCCACGACCCAACCCCACGTTCGGTCTCGATATAGCAAAACGCAAAACGCGTCTGATTCCACCCTGTACACAGCTTACACTCATTGAGAGAATAACGGAGCTTGCAAGAACTTTCTTGGGCAAAGTTCACAACACTCCATCATGGACGCGATCAAGATGGAGCCCTCTGGTTCTGCGGTTCCAATTACCATAGATACTTGCCACTCCCCTTCCGACATGATGTCTACCCCTGGACCAACTAGCGCGTCTGCTATGAAGTCAGACCAGTCGCCGTCGCCGACATCCTCTGCCACTTCCAATTCGAAATCACAGTCGGCGCAGTCGAGAAGGCCTCCGCGCAAGAGCACCCTGACGCAGCAGCAAAAGAACCAGAAGCGTCAGCGTGCAACTCAAGACCAGTTGACAACGTTGGAGATGGAGTTCAACAAAAACCCTACCCCCACAGCCAATGTTCGGGAAAGGATTGCGGATGAGATCAACATGACCGAAAGGTCTGTGCAGATCTGGTTCCAAAACAGGTACGTAGAGTTGGGTGTCTTGTCGGGCTTGCTGGACTAACAGTACCTAGGCGTGCCAAGATCAAGCTGCTGGCCAAGAAGAGCTTGGAGACGGGCGAAGATATCGACTCGATACCCGAGTCCATGAGGGCCTATCTGGCTATGCAGGCAATGGAGTCCGGCAAAGGAATGGGCGGTGCCTTTCTCGGTAGAACCGGCCTCGTGCCGTATGGCACGTCTATGATGTTGGGTGGTGACCAAGGCGGCCAGGGCAAGGTCCTCATCCACCATTTGACCTGCCGCTCCTTGACCATTGGCAAGTGGACTCGTGTTGGGCAAAACACTATGGATCTGATCATCTTCTACTCGCCTGAGAAGTGCACTATGACGTACTACATCAACAACGAACAGGCTGGGTACAAGATTGAGTACCACTTTAGCGCCATCAAGAGTATCTCCCTCGATAACCCTGAAGGCGACCCGAACAGGCCCGCCGGCATTGTCATCGAGCTGAACCGGCCACCGAACTTCTTCATGGATTCTTCGCCCAACTCAAATGGATTCTTCCAATGCGGTGATTTCACAGAGGACCAACAGGCTACTCAATGCTTCGTGCATCACCTTGGTGGAACTCCAAAGGTCCTGAGTGGTCAATTGGCAAAGCTCGTGTCTTTGGAGTCCTTCATGAACAGGCACAACCCTCATTCGTTCATGGACCAACAGCACGCCATCGCCATGTCAGCACCTGTTTCGCCCACTGCGCGTCCTTCTTCACAACCCAATTTCGCACAGCCTCACATTGGAATGTTCCAGGAATCTCAATGGGGTATTAGTCCAATGCATCCAGGCATGCGCGCCGGCCCCGGGCACAAGCGCCAGCGCAGTCGATCAGTCCCTGCTCCTGTTGATTTTTCGCTATTCCAGAACCCGATGCCTTCATTCTTCATCCAACACCCTGGCGAGACACAACCTCATCCCCACAACCCCAACGTGTTTGCGCCCGTACCACAACACCCACACCAGCTCAGTCCTGTAGGTCCTGGTCTACGTATTGATACTCAGGCGGGATATGGTATGGATTTACGGCCTTATCCTCTGTCTGCCACCAGCGCTCCCTCAGAATACTCCACCAACTCCAACTACTTCTCACAGGCACCTGAGAACACTCCACTCCCAGCATCAAACTACAACACCCCATATAGCAGCACATTCCTGTCCCCCATGGTTCAGCCTCAGAGCATGGTCCCTCAATCAGTGTCGCCTCTCCCATTCGGACACGGAGACCCTGCCATTGTTGAGCAGTCTCCGCCAATGGGTCTCATGCGTAGCGCATCTGCTGATATCTACCCTATGGGTGATTCTGCCGTCTCAGATGATGGCCACAGCCTCAATGAGATGTACCAGAAGCACAGCATCAACCTGCCAATGCACCCACATTCGCCCGCCTTCGTTGAACACAATCAAGCTGACCTGGACATGAGCCAACTGGTCCAATTTGATGGAATGGACCACGGCACCCCCGAGAGCATGGCTCATCATCAACATTGATAAGAGCCGCTCACTGACTAGCTGTGTTGGTCATGTCGTATATACTTATTCGGCTTTGGTTTTCATGCCATTTCATGTTCATTCGATTGGCGTTTCGGCACTATATACCTCTTGTCTTTCGGTGGCGCTGTCTCCTTAATCCCAGTCTCAACACTCCAAACCAAGCCCTCTTGCGCATGAACTCGATTCAGTTCTTGTCACCTTCATCGACTTCATCAGCCACAATTTTTTTTGCATGACGATACCTTTCTTTGGCATTCGACATTGCGTCTGGCACAGCGATCATATATCTGGTATTTTCCCTCTTTACTTTACTCGGTCTGGGAGGTCATCCGACTCTTCTCTTAGTACCCTTGACCTTTTGCGACAACAATAACAACGACATGCGATAATACTGTGGATTTCCTCATTTATCTGCGTACCTTCTGCGATATTCGAATCTGCTTTCGCGACTGTTCTTGACTTCTACATTCTTCTTTTGTTTTTTTCGCACATGATGAAACAAGGCGATCTCTGTTATTTCTGGCTGCAGGGCGAATCAAAATAGATGAAATTTGGTGAAAGCCCAGGAGGCTTGGGTTTTCTGGTTATAATCTTTAGTGGGTATTGCCGGGGGGTCTTGGTCTCATGGTTGGAGCTGGTCCCCTTGGGAAGTAAGCCTGTCTGTTGGAACATGGGCAGCTTCAGGCGGTGCACCAACTGGGTGTTCCGCCAGGGTCATGGAAGAAATGGCGAACGAGTAGCAGAGTCTGACTACGGCGGCCTGCTTCCACGGCGAAAGCCTGGATCCATCATGCCTTGGTCATTGATGAGCTAGGCTAGATATCCACCTCATCATCACTCCTATAGTTCAAGAGATTCTTGTGTGGCTGTGTTTTCCTTGTCACGACTTCACGGCGCAGGGCATAATCTGGGAAATATAAAATGATTTTAGCTACTTTGTCTTGACGCTTGCATGTGACTTGATTTTAAGCTTTCTCTTCTCATCGCGTTGCAGCAGCTTGCAGCTACGCGCTTAAACTCTACACATGCTCTCTGCGCCTCGTGTCAAACCTCGGCGCATGCCAAGAGGAGCACCAGAGAGGCAAGGTGCAGCAAGATTCGCTCCCGAACAGATCCACTACATGCGGCTTGCTGGCTTTGCGCGGTAGGCTTCCCTGGATACCCACAGCGGCAGGACCTGGGCACTCTCTAGCCCACGACATCTACGCGGGGGACTAATGTGCACCTCTACGAAACGAGCAGAGCGCGCCGCGGGCATTCATGATCGGAGCACCGTGGGGCCACGGGGCGGAGCTGTCCGGGATGGCCCGCGCGGCATGGTACGACGCCTAGCCAATGGGCAGAAAGAGGACGGGGCATCCGTGAGCGAGGCTGTTTACTTACTTGCCTAATGGTGACTCAGGGTTGAACACTAACTGCGCAGGCCCTGCAGTCTTGCTCGCAGCCCTGTACGAGGCCGTCTGTCGGGCCCGTCTTAGGCCTCTGGTATACCTTGTTAAACTGTCTTCGCAGATGCGGACGCCATAACATCCATAGCAGTCTCCATCACTGCGGTGAACAAGGTGGCGGAGTCCCAGCAGACTGACGCAGTCTTCAGAGGACACTGTGGTCAAGAAACCAAGAATGATGTGGGTTGGGCCTACATGCCTAGTTCTTAACAGATAATGATTCTCGTGTTACTAATGTTGTCTATTGGGACTCGAAGGTCCCGCCGCTATCGATCTTTCCCAGCTCGCCTCCTAACCCAGCAGTTTCGTTATTGTCGTGTTGCGCGTTACCTCGTTCCATGTCGTTTAAACCCGCATGTGCTTCCAACACCTTCCCAGTCCCTAAATGCTCTATCTCCTGCCACAAGTCTTGGTCTGTGGGAAAGTATACCCGCCTCAGAGCAGTAATACAAAGTTCGAGTATGATAAGTGTTGCGAGCGCGAGTATGGCGGTAATCCACCAAAGTGGTTGCCTCCCAAAATGAGTGGTGAAGTTTTTCATCGTGGGATATTCTATTTGTTTGTTTTTTGCAATTGCGGTTGTGCTCAGAATGATATTCCAAAGCCACCAGGCGCCTATCATAAGCAGCCAACCTAGCAATGGAACATACGTCTTGTTGTGCATTTCGAGAACGAAAAGCTTTATGTTGATGAAAACTACCCCGATGCAGCAAACCAGCTGACCAATGGAAAAGAGGTCTGTGGCGTGTTGTCCGTAGAGCCCGTAGACAATCTCAAACATAATGATGCTTTCGACGATGCCCAATATGCACCATCCAATCCACTTTCTGTAATTGAAGGCCTTGTTGTCTTGACCATACTGTGAAAACTGATCAGTACTCGTCGTTTTACTTTGCTTGTGTGACTTTTGCTTACGGTGTATAATTCTGGAACGGCCAGCAGTGTCGTGGCTTCAAGGTCTTTTTCGACAACACCTGGGAAAATGACAGAGAGTGATGTGAACAGTGAGTTGAAAACTGTGAGAGTTGTGCTTTCGAATAATGACACACCCGTGTAGCCATTCCATCGTTGATAGTAGGCTTGGCAGAGGAAAAAGAATAATTCTTTCCAAAATGTAGCCAGTATATATTTCCCTGTTCTCAAGTAGTTCCACCTCCCATGAACAAACAGCAGCCGCTGCAGGAATCTGAATTGAGCGATCGAAAAATCCGATGTCCGGGCTGCTTGGAGACCTTCGCGACCAGATATGCCAATGCCGACATGTGAAGCTTGAATCATGGCAATGTCGTTGGCTCCATCACCAATCGCGAGCGTAATAGATGTCGGGATCGTGTCTCTTATGCATTTGACAAGGTTCGCCTTTTGAGACGGCGATGCTCGACAGCAAATGACCGAGTCCACTCTAACAGTTAAATCGTAGAACATAGCCCTCAACGTGTCATCCTCATCGACTATGCTCAAGGTGTGGCCATCAATAACGACGACAGAGTGAGCAACCATACCTCGACCAACATCAAGCAGAGTCGACGCCATGGTCTCGTTCAAGTCGTCCTTGGTCGCATCGAGAATATAGACATCAGAGAATGTCTTGCATATCCTTGCAGAGTGTGCAATGTTGATGGCGGTCTCACGCTTATCGCCCGTCAACATCCAAATCTTGATGTTCGCTCTGCGCAACTTGTCAATGGTATCTGGAACTCCTGCCTGTAGTTTATCCTCAATCGCTGTCGCGCCAGCAAGATCAAAGTCTTGCTCGATCAACTCGCCAGCCTCCTCGATGCGTTTTTGCCGCTCAACCAAACTCGTGGTGGCAGACTGGTATATCTCTCGCCAAGCAGTATAATCCTCCTCGGAGATATTACGATAAGCGTAAATGAGTGTCCGCAGTCCCTCAGAAGCAAAGTCATCGATGTGCTGAAAGCAGCGTTCGAAAATGGCGCTATCAGAGGCGGCGATGGATTCGTCGATTATCCCATGTAGATCGTCCTCGGCCTCAGCAAAGGCGTGCGATGTGAGAATAGGACTTTGGTAAGCTGCTGCATGTCCTGTGTCTTCGAAGTTTTCGTGTTCTCGCTGCTCAAGCCAATCGGCGACTTCGTCGTTGACAAAAGAGGACCGGTTGGGGGCGTTAACTCCCCTAAAATTCCGTTTCATCGACAAGGAAGCGCGCACAATGTCCATGCTCCGCTTTCCCTGCATACTCTTTCGGTGTAGCGCTCGTGTGGCTTCCTCGCTTTTCCTCAAAGATGTTCGGTGACTGATATCCGATGCTTTCTGCATGGCCAAGGACGCTTGCTTTAGCCGCGGTAATATTACACTGTCGGCTCCCTTGCAGAGAACACGAATATTGCCTTCTGGCATGCGGACCACGATTGACATACGCTTTCGTTGACTGCTGAACTCGATGACGTCAAGAACCTCATATTTCTGCGTCGAGACCGGCCCATCTTCTGAGCTTTTTATCTGCAGCACCACAGTCTGAGCTGGACGATCGATTAGCAAGTACCCAAGATCTTGCGCCGCCTGTACCAGCGCGAGCTCGTCCGGGGAAGCTGCCTGAAACTCGATCTGGCCGTCGTCCTTCTTTTCGGGCAAACAAGTATGGCACAAAGCTATACAGAGAAGGAATTGTTTAGCTTTCCTGGAAAAGTTTGTGTTTGGTCTTCGATAGATATGATGCAACAGACTTTCTGTGTTCACTTCAGGCTGTGCATGGCCAGGCCGACCGGTAGATGTCCAGACACTGTTTGATGGTCGTCTAGGGAGGTCTGCAGCTTGGCTGACCAGAGGAGTTCTGATGGCATCCCTGCGGTTCAGATCAGAAGCAACAGCCGAGTCGACGTTCATCTTGCCTTTCCCCTTGCAACCGGCAATGCGCATTTGCCTTTCTTCTTCGTCCCGCTTAATGTCAAGATCGTGGAGAAAGGCATTCCCAGCCACACTGAGTTTGCGGAAGCGCATTTTATTCTCGGTAAGAGTGCCGGTTTTGTCTGAAAAGACGTAACTGACCTGACCGAGATCTTCCAGGATGGTCGTTGTGTTGGCCACCATGGGAGTATCGGTTTCAGCATCATACATCTCTATATCTTGGAGGAGGAGAAACTGCCCAATCTTGATGATTTCAAGACTGACGATAAGAGAAATCGGTACCAGGGTGTTAAACATGATAACAAAACCGATCAATATCTGCTTAAGTGGGACCGGGTCGAGGTAATGGTTAGCAGCCCCTTGATACCTGTGCTTCCAGATCTGATGGGCCGTTGTCAAACCAATTGCAAGGCATGCCACGAAGAAAACCAGGAACAACACTATGTGGTTGACCTTCCGTTGCATGGCCGGCATTTTCGCATGTATTTCCCTGTTGGCATTCAAGCGGATTTTGCATTCCTCCCCGGTGTTGATAACGAGACCGGTGGCATGGACGGTATTGCGCACAATAGAGCCACGATACACGACTTCGTTCAAGGAGAGGGGCTTTGTTTCACCGTCCACCGTCACGCGACCTTCGTAGTTGTAGAGGTCAAGATTCGGATCCTCGGATATGATCTCTGCATGGCAGCTCTTCAACTTGGTAAGATCGTCACATCGTTTGGCCAACAAGGGGCATGCCTGTTTGCTCTTGAGGTTGGTCTCTCCATCCAACGCCATAGTCTCGATGTACGCCACCCCTGAAGGGCCCGTAGCATGCAGCAAGACAATGTCAGCTGGAACGCTTTCGTCTCTGTGAAGGCGGATAACGTCGCCGACTCTGAGATGTTGCCATTTGATTTTGGACCAGACGTCATTCGAGGAGCTTAGGTCGTCCAGCTCGGCCATTGCCACGTCTATGCCGGCCTCCTTTTGAGACTTGATGTCCCTCCTGCGACCCTTCTTGTTTGCAGTGAAGATGGTCTTGTCAGGATCTAGGACGGAAACACGGCTTCTGTTCTCTTTCACGTCGAGCTTATATCTTCTGAGGTCGTCCCACCCTTCCTTGGCCATGCTGATTGCTATGAATGGAACCAAAACAGCGAGGGTCGTGAAGGTACCTGTTGTGCTCAAGCCGGGGATTGCTTGCAGGATAGCTATTATCAAGAAGTAGAAGTTTGCGAGTTTGGTGAACTGGAAATACAGCTGTTTGGGAAAGAAACTCCATAGGGTGTAGCGAGTGGACCTAATCCAATTTGAAATATACGGCTTGTTCTTAGCGGTTCTCTCATCTACCAATTGTGTCTTGCGGACGTGGCCGTACGTCACCGGGATGTGTCGTCCGTCTTTGCTTGGTGGGAGAGGATACCTGGCATACCATGTTAGAAAGACACGCAATTGGCGAAGGGAGGAAAACACGTACTGCCGCAGGACGAACTGGATTATCCATTTCTGGTACCATGCGTCAAAGAAGTTTTCCAGTCTGACCCAGGTGTTGTCTTTCGCTTTCTTCTTCTGTCGCCTCGCCCATGACCGGTATTGCTCAAGATCAAAGCGCGGCTCGTCTGCGCTCGTAATACTAACACTAGACTTTTGCTTGTGAGCCATGCTGAATTTGGAGACGGCTGATCGAGTTCGAGCATGTTCTAATCGGCCTGGCCTCATGTTTTCCTTCTGGGGCGAGGACGAGGAGGCGGCCCCAGGCGCATCTCGAGGGTCCATGACGACGGCTTCAAGTCCAGGTTCAGCTTCCGCTTCCACTTTTACTCTTCCACTTCCGCATGGGCGTCGATTCTGAGTCACCAGGTAGACGGGTTACGACGTGGACAGGTTTAGAAACGGCATGGCAGCGGGTGTTGAGCAAGGAACGTTGTACAGCTGTATAATAGAATATAGCGACGAACGATGTTTCTTTGGCTCTACAAAGGATGGGGGGAGAAGTGCAACATGATATTGGCTAGAATTGAGGCTGGGCTACAGACGCATTGAAGGACCTTTTTTGTTTTGTTTGGGGAAAGGAAGTCCAACGGCGGCGGGCATACCATGAACCAGTAAGTCGCGGGTACGCAGCGGTCGCAGATCACATCGCTGCGTACGATCAGCTCTCTTTTTGATTCCCTCCGCCACTGCAGGACGAGCAGGGATCAGGCCGTTTAAGCTTTCGCTCGCCAGCGTCATTTGCAGGTAACCGAGTAGCGTAGGTTAACTATGTATGTACATGTGTGTGGGCGGGGGAAGTGCAGCCTTAATTCCAGCCCGTGGGCCATTTCAGTGGGTGTGTGTATGTGGGCGCACTTATGCTTGACTACTAGTCTGGTAGGCTTGTTTGGCTTGGGCTTGGGGCTCGGGGGAACCTTGTTCTGGGCCCCCCCCATAGCCATTCGCCATCACTCGCCAAGGCCGGGCATCTAGCCCACTGTAGTAAGCCCACCTGCTTGTCTTCGGCTCCTTACCCGTTTCACCACACGTCCCAGCTTGACCTTGGCTGGGGAATTCATTCGTGGGAGCCCCGTGAGTCGGACGCCTGCTGCAGCTATTCTGTCACCTAGTCTAGATCCCCAAAGACCCAAGTCAAGTCCCATGAGCATCGAAATGCCAATAGTGCCATGTCGCCATTCAATCCGGTCGCTGACTTCCAGCCACTTGGGCCAGATCAATCGAGGAAAGCAACCAAAGTTAAGTGCCTCTCAATTCTTTTGGGCTTGGCCTTGGGTAAAAGTAAAACGTCTCTATTGGACTTTTGGGCATCTTTCGGGATTTTCTGGCCACTAGCTTCCTCTTCGCTGGGCGGGCGGAGCAAGGGATGACGCGAGGCATTGCAAGCCAGTGCTGACAAAAAAACAAGACACCGCTCAGTTCAGCCTTCCCGTTAATGAGCTATTTTTGTCCCCCCATGCACCTCATGGCGTTCTATGTGGACTCAGCTGCAACACTGTGCGAAACCCTGACTTGGAGAGCATCAGAACATATGCACTTACTTACACTGACTATATTTATTGAGCAATGCCCAGGAGCAACAATCACGGCCACCAACATCATCCTTACAACCCAAACAACGCACAAGAACGCGACGCAGCCGGCATGCAGCGGATCATGAACACGAATGCTGCTGCGTAAGAACCCCAACCCATGATGTCAGCTCTCCATGCAGGTCCCACGCCCGCCGATCAACTCAAAAGCTAAATCTGTCCTGTCAGCTGTTGTTAGGTTAGTAAGCACAATTCATGGGGAAATTACTACTACAGCGCGCGGTACTTGGCAGGCTGCGTACTCTGGTTTCTGGTTCAAAGCTTTCAATGTGCAAAACAAGTCGCAGACAAGAAAATGCTGTCGAATTCATTTCCACACGAGGGCCCAACCTGAGTAATATTGCTGGTTTAACTGCGAATGCTGCCTCTCCCTCTTGGCCTACCTCTCGGTGCTCCCTGCCTGGTATGGCTTCGCCGTGCAAATCGTCACCTTGAAATGCCAGGACCGACAAGAAGGATTGTCTTAGCCATAATTCATCCCTTCTCTGTGCGAGGACGTCATAAAGTGGGGAAAGTGCAGGTTATGGGCAACACAAAGAACCAGTATCATCAACCCGCCAGCTATTTTCCTTACGTTACAGTTTCTAGTTGCAATATTGCGTGCAACCACCCATATTTGTAGCGATACCGTATTCATGCTATGCTCTTTCAGTTCATTTGCCACCATTGCACAAGCTTTCCTATCCTATCTCCCTTGCTAGATGCAATTAAGATGCCCCCGATGGCTCATAGCCCATGCCATTGCCATTGCTATCAAGAGGCAAACCTAAAATCGAGCTTCTTATTTCCCGAGTCTTTATTTTCTGAAAGATAGACCAGCTTCTCCTCGGGAGTCATGGCCGACCACTTCTGGTTCCTGCAACGATTACGCCAGGTATAGTATGCTTTAGCCAGCGCGTACAATACAAGATTCAGACAAGCGATTCCGATCAAGACGCTGTTGCCACGCCGATAGAGTGGAGCGTCGTCAGCTCTGTAGATGTTGGAAGATGTAATCACGCCTGCATGAAGAAACATGTTATAGAGGGCAGCACCGACTGTCCTCGAGCGCACAGTATTGGAGTTTCGGGAGACCCAGCCTACTTGGACTGGATGGCCTAACAACGGATTTGTTAGCAGCTTGCACGGCGGTACACCTAAGATATATATTGCATACCAAGTGGCGCCGCGAGCAGCAAGCTTGTCATCCCCCATGTTATCCATTTTGAAACCTTGGTTGTGTCGACGACGCGAAGGTAGATAAGAAATGGTAGCGACCAGAATTGCAGGATTGAGGCTGTGGCGGCGAGCTGTCCAGTCACTTCCGCAAGTGTCGCGAGGCCAAGCATCAAGATGACTTGGAATAATGAGTGAGTATATTGCATGGAGCGGGCAATCGTCACAGGTGATACGACTTACTCTTCACCACAAGATATGGTATCGTCAGGAGATTTGATTCGAAGGTACTAAACCCCAGTGCCCGGAGTGATGGGATCAAGTATTGTGTTGGTGTCAGGGTTGGAATATTAAAACATAGCCCGATGATGTACAGTGGCCTGACGTGTCAGAATTAGCTTGGCCATCTGCTAAAGGGCTAGGTGCATACCAAAGGTCGTGATCTTTCAGACTCATCCATATCAATCGTAACGTCACAGGTTGCCGGTTGTGCACTACATCATTTGTGATTAGTAAATCATCCCTCCGAACGTCATGAAAAGGTTTGGGAGTATTGCGAAACAGTCGGAAGGAGATAAATTACCCTTAATGGGCAATATCCTAACGGGCAATATCTAGTGTGCAGACATGCTAGACAAGGTAGTAATGATTCATAGAATTACTTACTAGTTCCTTTACCTGGATCGTCTCTGATCAGGCGATTTACCATGATAATCTCCTCCCTATACCCATTAGCGTTGGAATTATGTGCCTTATCAATCGCCCTACCTTTCAGTAAACCAGCCCTGCTTTCCACGGAACCAACTTGCTGTCTGAGTTGGACCTGGACACAATAGGAGGTATGAGATAAACCCAACAGTACCGGTAATCAATCCCTTGATAATATATTAGCACTTTACGAAGCCGGGCGTGTTGACGAATTTGATGAACCTCGATTAGGAACAGCCATCTCCATCCAGCATGACCCTGAACCCCACTCATATGCAATAGTCCATACGCAATGATGGCAGCAAGAATATCAGCAATAAACATCCCAGTCCAGAAAAAGCTCAATCAACAAGTTAGCCACCTGACCACCAATAAACTAGGGTGACCAACCTCAATCTGAGTGTAAGTTCATGGTGCTTGTACCAATACGACAGATATAGAACGATCTATCCTCATTATTAGACTGGCACGTCTTACATACAATTTTTGAAGGAGTAGACTTGCCTCTGGTATGAACCCACCCTGCAGGAAGCCCAGAAATGCTCGGCAAATGAGGAATGATGCTCTTGTTTTGAGTGCAAACTGAGAGGCGCAGACGGTGGAGAACAGTAGTATTTGGGTCGGGATCCATCTATCAGGCCCCAGCCACTTGTTGAGAAGCTGAGATGGAAACTCACCGGACAAGAAACAGACCGCGAAAACTGTGTTGCCAAGGTTATATACTGTATACATCAGACTACAGCAAATAGGCAGAGGGTCATCTGATATTAATCACCGTTGGTGTCGAAACCCATGTCCACGAGAAAGGTATCAGACAGGGCTTGGGCGAGATTTGCGCGGTCGAGCTCCATTGCCTAATTCGAGCGTCAACACGGTATCTAATAGTTGGCGCTTCTAGTTACCATAAACATCACCATGCACCCTGTTACGATAGGTCAGCGCAAATCCTGCTATTTCCATTATTGGCTCGAGAAGTACTCACAACTCATTATGCGAAGATCCATCTTTCGGATTACTTTAAACTCTTCCTCCCAAGTCCATCGCGCAGACGGATCGAATCTGTGGATGTTCTCCCTGTGACAATCAGTATTAGTTCGGAAAAGCGGGTATTGGCCATTACCAGTCATCGCGCGGCTTGTACTGGTCTGCAATCTCAGGTACATCGAATACACTAGGCTAGGGAGAAGTAGCAGTCAGTTTCTGTGCTTTGCGAGGGTTTGACCGATATCATACCAATGTAGCTATTGCATATGGATCGTAAGCGTTCCTTTTGGTTCGCTGGAACCAGAACTTTTTCTCATCAATCGGTTTTCCGAGAGGTTCTACCGGTCGAAAATTAGGACTCTTCTCGTATGCTGCATATTCAGTGTCATCATTTGAGAGTGCCTTGTCGGTTACGATCTGATCTGGAACAACGGTCGCCATGATGAAGCGTGGCTATTCAAAGCGTTGTCGATACAAGCGTTGTTGTTGACGTTTACAAAGTCATCGAAAACAGCTTTGTTTCTGTATGAGATCAGCGATAAATCAACTGATAACATGCTCAATGAGATGCCAGTCCGACTCGACCATTGTAAGATCTCAACCGCCAAACAACAGCCCTTGCATCAAGTCATTATTGATAATGAGCTCCAAGACAACCCGTCCAATCGCTCGTTGACTCAACAGCTGCCTCTTTCAGACGCTGAGATGCGGGGTTTACAGCTGACTACACGAAGTTGATGACCATTTCGCAGACATTATTGGGCAGTGATACCACACTTTTCGGGCTCGTTCCAACCAAGACAACTCAAAGAGAGTTCATGATATGACCACCACCTCGGGTTGTCAGTCATGACTGCATTCAAAACAATATCACGCAATACTTGTGAAGAATGATCTAATTTCTTTCTGGCGCGAGCCTCGCCTGCACATTCATAACACATGCAGGGACGGACTGGTTACTGGAAGAGGCAATTCACCCTTGTATGAAAAGAGCTTACCGCGGCAGTCCGCAACAAGCTTTCATGGTTTTTGTAGTCTATTCAGCCTCATTATATACAGATCACTGAAAAACGAGCAATACGTGTCACTGGGAGAAGCATCGACATGCACTTACTATCAACCGCCCTACTAAGAGACTCTCTACGTTATGGAGTTGTTGGCTTTGAACCTATTGGCCAGATCCCGAGCGGTCCACAGCCACAGGTAGTTCAGTCCGGCTTCCCGTCCAAATACTATCTCTGTTTAACCGACAAACAAGACTTAATCACACATATAGTCTAAGTTTTAGTTCATTTACCCAAAAGAAAAAGAAAGCATTTCATCAACGGAGGCACCTTATTCCAAAGCCATTTCTGCGCAACTGTTTTTTGCTGCCCATCAAGGGTTACGCTTATGTATCTGCCTTTAAAGAAGCTCTCTCGCAACGCCTTGATGATAAGGCTTATACCCGCAGAGCAAAGGGCTTCAGTTCTATCACTAGGAAATGGGCTATTTATCGGACACGGAAAGTCCTCAATTTTGTGGTGGCACATTTGATAATAACTGGCGTCAATGGAAATGGAGTCATTTGTGCATAAAGAGCATTACAGCATGGAGATCATTACAGCATTTATCAATCACAGACTCTGTCAATATTCTTTAAATTTGACTACAGTAAGAATGAATCGTGTCCCATTGTACCACTCTATCGGGCGTGATTGACATTATGTGGGATGATGAAATACCTGTGGCGTCAACATCAAGGGGCGCCTCCCCATTGGGCGATGTTGCTCCGACCCTTGCATCGATCCATAAACTCGCATATCTTTGGTAACATAAGAAACCAATCTGATTTAAAGCTGCGTTATCCGCACCCAGGATCAGTTTCACCCGGTCTTCGTTAGAAAATATCGATTAGATGCCATCAGCAATGCCTGGTGCCAAAGATGAACAGACACCACTACTACGGGCGGCTTCAAGCCCTCTACCTCGAGAGAGATTGATAAACAACGCATCACACACAAGCAACTTGCCTGATGCAGGCGGAGATGATGTGTTAGCGCTTGGGGAGCCAGACTCGGAGACTGCGGTGGCCGCCATTGCAGGCAATCAGCAGGCGCCTAACCATGGAACGCTCAACAAATCATCTGTCATACAAGTCATTGCGGTTTTAGCGATCGGTGGGTTCGTTGGGTGGCGTATATTCAAATGAGTACTAACTTGAATGAAGGTCTGTTTACATCTAATCTCGACGGATCTATTGTGTTAGCAACACATCCGCGTATAGCGTCCGAATTTCATGCGCTGGATCAATCAAGCTGGCTTTTTATTAGTTATCTTCTGTCAGGCGTTGCCACCCAAACTCTGTATGCCAAACTCAGTGACGTCTATGGACGGAAATGGCTTCTTGTCTTCTGCTATGCTCTGTTCGCTGTTGGCCTGTAAGTATGAGTTTGTTCCAGTATGGCAGTTGGCTGATTATTGGCAGAGTCATTATGTAGGTGTGAATGAACACTCGAAGACTTACCAAAATTTGTTAATACATAGAAATGCAGTGGACTAGCACCGTCTATGTGGCAAGTCCTTTTAGGCCGCGCAATTTCTGGTTCAGGCGGGTCCGGATTGGCTTCTATAGGATTGGTACTGATGACTGGTGAGTTTGGAAAACATAGGTTTGTTTAACTTACTAACCTTTGTTCAAAGACCTCGTACTACTGCGAGAAGTCGGAACTTGGCATGGTTATATGAACATTATCAGCACAACTGGTCGAAGTCTAGGCGGCCCGGTAGGAGGTTGGCTTGCAGACCAAGTCGGATGGCGGTGGTAAGTATCGTGACTCGCCTCGAAGTGAAGTAATTCCAGCTCATGATGTATACCAGGTCATTTTTAGGACAAGCGCCAATGTTCGTAATTGCAATTGTTTCTTCTATCATGGCTATTCCAGATACACAACGTCCATCGGTCGCGGAAACCCAGCAAACGGTCACAATGGGCAACTTTTTCGTGCGCATCGACCTTGCAGGTATTCTACTACTCGGCTCGTCCATCCTCACACTACTGCTACCGCTTGAGCTCGGTGGTGTCATGATACCGTGGCAGCACCCCGCGATCTTTGTGCTTGTCGGCATAGGCGTTTGTCTTCTAGCGCTTTTTCTCATGAATGAGGCTTGGTGGGCGCCGAGTCCAGTCTTCCCAGTTCGAATGTTGAAAAATAGAGAAATACTGGCATGTTATCTTGTTATTGGCCTACTAGCTGCGGCGCAAACATCGGTGAGCAAATATTCCTGGGTCCTATCTGGGCGGAGCGCGTCAGCTAATGGTGTAATTTACGTGTAGCTTGTCTTCTCTGTACCTCTATACTTTCAAGTTACGCAACGCGTCTCGAACACGGTTGCTGGTGCCCATCTGTTCCCTGCTGTTCTCGGAAACGCCATAGGTGGGCTGGCCGCAGGGAGCATCATCAAACGGTTAGTATTGAACCCTCCAATTTTCTAAGTCCTTCGCTTACAGACCATCTATCGCAGGACTGGCCGCTACAAGATTCCCCTGCTCGTCGCCTCCGCAGCCGGGTCGGGATCATACCTTCTACTGATTATACGATGGCTCGGTCATACAAATTGGTGGGAATCGTTGTATATATTCTTTGGGTGAGCATTCATATCATGGAAAAAGCTTCAGTTCACTTATTATCATGCTCTTATAGCGGTCTTGGCGCCGGCATGGGGAACACTGCAGTAGTTGTGAGCCTCAATGCCATTGTCGAGCCGGCCCACAAAGCGGTTGCAGCTTCAGGCTTATTTTTGTCACTTCCCATTGGCATGATCACTGGAATTGCTATCACTAGTGCACTAATGCTAGAGATCATGCAACAACAATTGGATAAAAGTCTCATCAAACTAGGATTGGGATCGGCGGACAGACAGGAGGTCAGTTAAGTTTTCACCGCAACCGTGATGCGGAGAAAACTAACAGTGAATTCCCCAGATCATCTCAAAAGCTGCCGAAAATGTGGAATACATCTACAAGCTTGAGGGCCCAGTCGCGAAGGCAGTGTCCAGTGCCTATGTGCATGGCTTGCGCTGGGGCTATGGTAAGACCTCCGGAATCACAAAAACTTTACACATGGGACTCACAATCAAATAGGCGTATCTCTTGGCTGCTCAATATTGGCGTTTGTCGCCGCTTTAACTATGAGAAATAGGAGACTAACCTAGAAGTAAGAATTTCCATGTCCTTTATGGGATCTTAGCAGATCAGTCCACTCATCAGCAGGTGCAAGAGGCACATCCCGAGTAACAATGATGTGGCTGCTAATAACGGGCTTCGTAACGATCTCATTTTTACCCAGAACATTGAACCTTTCAAGAACTTTCCGACATCTCGTGATCGTTCACTTCTTTCTCCTTCAGCACCTGACAAAACGCGCTGCGCGAGCGAATTTGATCACCAAAATGGATAAATACGAAAGGAATGGCACACATTACAAGGCTAACGAATGCCAGTAAAGTGGAAGCCCAACCTACACCTAATGTGTCATACATGGGAGTCGTAGCGAGGGGTAGAATAGCACCGAAAATACTCCGCGTACATGACGATGCAGCCATCGCAGACGCGGCAAACACCTGATACGCATCAGCAAGATAATTAAGCAGGGCCATGAAGATGAGAAGATTTCCCAGTCCGAATGTTACGCCTGCCAGACATGGCACGACCCAGTGTATGTTCTCACGTGCGGTCCAGCCCATCCACAGCAAAGACACGACGAAAAGAGGTCCACCGATGCAGGCCAGTGGAAGCCGTCTGCTCTCTTCCCGTCTAGTCCATGCCTTGCCAACTTTTCTACTTCGTTCCAAATAGCTGTCATAAAGAAAGAAGAGTGGCAATGCTATAAGAGTTCCTGCACCAACAGGCAAGAACATCAGTCCAGATGTGCTTGCGGACATGCCGTATATGCCCTTGAAAACAATTGGGTATGCCTGAAAGAACATGTAGAAAATGGCATATGCAATCGCAAGATACAGACACACAGCGATAACAATGAGTTCTGTACACATCATCCGCAAAGGTCGTGCCAGAATAACACCGACAATGTGTCGCCAGCCTTTGGCCTCCACCTCGATTGGCGCGTAGATGTGAGCGTGTTCAGGTCCGATTTCAGAGTTCTGTCGAATCTTCCTCGCCCGAAATTTGAGTATGACAGGACCGTATGTTTCCGGCAGACATGCCAGTGCAATCCAGGTAGCCCCTGCAATGATGAGAGCGCACCAAAACGTCCATCGCCAGGAGACAAACTCTGCAAACGATCCCGAAAGTGCAGGGGCTATACACGGCGCAGCAGTGACAGCAGCCATGAAGAAGGCTATCGCCCTGCCTCTAGAAATCGGATTGTCGTATATGTCCGCGAACATTCCGCCAACAATAGTCAAAGGGGCACTCGCGCAGATCCCGCCAAGCAATCGAAAGATAACCAGGGCCGCCCAATCGGGCGAAAGTGCGGTGCCGAGAGTAAAGGCAGTGTAACCGGCGAAGGTAAGGAGAATCGGCAATCGGCGACCGTATACTTCGGAGAGTGGTCCGAAGAGAAGGGGGCCGAGCACATAGCCAACAAGGTATATCGAAATTGGCAAGACCAGCTGCGGGTTACCTCCAGTCGTGCTGATGCCAAACTCGTTGGCGATGAACGGAATAGAGTTTGACGGCAAAGCTGAGCTCAATGTGCTGTTGATTACTGTGAGAATTCCGGTGAATACAATGGTGGCTTTCCGCGACTGTCAAGGATTCGTCAGTATAACTAAACCGAAGTAGACGATAAGCCGTAAGTGGAAGAACAAACATTTGACCAGTTATAAGGGTTTTCAGGATCGGCTTTTTGGAAAGAGATCAATTGTATTTCCCTGAGTCCGTTGTTCTCAAACACTCCTGCTGTTTGAGCAGAAGCTTGCGTTGTTGGAATGTCCACAACCTCCTGTGCCATAGTTCTAGACATATTGATACCGGTCTTTCAATCCACAGTGTTCCAGCTCAAGGAGAGTCGGAGATCCAACAACTCAACTGCCTAGAGGGCACCCGCACGTAGATAATTCTCGACATCTCGCTCTTCCGCAACAATCTTCGGGGACAATGCTGAGATGCTCATTGATCCGTTCGAACCGTGTACCCATTTTGAACCGAATCTTACGCAAATGTGGATAACAAGAAGCTGTCTTTTGCATCGATGGAGCACGCAATGTGGGCTCAGATGGGACGATAAGATATTTCTAAAGATATTTCAGTCTCAGTTGTCCGAGACAAACCGCCAGTCCTTGAATCGAAACTGAGTATAGAGACAGCAGATAGGGCGGAATTATTGCGTCCCCATTTCCGTTCTGGAAGGCCGCCCATTCCCGCGTTTTGGTGGGCCGCCGGCTAGGATAGTGTGTAAGAATGTGGATACGGAGATGTCGTCCGCGTACGTCAAGAAATCTCCCGGTGATGGCATCAGTGAAATTATAGTGAGAAAAGGTTTCACAAGAACTCTCAGATATGCTTTACCATTTCCAGGTCTGTGAGTCGGTTAGAGTCGGTACAACATGTTATCTTGACTGTCATAAAGGGCTTACTCGTGAGGTCTGCTAACACAAGGTAGCTTAAAATCAATCTAGGAAGTCGCCTTGAACTCTATGCATTAATTTCATGTTTATTTTGTGATGAATAAATATGGAGGCTGGCTCATATTAGGGTCACGATGGTATTGTTTCTTTGGAAGAGATATTCTCTGTTACGTTCCGAAACAGTAATCAGTAAGGCTGATGCTCGAGTCCAAGTAGATATGTATAGAAGACATGGTTTAATGCCTCGATCTAGTCAGTTCATCTCTTTTCATACCTAAAATTCCTACAGCCTTAAGATATTTAATAATAAACACAAACATTCGCTTCATTTTCTACCAATTGGGTATTCCTCGTATAAAACTTAAGCCAGCTGAAGCAAAAAGCAATAGCAACCAGGAAGGCCGTTTGAGGCTGTTCTATATTGGAGGTTTGGGGGTGAGTTTCAACTCATTCTTCTATGACGCCTATTCTCCTCGGCTTAATAGTGCTTGTGAAGGTCCAAATACTAAGAATTGTCCCAATCCACACGATCACCGGCACAGAGCTAAACGCTTTGTTAGCCTTCTCTACTCTCGGCATTACGCAGTCCAGAGTCTCCACACTAGAAGGCATAAGGTGATGGCACTAAACATCATCCACTTCGGCCGCATGGTTCTGCCATCACGGTATGCCAGCATAGTATCGCGACATACAATAACTTTATCCATGAGAAGGCTGCTTCCCTTGTAGATGAATAGATGCAGCAATGGCCGATGTTATGCGGATATTAGCCGAAATCTACCAAGCCTGGCTTGGTGTTGACCTACTGTGTGAGAGCTGTGCTAGCCACTTGTTCTTGTCCGCATAGTAGGCTGACTAAGCTCTGTTATGGAATGGAATACCCACGAAAGGCAACGCAGGTTCGATGCAGAGCGCTCCGGAGCCTATAGGGACGACTCGACCCTGATAATGTTTCAGTTCACGCCATAAAACCCGGATGTGTTTCAAGTGGATCTAGAAACTGGGAACGCTTTCTCTCGAAGTCCGTCCCCATGACTCTTGTCTTTGTGGCCATGGGTATTGGCACATGTGTAGGATGACAGTCTCTTCCAGCCATGTGAGATAGGCTTCTGGTTGTTGAATGAGTTGGTTTGCTCTGAGTGGGAGTCCCGCATCAGAATTTGCAGTGTTGATTGGAGTAGAAAACGATCATGGACGTGGCGCATTCAAGAATCTGACATGCGCATTGTATTATTTCTGATACTAATAATGTCGCTGGTATAGATCGTTGCAACCGAGTTTTGGGGAGATCATAACACTAGCATCTTCCCAGGCGGCATGGAGAAACCTAGACATTCTCGACTTGCTCCACCTCGCCCATTTCCACCTCCTTTCCCGAAGTGTGGTTGTCTTGATAATCTTTGTCCTGGAACCCCCGGGTGCGAACCCTGTTTTCGAACCTTTCGTCTATCTGAGCTGCTGTCAGATCCTTGGTATCAGGCATCTCAAACCATATTAGAAAAAGTGAAACAGAGCAAGTGCCGAAGAAGACCCAACCCAATTCTCCTCCGAGGTTACCGTATCCAGGATTAAACATGTATGGCACAACTATGTTCCAAATTGTGCTATAGAAATAGTTGAAGAAGAATCCAATGGCGAGTGTTTTAGCACGGAGCCTCATGGTCGAGACCTCGCCGGCAACAGCAAGGGCAGGTCCATTAGCCGGTCCAATGCTGAGCCATGCCATCTGTAACACTATAGCAACAGCCCAGCGCGTAGCACCGTTCTGGTTAGGAAGAGCAGCACAAATGCCCATAATCATGAAAAGGACACCTGCGAATGCAGTGCCGCCGAGAACCAACGACCTTCGCCCAAGGTAGGCCATTCCGAAGAAAGTGAATATGCTGGAAAGAATAGACATTGCAATACCAATTTCCACGATCATGGCTACATTGGTTGATGATAAGCCGGCGAGAACCATGAAGTAGGGTGCGTTATTGAGGAATACGGCACCGGTCATTTGTGACAAGCCGTTGGCATATAATACGATACGTGTCCGCCGCCAGTTGGATCCCTGAAAGCATTCTAGAAAGCTGGATATGTTGCTTTCTGATTCATGTTCAATGACTTCCTGAATTGACATGAGTGCAAATCTCACAGTTCGCTCGTTTTTGGAATGTAATCGGCCCAAAGACTTGCTGGCGGCCTCGATTCGGTTCTTTCGGATCAGGTAGTATGGTGATTCGGGAATGAGGAATGCACCTGCCACTATTGCTGCAGGCCAACACCACTCTGTAGCAAACATGACCTTATATGCCGACTCGTCCATAATGGTGACACGGGTGAACGAAATCGATGCAGCGACCAGATATCCGACACTCTGAAGACTCATTAGTTGAAGTCGCAACGTCTTGATCTTCAAACTTACCAAGCAAAAAGTGTAGAACGCGAGAGCGATACCACGCAGCTTCAGGGGGGTGATTTCAGAGATATATGTCTGCCCCGACGCCAGAGCTGTAACGTTTATGTTAGCAATCATGGAGCATTTGAGCATCAAGGAGACTATACCCATTCCTAGCCCCACAGCGTTGACCATCTTGCCTCCTAGAAATTGGCCATTTGATTCTGCTGTGTATACAATAGTGACGCCGGCTGCCGAGATGACACCTGCAATAAACATAGTCCATCGACGCCCCAGCCGATCGGAGACGGGTCCGGAAGACCAAGCTCCAATACCGGTCATTAACTGAGGTATAGCGTTCCACAAAGATTGCCAGTAGGCCGGTACAACGTACGAACCATCGACTAGTTCTCCAAACTTCATGCTGTCCAGTCATTAGTCTTAACGTCAAATTAGCGTATATCAGAGCGCAGTGCCTACACAAAGGGCGCCATATCAAGGCACAATGATAATGTGATATTATCGAAGCCATACATGAAAGCTCCAAGGTTTGCGTATAGACAACATAGTAGGATAACGGGATTGTTCTTAATCGTACTCAATACGGTCGAGTTTTCGTCGTCGTTGCCAGCAACAGACGTAGGATACCGAGTTAAGCTTCTGCCAAGTTGGGTAGCCCCGTCAGCCGGCTGGGCCCCGTCAGTGACATTGTTATCCGTACTAGAAGCCATATCGTACGACGATGGTATGAGACATGCAGGATCACACGTATAAGTGGTGGAGTTGTAATGCAAGTAAAAGTGATGTATTTATGTTAAATAAGACCTTCTCAGTCCACTGAAATGTCTCGTTTATCCGACAAGCTGACAATTTCTGTGCAGCAACGTAATTATTTGCCCAGAAAGCGAGACAGAAAACTGGATTCATCCCCATGGGGAAGTGATTGACCAGGGGGTCCCTTCTGAGACCGCGGTAGTCTTCACTCTAACATCCACGGTTTACACATTGTGCAGCATATGCCCACCATCATCTTGAACAAAAAATCTGTGACATCCTATGCGGCGATCTGAATGGGTGAAAAGAGGGGACCCCGGAAATCCCGCCCGTTCAAGTGCCGCTTCGGAACTCCCGCTTTTGGAGAAGCCCCTGGCGTATAGGGCTTGTGGGGGACCACCTCCGCATTCTCCAATCTGCGACAGATCAAGGGTACCAGGACTCGGTATAGAGACAACCGACCAAATAGGTGAATAACTTGAACCACACACCTTTGGAGGCTTTATCAAGCTGGTTGCCCTGGTTTGATAGTGTTATCGACGTATATTGAGACATCTAAACTTCACGAATACATACATCATGACGGCAAACTCGCCTTTCGCTTCTGGTAAAGCCAAATGGATTTGGGTTCCTGGATTCGATGACGCTGCTAAGAAAGGGCAGTTTGTGTTGTTTCGTAAGACCTTTGAGATCAAGAATAGGCCAAGTGAGGATGTCTTCCTGCACGTGTCAGCAGATACGAGATATCGGTTGTATCTTAATGGCGAAAGCATCAGCTTTGGACCGTGCAAGAGTCACCTCGACCGCTGGAATTATGAGACTGTCAACATCACACCATATTTAAGAGCGGGCCGAAATATTCTGGCTGCTAAAGTTTTGCGATTTTCGATCGCGCACGATGGGTGTCTTAGTATGGTGAGGAGCCCGCTGCCGGGCTTGATTGTTCACTGCGAGATTGCTGTAAGTGAAGAGCATTCATTTTAGCTTATGCGTAATTGACCGTATAACAGGACCAGATACTCCATACCGATGAGAGTTGGAAGGCTAAGAAAGACGAAGGCACACAGCTAGTACCAGATTCCGAGTGGGATTATCGGCTGGGCCCCCAATTTCTGAGCCTGAATGAGATTGTTGACGGCCAAAGGTTAGATCTTGACTGGAATAGCCTTGAACACGATGACAGTGCGTGGTCTAACGCTGTGCTGGGGACACCGCAACGGAAGATGTCTCCAATGCTGGACTCTCGTCGGTTACACCCCCGAGAGATCCCGGTATTACCAGAGATCCCTTCTCGCTTTGATGGTGTCGTCAATCTTGAAGGCCCAATTTCCAAAGAGGCATGGATCAAACTCCTCACTGAAGATTTTGCCCTTGAAGTTCCGGCCAACAGCACGGTGTGGGTTGAAATTGAGTCCAGCGCGTTGACTACCGGGTTTTTAGATCTCGTGTCCACCATCAATAGCAAGGATTCAGATGCCCCCGATATTGAGATACTTTGCTCAGAATGCTATGAGTCGCCCATGCAACAGAGCACATCTCGCAGAAAGTCAGACAGGACAGACTTTCAGAACGGTGCTCTGTACGGCACGACAGACAAATATACGCTGCACGACGGCAAAAACCACTACTCGCCCTTCTGGTTCCGAACATTTCGTTACATCCGATTGACAATAACTACCAAATCAAGCGCTTTTGCCCTGAATGCATTCACGTACCGTTCGACACACTACCCCCTGGAGATTCGCACAAAGCTTGAAACATCTTCACCGTTCATCTCGAAGCTTTGGAATGTCAGCATCAACACCTTGCGAAACTGTATGCACGAGACATACGAAGACTGCCCGTTTTATGAACAGAACCAATTTGCCATGGATACCCGGAGTCAAATACTATTCACGTACCTGCTCTCCCGGGATGATAGGCTCGCACGAAAGGCTATGCAAGAGTTCCATGCCTCGCGAAGAGAAGACGGGCTTATAGAAACACACTTCCCGTGTCCTGGCCGTGGCATGAACATCCCCACATTCTCCCTGTTTTGGATCCTCATGGTGCATGATCATATGGTACACTTTGGCGATGAGAGACTGGTCAGGTCCTATGCCGGTGCGATCGATGGCATTCTCAATTACTTCGACCTCCTCATAAACGAGCTAGGTCTTGTGGGGCAATTCGATCCAGACTGCTGGGCTTTCGTGGACTGGGTAGATGGTTGGTTTACGCCGGGCAGAGGCTTTACGGGCCTTGCTGTGCCAAAAGCATATTACCAGAAAGGAGCAGCAACATACCACACTCTGGTGTATGCGTACGCCCTGCTTAAGGCAAGCGAGCTGCAAACGTTCCTTGGCCGGCGCGATACTGCAAAGGAGTATATGTCGCGCCACGAATCGCTCTTGCGGGCTGTGAAACAGCACTGTTTTGACTCATCTAGCAATTTCTTCCTCGACGGCCCCGGTGCTATTGACGAGCGAAGTCAACATGTTCAAGTCCTCGCCGTGCTTGCCGGGTGCATTAGGGGAGCTGAAGCCAAAGATCTCATGCGACGTACCGTTCTTGAGCGGGAAGAGCACAAACTAGCCAAAGCTAGCTTGGCCATGGGCTTCTACGTGTTTCGGGCCGTCAGTGAGGCAGGCATATACGAGGATTGCTGGGACACATTGATACAGCCATGGAGGAAAATGATTGACGACAATCTTACAACTTGGGCAGAGAGTGAAAGCATGATGCGAAGCGATTGTCATGGCTGGAGTGCGGTTCCGTTGTGGGAGATCGGCACGGAAATTTTGGGCGTCAAACAGGAAAGTAAGCCATATTTAGCCAAGGTGAAGGGTGATGTTGAAGGGAAAGGAGTACATGTAAACTCTAGGAAAGGACTGGTCAATGATATCAGGGCCGATGTGCTTGTCGGAGATGATGAAACAGTCCATGTGGAATGGGGGACAACATCGTAGCTCAAAACAAATACATGAAAATTTAATCATCACAGTCTGTATCATCCGTAATATACAGCCCTTTCCATGAGAAGAAGTAAGTTGGTGTTCGGTAAATGGTAGTTAAAAGTGACCCTCGTTACGGCCATGACAGCGTCTGTGGAGATACGCTACCGATCTGTCTCAGCTCTACAAAGGACCGTTTCATGGATTTAAATCTTCCAACAATCCTTTGCATCATTGACTATTGGTATATCTGAGCTGCATGCCCATGATGATTGAGATCCATATGGCTCCTTCCGACTACACAATGCGAATATCGACGACCCACCCATTGCGAAATTTCACTGAGCTCTTGGCATCACCGGCACAAACGGGTTTGTTTGGGCCTATGATCATTGATTATCAATGCTTTGTTTGCTGTTGTATGATTAAAGTTGGTCAAATTCGGACGTTTGGTCGTGAGATCGGTCTAGAAGGCCTCAGCATGAATCCTTGTCTTACTCTCGGGCAAGATGAGTACAACAGTAAACAAAAGTCCGATGCCGCCAAGCGAAGACCCATGTCGCTAGAAAATAAAGTATAACACAAAGAAGGACCTTTTTCAAGTTCAAAGGACCATTGCATAGTTTGTACGAATTCACCGCAGTCTGGTTATTGTGCCACAGCTTTGCCCTCCTCATCAACTTGAAGCAGGATTCCTTGTAAACATTCGGATCAAGTAGTACGGGGCGACCTGGTAGCCTTCGTCAAACTTGAAGCAAACATCTCAAGGGGAGTACACACGGGAGCATCCTCTTGTATATATATCCTACATATTGGGTCAAGGACATCCTAAGCAACCTCCAGATAGCCATGATAGGCAAACTCCGAAGTTTTTCACAAAGCTCATATCAACATATTCTACAACCGCTGATCTGGTAAAGACTCTTTTGCCTAAAAAATATGCAACTCATTACCCTTGTCACGGCAGTCTTCTGCACGCTTGCCACCGCGCAATCACCTTTGACGACGACCACCGTCACCACCACAGCTACATCGAGTGTTCTTGTTGCTGGTTCAACCACAACTTCCACCGATGTGTCAGTATCAACAACTACCACGGTTTCGTCGTCTCTGTCTACGACTAACCCTTCGTTGACATGGATCTCATCAAGCGCTGCAGGTAACGCGCAGGCCACTGGCTACGCGCTTGCCGGTCTGGCGGCCGGCGTTGCCGCTATGCTCGTTTGAATACTTGGACTGTTCCACCCAGAACGAGCCCTAACTACAATTCCGGGTAATAGGGAGGCTATGTACGTGAGGCGGCAATGAGCTAGCTACGGGTTCCTTTTGTTGGTAGTCTAATATGCGATGGTGGTTGCATATGTGGCATAATAAAGTTGCTTGCGGGGTAGTCAGTACAGAAAATTGGGATGCCGAGACTCTATACTAAAGCCGCATCGTGATGTTGATTTTGGTAGGTTTGGTTGCTCGGGTCAAAAACAGTTCGATCGAGCTGTGCCACAACGCATATTATACTGCGTACTTTGACTTTGGAGTCTTCTATGACAAATTCAGCGCAGCATGTGATCGTATGTCACACTCATGAAGTTGTCAAAAACATTCATTTACCTCAATGCCCCGCCATTATTAATAGAAAGGCACGTCATCCCCGCACCTAAGTTGAGGTCCCTGCATAATGGGCTTGAAACGGCAAGAAAAAAAAATTAAGACAGACGTACGACCTGCCTCAAACAGGACAAAATTCACTCACAGCGCGAACCGTGATAGATTGCTCACGTGTTTCTCTTTTTGACATAAACACAATACCAATTAGAAAAACTATTGATCTCGAACAACCGAAAGGAAAGATGGCAGACTCATCACAACCCCTCCGTATCGGCTTCGTTCCGGAGCACTTCTCCACACCTATCCACTTTGCAAAGAAGCACTTCGGGCTCTCCGCTACATTGATCCCATTTCCCTCCGGCACTGGGCACATGATCACGGCTCTGCGGGCCGGAGAGATTGATGTCGGCATTGGGTTGACTGAGGCGTGGGTTGCAGGGTTGGGTAAGGAGGACACTCCCGGCGATGGCGGCTATAGAATCGTGGGGACCTATGTTGAGACCCCTCTTTGTAAGTACCCCCTCCCCGATCATGGATGAGTCTAAGCTTCGTGCGGCTCACGTGTCTGCAGGCTGGGCGATCTCTACAGGCGCCAAGAGACCCGAGATCACATCTGTCGAGTCCCTGAAGGACTCCAAGATTGGTATCTCACGTCTGGGCTCTGGATCCCAGGTGATGGGCTATGTGTTAGCAGACCAGCAGGGCTGGCTCTCGCCTTCCGCATCGCCATATGCGGACTTTGTGGTGTTGCAAACATTCGACAAGCTGCGTAATGCAGTCAACGATGGCACGGCCGACTTCTTCATGTGGGAGCACTTCACGTCGAAGCGCTACTACGACTCGGGCGAGATTCGCAGAGTGGGCGAGATATACACACCCTGGAGCAGCTGGAAGATCGTGGCCTCGACGACGACTACGAAACTTGGCAACGACGAGCGGCTAAAGGACCTCTTCAAGAAACTAGACCAGGGCACGAAGTACTTCGTCGAACATGCCGACGAGGCCGTCAAGTACATCAGCACAGAGCTGGACTATTCGGAGGCCGATGCTCGGGAGTGGCTCACGACCGTCGAGTTTGCAGGGGAGGTGGCGGGAGTCAATATTACGGTCATCGAGAAGTGCATCGCTGCGTTGAGGAAAGCCGGCGTCTTGAAGGAGGACAAGGGTCTCCGAGCAGAGCAAATGTTGGTCTAGGAGGGGTTGGGCGAGCAGGTGGCCGTAGCAAGCGATCATGTTATCAAGACGCTCGGTGGGTAGTTTTATAGTCTCCGGACTACGATGAAAGGCATCCAAGCTGCAAGGAGGTTAGAAATGCCTTTGGCGGACCCTGATGCAACCAGATCAGCCAGGACACAGTAGTGATGTTCATTGTCAAAGGCACCACGCATTTAGAAATCAAGACACTAGACAGGGGATGGAGCTTTACAACAGAAAAGCTTGGCGATTATAGACAAGCCCCCACCAATCGACCTCCGTGTAGCATTTTGGTATGCGAAACTAGATAACTTCAGGCATTGTTAAAAGCAATTGGAGCGCTTGGCCCCTTTTCCTCGCTTCCCTTGGGCCCTCGACGTCGCCTGGTTGTTCAGCAGTCGGAGTTGTAACATCTCTAGAACCAGGCAGTCTATTGAATGCAGGGAGCTCACCGTGACGTGACGTCAATTGCTTGAAAGCTTCAAAGCGCAACTTCGAAGTTTTGGCGCCCAGTCGCATCGAGCCTTCAACAACCAAGTCTACAACCCGCACGGAGAACTTTCGCGACAATGTCTCTTCCACGCGTCTTCCAGCCGCGCCTGCCCGCCTTGTCGTCCACGTCCACGCCAGCCCTCCGACGAGCTCTTCCCCGGCCCCGAAGACCACAAATGCGCCTCGAGTCGACCAAGCCGACGCTCTCCCCGTCGTCGCAGCCCGAGATCACGGCCAAGCAGGCAAGCCGCTTCGACAAGGTCATAACCCGCACGCAGCGCTGGCTGCCCAAGCGCTTCCACTCCCCGCTGCAGAACTTCCGCTCGGCGCCCGGGTCGCACATGGTCGCCTTCCTCCTGATCCACGAGATCACGGCTGTCCTGCCGATATTCGGCCTCGTCGGGTTGTTCCAGTACTACGACATCGTGCCCGCGGGATATGTGTTCGGGCCGTGGGCGCCGTACGTGCAGGACGGCGCGTTCAAGTTCCTGAGCTGGTTCAGGAAGAAGGGGTACTTCGGGCTGGGTGCCGAGGATGCCAAGGCCGGCGAGGAGAGGTTCGAGAGGGAGCTGGACAGGGAGGCCGAGGAGCAGGGCGGAAGGGACAAGAAGTCCCACAGCGCCTGGGCGCTTTGGACCAGGATAAGAGGCCAGAAGAAGGACGAGGCGGAGGCGGGAGCCGTGGAGGAGGCTGCCCAGCAGGCCAAGAGCAAGACGAGGAGGGCTGTCGAGTTGGTGAGGGAGAAGGCAACACTGCAGAATACGGAAAACGGATACAAAATCGGGGTGCAACTGGTGGCTGCTTATGCCATCGTCAAAGTGCTGCTCATACCGAGGATAGCCTTTTCACTCTGGGTCACACCGTCCATTGCAAGACTCATGGTGAGGACGAGAAAGGGCCTTCTGAAGCGCTGATGGGGATTTCTGGATGTTGTATACCTAGACCGATTCAAACATGACACACCACTGCATAAAATACTAACAGATGGCATATTGCATTTCTACAGTTGAAACCAGTGGTTGGCAAGGGGCACGGCTTGCACCATTGTCGGCTGTCTGATCCTCGAGAACCCATGTGGCCAACATCTTTGACGAGCAAGGCAGTAGACATGACATCTTGTTTGATATCACGACATTATGTGAGTGAAGAAACGGTTTGCGTGAAGATCCTTTTATTTGCTTTTGTGTTTGCTATATAAGACACATGAACGCTTCTATCAGCATGAGACACACGCCTCACGCAGTCTTAAGCTCAATTGTCTTTTTGTAATTTAAGCCTTCTCGTAGATCCAAGAAGCGCTGTGGCTCTGGTAGTTGATGACCTCACCCTCCTTGAACCAGAGAGCAATCTCCTTCTTGGCGTTCTCGACGGAGTCGGAACCGTGGCAGACGTTTCGGCCGACATCGATGGCGAAGTCACCACGGATGGTACCGGGGGCAGAGGCAAGAGGGTTGGTGGCACCGAGGAGGGTACGGCCAGTCTTGACGGCGTCACGGCCCTCCCAGACCATGGCGCAGATGGGACCGCTCAGCATGTCTGGGCCGGTCGTCAGCAGCTGTCTTTATTTCACTCGAGGGCAGGTTGGGGAGGGGGGTTTGCATACACTGAACCAAGCCGGGGAAGAAGGGCTTCTCCTTGAGGTCGGCGTAGTGAGTCTCAAGGTGGTCCTTGCTGGGGCTGACGAGCTTGAGGGCAACGAGCTTGTAGCCACGGTTCTCGAAGCGGCTGATGATGGGGCCGACAAGACCGCGCTGAACGCCGTCAGGCTTGATAGCAATGAAACTGTGTCAAAGTCAGTCCGCCAATGCTCTCTCTGGGGATGCTCAATTGGACAGCATTGGCACGTACGTCTGCTCGGAGGCCATTTTGAGTTGGGGTTGTAGGATTGAGACGGTTTGTTCTGTCGGGTGGTTTGTGGTGAAGGAAGTGGTAGAGAGGGTAAAGCTGCGAGTGAAATTCCAGCCTGGACGATTGATGTTTAACTGCCAGGGTAGGAGGAGGAGGCAGAAAAATAGCAGCCAACCCACGAGGAAAAAGTACAGAGTGAGGGGTCGTCTTCGTCGATGGTGTCCCTGGTCTCCGTGGCCGTGGCCGTGGCGGGGCAGATGCTGCTGATCTTGGGCCTGATTGGCCTTGGGACCCGCTGCAGCTACAGCTTTTGCTCTGGCCTGCTGCGTTGGCGCTGCCGCTGCATTTGCTGGCGCCGGTGATGCTGAACCTAGAGCAGGCTGTTGGGCGGTGTTTCTGACTCTTGTGCCTGCAGGATCCCCAGAGCCCCAATTTGAAGTGGATGCGGTTGGCCAGGTATCAGTGTTCGCTGGCCGGCGGTCTGATTGACCTTGACCCAGAACATTGGCCTTCTTACCGCCTCCAATTGGGGTGGAAATGCTGGAGTGGTTCGTCATGTTTGCTGCACTGAGATCTAGACTAGTCTACAGGTGTGTATGTCGTCTTGATTCTGTACAGCCTTTTTTTTGCTTTACTTGACTTGAAGAAACACCATTCATTGGCGGTTGTCGAGGGTTCTTGGGTTGCGTGTGATTGCTGTTTGTGTGTGAACGAGTGAAAATGCGCCTGGAGGTTCGGTAGGATCTAATCTGGCGGTCAAAGTCGAATGTGTATAGGTTCGTTCATGTCCAGACGAGTTGAGATGCTGAGGCCTTACTTCGTTTGTTTCATATGATCATGGAGTAGATGTCATGCTCTATTAGAGAAAGAGGAAGACGATCATCTTTTTTCTTCTTCTTCGAAAGCTGAACAATCATGGGGTTGTGGATTACCGGTGATTATATCTATCTATCTATCTGCTGTCCATGTACCCCAGGAAGAGCCACCAATGGCGATCGATGAAATACTCCGATCCAAGTATCCAGAAGGCATGTGTATGAGTTGTAGTCACAAGAGACGACTTGCTCATGTACCAACAAGCTGACAGTGTCATAGAATAAATAACCGTAAGAGCACAGCTTAGGCTCAGCTTATAGACTGCACAAAGAGTATCCGAGATTGATTCTGCAACAATAATTTATACGGGATTCAAGTCGAAGCTGCCAAGGGGTTCGGCGGGGGCCCCAGGGTTTGGCTGCCAATGAGCAGCCTGCACGGAGCCAAACCCCATTTGGAGCTCTACCGTCATCAAGGACAGCTGGAGCTTTTAGAAAGTCGACACACGAAACGATAATCCCCATCTTCAATTACAACGAGGGGGAAATCCTATTTACTTCCATACAAGTCGTCACCCATCACCTACGGGCCAATTGACTCCTGTACCCCTCAATGGTCAACTGCAGGCCTCAGTGCATGACATCACCTCTTCTTCTCCTCTAGCTACGACCGATTAGACTCCCCCCCGTCTTGGGGTAAACACCAAGATGCGGAGTTCCAACCAGCTGTCCTGGACATGGACGGCCTACCTATGCCTTCTCTCCGTTCTCTGCTCTCTGTTCACGCCGGCCGGTAAGTCGCACATTACACGCCCGCCCTCCTTAGCCCTCGCAGCAACTCATACGCACTCGCAGTAATGGTGAAGGAGAACGATTTCAAGAAATGCGGTCAATCTGGCTTCTGTAAACGAAACCGCGCCTATGCCGACCATGTCGAGGTCCAGGGCGCTTCGTGGAAGGCGCCTTACAAGATCACCTCCGACAAGGCCTCGTTCAAAGATGGCCAATTCCAGGCTACCATTCTGAAGACCACCGACGACGACGGAAGAACCGTCAACCTTCCTGTTACCATATCGTTCCTCAAGTCCGGAGCCGCGCGAGTCACCGCCGACGAAGAGAAACGCCAGCTGAAGGATATCGAGCTGAGACACGACAGCCCAGCCCGAAAGGAGAGATACAACGAGGCTGAGAAATGGGCCGTCGTTGGAGGCTTGGACCTGGACAACGAGGCGACTATCGCACGCGAAAGCGGCACTGGCATGACCATCCAGTACGGACCGAACTCATCGTTCGAGGCCGAGATCAAGTACGAGCCCTTTGGCGTTGATTTCAAGCGGGACGGCACCGTTCAGGTCAAGCTCAATGACCGTGGTCTTTTGAACATGGAACATTGGAGACCCAAGGTCGAAAAGGCTGAGCCCGAGAAGAAGGAGGGCGAGGAGGGCGAGAAGCAGGAAGAGGAGAAGAACGACGTCCCTGCCCATCTCGACGAAAGCACCTGGTTCGAGGAGACATTCAACGGCAACACGGATACGAAGCCTCGTGGTCCCGAGAGTGTTGCGCTTGACATCACCTTCCCAGGATACGAGCATGTCTTCGGCATCCCCGAGCACGCTGGCCCCTTGTCGTTGAAGGAAACCCGCGGCGGTGACGGCAACTACAACGAACCTTACAGACTATACAACGCTGATGTGTTCGAGTACATCCTGGACAGCCCAATGACTCTATACGGCGCCATTCCCTTCATGCAGGCCCAACGTAAGGACTCCACCGTCGGTGTCTTCTGGCTCAACGGTGCCGAAACCTGGATTGACATCGTCAAGGCTAAGGAGTCAAAGAATCCCTTGGCACTTGGTCTGAACTCCAAGACGAATACTCATACTCACTGGATCTCCGAGTCTGGCTTGTTGGATGTCTTCGTCTTCCTTGGCCCTACACCCAAGGATATCAGCAAGACCTACGGCGAGCTTACTGGCACGACTGCTATGCCTGCCGAGTTTGCCATTGGCTACCACCAGTGTCGCTGGAACTATGTGTCTGACGACGATGTTAAGGAGGTTGATCGTAAGATGGACAAGTTCAAGATTCCCTACGATGTCATCTGGCTTGACATCGAGTACACTGACGAGAAGAAGTACTTCACCTGGGATCCCAACATGTTCAAGGACCCTATCTCCATGGGCAAGCAGCTTGACGAGCATGGCAGAAAGCTCGTCACTATCATTGATCCTCACATCAAGAACACTGGCAACTACCACGTCATTGAGGAGCTCAAGTCCAAGGGCCTGGCCGTCAAGAACAACAAGGGTAGCGACTTTGATGGTTGGTGTTGGCCTGGTTCCTCCATGTGGGTTGACTGCTTTAACCCTGCCGCGATCAAATGGTGGACCTCGCTGTTCAAGTACGATGCCTTCAAGGGCACCATGGAGAACACTTATATCTGGAACGACATGAATGAACCGTCTGTCTTCAACGGTCCCGAGATTACTTTCCCCAAGGATAACCTGCACCACGGCGGCTGGGAGCACCGTGATGTCCACAACATCAATGGCATGACGTTCCATAATGCTACTTATGACGCCCTGATGACTCGCAAGAAGGGTGAGCTCAGGCGTCCGTTTGTGCTCACTCGTTCCTTCTTTGCCGGTTCTCAGCGTCTGGGCGCCATGTGGACAGGTGACAACCAGGCTAGCTGGGAGCATCTTGGTGCCGCTGTTCCTATGATTCTCGCCCAGGGTATCGCTGGCTTCCCCTTCGCTGGCGCTGACGTCGGTGGCTTCTTCGGCAACCCCGAGCTGGAGCTTCAGTCGCGTTGGTACCAAGCTGGTGCCTTCTACCCCTTCTTCCGCGGCCATGCGCACATTGATGCCCGTCGCCGTGAACCATACATGGCTTCTGAGCCGTACCGATCCATCATCACAGCCGCCCTCCGCCTCCGATACAGTCTGATGCCTTCATGGTACACAGCCTTCTTCCACGCAAACCGAGATGGTAGCCCCATCATCCGACCTATGTACTGGACTCACCCCAGCGAGGAGAGTGGTTTTGCTGTAGATGATCAGTTCTTCGTTGGAGCCACCGGTCTTTTGGTTAAGCCGATTGTCGAAAAGGACAAGGATTCTACCGACATTTACATTCCCGACGATGCTGTTTACTATGATTACTTCACGTACGCCAAGCTCTCGACTCACAGGGGCAAGAGTGTCTCGATTGATGCTCCCCTCGAGAAGACACCTGTACTAATGAGAGGCGGCCACATTTTCCCTCGCCGCGACACCCCTCGCCGTTCTACTCAGCTCATGAAGTATGACGACTATACTCTTGTGATTGTCCTCGGCAAGGATTTGGCTGCTGAGGGCGAGCTCTACGTAGACGATGGTGACTCTTTCGACTATCAGAAGGGTCAATACATCCACCGTAACTTCAAGTTCCACCAGCTGCAGCTCACGTCAACTGCTGCCTCTTCCCACGAAGGCAAGAAGCTTCGTGAGGGCGACTGGATGAAGCGTTTCCATAACGTAAGCTTTGATAAGCTTGTCATTGTTGGTGTTCCGTCATCCTGGGAGGGCAGGACCGAGGTTGAAGTCGAGTCTGAAGGCAAGAAAACCAAGGTCCCCTTCCACTTCAACAAGGCTGAGGGCGGCCGTGCCGCTTTCGCTACTGTGGGACGTATCGGTGCGAGAGTTGGCGCTGACTGGGAAATCGACTTTGCCTAGAAACAAACGGATAACGGTTGTTCGTTAAGCGTGTAAACGAGAGACATGTTTCAGGAACTTGGTACAGAAATATCAATAGAAGAATGCCTAGATTTGAATGTAGATTTATGGGAATTGCTTACGGCATGTAATAAGCAGTAAAGCATCACTCGACACGTGGTTCAACGCATATTGATTTTCATTCCCACCCCTCTGTCTTTCTATTAAGCCCACGCAAGGTTCTTCTGCCCCGGTGTCTTAAAACCTTAGACTTCAAGGTTGTTACCTCTCAGGACACAGTAGATAATCAGGTGATAGACCATTCGCAAAAGACCGACCTGGGATGTACGCGCTCGTTATCAAAATAGGTGAGTCGTAACACTACGACGCGTGACTATTCTCGAACATGAATGGTCGAGTTGCGAAAATTCTGAAGTGGCCGTGTCTAGCAAGATACGACGGCTTAGGCAGCACTTTCTCATCGCATCTGCGTGGACCCCAAGTGAGGTTCGAATTCTGGTTGGGATCCTCTCCCTCTATCTTGCCACTTGCTCCTCATACCATTGACACGCTTAGATGATTACTCCACGAAGCAGTTCGTTTGCTACGGAAATAATTGTCTCGGCTGTGACTCTGATAATGCGTAGATATTCTTTGTTTCTGTTATACTAAGGAAGATCCTTGGTCCACCACTAAACCGGAAACAAGAACATGCTATCAAGAAAAGCTTCAATTGCTCGATTACCAGCCCCTCACTCGCAATATTGAAGCTTGGAAGCCATTGCCAGACTGGCTCGTCGTTCTGAAAACTTTAAAACGCGCCTAACTAGTTCGCATAAGGGTTTTCGATTCCAACGACCAAAATGGCAAGCTTTGGCAAGACCAAATGCGATGAAACCATTCCATAATGCCTCTTGTGGAAGGCTGCCACACTCAACTACCACCTTCTTTCACCAAGCCGAGAGATTTATAGTAGAAAGAAACAAGCACCAAACAACCCCATCTATCTTCCTCATGACTATGCTCAAGGCATAGTGCACAACGAAGAGGGAGCCAACAAAAATTAACCGGCCTACGACTCCGAAAAGTCATAGAGTAGTGGCACACGACGATGTGCGATGTCATGCGCCAGAACTACTTCATTTCTGAAAGCTTGAGCTCAAAAACGAAACCAGTAGGTAAGTATGAAGAGGAGAGAGAAAAATCAAAGAAAAGAACAGGAGGGGGTCGAATATTTATACCCAAGGGGGGAGGGACCTTGGAGGGTTACTGATTGTTGCCTCAGATTTCTGCTCCGGAGCCACTAGTCTAGATTCGGACGAGTTGAGTCGATTCAGTCTTTTCAAATCGGCCAGTCAGAAATTGCAAACAGGAATAATGGCTGATTGGCTGGTCTCTCTCTTTTTTTGCAACAGTGATGCAGTGAATACTGCTCATGCTGATTGTTCAGACATTACGCTAGTCCTTGATTGGGACGATCGGGATCTCTATCAGCGGCTCCTTCCTTGATTGGTCGAAGTTAACGCTATAAACGAACAGTCCATCATCTGCAAGACCCTCAGCCAAGATGCTCCGCTTCAGACAACTTTTATATCAAAGAAATTCTCCCCAGCCCCATAGATACAAAGGTAAAATGAGTATGGCGGTTATATGTTTTATCGTTGTATTATCCAGTGGCAGCAATCTTCACTATGCACGGCGATGTCTGATTGGATATCCACCGATATCTGGTCGTCGGCACCAAGCTCCAGCTATACGAAATCATACAATTATCCCTGAGAGTAATACTACAAGGCACAATTTGTATGACAGATGAAATCACGCGGTTGCCACATGTTTTGTAACGTTTACATCAGCTTATGGTGATACTAACAGTGACAGGCAGCCAAGTTACGGCCATATAATGACATGTGAGTCGCTATGCGTGCAACTTTGTCTGATGTCTGGACAGGTATGTGGGAAGAGGGGGGGGGCGACGCTACCTGAGTGGCCTTGCTATTCAAATTGAATATATGCGGTGACTCCTTTGCCTGCTTCGTTGCGGCTGAGTGGTCGTTTTCACCCATGTGGAGGCACACTCAGTGGTCGAGGGGCACAACCACAACAGGTTTCCTCAATCCGAACGGTTCCCGACAGCTGCCAGCTTCCTAACAGTCAGCCTCTGGACGAAAGGACTTCTTCGAACGTTGACCATTGTATTAGATCAGAGCTTCCATAGCGGCGATCTGCATGAGCCATGTCTGATTGCCAATGCATTGGACGGTGAGTCTGGCAACGCACAACTAAATACGACCAGCACAAAATGTATTTCAACATATTTGGGGATGGACGATGACATCTGAGAGCAGATCATTTGAATTGGCGCATCAGATATTCGTCCAATCATGGCCATTCTCTCTCTCTCTCTCTCTCAAAGCGTTTCACATGGGCTCGCTCCCGGTTTGCGCCATTGAGATAAGCTACTTTTACTTTTAGGAGGCTTCATACCATCCTCTTTAAGGTCTTGGATCATTTACCTCTGTTAGCAGGTGTCCTGTATCATATATACGACCTTGGTGAGTCGCTTGTCTCGCCATATTCATCAGCTACTCGACCGCCGAACTTGCTGTCCCGCAACGTGAACGCGCATTCATCGTCTAAAGTTAATATCATAGGGTCAACTAGGCCCTTATTATGGCTATTTCAATTACATCTACTTACAGCATCCTGTATCAGCAAGCAGGGCCTACGCCGTACATTACTGCCTCTCTACGTAAAATCGTTCAGCATCTTTTTACAGTTCTCGATTCGTCCAATGCGTGTCATTCTGTTGATAGCTACCCAGATACTGCTTTGGTTAAACTATCGCGTCGGCCAACACTCCACTGGCAAACACTTAGAGGAGCAAATACTGGTTATGGCAGCGACACTCATTGTCTCCAATCGCCCCTGCAGCTATGTCATTCTCTGACAACGCGAGCCAGCAACCACCAGCCCCTTCACCAATATCCCCAATAACAACAACAGTTTCCTCAGACCAAACAAATTCAAGCAAACAAGTTCACCTTTTAAAACCTTAGAAAATCTAAGTACTTTCACCTTTAGGCACTGGAGTATGAAAGTAGTCGAATGAATGATGTCAAAGACTACCTTTCTGGCGCATAAACATCTTCCGTCTCGAGGTTCATGAGATTATCAAGGAACCATCCTGCTAATCGCTCACTACTCATATTCCAGGAGATGTTAAACATCGGATTTCGTTCACAATGGCCAAGTCCCATGCTCCTTAGATATAATCATACTCTGTTAACTTCCTCACCTTTGGTATCTCAGGTCCGTGGCTAGTCGGCTGGTTGGTTGGCTAGAGTGTTCAGTACGAGCGGGACTATAGTGGCCGCTGTACTGCCACTTACCCCCAGTGTGCCGCCAATGCCAGTATTCCGTGGACTGTCGCTACCAGAAGTCTATCTGTTCGTGCATCTTTGTGCATCTCACAAAATACCTCTAGTATAGCCGATGACCATCAATTGGAAAACGGCCCCCCTTTTACGTGTGGTGGAGTCTTACTATTACTCGTCACCCAACAAGCTGGTAGTCTCGAAAGCCGCCATGACTAGTATATCGACATGATCCATCACGAGTAGGTCTACAGCCCCATTCACAATCTCCACTGTCAAGGACATATATGTCAATGCGAGCAATCGTCGTCACCAAGGTCTGTTGGCAGAATTGGCATTGCGTCTGACTACGAAGCTACTCGTTTGAGTAATCAGTACGACATCAGGAGATTCTGGGTTCGATCCCCAGGCAGACCTACATTTTTGTCGATTTTTCGCATCGTCATTTTTACCATTCCGCCTACAACCAACCCATGTATACACGCTTCAAGCCCGGGTATGAAACATGGTGACTCCACCTGCAACCTGACTTGCGCCCGAGAGGGAGCGGTAACTTATCCTGAATGGTAGTTTTGTAGATATATATAATCTAAGTAGATGTCTAATGACAGTGACCAGTGTTACGAAGTCGCGAAGGTTTATTTATGATATACTGGCGTAAAACATGTTGACGTTTGATTGGCCCCATACTTACACTGTTGACTTTCTATGTATGTATGTATGTATGTACCCTACCCACCAGTCAACTTGTAGAAAATATCGTCATCATGCCATTCATTGTTATTAGATTTGACTAAAGATCAATAGAATTGCTAGCCCCGTGGATTCTTGAGCCAGTCACTTGGATAACCCATCAACAGCTCTGTCCAGATGTTTCGGACGATGCTCGATTAAAACCCGAATGCCAAGACCAGCTAGCGGCATCGGATCCCATGAACCAAAGTCTCCGAAGTCAAAGAGTACCATTTGCGTTCTACCTAATTCATCATCCATCACACTTAGAATTAAACAGAAGCTTACCCACATGCGATAGTCTTGCAATGTTCAAGAATAATGTCTGATGTCTCTCTCTTCTATTTGTCGATCTTGTTACTGACCTGGCATTTACGTGCGGAACCATTCAGCTCAAACCTCGGTAGACTTAGGGCGGTATCAATATAGCCGTAACTGTTTCCGAGGCTAAGAACCGTGAATATCGGACACCCAGCCCTGGTCAGCAACGGCTTGGTGTTCCGTATCAATCAAAATCGTCTTGTCTCCGGGTGACTAGTGTTCTGAGCTATTGTCATACAACAGTCATTTCTTCAGCGAGATCAAGCTTTGGGAAATACAGAAAGGTGGGGGGTCTGCCTTCCTGTAGCACAAAAGATGGCGCCGCAAGCGATCCGTAAGGCGGACGAGCGTCTTACGTTTCAAGAGCAAATGAGTTTTGCAGCGTTGCCGGACATCATACGCGATGGTTCTCCAGTAAAGCGATATATGAGCCGAAGGGCCGTCTGGGTTCCTGGTGTTGATTTACCGGTGCAAATGAGTCCTTGGAGAGGAAAGGCGGCTTATGGCGGGCACGTGTACAGTCAAGCAGGACTCGTAGCATCCAGGGCCTTCTCCGAAAGCAGAGCCAGTGTGCAAGCGGGACAGCCACTACGACAGTTTGGTATTCATGTAAGTCTTTTTATGATTGGCACATTGTTTGCTCAAGTACCAAAATGTAACGCACTAAGACATGATTCTTGCAACTTCCACATGTAAGTGTCGTAGGAACTGAACGCTGACAAGCGAACTCCAGACTATACATGGGTACTTTTCAGAAGCTGGTCTTGTGGATCGAGCGTTCATCTACGAGGTCACCACCATCGCAGCAAATCACTCCTTCCATAACGTTCTTGTCAAGGTCCGGCAACCAAAGACACCAAGCACTAGCCGAAACGGCGATCACTATCCACTCGAAGACGCAAAGGAGTCTCTAGGTCCCGTATGTTTCAGCGCCGTGGTCTCCTTCAGACCAGCTACGCGGTCCCAGCTAGACATCCAAGAACCATCCGCACAGACGCGCTACGCGAATATCCTGAGCCTGCGGCCGTCGTCGGCCTGGGACCCAGCGCCATCTGTTGATATTGCCGCTGTTCTGGAAGCCTTTCCGTCACGTGAGGCCGGCAGTTTCCCTATTGTGGATATGAAGAAGGTTGACATGACGGCTTTCAACGAGGGCAAGCCACTATACGACCGACGCGAGTTGCTGCTCTACCGGCTAATCGCCCCGCTTCCTGCGTCGGATCCGGATGCGCATATCGTAGCGCATGCGTACGAAGCCGATAGGAACGGGCTCTTGATGATTGGTAATCATATAGGTTTTGGTCATAATTTCGGGCGGGCAGCAAGTTTGAGTTATTCATTCGTGGTTCACGTCAATCCATCAGACGCCGTGATGAAATTTGGTGAGGATGAGTGGTGGATACAAGAGTGCAGCTTTCCGAGGGTTGAAGCTGGCAGAGGTATCATCATGAGTAAGATCTGGAGCCCTAGTGGCGTTCACGTGGCGACTGAATATCAAGATGGCATCATTCAAAGGCCATGGGGGCCAGATGAGAGGCAAGGGAAGTTATGAGTTTGAGTGTGCCATCTTCTATTCGAGGTACAGCCGTCCCATGAGATCGAGGGAACCATAACACCCAACAAGCATGTGATGGACATAACACGGGTCAGGAAGATGACTGCTAAGGGTCGCCACTCTAGGGTTATGATCGCCAGTCTTTGACCGAGACACGCGAGGGCATCAATGGTTAACCACATCATCTATACAATGACAATCACCCGAGAAAGGCCAGTATGGTTTTTCCCGAGCATGAAGTTCTGCCTTTTTTATCTTCGGCAGGTCCAAGAGCTTATTCTCAATGAGAAGCAGCATTTGTTCACTACTGATCAGGAAGCAGATCTTCCAAAAGCTTCCTAGTCCACCGCACACATCCACATAGAAGCCACTTATATTCAATAAACAGATTATTAGCATAAGCCAAGGTCTTCTTAGTTGGCTGTTTGGAGTTCCTTGAATCTCCGTTATACATTATTTGGAGACTGCAGCTGTCCTGGAGCAGTCATGAAGAAGTCTGGTCCGAAGATGGCCAATAAGGACATGTAGAACCTTTGGCGGGTATATATGAAGCCTGTTTGCGCCGTACTTGAGATATTGAGGCAGACAGAGGACTAATGCAGCAATATCATCGCGCCTCCACACGATTGAGAATGTCTCACGTGTTGCGACCATCTGGCTGATCGTGCCAACCAAAGCGAGTTAGAGGTTCGGCGGCGATCGATCAACAGCTCTTTCATAACGTAGTAGAGGGTGATCTCATGACATAAAAAATTACGGGACGCATACCACACGCGAAGAAAGAAGTTGAAGCCAGAGGAAGCTGGGAGAATCGAAGATCGATCCTGGGAAATTGCTAATAGTTTTCGGCCCGCATTCTCAAGACTCGAGAAGATGCAGTTTCGAGAGTCTGAAAATTAGAGAGGCGCGCGATCCTCCGGGCAGCAGTGTTTTCAACCGGAAACTCATGTTATAGGTGCTCCGAACTCCTATCAGAATTTGGATGGTAATATCCTGGACATTTGTTTGAAACATGTAACCATTATTGTAACTGTTTCACCCGGGTCAACAGCTTCATAAAAGCTTCTGTACATATCTTCAGCGTACGGTGCTGATACTTGAGTTGTACCGCGTGTTGCGTCTTGTTTCCACGACTGAAATTAGTCAAGGGCTCATGTGCGAAAGGGGTTAATAAGATCGACCCCTGGACCTTCATGTAGGCCCTTCCGCGGAGTTTGGTGCTTGTCTAAACTACATGAAATGTTCAACGCCAAACCGTATTCCGCCCAAAAATTTATGTTTCGCTTTATAACTTTTCCATGTTATTCCAACCTGTCACTTCAAGATCTTTTGCCGGTAACAGTGACAGCGAGTAAGTACTTTTCTGTCGACAATCTGAGTAATGGATTCGTAAATTGCAAGCAGAGTAAGCAGCAAATGCATTAGGTTGTGGATTAATGGGTCCTTAGCACCATAATCATGATTGAAACATCAAGCCCATCTCAGGTTATGCAATCTAGTTTCCTCTGGACTATTTTAGGCTAGTCAACACGTTCCCACCCATACCAATCTTGTCGTTATGTATATTCACTAGTAACAAACAAGCTTTGAGTGTCCATAAGGTTGCAGTATCCTCCACCTTCGGCCCTAGGGCCAGACTCGTAGATCTCGGGCATATTATCAAAGCAGACAGCAGCCTCGTCAGATCAGACTCGGTCACTCGGTTGCAGCTTTATCCGAATCAGCACTGAACTTTTCTCCCATTGCTCAACCATCCTGTCTAGAGTTGAAAAAGAAAAACAGTATGGGCAATAATGTATTTTACTCACATGGTTGTAGCAACAATCCGGGCCCTCCATAAACGGGCGAAGTCTTCGATGGGCCGGAAACGAACTCGTTGGTATCATATCCAAACCATGCCCAATTGTTCTGCAGTATTTCGTAGACGTACAGGACAACGTTGCCCAAGTTCGCCGAGTGTCCACCGCTAACTAGGTAATCGCTTCCCAAGGTGCATGGTACGTTTTTGAAATCTGTTCGGCCGGCTGTGAAGTTGGCAGCGCTCTTGACGACAAAGTTGCAGTCAGCGCTGTCAGGACGGGACGAACCGATCCTCTCGAGGCGGAACGAGTATGAGCAGCTATCATCACTACAAGCGATGTAATTATTTGAGAGAGTCCAGCTGCCTAGCGTTGGATTTGGTAGATCACCAGCAGGAAGGGCGGATGCGAGTGATGTGAGGAAAATATAGAGGATGACCGAAGTGAAACTCATTTTTGGGTTGTTCCGCTGAGAGCGATGCGGAAGATGGATTTGACGACATCGTTGTTTTTCATCAGCACCAGGGGATCGAGCCTATTTAAAGACGTCTTTTTGTGGCCGTGACAGCCCCATTGTGTAATGAGTTCATCACATATCAGCGCAAATGACAAACCTGTAAGATTATTTTAGTCTAGCCACAAACTTCGAGCACTGATTCGATATTGTTACAATGACATCTCGTCTCTAATCAAGAGGAGTACAGGCAGGGTTTGCCACGATTCACATTCAGCTCCAAACAGTCCTGATTCGGTCACTGGCGAAGCGTCATCAACGCACAATATATATCTATAGATTATATCTTGTGCTTAACCATGTACGATAATTGCCTTGGACGATGGAGACCTGATGGGGGGTTCGTCACGCATTTGATGACTCAAGTGACGGGTAATGAGACTCGTGACCTACCTTGGCGGGAGCTGCCACCTGCCAGCTTGACGACACTAACTCAGGGCTAAGAGCTTGGGCCCATATCCGGTCCCTGCAGAAGCTTAAGCTGGCCCCCAAATTCTGCCTGAAAAAGCCACGCAGCCAGATTTCCAATCCTGCCATTGAAATCAAATCACTTCCCCTACAGCTCAAATAAATTGGCCAACTACGAACAACATGCAACCAGCGGCGCGGTTGTCTGTATGCTTGCTCGTTGTGCCACCTCCTTCTCTCCCGCCTTGACAACCTCACGCAAAGTAACCATAGAGGCTAGTTACCTCGTCTTCATCATCTTCACACACGTGACTCTGTTTTGAGTCCTTTTCCCCGTTGAAAGTGCACAGTCTGCATCTCTACGCGGAAACCTCCCATCACAAGTAACACCCCAACCCTCACCAGTAGTGAAGCAAACAAAATGGCCACTATTTTGGATGCATATTGGGCAGCGCCGCCTATTGCTAGGTAAGTTGATACCTTCCGCTCCCTGTCATGCGGCTGAACCGTATCTAACAGTGCTGCCACAGGACCGTTGCCACCCTGGTCTTCGCTTGCTCAGTCGGCGTCTACACTGGAATGCTCTCTGGTGACCCCTTCTGGTTCGACTACCGCTTTCTCTTCAAGTTCCCTCCTGGTGTCCACCGACTCGTGACGAGTTTCCTGGTCACCCAGCCGCAACTCGGAGTCCTCTTCGATACATACTTCTGTTTCTCGTACCTGAGCCAGCTTGAAAAGAGCAACGCCAAGTTCTCGAGAAAGGAGGACCTGGTGTGGTACTTGATGGTTGTCGGCACCGTTGTCATTGTAGGTGTCACTCGCATTTTCTACCCATCTGCTCCATGCAGATCCCCTAGCCACCTCTCCTTGTCATCTTTCCAGCGTGATATTTGTGCTTGTCTAGATAGTCACCTCAACATATCTGCCCGCTTAGTGATTTGCTTCCACAGCTAAAGCGGTTCCTGAATTTGAGGAAGAGTACCCTCACCTCTCGGCTGGCCCGTCATTCGCAAACCTCAATAGAGGGTCAGTCGCGTTGTGGGCTTGGTGGGATGTCTATATGGATGACCTAGGTGACGTCTTTGACGAGTTTGCCTAGGTGGTATTTAGCGCCCTACATTTCATCATGCTTGATCATGCTCATTTTTCATGTCCTACGCATGAACTTGCAGCTAACAAGATTATTCAGATTTTGAACCAGCTCGTCACCGGCGCCGGCATGTATCTTCAGGCCCTGTTGATTGCCATGTGTTACACATGCACACAAGATCAGAGGGGACAGATGGCCCACTTCTATGTTGTCACTATCCCTGCGCAGCTAATGCCATATTGTCTTCTCATTGTCCAGCTCCTGTTTCCTAACGGATGGTATCTCATCAAGGTCGGGTTGACCGGTCTAGCCGCTGCACACTTCCATGACTTCTTTACTCGATTGTACCCCGAGTTTGGCAATGGCCCTAACCTATTGCCTACGCCATGGTGGATTTCGTGGTTGATGACCAGCCCTCGTATACAAAACACTGCTTACGGGTCTTCCTATGTGCCACCCAAGGATGGGCAGCCACGAAGTGGACCTCTGCCAGACTCTTGGAGAAGCGCTGGTCCAGGACGCCGCTTAGGTTAGTTTAAGCAGGCGTTTAAGATACTATATTGCAATAAGAACGATATCTTTTCTCATAGGCAATTGAAAGCACGATGATATGTGCTTGATTTTCTTTAATTTAGAAGGCTCTGTAATGATTTTGACCACAACTGACTACAGTTGAATTAACGCCATGTCCTTGCGATTTCCTATGCTACGCCGTATAATGCTATTCAAACCCAAACTCCATTATCTATATATCCAAATACGCCTGACTGAAACGGGACAACTCATCCAAACATTGTGCTTTTGCCCGTGTGTATCGTTATGAAGTCATCCAATTGTGTCTCGCGCCGATCTACGGCTGACTGTTTTCGTATGTGACCGGGAAATTGCTGAGTCAAGGGCATGCGCTGGTGTGATGGTTGAGGATCAACTCTAGCCGTCGATTCGTTGGCAAATCGTTGCCTGTGCTGGGGTAATGGGTTACTAATCTCCAACCCAATGGGTACCGATTCCCCAGGTCCAGCTGTCGGTGTCGCATCCTCGACCACGATCAAAGGCGGCTGATATTTCTTTGCACCTCGTAACTTCGAAACGGTCGGGAGAGTCAGTCTAGGTGCGCGCGGTGGCGGTGGAGGTGGTGGACCAGGCAGAACGGTTTGTCCTACCCCTCTGTTTTGTGATGGGCCTCGACTTAGTGCTGGTGGAGGCGGGCAAGGTAGCGCTGGTTGTTGTGACTCTCGCCAAGTATTGCGATATACATTCTGGTATGAGTCTCCACGAGCTGCCATTGTGGGCAACATCAAGGCTGGATTATATGCAGGAATGGACGTTGGCAATGCAGGCGCTAGGGTTGGAACCTGAACAGAAGGGGGTCTAGATGCTCGCGACGCATTCATATATGCACTCAGAGCGTAATCATCTGGCTTGTTCGACTTCACAGGCACAGATGGCTCAGGTGACAGCTCCCGGACCCCCCCGCGACTCATAGCACGCGGCACGTATGCCGGGTGGACGGGCAATGCACTGTTCGGTCCTCGCATGATCTGGTTTGGGTCAAAATGGTAGTTCGGCTGCCGAGTGGCTACGTCTTTCTCTAGTTCGTCATATTCGTCTGAGTGGTTCGTATACGCAGCTTGGGCTCTCAACTCGTACTGGCTCATGACAGAGCCAGGTTTGCTGTCGAAAGCGGTGTATGCGCCGTCCAAAGGCGGTGTCACAGATGAGCAACCACCACGGGGATCGTAGTTAGAAATGTAATCAGACTCGTAGAATATTTTTTGTTTGCGGTAGTAAATCCAGAACAGTGCTGTGCCCCCTAGGAATAATAGTGCCGCGCCTACCGCGATCCCGACAATTGCGCCAGTCGTCATTCCTGTGGTCGAAGAATTGTCGCTGCGGGCCGTTTCGTTGGTCGGCGGTGTCGTAATATTCACCAAATGCTCTGTAAAAAGTGAACCACTCAGGCCGATCAGTGCTCCCGGTTGCGGGCGTTGTTCGCATCCTGCACGTAAAGCGGTGACAACTGAGATGGTTAGTTGCGGCCATCGCAGATACATTACAGAACTTACAATTCGCCATGTACTCCTGGTCGTCACTAGCTTGGAGACATTGTACACACGAATCGACAGCCGATCCGTTGAATCGGCCTCCATCTGCGTCACAGTAGTCGAACTCGGTGCCATTGCTCGGGTTGACCAGTTCTGTTTCCAAAGCTATCTGCAGCGGTTGACAGGCGTAGTTGGTGCTACATGGCGATGAAATAGCTTTTGTTGTGTTTGGGAAGCCAAATAGGCAAACATCCACAGAGTATCTTAGGTTATCTTGGGTCCAAAGTCAGCATTTGTTTGGCTTAAAGGGAGATATTAACCTTTACATAAAAACCAGGCACTGTCACTCTCGTCATACTCCGACGCCGAGCTGGATTGAAGACAATCTATACAATTTTTGAACTTGATTCCTTTACTTGTATCGGCATAGTCGGAGTCGCCACAAACGATGTCTGTTGCATTTGTCGAAGAAGAGGCCGGATTCGCAGAGTCGCTCTCCGGGTTGTCTAAACAAAGCGCCGCACATTCCGAGCTTGGTGCAACTTGCAGACTTGACGCCAATTGTATAAAGGCGCCAAGATAGATGGAGAGAGCGAACGAGGCCATAGCAAGATAAATACGGAGGAGGTAGCGGCCGGGCGAATCTATACTTTTATCTCCACCATGGCAGCTCTGAACTCTTAGTTATGGTTCTTCTGAGTCCAAGAGAGCATGCGTACGACAGTATTCTCCGCAATTTGCAATCAAATCTTGAAGACAAAGAGCATTGTAGTAGTGAGATCGCCCTTTCCGGGACCACATCATGTCTATATGGCTTTACTGCAGGCTTTTCTGCACCTTGGAAGAGTGCAAGGTATGCGGCCCTTGGTGATGGTGGTGTCGACGACATGCAGCTAAAGCCAAAATGATATGCCTGTCTATGAGCAGCGCCTAGAAGATGCGCGTATGCCCATTTGCAGGCATATTTCTGATAATAGCACGGGCATCGTTGGACCTAATTGAAGACCAGTAACCACCAATCACCAAGGAGATTGCCCTTGCTCGTAAGTAGGCTAGTCGCCTGGCCTCAAGAGGAGCTTGCCACTGCTGTCATCTTGGCTTGCATATCAACAGCCCATTTCAAAGACTGACCAATCAAGCACACGCACTTTGCCTTCAACACGCGCGAGTATGTTGTTTAGTGGCTGACAGGGGCATTGGCTTTTATTGAGGACTGTCCATACGCCACGAAGAAAACGAACGGCGAAACAAGGCAGGCTGCATCGTAATTGGATTCTCAGACGCCGGCCAGCTATGCGGCCCATCCGGCAAGCGAACCAAACAAACGTAAACCAATTAGGGCAGATACCGGTTTACGAAAGATCTACAGAGAAACAACTCTGTTTCTATGCCAAGATGGTCGCGCATAATGGCCATAGGTATTTGAGGCCATGCATTTTGTGAATTGGTAGGGCTTGATACCGCGACCGACTGATCAGCCACCACCTCAAATTTGGTTTGATCAATCTTCCGGCCGCAGGCGTACGAGGATACATACGTCGTACATAGTAACCTGGCATTTTCAAGAGCACAACATTGAGGCTCAGCACTGAGATAGATATTTAGAAGCGGGGAAGACGGGCGCGGTTGTTCGCTTTCCAAGTGGGTCTGTCCAACCGCCTCGGCGGTTAAGGTCGCTCCTTGCATCGAAATAACCCCTGCAATTCCGGTGTGATAGTGATTACGCTTGCATGGGCGTATTCGCTTTTAGGATTATTCCCGGTCTACTTCCCACAATTATCTTAAATATATTCTCACGACCATTTCAACTGAGCTCAGGTAGATATGTCTCTCGGTGTTACTGCAGGCTTTGAAGATATGCTCTAGAGTTGGCGAAGTGAGGTTCGTTAGAAGTAAGGGGTATGTGTCTGTGGACATCACGGTTTTTTTTTTTTTTTTTTGGAACTGCAAAGCAAGCAAAAACCGTTTGTATCACATTTAACCATCCGTTAATGTCATGTGTCCCTTTCGGAATAACATTTTTATTTAGGGCTCTTTAGACATTGTTCTTACCCGAATCCAGATGCATTTCTTATTGTGTGGAAGTCAAAACAGCAATATTGTCATTATGATGGGGCAGGTATCTTCCTCTAAGGGCTGACCGAGACATGTTGATTACCTAAAACCATGAACTCTACTTTGTCTTCTAGCTCTGATGAGTCTCCTATTCATCTATTACATGACAAAGCTTTAGTTATAGCAACGATGCCATTGAAATACACTAGTCTACCTGGAATCTCTTTGCAAATGCCGAGCTGCATGTCTCTATTCGACCGGTCCCTTGAAGGAGAGAGCTCTCCAGATAGCAAACCGCACCTTCCAGCACTGACCGTACTTCGTTCTGCTCTTCTATCCGCAGTTGCGCCGCCCCATCTGTCAGATTGTGCATGTCGAACGTCTTGCCGTTTTCTCTTCGCGTCCAAAAACGGATATCCGTAAAGTATATCGGTAAACGACTTGGCTCCAAATGACCAAGAGTCAGGCAAGATCAATCGCGAGTTGGGTTTGTGCCCGATGCACCACAGTGAAGCTTCTCGAAACCCCACTCATCGACAAAGACCTTGTAGTATAATCGGTAGCCTAACCTCTTAAGTCAGTGGTGATAGAAACGTCGCAGTTTAGGTTATTGTTTGTTAAGTAACAAACACATTACCTTGGAATTTATATTACGTTTCTTAAAGGATTAAGATAATCGTTAAGGGTCTTCTCGAAGTCGTCACGAGTAAGTCAATTGTTTTATGTCGCGGCATATAAGCTTCGTTCCCTAGTTGGTAGCAAAGGCTTAATTCTATTACGGGGATAACAAAGAACAGTTCGCCGGCGCGGAGAGATTCCCGTAGCGCACATGTGCCGATCATGTTCTACCACTAGTACAAAATGAATAGAGTACGCTTTTTTAACTGGTTATCTTGTTATTTGCGAACTTTAAAGAATCATAAAAAGTAGATGGTCATGGTTATACTTTAGTAGTCAAAAAGCCATAGCGGCGATAGCGATAAGTGGAACATGTAAAGACCAAGACGCAGAGTTATAGTCAGGACGCAGTAAACGATAAAATTCGAGTTCTCCTTGTTTTCAAGGTATACTATAATTCTGCGTGCTTCTATTGCAATCCTTAGATCAGGGGTTCGGCCTCTAACACAAATCCATCTATCCGCACAATCAGCCTCGAAATGATGTTATGTAGCTCTATACAGTAGCAGAGACTACGCTGGTGCCAAGAATGTAGGGACGCTTGATCAAGCTTCGTTAATAGCCGACGACAAGAGAATCAACTCCAGTCAACGCGCACGGATCAAGTCTGTATCGATTTCAAGTATACGTTTTTTGATGCTATCTCTCAATTAGCTTGCAGCCGTGAAATCGACTTCTCATTGGTGCCACGGCGCTCACACACGATGAGCCTGTATGTTGTCAATTGGTGGCGATTTGATTGGTTTTTGAGCCATGCTTCATTCAGGGATGCCTTTCAGCTGTGGTAACCCCGCTCGGGTTCTTTGCACAACTTGGATCTGTCGTGTCAACTTCTCAGTCTAAGGCCAAAGCCGTTCTGCTTGCTTATCAACATCGTCAGTCGTGTATATGTTACCAGCCGCACTCGTGCCTCTACAAAATGGCGCTTTTTTGCTGCCTGAAAACAGCAACCAGGAGGAACACGCGACGGCATGCTACGAGCACCAACTCCACTCCGAATCCTGCAGGAGCAGCATCTTCATCAGCTTTGTCTCAGCCATCTCAAGCTTCTCAATCTGTGCCTACGCCAATACCACAAGCATCAGCGGAACCGACGTCAACAACAATCCCAGCATCTTCCAAGCATTTGCAGTCATCAGGGATTCAAGAGCGGCTTTGGGCCACGTCTTTTGAGGAGCTTGAGAAAACCAAGCCCGAGCTAGTTAAGGCATTCAGGAGGGTCATATACACCAAAGTAAACCAACCTAATTTAACTCCTAATGGGCCGTTAAAACACGGAGAAGAAGATTCACGGGATCCAACTCCAGAAGAATTAGAGAGATGGATCAAGGATGGGTTATTGCGGAACGAAAGAGCAGCGTCAGTACAAAAGGGAATCGGAGTGGTTGTACAAGTAGTAGGACCTGCGAAGCATATCATGAACCTGGTTGTACAAGCCGTTCCACAAGCCACTATTCCTTGGGCTGGCATTTGTCTCGGGCTAGAGGTGTGTTCTCCACTTCGAGATAACACTTCTTTTCTTAACTCATGGGTACAGATACTTTCGAATCCCAGCAATGAATCGAGCACCAACAGCGACGGTATCGTCTACGTATCGTCAAGACTGCAATGGTACTGGGAACTGGGGTCCTTGCTTCTTGACGAAAGCAAAAGCGAGCAAGCTTCTGAGAAACTACGCAGCGAATTGGAGAAGAACATTATACAGGTCTATGTAGCGCTTCTCACATACCAGCTTAGAAGCATCTGCCGTTACTACCGCCACTGGGTTCGAGCTATTCTAAGAGACGTGGTGAAATATGATGGGTGGGCAGAGCAATTGGAAAGTATCAAAACAGCCGAAAGAGCCGTCCAGAAAGACATAGACCAATATAATGGGGTAGAGGTGAGATCAAAACTTCGTCAGCTCGCCGACGAGGCCATGACTGTTCGGACGGGTCTCCAAAATATCCATTCGACCTTACAAGATCAAGCGCAACGACAAGAGCAAAGAGCAAAAGATGACAAGGACGAAAAGTGTTTAGAAGCAATTTTCGCGACGAACCCTCGATCGGATAAAATGCGTATCGAAGAGACAAAAGGCACGTTGCTCAACGACTGTTACTCCTGGGTTCTCCAAAACGATGAATTTCAACGCTTTCAGGCCGAGCAGCAGAATCAGCTTCTGTGGATTAAAGGCGACCCCGGCAAGGGCAAGACAATGCTGCTTTGCGGTATTATCAATGAGCTAGAGACTCAGCCGACAAGCTTAAGATCGGCTCTGCTGTCCTACTTTTTCTGCCAAGCCACCGTAGAAACACTGAATAACGCGAATTTTGTACTGCGGGGCTTGATCTGGGACCTTTGCCGCCAGAATCATTCGCTTATCAAGTACGTACGACATGAATACGACGGCACGAGCCAAGCACTGTTCTCACAAGACAATGCTTGGGTCACTTTGAGAAGAATCATGACAGCCATGCTAGATGATCCAGTGCTACAAGGTGCCACCATGATAATTGATGCCTTGGACGAGTGTAATGTTGATCGGGAACAGCTCCTTGACTTTATTGTCAGCACTTCGACCGTTAAGTGGATCGTCTCGAGCCGTAATTGGCCTGATATTGAGCAGAAATTCAAAACGACCAAACATATGAACAAGCTGCATCTCGAGATGAACCAAGGAGTTGTCGATAAGGCTGTCAATTCCTATATAACCTTTAAAGTAAATCAACTAGCAAAAAGCAAAGATTACCAGGAGGAGACGAGGAATGCTGTCGAAAGCCATCTAACAGCCCATGCTAGAGGAACCTTTCTGTGGGTGGCCTTGGTTTGTCAGGAGCTCGCACGCGTGGGCAGGGTACTTGCGAAAAAAATAGTTAAGGAGTTTCCAACGGACCTTAACGGGCTTTATGGAAGGATGATAAAACAGATGAAAGATTCGCCATACGCCAAAGTTTGTCTGAAAATTCTGACTCTTGTCTCGGCAGTATACCGACCTATCACTTTGGTGGAACTGCACGTTTTGCTGTCTCCAGTCAAAGACTTCGAAGACATCGGACTGGACGACTGGAGAGAGATCATCGCTTCATGTGGCTCTTTCTTAACCGTTAGAGAAGACATTGTTTATTTTGTGCACCAGTCAGCAAAAGACTTTCTTATGGACAAGTCTACAAGCAGCATCTCTCGTTCTAGTATTGCAAATCAGCATAGTGAAGTGTTCGGGAAGTCGATGGATGTTCTCTGCGGGACATTAAAACGTGATATCTATGGATTGAAAAAACCTGGAGCCCTCGTCGATCAAGTCTCAAAAGACGCTCTTGGCCCGTTAGCCGCCATTCAATACTCTTGCGTCTTCTGGGTCGACCATCTCGAGGCCTCACAGGTCAATACGCATGTGGAAGCGAGTCCGGACAAGGCACCGGTCGATATTAATGCTCTTCTGCGGTTCTTCAAGACGAAATATCTGTATTGGCTTGAAGCTCTCAGCTGGATGCACAAAATACTAGAAGGTGTGAAAGCCATGGAAAAGCTGGAGAGAATCGCAGTAAGTCTGATGTTATGAATCAAGAAGGAGAACAAACGGGTAAGACTAATAAGGCATAGATGAATACAGATTCAAAGGAACTACAAGGCCTCGTCAAGGATGCTAGTCGATTTATTCTGTCACAAAAAAGAGGTATCGAGATTGCTCCATTACAAGCATACACGTCAGCCCTTCTCTTCAGTCCTACAAACAGCTTGATCAGAAGATTATTTAAGCAAGAGTATCCAACTTGGATAGAACTACAACCGAAGATTGAAACAGTGTGGAATGCCTGTTTACAAACACTCGAGGGCCATACTAGTCGGGTAACCTCAGTCGCCTTGTCGAGTGACGGCAAGCGAGTGGCATCAGGCTCAGACGACAACACGGTTAAGATATGGGATGCTACTTCAGGTGGTTGTTTACAAACACTCGAGGGCCATACTGATGGGGTAACCTCAGTCGCCTTGTCGAGTGACGGCAAGCGAGTGGCATCAGGTTCATACGACAACACGGTCAAGATATGGGGTGCCACTTCAGGTGGTTGTTTACAAACACTCTTTGTCGCCTGCCTAATAAAAAACCTCTTCTTTGACCGAGAAAGCTGCGTTCGGCTCACAACCAATAGAGGTCAACTGGATCTGGAAACATCTTCTACCAGCTTTATCCCCTTGACTCAAAGTCATTCATCTAGTAGCTATAGCTGCGTTAGATGCGGTATCGATGTGGGCAGTGAATGGATCAGACAAGATGATACAAACCTTATCTGGTTGCCTCCAGAATATCGTCCCGGAGAATCGACAATAGTAGGACGAACTATTGTGATAGGTCACGGATCAGGACGCGTCTCGATTATGCGATTAGCTCCGAAAATAGGTATGACTTAATTATAACGGTAGTACAAGCAACTGGTATCTACCGAGCAATATACACGTGAACACATCTTTACTATATTGAGCATATACAGCTTAATAGAAGTACAATATCAGATATAGAAAGTATTGACTGAGAGCAAGAACCGCGTAAAGCAACAACAGTAGTAATATAGTTAGCCACATGCTGTGAATAGATGAATAATGATTCTGTACAGGAATGTACTGCGTTCAACACATTCTTATGGTCAGTATGCATATAACTAGGAGTACTGTCAGTTTGGTCCAGAAATGGCCCATTACTTACTGGTATGACAAGTACAAGGGAACAGCTTGTGCCCATCGAAGTGGGTCTAAGAGTGAAGTGTCAAAAAGAGTAGGTTAGGATGCTAATTTCGCGAATGACTGTACAGCACAACACAGACACTGAATCTGCCGTCACGATTCTAATATTGTAAATCACTGCCTTTCGGTCCATATTCATTACAATATTGAGACTCTAGACAGTCTAGTGAAGAGTAGGAATGCCTTCTTTGGATGGGATAGTGTGAGCCAAACGCCAAGTCTGGACTCAAGAGGTCCTTTTTTGGCTATTACATGCTAAATTAGTTAGCCGGTCAATCATACACGGCGTTCATGTCTGCTCCATTTTGTTGCATGAGGCGCTGTAAATTACAACCCCGCGCACAATGACACACGTAGTTTTCGAGATACCGATGGGCCGTTAAGCTTTGTGCCAATAGCCTAAAGCTCCGTTCGAGTTCAACAATATCTAAGGAGATAAAGAGCAGGGTCCTAGTCAATTCGGCAACATGCCTATCTTAATTCCTTCCAAGGCTTTAAGTAGTTATGCTTAGAGGATGACTGAAATTATATATCCCCACCTTTCAGTCTGTGTATGGCGAACTCAGCTCGAGTTTGACCAAGAGGGCTTTTTGTTTTGAAATTTTAATTTTTTTAAATGCTCAGATTTATGGCACCGTGCATACCCCAGGGTTATGTAGGACAAACTCCACCCAAATCCATTGGGTTCGCTTCGTATGTGCGGGTGTGTCGCAAAATCGCCCTCGGGAGTGCCACGGCTCATCGTCGTTATTGCCGCTGGTTGGTTCTATATCTTCTCGCGGCTGCGCGTCAAAGTACGCACACAAACTAGTTGTAGCCGAGGAGTGGGTGTTTAACCTGGATGATAGACTACTTAGTCTAAAATCTTGGCGGCTAATCGGCCAACATATGTACAAGTACCGCACTTCCCCCACAAGCGTTAATCCATCCCTGTTGAGTGTTGCAGCAACTGTAAGTTCCACCAGTGGAATTGGATTTGGTAGCCCCGCTGCAGATTACCTATCATCCCTCCCATGCCAATCGATATGCTTGTGAAGCGTCTAACATCCAACGATCTCTTCCTATGGTAGTCTAGAGATACACTCAAGTTTGTGTGTTACCAGTGACTGCGCCAACCTTCGATACCAATCTATACATAGTATGCCAGGACACCTAGCAACAGCCCAACCATTGACCTAGATTGACTCCTCCTATTCCATTATCTGACCAGCGATAGAGCAAGCATTGTGGATGCTTGTATCAATAGTTTTGTGCGTTTACTATAAAGAAGAATTGATATTGTGTTATTGAGAAAAAAGTACTGGTCAAAGTTACCGTTGAAACCACGCCACGTTCTACACATACTGTAAATGAATGTAAATTGCTTTGTTACTAGTCTAGAGACCAATGCGTTGTAGGGTCTTGACCAGGGCATATGTTGTCGATACCTAAGAATCTGTCATTCAATAGAACTCCCTGACACGGTGCACCGCCAGAAACGGGAGTTGATGATTGTTCTGGCTTTTGAAAAGAGTGTGTTAAAATAGCATCAAACCATCTAGAAATAAAATGAAACAACATAAAAGTTGTATTTCTTTCGAGAAGACAAAGCTCCATCAACGGCTTATTTCACTGTACACGTTCTTTTTGACCTTGGTCTAACCTATACTAGTTTACAGATACTGTAGTGGGGATTTAATACTGCAATCTCACCGCCCAAGATAGATACGTTTAGGCCCGACGCTTCATCCTTGGGCATAACAATCGGTACTATGTACACCAATGCTGCCGCCAAAATATGAGCTCGACATGATGTACTACATGCGATACATTTGAGCTCCGACGGTTTGGTGCTGTCGCGTCCAGAATCCAGGTTTACTGGAAGGTTATCAACGTTGCAAAAGAAAATTGCAAGGTGTTGTTGGTTGGTTGTCTGTGAAAAGCAGTAAGCTGCCGTGACTTACATTTGTTCCAGGCCATATTTAGCGCTGGCGCTAAATAGAGCTTCATCGTTGGCTGACGGCGTGTGGAGCTACCATGATTCGCTGCGAGTCGGGTGGTGAGGTCGTGTGTCGTCAAGTATCTGTTACCCCACCTGATCCCTGAAAGTCAATCTGGGGACGACGATGTTGCCAAAACCAACTCGTCGCACCTTTTAGACATATCTCGATCACTTTGCGCACAACCAACGCCGAACCAAGGCTCTTCCTACGAATGTCCTTTTGCTCCCCAATGAATTCTACTCTGTACGCGACGGTATCGCCAGGGTATCGGTGGTGTTGCCTTTGAGGGAGCTGCAAGGCTCGAACCGTGCACACCAGGAGAACCCCTGTGTTGCAGCATCGACGTCCATCGCCTGGTGTCCCTTACTCGGAGAGGATATTCAATATGAGGATAGGGTGTCTGCAGTTCGCACCCAAGGTTGGAGATGTCGATAACAACCTCAATCTCGCGGACGATATCCTAAACAGAACCAATCCGGAGGATTTGGACCTTTTAGTCTTACCGGAACTAGCCTTCTCTGGTATGTTGAACCTCCGAAGCAGCAATAACACAATGACACAATGATTACATCAGAGGTGACAGGCTCGAAATACCGCTTGGGCTGAATACGGGAGATCGGCATTGACGCAAATCACTAACAAAGATAGGCTACAATTTTAAAACACTCCGGGAGATATACCCTCACCTGGAGCCAACCGGATCCGGCATCACCTCAGTATGGGCTCGAACGACCGCCTTGAAGTACAACTGCGCTGTAGCAGTGGGCTACCCCGAAAGTGCTGATGTATCTTACAAATGGCCCACGTCCCCCGAATACTACAATTCTCTGATATTGGTCAATCAAGATGGTGATACTTGGGCCTTGTATCGGAAGTCTCACCTTTACTATACGGATGAGTCATGGGCACTGGAAGGGTCTGATGGGTTCTGGAAAGGTTATCTACCCGGCGTCGGGAAGCTTGCAATGGGTATCTGTAAGTTGAGTACCATGGTTTATGTGCACATACCGGAAGTTAACACATTTATCAGGCATGGACATTAAGTGAGGGCATTTGAGAAACTTGAGTCGGGATAGGTACTAACAATTGTGACTAGTCCGTATAGGTTTGAGGCTCCGTGGGACGAATTCGAGTTTGCAACACACGCCTTGAAGCATTCAGCTAACGTAGTGATCGTATCAATGGCATGGCTTACCCACGACAACCCCAGCGAGTTCACTACCCATCCTAAGGAACCAGACATGGACACATTGACTTACTGGGTCCAGCGTATGGAACCTATGATACGTTGCGAAAGCGAAGAGGAAATCATTATTATTTTCGCAAATCGATCAGGAATGGAAAGCGACGTATTGTATGCAGGAACCAGCGCAGTATTGGGAATTCAAGGTGGCGAGGTGACAGTCTATGGTCTTCTGGGAAGGGGTGAGAATGAATTGCTCGTGGTCGATACAAGCCAACCAGGCTTGGCAAAACTGGTGTACCGTCCGGAAGGAGAGACGGATATCTCAGTGAAAGATGGAACAGAGGGAAGGGATTCGGACGCAATGTCTCAAACACCACAAGGCCCGCGAACAAAATTATCCGACCACCAACATAATACGTTATCGGAAACAGAGTATCATGCAGCAGAGCGCACCAATGAGCCCAGCCGTCGCGCTGGTGGCCATGTGTTCATACCCTCGGACGCCGTCAGCACTCAGACTCTAGAAGTTGCTGCATACATTGACAACGAGTCTCCAATATCGCCGCGGTATTTCTGGAACCCACCAGGGACCAACACCGGGAGCCAGTCTCAAGTTCCTTCGTTCAGTATCAACAATACCTATGAGCAGTGGCACGCCATGCTGAACCAGGACGATGGCCGCTCGGAGGAAATCGAGAACGACGATATCGAGTCAATCACATCCGACATTGAGCCAGTTTCTGAGTTCTCTGCCCTCGTAGAAGGTCTTTCTCATTCCAAAAGCCAGCAGGAGGCAGTGTTGTCTCGTCCCTTCTCGACAAAATCTCAGAATGCAAGTCGTAACCAAAAACATCGCAGTGCCGGTCGTTCTACCCAGCTGTCGAACAACGTATCAAATGACGGCGTCTCACACAGTTACACTTCAACGGTGCCAGAGGACACCGGGCCACGAGTCGCCGCAAGAGATCGTCATGGCACGACGTACGAGACCAGTGGCATAGCCACTCACCAAGCAGGTCCTAGATCGCCCGACTTGGAGAAAATAGACGCTGATCTCATGGTGTTTGAGGAGGAGGGTACAGTTCAACAAAAACGTGACAGTCTTCTGTGTCACGTAGACGACGATGATTATATAGTGTTGCAAACAGCACGTAAAGATCGGATATCTCGCCACCCGAAGAGCGTGCACTCGCCCGCAAGGTCTAGCCGTTCAAGCTCTATACAAAGACCTCGGCAGTCTGGTTCAAAGAAACAGGACGATAATCGATCTAATCTTCGAGGATCGGAGTTGGACAAAGATGGGTACGAAATTGACAAGAGCAAAACGCGAACCCCCATAATGACTCACCAAAAGCAACGAAGTGGTCAATTGGATGTGCTGTCGCCGTTTCCGAGTGACACAAAGAGCAAGACTCAGCGCAGCCACATACCGACAGATGCACGCTCATCGCTCTCATCACAGCGAAGCCGCCAGCTCGCCAGACAAGAAAATGTCACCCATTATGAAAATGGAGGTACTGATTTCCTGCATGAAGTCCCTGGCAAGAAAAGCAAACGCGGACCTCAATACGGCGGCTCATCTGCACTTGCACGAGAAAGGACTTCTGATATCCCTGTCGTATTTTCCCCTGATATATTGGATAGAAAGTCAAGGCTTAATGCTTCGGCCATCACGAGCGCAGGGACGCCAGAAACAGGAATCGCGTTTACAGATGCGGTCCCAGATAATTTTTCACTTACCCCTAAGGCCATGGTCTTTGATGACAAAGAGATATTGAGTAGCCCTGCCTTAAGCCAAGCGATGAGTGCATTAGCTCTGAATTATCAGTGCGAAGCAACAGATATCGCCGTCGGAAGGCCAAGGAGTGCTATTTCGTGAAGGGTTTGTAAGTTACGAAGTTAAAGATACAATGTACGTGAAGGCGACAGTCTTGCAGGAATCGGGCTTCTTTTACTATCTCACTCAACGCAATCATGACATAGATGGCCAGACCATTTAAGCGCTTACAAACTCAAGTTGGAAATTAGGACCGTGAAACAAGGCGTGGCATACATAACCTGCTACTTCTATGACCCTTGGCACCACGTACTAGAGAGGATTTTCGGACCGAAGGTGATGTCAGATTTCACGGGTTGGTTTCGTCGTTGCAAGGTGAGGTGCATTGGCGCTTAGCACCAACGAATGGTGTAAAGATGTGTGGCTGTGCCCCATTTCATGTGGTATCAAGAAAAAGCGAAGTGTTTCATGACCAATGATAAGCTGAATAGTAGATTATTTGCCAGAGCCTTGTCAAGAAGTCTTCCGAGCCGCTATATCGGCCCGGTCTATGTTAGATAACGGACATTTGTTATCAGTCCTTAATAGCTGCTTGGAGATGGGTAGAGCTGGTTTTGCTCAATTGAAGGCGCCGGATGGGGATAATAACAATGGGCGCTTTTCTTTTCTGTTCTTATCTTCTCCCTTTCTACTAAACGTCTCATGACATCTCTGCCTCCAACACATATCAATGGATGAGTTGTTGAAATGGTGAAGAGAGTCCCGATACTCTGGTACGCATGAACTAAGATATATGTAGACGCTTCCATTTTACCAGCCAATGAACACTACAGACAAAAGTATTGGCTCAACGATAGGAAGTCTGCCACGATTGATGCACTTTACAGGACAGGGGACTAAGAGGGAACCGACTCGGTTCAATCATTGGGGTCCTCAGGTAGGCCAGTCAGGCCCCTAGGATATACCTACACATGGAGAGCTGGAAGCCCAAGTTGGGGAATTAAACGGGTAAAGTCCATATGTAGATGTCATCTTCAGGGGTCTTGAGCCAACAGTGCTTACATATGTCGGATAGTATTGGATGTTGGATCCTGCCCACGAACTCCACCTGCAAAGTTCGACAGGGATAAACCGTGCCTTGTGCTTTCGCGCCGCCGCTACAGGGCGCTATTGCCCGTGGGTTGCAGTGATTACGCCAATCACACAGCTGTCTTCCAAGTTGCCAGCCAACAAGTTGCTCAAGATGTGAATATGTGCAGGGGGCCTTGCAGGTAGTCAAGGTGCTGAGAACTTTCAATGGTCCAGGACTTGTTCCCCTAGTTTTCTGGCCCCCAGATTCAACCATCGAATTTTCTGTTCAGGAACGAATCAGATCTTCACGCCCCCAGGGTTGACCGGTTGTGACCAGCTTCCCGCCTGTCCATGGCACCAACCTGCATCGATGGCATGCAATATCACCAAAGTGGTCGCGCTTCCTTCCAGTCACCATCCATCTGGGACCATGATCGTCCGTTGGAAGTTGCTTGAATTCCAACATCCTCATCTTCACTTGTTGTCGAATTGTCGCATTAAATACCACTAGTGTTACGCTCAACGATCATATTGAATACTGTTCAAACCAGATTTACTTTTTTATGTATTGAATTCTTTTCTCAGGCGGAGAGATTTCCTGCGCCTGAAGATTGTTCGGCATCCTTTACCCCACATCACATCGACAGCACCTGCACCGTGAGAACGATAAACGCAGTTCGCAATGAAGACAATCGCGCGAAAACTTACGCTGCTGGTGCAATTGCGCTTAGCCTTGGCCGTCTTCGTGGCGACCGATTCGCCATGTGGGACAAGATGTGGCAATGTGCTGGATTCGACATCCGCGTCTGACTTGGTTTGCAAAGAGTCGGCATATTCTACATCAGCAGGCGTGGTTTGGCAATCATGTCTTACTTGTGAATCAACTAGCTCCTATTTTACCAAGATCGCGAAAACCACATACACAGATCTGCAATCAATGCTTTGTGCGTTAGAGACATATCTACACTCGTCACCATAGGCTAACGCAGGCAGATAACATGCGGTTCGCTTCATCTACTTGCCTTTTTGGGGGCGGGTTAGGCAGTAATCCATGCGTCACTTCGTAAGTTGACATTCTTTGAGCTTCAACTACCAATTACTAAATATCTACAGCACGGCTTGTGGACCATTGCAAAGCGCCCTCGAGTACGATGGTCTTGCCTCTAACGTCACAGCATATGGATACTGTAGCCTATGGAGCTCCGATCAGGTCTCAAAGTGTGACAATTGTTTGGCTGCGATGGATAATGGACATCAATTCCAGAATTGTAAGTGCCTTGTCAGCCGTCGTTAACCTAACTTACATTGGTAGATATAAATATCCTCGACGGCGCTTGTAAGATGCAACCAACTGCAGGGTCGACTTTGGCTATACAAGGGAACATTTTCTCTTCTGACGTCGTCAGTGTCACGACCCCAACTCCTACGGCATCAATCACCCCATCCGGACCTTCAGGGCCACTTAGTCTAGGCGCTATTGTTGGAGTCGCAATTGGCGGCGCAGCATTTGTTCTTGCCGTGTTGGGTTTCTGCATTGTGATGAACGGCAAACGCAGGAGGCGAGCTTATTTACGACGTCGAGAGGAGCAGAAACAGACATGGCCAAGTCCTGGCGTGCAAGGCGAGATGTTTGAGACACCAGTCAGTCAGCGGCCACTTCGTAACTGGGACGAGTCACCAGTCAGCATGACAACGGAGGCAACCTATCCACGATACTATTCGCCATATAGCTCGCAATACAACAGCCCTGTCAGCGCGGCAGAAGCCGTGAAACAGCACCAGTGGCCCATCGCCGCTACCCAGAATATTGGTGTTGCCCTAAGCCCCGATGGTGGTCAATCTCACCACTCATGGGGCGACAAAAAAGGCAAGGACAAGTTTCAGCAAGACGAAGACAGTTACGAGATGCAAGAAGGCATCAACAGTGGGGGTGGCTTGAATGACTATGTGCCTCCTCCACCGCCCCAGGCCCCTGTTCTCAGCCATCCCGGTTATGGACGACATGGCCCTTCGCCGCAGCGATCGCTTACAGAGGAAGACTTTCACTCAGGAAGAGCCATGTAAATGGTTGTGTGTGCCGAGCAGTTTGTCTGTTTCGATTGCCATCCATAATTTGTATTAGCACGGAGTTGAGGTGTATAGCAGGCACGTTTTCGGCCCGATGATGTGTAGGTCACGTACAACAAGCATTTCCCTTGCTATTTTTTTATTATTGTTATTATTAGATACCACGTCCAGGAGACATTGACAATAGCTGGGCCTCGATCCCAAAGGGAAGGCTTACAAAGGAACATAATTGAGCTGATAACTAGCCAATCTCATATTATACTCTTTTTATTGAGAAATGCATCTAGTTATTCAAGACGAACTCCAAACTTGTCTACGCTTCCTACATATCGCACCTCTACCGACCATGCTGTCCACTGGCCGGCGGCTTTGACTAGGGTGCGATTACTTTGTGCCATGCTCTTTCTTTGTTAAATAAGATGCGTTTCACTTTAGTAACACTCCATTACTAGCTTCGCTATATCTATGTCATGGAAGATCTGAAACTTGAACCACGCGAATCAATGGCCAGATTCGAGACGCATTTTGTTCAATGCGTTCTGCAGCCCTCCCGTGGCCAAAATCCTGATGCCGTGTTCATATCCTAGTGTCCCAGACTCATACCAATTGTTTGCCACTACTAGAATGCTCTGACTATCGTCCACGGGTTATGAGTGCTCGTTGCTCTGTTGAATATGCTTTCAACTCTGCGTAAGTTGCTCTCACTATAGAAGGATTCAGGCGAGTGTTCGCAATGGCGGATGACCCAGGTTTCACAGACCGCAAGAACAAACTTATACCGTGCATATACGACGGGTGCTCACGATCTTGAAGATGAGGGACACAGATTAGCAAACGGGCTAAACACTGCATGAGCATAACCCCAACCGTGTAAACATGAGGCTGTGGCTTTGCTTGTGGCGGAAGCTCCCCCCAAGTGATGGCGCTAGTTGCTGATTGGGCTAGATTTTGTCGAATCAATCAATTCTCTGCGACTCCACATTTGCACTCACATTACATTAGTGTGCCTCGAAAAATTTTGGAGCTTTGAAAGTTCAATTGCATTGATTAGATTTCCAGCAATTTTTCGCCGTCAACCTCAGTCTTCGTTCATTGTCGCCGAGTATTGTTTGGACAGCATCAATCACTGCGACGAAGACATGGCTAGCAACGAGTCTTTCGTCATCAAGCCCCAGGCTACCACTCCGGCTATTGACTGGAGCCAGGTGCCTCTGCTCCTGCGCAACTATGACAAGCGTACGTGACACCACTCGAGAGAGAACCCAGAAGCGGACAAAGACATGTATATAGTTGTGCTGTGAGAGCCATTGACTGACATTCACCCGGCAGTTCTCGTGCGCACCGGTCACTTCACCCCCATTGACCATGGCTGCTCTCCCATGAACCGCGACCTCAAGTCCTACATCAGCTCTGGTATCATCAACCTGGACAAGCCTTCCAACCCCTCGAGTCACGAAGTTGTCGCCTGGGTCAAGCGTATTCTCCGGGTTGAGAAGACTGGCCACTCCGGTACCCTCGATCCCAAGGTCACCGGGTGCCTGATTGTCTGCATCGACCGTGCCACTCGTCTCGTCAAGTCCCAGCAGGGTGCCGGAAAAGAGTACGTTGCCGTCATCCGCCTGCACGACAAGCTGCCTGGCGGCCAGGCTCAATTCGCCCGCGCCCTCGAGACCCTCACCGGTGCTCTCTTCCAAAGACCCCCCTTGATCTCCGCCGTCAAGCGTCAGCTCCGTATTCGTACCATTCACGAGAGCAAGCTGATCGAGTTCGACAATGATCGCCATCTCGGTGTGTTCTGGGTCAGCTGCGAGGCTGGTACCTATATCAGAACCCTTTGCGTACACTTGGGCCTGTTGTTGGGTGTCGGCGGCCACATGCAGGAGCTGCGCAGAGTTCGAAGTGGTGCCATGGACGAGACCAAGGACCTCGTCACCCTGCACGACGTTCTCGATGCCCAGTACATGCTTGACAACCAGCGAAACGAGGCATACCTCAGGAACATCATCCAGCCCCTCGAGACTCTCTTGGTCGGCTATAAGAGAATTGTCGTCAAGGACAGCAGTGTCAACGCCATCTGCTATGGCGCCAAGCTCATGCTTCCCGGTCTGCTGAGATATGGTAAGTTCTACAGTCTCTGAAGTGTATCCAACCTTTTGACTAATCATTTCTTTGCAGAGGCAAACATTGATGTCCATGAGGAGGTTGTGCTCATCACCACCAAGGGTGAGGCCATCGCCATCGGTATTGCTCAGATGAGCACTGTCGAGATGAGCACATGTGACCACGGTGTAGTTGCCAAGGTCAAGCGCTGCATCATGGAGAGGGATCTCTACCCTAGACGCTGGGGACTCGGCCCCGTCGCTGGTGAGAAGAAGAAGTTGAAGGCATCGGGCAAGCTTGACAAGTATGGACGCCCCAACGAGCAGACACCTGCCACCTGGACCTCGTCCTACAAGGATTTCGGTCCTCCTGCTGGTGAGGCCGCAGCCACCGAGGCTGCCCCTGCTGGTGACGTCACCATGTCAGAAGCTCCTGCTGTTGCCGTTCCTGAGAAGAAGGCCGACGAGGAGCCTGCTTCTGATGACGACAAGAAGAAGCGCAAGAAGCACGACGGCGAGACAGCAGAGGAGAAGGCGGAGCGCAAGCGATTAAAGGCAGAGAAGAAGGCAGCCAAGAAGGCCAAGCGAGCCTCTATGGCCTCTGCGCCGGACAGCGACTCTGATTGATTCATCAACTCTAGTCCCCGTCTTCTTGTTTCTTCTCAGCTTTCTCAGTAGTCTACGGCGTTTTGCTGCATGTATGGTACATTCCCAAGGGTCATAGGAAAAGGCGTTCGGATGTTTGGTAATCGTGTTGGGCTGCCAATGGTGAAGTCAAGAGTTCACTTAGATAAATAGGCTTGCAGGTATTGATACAGCAGCATTGATGAGCTCTCGGATCTTTCCATGACATGAACCGCATTACCTGAGTGTCCCATTCTCGACGTTCTGCTGCCTATTAGACTACTATCTGGAGGACACGTATTTATTTATGGCCCCGTTTCACCGTCCGTCGCCGGTTCTATTGACATTTTGACGTGTGATTTGTAGACGAATCCTCGAAATGCCATTGTTGTGTAGACGTTTGCTTGGTCACTGGTTCAAATCACGATTTTAGAAGGAAACGTAGAATTGTGGACTACCAAACGTACAATTTTCCAATTAGTAGCTGTTGATAGTTCATCTGAAGATATCCTACCTGGGTGTTCTGAGACGGAATGTCAAGGGTTCGGCCTGTGGCCCACAAAGCGGCTTTCTCGATACACGAAGAAGACGCGTCACGGGTCTGATCACTTCGGGTTCCGAGCGATCTTTTCACGCCAGGACAGATGCAACAGGAAACCTGAGGCTACAAGTAGGGACTTTGTGACTAATTTGACGAGATAATCGAAAAAGTGTGAATTTGGTCAGTTAGTGACGAGCACGTAGTCGACGATGATGCTCGCTTCAAATATTCCCATGATTCATGGATGGTGGCCGCAAAGCCTTGCAGTACTGCGGCGCCTTCCATTGGCGATGCTCCCAAAGTGCTGGACTAAGTATCAAGCTGGGAATATTTCCTTTAAATTTGTGCCGTCAAAAGTTTTGCTTCGCCCCTCTCAAAGTTTCGGTTGAATCAAGCCGTGGGTAGATTACCATTGTGCATTAAGAAACGTGAGGTCGCCCAGGTGTTTCGACCCCTCCGCCCCACTGGAAACGCATGAACCTGTTGGGTTCCTGGCGAATCCAGATATCTGTTCTTGCATAACAGGAGGCCGAACAGTCATTTAAGGGTGAAATGACTGTCGTTACTCTCCTTGCTTGTTTCTAGTGTGAACTTGATGGGTTACCTGTATATCTCACTTGCAGGTTCCGTAAATAGGAACGGCCACCACTAGCATGCGAAGGATCATCAACTCATCCTTACTCGGCCGCTATTCGCCAGTCAGGTCTCAACATCCGCCACGTATTTATCAGTTGCTGATCATGGATTTATTCCTTGGGTTGAGCCCCTCCATTGCCATCATCGGAACCAGTATCAAGCGGGCCCAATATTCCTCCATTCGTCACCATCTGATTTCTGGTACAGTGTTTGGCTCATAAGCAGGTGCTCTGATTATATGTTTTTAACAACTAGAAACGTGATACGTACAGGATGAACCGCTCTCTGTCTCTCAGTTATCCCTTACTGGATGCTCGCAGCATGTTCAAACAAAATTTGATTCAAGGCTTCTACTAAGATGGCGTACCAAGCAACCATGCGATATTTGAAGCCCTGTCCCGGCATCCTAGGCCCCACCGCCCCTTTTGAATCAAGCGCATCACGAAGCACAGCTTGTCTGACATGGTGCCAGATCTTGGCACTCTCCGAATTTCTGGAACCTCAGCCCTGTCAAGGGAGAACAGGCTCGTCCATCGACGAGTGTAGATCACCTTACCGTGGTCCACTAAGGACCGGCGTAGGCCATGCTCTTGTCGTGCATCAACCCTCACAAAGGGTGTAATTTCCCTTCCGATTTTCCGACTCATGAGCTGAATCTGGTCATTATGTGGGCATCTAGGGGCTCATCGCATCTCGAGTGGGAACATGATTATATATTACCCTTGCTTTCCGCCATTGACAGGGCTGGGCTTCAAATCTATGCTTAGTCTTATAAGTTGTCCTTGGGCACCAGTATACAAGACCCGTCTGCAACTATCCAGCAGTATCACACAGGGGCTCCTCATTTCCCTTTCAATACCAAATTCTGAACGTTCAAGTGCTCAATAGCTCAGGCACTTCTATGCTAATCATAATTCTTATTACCCGTCCTTACACAAACGACTCGTGCGCGTGGCATAACGCTCACTCCTCACCCAGACAAGGCCATATACTCTCATTCTATACCAGATTGTGGTGCAGAGTGCATACCCATAGCTTGGCAACATTATCACAGCAAACATCTACAATTTCAGACAGTACCATCATAGGGCTTTGTAGCGACCACCATCAAGCACTTTTTCTACAGACTAGAGCTCCGACACCTCATACATACAATATAGTATACCGATATGTGGAGTTGTACTCGAATATTCACAACACTTGTGCTATGCACAAGGTTTACCCTCGGGGCTCCTTTAGCTTCTCAAGGCCATATAATAAAGCGCGCAGGCGCACCAGCAATCAACGTTGATTTCCCCGATCCCTCAATATTGCAGGACACAGATGGGACTTGGTATGCTTTCGCAACAGCAGGAAACGGGAAGAATGTCCAAGTTGCCAACGCCTCGGATCCTCGGGGGCCTTGGACATATATCGACACGGACTTGCTCCCAAAAGGTGGAGACTGGGAGACGGGTCAGAACACCTGGGCCCCGGATGTGCACCTACTTGATGATGGCACGTATGTAATGTACTATTCCGGCCAGGTGGGGAATAATACGGCTCACCACTGCGTTGGCACCGCCATATCCGAGACTGTGCTTGGGCCATATACGCCCGCCGATCAGCCATTCGACTGTGATCTCAGTGTCGGCGGCTCGATCGATCCGTCCGGCTTTCAGGATGCAGACGGCAAGCGCTACGTGGTTTATAAGATTGACGGCAACAGTATCGGCCATGGCGGATCATGCAATAACGATGTTGCACCGATCATTTCGACGCCTATCTTGATGCAAGAAGTTGACGCTGATGGCACCACCAAGATCGGCGAGCCGATAGAGGTACTAGATCGGACGGACGAAGATGGCCCCTTGGTAGAGGCACCCACGATCTTCCGGAACAGCAAGGGCATGTACGTGCTCTTCTTCAGCTCTGGCTGCTTCACAGAGCCGACATACAACGTGAACTATGCCACGGCGTCTAGCGTGACAGGTCCATACACACGGAGCGCGGTGCCCCTTGTCACTAGCGATGATTCGTTTGGCCTCACCGCGCCAGGCGGGGCGACCCCTCTGGTTGACGGCAGTGGCATAGTGTTTCATGCTGACTGTGATGAAGGACGATGCCTCTTCGAGAATAAGATTGGCATGATGGGCAAGAAAGTTGTTCTAGACGGGGTTGACGGCATCGGCATGTAGACGGTTTGTGTTGGCATTTCCAGGAGCATCGCATGGAGTTCGGAAACTTGGAAAAGATACCACCTTAATGATTTGAATAATACAATCGCACAGAGAGCAGTGTTACGCACGTTCGTTGTTCCACATTTTACAAACGGGATTTACTAAGGTTAGAGCACTTCTCTTGCAGTAGTCTTCGAATCTCCTAAGGTTAGTACACGGTAGTTTCGGTATTGATGGCCTCTCCTGCAGGTATGCATACCGTGCACGAACTACAAAGGACAGACCCGGCCCGAACTATCATGTCAATGAATCTGCCAGCCGACAATGGAGCGACGTCAGAATGAATCGAGCGATAGCGAGTTGCGTGTTCGACTATCTTTAGCCGCGGGCAACGCTTGGCGTACATGTAGCAAGGGTGGCCGGAGGTCACTGGAATTCGTTCAAGCTTTTGAGTGGACCTGGATTTAAGCGCCGAATATCCTGAGTGCTGCAGCTTTCACCAGATTTGTCACATTTGCACACCACAACTCTTAGAAATTTTTGAACGGCAATGGCGAGACTATCGAGCCACGGGCCAAACATGCTTCGCAAGCTTCTCATGTTACTCTGGTCGTGAGCCTACACCCTTGCTCGCCGTTAAAGTCTAGACAGTGGCCCGAATACTATCTAGGGGCAGATATCTGCTTGTTCACGAGCAACCTTCGTTACTTGTGCGCATCCTCGAGCCTCCCACCAAATTATTTTCTTTTTAGAGGGGGAGGGAAGGGGTTGGAGGTAAATCATTATTCAGTCGCATACTACAGGTAACGTACCGGCTGCGGCTTCAGCGACCGACCATGTTGGCGAGAAGCATTACACGCCACTATCCCTGTCTTTCATGCAGTACCACCTGTTTGCGCTGATGCGATCTGGGTCTAGCTTCAGGTCCCCAACCGCCAACCACACTAACAGCCGACCTATTAGAGGACCGCTGGTCGCCATCACGGCGCTTGGTACTCATGGAGGCGTCCTTTGCTTCGTCCTGGTTGGTCCCGTTGGCTGTGCATGTTGTTTGCCCGTACTGACTGTGCCGTACCCGATGTGCTGGATCGGCCAATCTGCCTGTTCTAGGCCGGGTAGTGCTTTGCCATTACTCCAACAGTGCGTTCAACCAGGGGAACTCAATCGATAGTCCCAGCGGTACAATGCTCCCTTCTTGACAATGTCACCCATCTTGCAGGTGCTGTGCCTGAATTATGGCGAAAGGTAGGGGGCCGCTGCGCTACTGTGCATGAGTCTAGAATACCGAGCACATGTTCATGGTGCCATGCTGGTGATATATTCTCTGCCACATCCCGACTCTTCGTCGACTTGTGCATCTTCTTTGCGATAGTTGCGCAGTTTAGTTATCGGATGTTTCTTCTCTTCTTGTTTTACGGTGTGTTCATGACATAGATACTGCAGCAGGCTGCTGGTTCGTCTCATGGTTCTATCATTTTAATTCCGAAACATATACTCTTTCTTTTTCAAACATACCAGACCCTCCTCACGACCCTGTGGACCCTGTGCGAACCTTTCGGAGCATTTAACTAGATATCCAATTAATATCTCTAGACGAAAATGGCATCATTGATTATCAGTATCTGCTTAGCCCTCGCCCTGCTCGGCTCGAAAATTGCGGCTTTGCAGGTCACGCCAAACTCGCCTTGCTCTTCCTTTTGTGTCGATTCTAAAGGCTTGGATATTTCGGACCCTAATTCATCAAACACTGCCAATGATGACATCACATGTTACGACAAGGAGTTTTCCTCCACGTTGGCTGGACAGAAGTTCCAGAGATGTATGAGCTGTCTACAGGACAGTTCCTTTATCCAAGGCTCAGAAAGTGATCAATCTTGGTTCTTATGTAAGTAGACGCCCGTTGTTACATTCAGGTTGAATGAACTAACTATCGTCAGACAACTTGAGATATACCTTTGACTACTGCGTCTTTGGATTTCCCAATGCAACCAACGTAGCCTCAACACCATGCTCGACCTCAACAGCCTGCGGCGGATTAGAGGAAGCCTTAACAGGCGACAATCTTGATGTGACAGGTTTGCAGGCGTACGGATACTGCAGCGCGGACGGCGGCGCAATGACGGACACAACTATTTCCAAGTGCAAGGCCTGCATAGCTGCTTCCGATGGTCAAGACTATATGGCCAACTTTATGGTCGCTCTTGAGGCAGGATGCCAGCAGCAGCCCACAAACGGCACACTGATTGGGCTCAATGACACCGTTTTCTCGACATCACTGGTCAGTATAGTCGATCCTGCAGCTTCATCAGCAGAATCCAGCGCTCATAAGGCATTGCCGACTACAACTGTTGTCGGAATCGCAATTGCTGCTGTTGTCGTTATTTTGGCGATTGCTGGGTTCTTCTTCGTACGTCACAGGAAACAACGTAACCGTCGGGTCCGCCTCGGAGGATCTCCCAAGACGCGCCCTCCCAAGCGAAGCAATCATCGTCCAGTCTCTTCGCTATCTTTCCGCTGTCAGGCGCCCCTGTCGCCTCGTTCGCCGAATTTATTTTCTGGTCCAACTGAGAGGCCCATACCAGAGGAGAAGCAATTCACTTCCCCCACGATCGCATTTACACCAAACAGGGCGACATCCGAACCAACCATCACAAAGTTTTCTCAGTGGGACTCGAGGCCGGGTTTCAAGTTGGAGCGTAGTGCTCGCGGCAACGGTCCCAGCTTGCCACTCTATAATATATCAACTGCTGCACCAACTATTCCCACCAACGTCTACCATTCGACGTCGCCCAAATCTAGGAACTTCTCGCCGATCGACGATATGACAACACCGGCGAGTACGACCAGTAACAAGAGCACTGCGCATCTCCTACCTCTAAAACCATACAATCCGGCTGAATATGGTGCCTCCGTGCCACAAATGGGCACAGTCCCTGAAGCATCTTATGCAAGCCCAACCTCAGCTTCAACGTCGAGCCCACTAATCAGCCGCGCCTGGGACCAGAAGAAACCAGCTTGGGACACTCCGCTACCACCCAGGCCTTCAAGTCGGCCGGCCATCAGTGTTCTAAGTATACTGGGTGGAAATAAGGGGAAGAGGTCAAGCAGTAATACAGGGAGCCCTGTTGAGACGAAAGAGATCAGCGTTATGTTCCAGGGACCGCCTTCGCCAAAGCGGTTCTAGCATGTTCTCATTAATGGTGTTGGCTACTTCAGTATATATATATATATAAGATCGGACTGGACTGTACTGGACTGGAGTGACTTTTCCACCTGCGGGAGCTAGACGTTATGGGGCCCAGGACCAAACCACGCCTATCTGATTTAGAACTGTGCCACATTGTGCACACTCAATCGAAATACCATGTTTCCAAGAAACATTATTCTTCCGCCGCCGACAGATTGAGGGTGACATCACGTTATCCTGATCTGCGTTTCTGGCCCGTGGATGGCCGGGTTCGTTAAGCCTACACAGTCTGAAGAGTGCTTATAGGACAAAGTCGGAGTTCTAGCCGTAGATAGTCATCCTAGGGAACATAACAGACAGAGGAGCTTGATTCTCGATTTAGATTGAAATCTCCAAACAGCCAACGTCGCGTCTGAGGCAGCTCAATGACTCAGATCATCATGATCAGTGACTTCAATCGGAATGGAAAGTCGTCTCGTCTGGTTATGCGTCATAAGTCGACGGGCTAAAAGCGCACCCAGGGGGCCCCGCTTCGCCGCTTAAGTAGCTGGAGCCAGAGACGCGGCAGCGGAGCATTGAAATTTCTCAGGCCTCCCGTAACGTGAGTGAATGTCAAGTCAACAACGTTCTTGATCATACATCACCACTGAACGACAATGATGAGGTCAATCAACCGCTTTCCGACCCAATTGGGCCGGAGGATGTATTCTGCACCTTCAGCCAGCTCCATACCAGCGGCCAAGAAGAAATACGTGCCTACAAGCGGTACTTACCCTCAGGGCTTCAGGGTGTCCGGCACCGTTGTCGGAGTCAAACCCAGTAACACCACCAAACCAGACCTGGCCTTCATCACCTCGGACCGGCCGTGTGCTGCAGCCGCCGTGTTCACGAAGAACAAGTTCCAAGCTGCACCTGTGACATTCAGCCGTACCCTTCTGCAGCAGAAGAACAACACAGATCTGCAAGGTGTTCTCATCAACTCGGGATGCGCCAACGCTGTAACCGGCAAGGGTGGTTTGGAAGATGCTGAAGCTATGGCCACAGAGGCCGACAAGGCCCTCGGCGCCAACAAAGCGACCATCGTCATGAGCACCGGAGTGATAGGACAAAGGTAAGTCTGGACTTGACAAGAGCCGGATTATGTTATTGACATGCTGCCAAGGCTACCAATCAAGAAGATCCTAGATAATGTCCCAGTGGCCTACCAAAAGCTGGGTTCTACTCACGATCACTGGCTGACATGCGCAACCGCCATCTGCACAACTGACACGTTCCCTAAACTCATCTCAAAGGCCTTCACCCTGCCCTCGTCGCCGTCGATCGAGTATCGCATTGCGGGTATGACTAAAGGCGCTGGTATGATCCACCCCAACATGGCAACCCTCCTCGGTGTCATCGCCACCGATGCACCAATTGCTCCCGAGCTTCTGCCCGGTCTACTCAAGAGTGCTGTCGATAAATCTTTTAACAGCATCACTATCGACGGTGATACCTCAACCAACGACACCGTAGCTCTTTTGGCCAACGGTGCTGCAGGCGGCGAACAGGTTACATCTGAGACTTCACAAGATTACCAGGCATTCCAGCAGGCCCTATCTGCGTTTTCGACTGAGCTCGCTCAGCTGATCGTTCGTGATGGAGAAGGCGCGACCAAGTTTGTTACTATTAGAGTCACAGAGTCATCTAGCGAGGACGGTGCTCGTAAGATCGCTAGCACCATTGCCCGGTCGCCATTGGTTAAGACGGCGTTGTACGGAAAGGACGCAAACTGGGGACGTATCCTGTGCGCCACTGGTTACTCGCTCATTACCGAGCCCGGCGCTGGTGTGAACGATGTCGCCGAGATTATTCCTGAGAAGACTAACGTCTCCTTCGTCCCCACTGACGGAAGTGCCGAATTGAAACTTCTAGTTGACGGCGAGCCAGAGATGGTCGACGAAGAGAGGGCAGCTGAAATTTTGGAGCACGAGGACCTCGAAATCCTTGTGCGACTCGGCACTGGCAAAAAAGAGGCCACATACTGGACATGCGATTACTCCCATGAGTATATCACCATCAACGGCGACTACCGTACGTAGATACCCGCTCGGGGATTTGGAGTTGGAGCTGGCCAGCTTCACAGTGTATTTCCGGAGGAGCAAGCATGGCTGGGACTGCAGACACTGAGCAGGACGCTGTCCAGATGCTATTTGTCTCTTTCTTTGCCTACCTCGTGAACAGTCGGAAGAGGTAACAAGCCTACCGGTCTTTGTGCATATTCGAAGTTATAGAAGTACTGCAGCGTTTATTGTCTCTATCATCAATTGTTATCTGTTCCCACAAAATGCTACCATTGACATTTGAGGCTGAGAAATGCGCATAGCCATTTAAGTTCCTAGCTTTAGAAGAGAATCTTGGCCTTGCATACCACAAGATCCGAAAAATGGGAGATCACGGTAATATACCAGCAGTGACGCGGGACCAACAGTACTATGCTCTTATGCAGTCATACACCGCAAGATTTCGCCATCAGTGTACCAGGCGCGCTGTTTTTAACGCTGTTGATTACCCGGACATCCATACGATCCTAATTGAAGCAAGACACCTGCGCTAGAGCCTGGAAAGAAGATAGGGCCGACTATTCCGCGTCGTAGGCAGCGGTTCACGCGATCTCTGGCTTTCCACAGAGTGGTAGGCGGTGTGAATCTATATGATACAACAAGTCCTCCCTCGTTGGAAAAACAGGATTGTTCAGGGAATTCGGACGCGGCTGAACTACGGCGAAGGAAGAATTCGTCGGGCCAAATCTGCAGCATCGCAAGTGTCTTGGGTGTGGTGGTTTGGGACCAGCACTACATTATCGATTCCACGATCCTGCTCAGCTGGCCAATAGCAAGTATTTTGTTGTAAAGGTCAAAAAAAGGTCAATGGCCAGGAAAAGACACCAGGAAGAAATCCACACAGACGAGGGTGAGTACGCATATCCCCCTCGCTGAGAAACCCAAGCTCATGCTCACAAACCTGTTCTTAGAACCTTGCTCGTGAAGCACATATATTTCGAGTCATCGATCCTACACTTCGATCTGGATCCATACAACAGTGTGGTTTTTTTTTCTAGTGAGACAAACATGGCGGAGTGTCCAATTGTCTATCCACTCTTTATCGAATGCGTTAATGATTCCGACCATCGCAGTCTCGTGCCCAAGCTTAATGTACGTCCATTCCACAACAGGGTGTATTCTGGCTATGTTCTCTAACGGAAGGTAGCGAGGTGATTTCGGTGTAGATAAGGAGATGAAAGAGCAGGAGAGAGAGGGGGGGGGAGAGCATTATAGCAGATCAAAAACATTTGTCCAAGTAACAATTGTTATTATATCAATCGGCGCAACATGGGCGAGTCGCTTTATTCGGCCCCTGCCAGTTCGCTCACAATTGGTATCACATCTCCAAGGAAGCTAACTCAGTGACAGGAAAAATTCCCAGACGAATGGGATTACATACCGGCTGACCCCAACGGATCTAGTGTTTGTGAGTTGCAGGTGCCTGGAAACTATGGGTCGTCTATAAACCTCTGGTATGTCGCAATGGGGATTCATCATCTACTTGTGTGAGATGGAAACTTTGCTGACCCAAACCCAGTGTATGCAATCACTGATCACATTAGCGATACCGCGCAGGCCACCTACACCAGGCCTCATTGCCGTGACGTTGGATGACTCAAAACTTGACGACGCCGAGTTTGTGTCATACGGCGCCTGGTTATTGGAGGGAGACTAGAATCATGTCGATTAATACCATCTTCGAATGGATGTAGCAGAGTGTATGTTTCAAGACCACACTCTTCGACCAGACGTGTCCTCGTTATTATCCGCGGCGGAGAGAGGCCGTCAAAAGAATGACTGAATAGACGAAGACGATGATACGATGAGGAACTGGTTAAATTCTGTCCTGTTCCATGCCCCGACAGTGGGGCCGAATTAGTAGCCTTACTACACCTCACGATGGGTGACTATTGATGGGTGCACGTCGTATATTCAACTAACGTAATATTTGATCCGAGAGATATACATCATAAGTCCAGCGAGTAATCGTAAACACTCATACGCTTTGATGAGATCTTGAGGATTTCCAATTGTCCGAAGCGTTGATCAGAGGAAACGTGGGCGAATTACCTGTTGATCAGTATTTAAACAGCCGTGCTCCAGGAGATGCTCTAGAGTTCTTCCAGCCATAATAGACGCGAAGCATTCCACATCCAACGGCAACCATGAATAACAGCGCAGCGTTCGTCCAGTGTCCTGTAGGGTAACCAACTGTCGCTTCGTTGGCCTTGTAAATCCAAACACCCACAATCTGGCCAGGCGCGCCTCCAAGCCCAATGTTCAACGCGATTGCCATACCTACCGATGCGGTACTGAAGATGTTCGAGGACAGCCATCCGAGAAGCGGGGGGATACAGGCGAAGGCTCCACATGCCGCAACGATGAGACAACCATATCGAGATGCATATGCATCAGCAGGCAGTACAGCCGAAGCAAGGAATCCGATCTAATAATAACACTTAGCGAGCTAGTATAATGTGTAGTGGCAAAACAACATACAGCTCCGATAGTCGCCAACGTTGCGGAATGAAGACCGCGAGCGTTGAAATGGTCAGCAGACCATGATGTCTATCAACAATCAGCATGGTGGGCATTTTCCACAAGATAGAAAATCGTAGGTATTGAGCACGAGTAATTTTACTTACGAGGATTTGTACAACTAAGCACTGGTTAGTGGTTATCATTAGATACACAAAATACCTAGAAGGAAGAACTCACCATAAGCTACGGCATACTGCAATCCTGAAATTAGTGAGAGTTCACATGATTCTTCTGGCAATACCTTACCGGAGGAACGGTCATTAATTGAGCTTGGAGATCTTTGTATCCTAAACCAGCAGTTATGGATGGCGTGAAGAGTGACAATGAACTAAACGGGACCGATATGCCAAAGTAGACTGAGCGCCATGTCAGCGGAGGACTCAAGACGTGTACAAATGTTTTGTGACATACCAATATAGTGCCCCCAAAGTCTGAGGTCTCCGAGCGTGGCTTTCGCATCAGCCCAAGTCATGCCACCGTCATGTCCTTTGCTCCCTTCAAGGCCAAGTCGCTGAGTTGCAAGGGCCTTTTCGGCCGTGTTCAGCCACTTCACGTCTTCGGGAAAATCTGGTAACAAGAACCACACTGCCACGGCAGATAGACAGGAAGGGGCGCCTTCAATGATGAACAACCATCGCCACGCAGATAAACCAGCTGCTTGGTTCATGTGTCCTACGCCATAAGCAATGGCACCGCCGAATGCACCGGCTAGTGTCGCCGATGCTAGAATGAAGGCCACTCGAAGACTGCGCTCTGATGATGTGTACCAGAAGGTCAGATAGTAGACCAGACCGGGAAATAGTCCTGCCTCAAAGACACCCAGCAGGAATCTTACCACTGTCACTGAGGCGTAGCTGTGGACACCGCCCAGTCCCATTGTACATGCGCCCCATGCTGGGATATGTCAGCGCCACCATGCTTGTAATGTCGTGAGTGGCTCTTCCAGTGGGCTACGTACCGAACATTAAGAAGGCGATCCAGCGTGATGGTCTCAGTCGTTTTAGAAGTATATTCGAGGGCACCCTGAACATGATTAATAGTGGCCTCTTTGGGAATGCTGAAGGTATTGTGCTTACTCGAATAGACCATACGCGACTAGAAAGATCATGAGTGCAATGGTGTACTCATAGTTGGACATGCCCGTCTCACTCAGTAGATCATTATGGGTAGACGAGTTCATAATTTTAGCATTCCCTGTCTACGCGTCAGGTTCTATTCACGGCAGTGAAAAAGACTATGCTGAGTGGGAATAGGTATTGTGAGTGCTAATAGCCACCGAGCTTCTTGTTTTGAAAAAATTGCCAGTGAGGCGCTTCTGCTTGCTTACCAATGTTAGATCTGTCAAGATAACACAGAAAGTAGATGCCCGCAGATAGTGGAATAATGCGCTTGTCTTGCCGCCAACGAAGTGCCTTTTCAGCGTCTAAGTCGATGTCTTCTATATGTGACGAGGATCCAGCTGTGTCCAAAGTCTATTGCTCTTGTCAGACACAATTTCATCCTATCGAGGGCAAGAGTTCTTACTTCTCTGGGCTTACCGGATTCGGCATCTTCAGCAAACTGCTTCATGGCCATTTCAAGGTCCAGTATAAGAAGCCCGGCGCTCGACTTCTTTTAAAAAGAGCCAGGTTTCGATGGGAGACAGTATCGAGGGTCTTAAGTCAGAGGCAGAACTGCGCATAAAAGATCAGAGAAACAAACATTCGGGACTCCATGCCGTAGTCGGGGAAAGCAAGGATGGGACTTGGGTTGAGTACAATAGACAGTGGATACAGGTAGTGGATAAACATGATATTACGGGTCAGTTTGACGAGCAGGCCTGTAATTATTGGCGGCGAAGGAGCGCTAGCTTGTACTTTTGGTGGGTTAGTCCCGCGAAATAGCTGGGGGACTGGGGGAGTGGGCAGGTCATTGTGGTTATCTTCGCCGAGTAAAGCTCGTCCAAGTGCACGATTCGCAGGCATCAGAATGGGGTTTACATACAGGCCCCTAACGCGTTTGTCCGGCCTTGCCTATGAGTTCGGGCGACTGACATGGGTAGCGCTTCCACTTTGGGCTTGCACTACCAGACGATTGTTGTGCCCGCTGAGCGCCTCTCAAAAGTGCAAAGGCAGGCGTTTGGAGTATCTGTGGCAACTCACTTGGCTTGCCAGCATCACTTCCGAAATCGCTCTCAAACATCGTGACAGGAGAATATAATGGCCCTATGTTTGGTTTCGCCAATACTTCTCTTGGCTTTGTGGCACTCCTTACAGTCGAGAGCCCAGATCTTTGTCTCGTGCTGTCGATACTCGTAACCGGCGTCGCATTGTGCTTTTCTACCGGGCTTGACGAAGTCGGGGCGGAGGAAGAGATGTCCAGAGCTTGAGGAAAGCATGACGAAGCATATGTAGAAGCCCTTATTGAACCTCCGGTAGATGCCTCAGTAACGATATCAAGTCCATGAATCTGTATTGCTAGGTGGTTCCATTCACTGCGCCAGCCGCCTGGGTAATATACAGGTTGTGGAGTTGAAGTTGTTCGAACAGACCGTGTCGAAATTTGAGTTACCTCTGGCGCCCCTATTGCCGAAGCTACAGGCACTCCACAAGCAGAGGGACCACTTTCCACGCTGCTATCAGATGTGCTCTTCCGTAAAATCTGCTTTCTCATGGGACTGGCAGCATGGGATGTCACCGGCTGGGGGGCTTCTGTGCTGATCATCAGGAAAGCTGACCCTCTATTTTCTTGCGACGTGTCCACGGATGGACGTCGTGGTACGCTCTCATCGACAGCCAAGTCACCTGCAAACTCGCTGACCCGGCAGGTCAGCAAGGATGTTTGCGAGAAGCCTGTTGTTGCGAATGGTATTGGATGGGTCTCGATCGTGCAAGAGATGACAATAAACGATGGCCTACAATCCTATCAGCCTGGAGCCTGCGAGGCAGTTTATGAACGTCTTACAGTGCACCAATGCATAGTAATAGGTTGAGAACCGGCACCTTGCTTGCCAACCCTTCCAGAGGCAGTGCCCGTGAGATCATTACAGACGTCGCGATCAGGGCACAAGCCCAGACTGATATGGACAGCCGTGCGACAAGTAGCGCAGTGGTATGTAAATAATTCCTGTGCATATGAGGCGGCCCTGGCTGTGTCCTTGTGTAATCTCGCAGCGCTACCCGGATATGTAAGGCGATATATAACAGTGACAGCAGCGCGGCTTGTAGTATAAAGTCTCGTGACAGACAGGCGCCTTGCACTTCGACGGGATCAAGTACAAGTAACATGGCAAGTGCAATGCCACTCCCGCTCGAGAGAAAGAGAACACAGAGTGCTCCTAGAACAACCGAGGGCCGTTTCCTGCGCTTCTGCTCGTGATTAAATTGCTCAGAGGAACTGTAGACCAGCAAAGCTTCTGCGTTGTCGCTAGTTGCCAATGCTTGATCTTTGTCAGTATCGTTGGTCATCGTGTTGAACTGGAATCGAGAAAGTGAACAAGGCAGTAACACCAGGGCCCCAGGTCGACAAAAACAAACGTAGACATAGTGAGAAAAAGTAGCTGGAGCCGCTCTCCCTGAGCACCGTTGTATAGTGCCATCGTGTATAATGTATGTAGTGGCCTTCGAGCGGAATGCTATGTACGGCGACGTCAAAACTTTCGTGACAGCTCACCTGCATTGCATGGAAGGGACCAGCCGCTTGACTATTAACTTCACAACTGCTGCCCGATGTGGTTCCACACCGCAGGTTGGGTGGTATGATGATTCGTGTTGAGGCTGTTTGCACGGAGGTTGGGGCTGCAACATTCCATCGGGATGGTAATTCCACCTTTGGAATGCGACGACAGCCGCTCCTAGGATCGAATCATGAGACATGGGTTAACGAAAGCGCTCAGTGTTTCTGCTTCTTCTTCTTCTTCTTCTTCTTTTTTATAAGACAATATGTATACAAATACTACGCCAGCACGAAAATGATTTAGTCTTATTTGTAGTCGGTGATGCTCTCCAAGACTTTTATGGAACCAAGTTAAAAGTCGATGTCAAAACCTGAACACCTTTCCAAATGCTTGTTCGCTACCCAAACTCCGCGTTATGCGACATCCATCTGAGAGTTGTCGTGGATATCATAATGTGCAAACTGACCTCTATGAAAGCCAACGCAATAAATAAATAAATATAAATACAATACTATGGTATTCTTGATCATCGTAACATGTACGTGAGGTCGGGTAAGTTCTGTAAAATTCGTCGAACTGTTTCGGTTGCTGTTACGTTGTCTGAGCTCTCGATGGGACCCAGTGTGACTCCTACTTGAGAAGGAGCTATATAATTGGTGGATGAAGAATGTTTATCTCGAGGTTCGCAATGTGTGGTTGCTGGTTTCCTTAATGGGGCGTCCACTGTGTTAGAGCTGGCAGTGGCCGATTTGGAATTCGTTGCTGGTGTATCAAAGAAAGAGATATCAGCAGAAGCCCAGGGATCTACCGAAAGGCTCGACGAAGCTACAGAAGGTGCCAAATACAAGCTCTGAGGTACTGGAATACCAGATGGAGCCGAGTTTTTCTTATGGTGCTCGTTGTGGTTGGAGGTTGAAGGCTGCGCCGTTACGACCGCATTTTGAGCCTCAAAGACGGGATGAATTTCTTCAACAACAGGCCGGGCTTCTGTCATGATTGGCGAGGCCAAGGTTTGCGATATTGCTTTTGGTTGATCAAGGCTATCCTCCGTCAGAGTAAAATTCTCCTCTGTAGGCGAGAAGACCATTTCACCCCATTCGTCGTCATCGTCGTCATGCTGTCCGAACGTAATCGTTTGCCCAGCCGGAATAGTCGATAATGGTGACGAGATTGGAGACAGAGGAAGGGCAGGCGGGACATTTTGGCTCGCTGCCTTTGTTTCTGTTCCATTCGAGTTTGAGCTTGAGATTGCGAGAGTTGACACAAGCCGTGGCTCTGAACTCCAGCCAAAGCTGGCAACAGGTGAAGCCAGAGCGGTTGGTGGACCGCTTGAGCTGCTCAGGGTATCGATTTCCTGAAACGATCTACGCTCCTCCAAGAAACTGCCCAATGAACCGACAGACGATGTTGGAGTGTGCCCAAGAGGGGCAATCGAGTGTGTTTTGGGACGTGCCGCCAGCGATCGGCGGGCAAATATCTTGTCAAGCCCGACAGGGGCAGCTGAAGAGTCCCAGTTAAAGACGCTCGTGCGCTTACTGCCACCAAGTGTGGGCTTGCCGGAGAAAGAATCCTCTTCCATCCACCTGCGAACGATTTTGATGACATCGACGTGAAGCTGTGAAGTTTGCCAATTCACTGCGTGGTAATTTTCCTCATCGCCCGAGTTGTGTTTCCGCGATGAGCCGAACCTTGAGATGCGATACCAGGCCCTGCGTTCTTCAAGGGTTTGGAAACTATCCTCAACAATACGGTCAGACACAAGAGTGTCTCCGAACTCACTTTCCTGTTGGTTGAGATCTAAATCATGTGCGAAGGCCGTTTCGAGCAGTGTCACATCTGGCTCGAATTTTATTGCACCGAACTTGTCGATTAATTGCTGGACCGGGACGGAGGCAGCGTTTGGCACTAAGGCCGGGCCTTTGCAGCCGTGGTCGAGACTGCTGCGCTTGGCAATATCGTGGGCCACGACCTTGGGAGTAGAGGACCTGTTCGAAGATATCGAAGTTCTTGTCTTGTCCACCTCGGCTAAATTTTGTTGGGGAGGATCTTGGCAATGCTCAGTGCCATTTTCGACATCAGGGTTCGCGCTGATAGAAAGACTGGCGCTTCTGTCTCGACTGCCACCCCCAGGCGCAGACCTCTCTGATAGTTGGGGCTCTTTGGTAGCAGCCTTGGCCAGCCCATCATACAGTCCCACGAGCTCTGAGATTTTGTTTGAGACCTTTCGTGTGGCAGAGCGAGGGCGAACATTGGACTCTTCGTCGATTGAGGTGATTGGAGAATCCTGGCGGTCCAAAGCATGATTGCTCTCAACTGAGAAGGTGGAAGAGGGCCGGGACGGAGTTTCATGGCCTTCCACTTCAACAGTGAGATTGCTGACCAAGACTGGACTTTCGCAAACAGCGGCTGGCCCGGTATATTTTAGCCCATCCTGGTCGTCGGCGTCAATGACTTGCTCATCATTTTCGTTGCCTGGTGGGTTTGTATTTGGCTGCTGAACATGTATAACGACTTGGGTAGGGGCGGAGAGGTCGTGTTGGATATTGTCGACGACTGTTTGGCCGGGAGCGTTCGAAAGCGCGTCGCTCCTGTCGTTCCATGGCGACTCTGCAGCCCATGGATCTGGCGAATGTTGGGGAAAGACGGAGGATGAGCGTGAGCGGATGAGGGTGGGTTTCAGGCCGGGTGATGTGGCAGCACTACTCGGCCATGCTATAGGGCTTTGTTTCGCAGGAGACTCGGCTCGCGGAGTGAGACTCGAGTCGGCGGTCCAAGAGTTCCATGCTGAAGTGGGAGCTGCGTCGTCGACGTGCGCAGAACCTGTCCAGTCGCCAAAGCTGTTGTCGGCCCAGGGGGAGTGCGCGTGGACTGGCTGGCTCGTGTTGCTGCTGAAGAAAGCTCTGGGAGGGGGGCTCAGCAGACTCTTGGGAGGAGATGGTGGCGGATGGCTGCCATTCTCGTGGACAGAATCAGTGGGAGCGGAAGCCCATGGTGAGCCCCAAGGATCATCCATCTCTCGGAGGGTCAATGTTCATGGTGGTCGTGGTACGCGGGTTATGGACTGGAAGGGCGGAAAGGCGCAATGGTTGCTGTGAGCATCGTCCGTAGGTATGCCGAAATGACTCTGTAGTCAAGGGACAATGTTGTGTTCTGAAAGCAAAGCGAGCTGTGGTGCTTGGCGACGCAGCAGGGGCTATTGTTGCGAAACGGAGAGTGTTGGATTACTGTACTTGGTGTTGTCCAATGAGCACAGTGACAGTCGCATTAATAAGGGGCAGCGCGCTGGAGAAGCCCGGTGGCCTGAGCAGGAGCCCCGAGCCCGGGGGTTGGTTTGGCTTTGCTCTGCCGCAGAAGCCGGACTCCAGGGGGCCCTCGTGGGCCTGACGACTGAACTCCACGTCTGTACACGGTACATACATGGTAGTCTGGCACCACGTGTTCCGTACTGTGCGCTGAGCTGAGCTGGGTACTGAGTACTGACACGTCGCCATTGGCTCATGTCAAAAGCGCGCATCGGTGGAAAATCTGAGACAGGGTACCGACACCGATAAGGATAAGAAATAAGCACAAGTTCATTACAGATCAACCCCCCCTAGTTGACATCATTCTCGCCGTGGCCATGGCGGGGTTGTCCGAGTCTGAGTCCTAAGCTTTGCCCAAGCTACTGTAATAATAAGTAGGATACTGCTGATAAATTGCTTTGCCTCGCCGATCAACGGCTCGGATAAGCACGCCTAAACGTACTATAGATATATTCTTCCTCGCAGAACGGTCAGTTGCATGGGGTCGCCGAATGACCATGATCAATATTGAAGAGAAGCTGAATCTCACTACGCATTTCCTCCGAGCAGCAGATTACCCATCGTATCAGCTGAACAATCATGTCATTGTCAAAAGTCAAGCACATTGTCCTGGTATGCCATGGCCCCTTCCATGGCCCCTTCCTTTTCCCTTTCCACCTCTGCCCTGTCATATTGCCCAACCTTTGCTTTGCTCTCTTTACCCATCCTTCGAAAGCCACAGACAGGCAGGCAGGCAGGCAGGCAGGCAGGCAGGCAGACGGACAGACAAGCAACAACTCATCATGCTGACCAATAAAATTCCAGGTGCTTTCCGGCAAGGGCGGCGTAGGGAAGTCTTCCGTCACGACCCAGCTCGCTTTATCGCTTTCGCTTGCCGGACACTCGGTCGGCGTCCTCGACGTCGATCTGACCGGTCCCTCCATGCCGCGCATGTTTAATATCGAAGATGCCAAGGTCACACAAGCTCCCGGTGGCTGGTTGCCTGTGCCCGTCCACGCCGCCAACCCGGATGCCGGCGTCGGCGAGCTACGATGCATGAGTTTGGGATTCCTCCTCCGCGGTCGCGGTGACGCTGTCGTCTGGCGCGGGCCCAAGAAGACCGCCATGGTCCGCCAGTTCCTCTCCGACGTCCTGTGGGGCGACGTCGACTACTTGCTCATCGACACCCCTCCAGGTACGTCGGACGAACATATATCCCTTGCTGAAACACTTCTCAAGGATGCGAGGCCCGGCCAAGTCGCAGGCGCCGTCATCGTCACAACACCACAGGCAGTTGCCACGGCCGATGTCAGAAAGGAACTCAACTTCTGTTCTAAAACTGGCATACCCATTATCGGCGTTGTTGAGAACATGGCTGGATTCGTTTGCCCCAACTGCGCCGAGTGCACCAACATATTTAGCAAAGGGGGAGGTCAAGTCATGGCACAAGAGTTCAACGTTCGGTTCCTAGACGCTGTGCCCATCGATCCTCAATTTGTCATGCTGATCGAGACGGGATCGCCACCCGTGTACCCCCAGGGCACTATTGTTCACGGCCAAGACGTGTCCGGTGCCAGTGTGCAGAACCCTCCTGAACCGTCCAAGGATGCCTCGTTGTTGGCAGAGAAATACCGGGGCTGCTCCTTGGAGCCAATATTTAGAAAGATTACTCAAGACATTGTCAGTACAATCGGCTAAGTGCAGGGCTTGAAATAATGGCCTCGACACCAGATGACGTTTATATCTACCTCGTGTCGTAGTCCGACTGCCAGCAATATACCGAGGCCTGTACGCGTAAAGCCTTCCAGCCACATGGGTAGATAAATACAGCTGAAAGGGTACGAAACCGTGGCCGTGTTCTGCACCGCTTCCCCGCGTGGAAAATACTGATATTGCGTCGTACGAAGCGGGAGCATCAGCAGCAACTGCATTGTGACGTTGTCATGGGCCGTACATTACCGGTTCTTGGCCGCAAACGCACCCGCGCTGCAAGGGGAAGACGGCTAATGGACATGACTCTCTTGTTGCGCAGCATGGAAAATCGCAGGCAGAGTCCGACACAGCAGCAAGTGCGAGGAAACGAACGGCCCGGCTGCAGCGATGATATGTTCGCATGAGCTCTGATTAGTACGCACAGGGTGTAACCGGTTGATTGGGTGATTAGCAAAGCAATGGAGCCGTCCTTGCACCCGACCACTTTCTTAAGTTGAAGCATTCTAATTATGATTATAAGTACATTGGTGGTGACATGAGCAAGCAGCAAGGTTGGACGAAGATTTCCCGGGTTATAGATAAATTATCCAGACAACCAGCGATATAATGGCTTGTCGGGAGGGCGTTTAGCGATCAACCGACCCCCCAAGAAACTGGCCCCAGTACAGTCGAGCATAAGAGGAAGTTTATTTGTACCCGTAGAAAGAATGGATGCTGAGGTGTCTAAACCAGGTACTCTTCATTATATTTTATTTTAGTTTTATTTTCACATTATTCTGTTTAGTTTCACATACCCAAGGACGGCAGGCATTGAATACTAACCTAAGCTTAGTCTAACCTAGTGGACACTTGAGGTGCCATGCTCATCATGCACATCACATGCCCAATTGCATGTGCCCCGCGACAAACATTGAACAATTTTTACCCAATGCTCCCCACTTTAAGTGACCTCACACCCACTGAGCAAGTCGATGAGGTTGCCCATCCATTTTTATTTTTATTCTTGGGATATTTTTTTCCCTCCCAATTTTGACTGGAGGATTCTCTCACCACACTGCAAAAATCCCGAACTTTGTGTATCATTTACGCACCATCCTGTGATACTACGCTACTGTAGTCACAGAGTATCCCCCCCCCTCTCCTGCGGTATATGCATATCCATATTCATAATACATAGTTACTCGTAGTCCATATCCCATATCCCATGTCCCCATCCCGGACCTTTCGAGCCCATCACTCAGTCTAGCTTTTGCTTTTGGGTCAAGCCGATGACTCTTGCCTGGACAGACGCTGTCGTCCACCATCAATAAAGATCTCAACACGGATTGCCTCACAAGGCCTTCCATGAACCCAGCAGTCCTGCTTCGCTTCCTCTTCTCTAAGCCTGCAAAGTACGTAATGTGTGTTTGGGTCCAGACTAATTAGTCCAAAAAAAAATATTTTCTCTCTTGTCCCTCTCTCCCCCCGCAATCTCCATCATAAACAAATCACTGACAAGTCTTCGGCGATCAAGGCCTCGATAATACGACTCATCACTTGCCGCCTCCAAAAAGCACTCTGCATACACGTTTGCCCGTCTTATCGCAGATCCCCTCGTCTACTAGGTCCGATACTTCCCCATAGGTATCGGTTTCTTGCCAGTACGAGCCACTTCGAAGGATAGCCACCATTCCTTCGTCAAAGGTCCTCATCCTCACCCCTCGCGGCCGACCCCCATAACGTCCCATACGTGAGACGTTGACTACCTTATATCTGCCCATTGCAGCTGGCTTCGCCAGCATCTATCTTCTTCCCACCGACCTGTGGGCCTACTCCTCAAACGGACACCGCAACGTTCGTTTGAGCCGCAGTCAGTGCTCCGCGGTAGCATAGTCTCTGCAGTATCAGCATCTGCAAGACATCTAGTTGGACGCCATCCCGTCCCGTCCCGCCCCGCCCCGACACCTATCGCAACCATATTCGCTGCCTTCTTGGCAGGCAACACTCAGCGAGGAGATGGTCGACTTTGAAACCCCTTCCGCCAATCCAATTTCGCCCTCGGAGGATATTCCTCAGCTAACCATCAATCACGATGTCGCTGAGAGCCTAGACTCTACCAACGCCTTCGAAGGCCCAGAGAAGTTGCTTGAGGTTTGGTTCGCCCCCAGTGCCGATGCTCTCCCAGCCGGCGCACAGCCAGATGGCTTGAAGGCCGTCCTGGCCGACACTTGGGTTCCCATGCTGGACGAGGTTCACTGCAAGGTCCTCTCCGTCGTCAACTCGGAGCATATCGATGCCTATCTTCTCTCCGAGTCGAGCATGTTCGTCTTCCCTCATAAATTAATCTTGAAGACATGTGGTACCACGACATTGCTCTGGGGTCTCAAGCGCATGCTGCGCATTGCCGCTCGCGAGGCTGGTTTCCCCTTCCATAATGTCGATGGTCTTGACGATGACAACGTGGCCGCGACCCCCTACCGCGTTTTCTATAGCCGCAAGAATTTTCTGTACCCGGAGAAGCAGCCTTCACCCCACCGAAGCTGGGGTCAGGAGGTCAAGTTCCTGGACGACATGTTCGACCACGGTAGCGCCTACATGGTTGGGAAAATGAACGGGGACCACTGGTACTTGTACATCACTTCGCCCCAGGCCAACCTGACACCTCCACGTTCGCCTGACGCTGATCGTACGCCAACCGCGACGCGCCACCTGAAGATACCTACCGGTCTTGCGTCGGCCTTCAATGGCGCTGCTGAGAACGACGATGAGACTCTCGAGATTTTGATGACCGACCTCGATCCTGAAAATGCGAAGCAATTTTACTTGGAGCGCGCGAGTGCGGTCGCGTGTGCCAAGCTGCCTTTGCAGGTTCAGGCGGCTCGCCAGGAGGCGGCGGATAGCATCGCCGATCTCTCCGGGAGCACCTGCACCATCCAGACAAACAGCACTGTTGAAGCTGAAAATTCTTCAGACGAAGTCTTTGATGAAGCCAGTCTCGCTAGCGAGTCTGACCAGCCGGGCATCAACACTCCGCTGTCTGAAATCGATCCCGTCAGTCTCACCACCGAGGGGCATGCCCTTGGAACAGTGGTTTCGGACTGCTGCGGTCTTTCCGACGTGTATCCCAAGTCCAAGTATCCAGAAGCTCGAATTGATGCTTATATGTTCAACCCTTGCGGCTTCTCTGCTAACGGCGTCATCCCTGCGCCGCACGCGAACGGTGGCGAGAAGTCCACTCACTATTTCACCGTCCACGTGACACCGGAGCCTCAGTGCTCCTACGCCTCTTTCGAAACCAACGTTCCTGGCGGCCAAAACGGACGTGATACCTCTGAGGTCATCGACCAGGTGGTTGGCATTTTCAAACCCGGTCATTTCAGCATTACTTTGTTCGAGGCTAAAGATGCCGACAGTGATGTCTCTATTGCTGGCCGCAGCAAGCGCATGGAGAAGATTCAAGGTTACCGTCGCATCGACCGCATCGTACATGACTTTGAAGACTACGAGCTGGTTTTCCGGTACTACGAGCGTGAAGATTGGGTTGGTGGTACTGGACTACGTGTCGGAGAGGAAATATAGACGTCTCTGGGTCCTTGTTGTTCAAGGACATTGCATGTTACTTCGTGTGGGTATCTTTGGTTGACCTCTTTTTCACATGTCGAAATTTGTCATGGATGTGTGGATAGGCCTTCTAGGCCTCTGGATTATAATAGTTTGGATATACTTCTCTAACAGAGACTATCGAAAAGTCGTTATCTTGAGGGCCACTACTTATAGCTAGTTTAGCGTGCTTTATTTATTTGGCCATTCTTTCTCATTATGCTTGCACGTCGAACAGTGCACTTGTGGAGTGTTGTTCGTTCCTGTGCCTGGTCATACAACTCGCCAGTGCGCAATAAAACCGTGGTATATACACGAAGTCGGAGTGGAAGACAATATCGAATACACAAATCTCAGCCATGTCTCGTCCTGAAGTGGTACCAATTAGCCCGAGACTATCATTCTGAACTATTGGTGCGACATAACACAGTAAAGAGGTGGGCTATGGACCGCAATTCCAAAGTTACCATGTGCGTCACAGTACTCGTCAGCTCAACCCTTGCTGCTTGTTTGTGTCAATAGCAAGTAAATGAAGGACTGTCAATGCGAGTCAACTGTCTTAATCGACCTCGTTTGGTCGTGGCGGTAAGATCTCTACATTTTCCCAACGTAACTCAGTGTCACCATCTGGTACCCCTTCACCAGCGCTAAGTCTGCAACAAGAGGACTGTAAGGTAGCTCAAAATTCAGTTTCATGTCAGACGTAGTGTCATCACGAGAATGGTGCCCCTGAGTGCTTCACGGTTTACCGTGAAGCACGACCGAAGCACCGGTTTGGTCTCGTTTGGTGTACACATGGTACTTTGAATTCCGCTATAAAAGAGCAAGACCTCCTCGACACCCCAAAGTATGACAATCCATCCACCTACCAAGAAGGGCAGACTAACTTGAAGAGCCACATCACAGTTCTCAATATGAGGTACGTGGCCTTGCTGCAGGTCCTGGCAGCCATATTTTCCCACAGTTCGGGAACCGATCATGAGCTGGTCCGACAAGAAGCCGACAACGATACATTCATACAAATATGTCCAAACCAGTATTATGAGGCCATCAATGACACCTTAACGTGTATGAATATATCCAATCCTGCAGAGCTAGGAGGCTATGGTCGCAGGAATTGTTGTATGTGTCCAGTCAAGATTGTCCTTCCTTTCCACCATTATAACTAACACCTCTCGTCCAACAAGTCTCACTGACCTACACACCATTGAGAGTCGGTTCACCGCAGGGCATATCTTCCGCAAGGATTTTTGGCAGGCCGCTGAACTGTACACTGTACAAGTAAGCTAGCTATACTCGGCCGGAAATGTCACAGAAAAGCCGACTGATACACTTTCGTCCCTAGAACTGAAAACTGTTTGCCAGATAGCCCAGAGAATGGCTATATCATCCCCCCTACCGGCGCGTCCACGCTACCGCTCCCCACCAAGACCGATGATGCATATGCTATGGATGACAAGTCCCAGGCCTTCGAATGCAGGAATGTCGAAGAGCCCAATGTAGTAGTTTCAAGGAGCGTTGGGCGTTTTTAAAGGGAAGTGGCATGTCAGTGCCATAGGATGTTGATGAACGCGCGTCGTCGTAGTTTTAAACAGAAACATGTAAGATATATCTTTGCAAACTGCGAGTGACTGGTTGGACTATGCACCAATATCCCAACTACAAGTGTGCCAGGAAGGTGCAGTGGTGCCGGATGGGATGTGTGGTTACTATCACAGCCTAAGCTCAAAATAAACAAAGTATATTTCACGACTATAAAATCGTTTCAGAGTCGATGATGAAGAACAACCTTACTAGTGCTGCGGCCCTTAATCAAAATGGAGACGAACGAATCGAAATGCCCGGAGAGGGCGAATGAGGTTTTTGAGGAGCAAGAAGAAGGTGCAATTTCCTTGACATCCGAGTGCTCCCTTGTTCGAGCTGCGGCGCGCAGTAACTGCGCCGCAACTGCGTACCGCTGACATGACGGGTTGTATGAGGCACAAGGTCAGTAAATGCATCCCAACGGGAAACTCGGGAAGGAGTGGGCGCTTTCACTTATAACGCCGCCAAGGAACTCTATATTATGACAGTTAATATGCCGTTTGGAAACAATGCCGGAACTCGGTCACGATCAAGGAGCTCCAAAGCGGCGTCCAAGTACTGCGTACATGGCAGATTAATTTAGGCGTCATATTTAGGTTCAGAAGAAAAATAACATAGCAAATTACCAGGTACCCAGATCACCAATTCTCTCTGCGTTGGCTGCTCCTCCGGCAAATGAGCTGCAATGCGTGGTAGAACAAGCAGGGGTGTGTCGTTTTTGTCCTGCGGATCCGGCGCCCCTGACGAGCTGCGCGAGAGCCGTGCCGCAAGTAATGAGTACTTGGCGACGCGAAAGCCCCGTCGTAATTCCATTTCCGGTATTGTTCTGGATGCTCGCAATGCGATCATAGGGCTTCCATCATCTGGCATCGATTCTTTGTTCAATTGCTGTCCGGCCCCCCAAAGCGAGGGACACATGCCCCATCTGACTCGCTCAGCGGCACACACGCACCCGTGAATGAAACCCTGCACCAACACCAACATGGCAGGCATGGACTCGCCCATAAAAAGTGCTGCTCGCCCATTCAATGCCCATAAACCATAAATTGGAGTCTTGCACCACATTTCGTTCCTTATGGCCAGTTAGTTGTATTCTTCCTCTCCCCTTCGCTTGCATAACCTACACAGCAGCCATGAAGGCCCATAGCCTCTTGTTGGCAATCGCCTTCAGCGTGGAGTGCGCCCAGTCACTTCGCAATATCGTCTATTTCGATCAGTAAGTCATCAGGCGGTCTTTGATAAATGAGACAACTGACAGGAGGCTAGATACCATACCACCACTCTACCGCCACGCACCGTTACCGCCGGCATTACCCATGTCATCATGGCTTTTGCCAATTCTTCCTTGTTTGTTGGTGACACGCCCGGGCAATACACACCATTCATGCCAGTCGACGATGTTCGTGCACTGCTTGACGAGCATGCTCAAGTTGGCATTGCGATTGGCGGCTGGGGCGATACAGCTGGGTTTGGTGAGGGTGCTAAGACTGATTCGTCACGCAAAGCATATGCCAAGAATGTTGCAACAATGCTAGATACTCATGGGTTCGACTTTTTGGGTATGTTTTTGAAGCACTTTTACATGTAGCTACCGTTCCGGGTTCTTGAGTTTGGACTGCTGACCAGCGTTCAGACGTCGATTGGGAGTATCCAGGTGGCAATGGCGATGATTACAAGAAAGTCCCAAACGCGAACAAGACTGATGAAATCGTAACATTTCCTCTGTTACTCCAAGAAATCGGCACCGCCATCGGCAACAGAACTCTTTCGATTGCCGTCCCAGGGCTCAAGAGAGACATGATTGCCTACACGCGCGAGCAGTCGACAAAGATCTGGAACGCGGTGGACTTCGTCAACATCATGGCATACGACCTCATCAACCGTCGCGATAATGTTACCAAGCATCACACAGACGTGGATGGATCTCTTGCGGCCGTTCAAAATTATTTGGATCTGGGTCTCTGCGCCTCCAAGATCAACCTTGGCTTTGCCTTCTATGCCAAGTACTTCCAGACCGAAGCAGGGGTTAACTGTACCGCAACGCCAGTCGGATGTCCAATCAAGAAGGCTGAGAACGACGACGGCAGCGATGCAGGCACTAGCGGAGCTACCACGTTCGAGACTGCCAATGTCGCCCCTCCCCTGCCCCCCACGAACCTTACGACAACTTCGGATGGCACCTGCGGTGCTAGCACATATTTTACCTGTGCAGGTCACGCTGAAGCCCCTTGCTGTAGCCAGTACGGCTTCTGCGGGGCGGCAGACGCTTTCTGTGGTGCTGGGTGTCAGTCTGGCTATGGCAACTGCACAGATACTGGACGTACGACGGCTGAGTCTTTTGTTGACGCCTTGAAGTCAGGCTGGACTGATGAGAAGGCTGGTGGTCAATGGTGGTGGGATGAGGAGGCCGAGTTGTTCTGGACCTTCGAAACCGTGGCTTTAATCCAACGCAAGTTCAAAGAAATTGTTACCGCAAAGGGACTCGGAGGTGCGTTTTCTTGGTCTTTGGGCGAAGACAGCTATGACTGGAGCCATCTTTTGGCTATCACTGAAGAAGTCAACAAGACAGAGCAGCAGGCTGCTGGGTAGTTTGCACTGGAAGCTCCGATAAATGCTTCGGTTTCGTTCGGACGCTCGTTCTTCCCAGCCCGAAAGCCGACGAAAAGCACTGAATATCTTATTGATAATACCATATTCTTCACGGGATTCTTTATCGTAGAGGCAGTTTGACCCCAAATAGCCACCATGGCCAGTCCTCAATTCCAAACACCAGAGCAGTGATATTGATGGTACAACTGCTTCCAATATATGGCGCGTGTTGCCTGTGTGATTGCCCCCGCCCCTCTTCCCCCATCTGAGTGTGGTAAACTCGTAGGCCTATGCCAATTCCCCCAGTATAGCGGCAACCTCTTTTTCGTCCACGGCCTCCGATGCTGCCCTTGTGAGGCACGACGAATGAACCCAGTGTTCCTGGTCTTTGTTCTTCAGAAGAGGAATGCGCCGTGTTAGTTCCACAATATTCGAACTTCGTACGCCACCACCAACAATAATCTCGATTTGATTCCCTGCGTCCTCAAGTATACGGTGTAACTCGTCGATATTTCCCGCTGCATTGCCTGGTCCGCCCGATGTCAGTACTCCGTCGACGCCGCATGCCGCAAGCACTTCTAGAGCCGACCGTGATTGTGCCGCCAGCACGAGCTCGTCGAAGGCACGGTGGAATACAGTCTTGTAGGGCCTGGCCGCCTCTGCCAAGCGCCTGCAGTTTTCCACATCCAGAACGACACGATGATCGTTGGGACCAGCTGCCGTCTGCTCATTGTCGGTCCATCGCAGAACTCCTAATACGAAGCCATCACCTCTATCTTTCTCCATCAATCCTGAGGCTCTGAAATTGTGTATTGATTGTTCCATCGCCTCGAGCTCTACCTCGGAGTATATGAAGTCCTTAGCGCCAGAGCTTGGTGGTCCTCGAGGCCGGATCATCACACGGATCGGCACTTCCAGTTCTTGCAGCGCCGCAAGTTCCTCAATTGATGGCGTAAGACCGCCAGCTGAATAGGACCCTTTCGCATTCAGTTCTATGCGGGAAGCTCCAGCCAACACGGCGGCTTCCGCAGAAGCGGGGCCAAAGATTGGCACCTCAAGCCTCAGGCCCATGGCGATAGTGTTCCGGGATCGCTTTGGCTCGCATAAGATGAGTAGTTCTGTGAATATGGTGCAGCCGTGGCTGAAATTCAAGATCAGTGGGCTCAACGAAAAGAGTTAGTCTGGAGATTTCCTGTCAATTGATATACAGGAGCTTGGCAACGGGTTCCGGCTTAGTAATCGTGCATGTTTGTCGATGTAAGTGGAACCGTGGAGGAAGGGCTACTTGTGTGCAGAACCTCAATCACCAACACGAAATAAGTAACGGTGCATGTCAGCCTCTGAAATTTCTGTCAAAGGACTAATCGCTTGCCTACACAGATGCAGCAAGTCGTGTATATTGGCCGGGAATCCTAAACCGTGCTAAGGCATCATGAATCGGATGGTTCGATTCTAGAAAGATCGTAATTTGTGATACCATGTCGCTGACAGTATGCCTCTGTTCTAATGTAGAATGTAGCGCTTTGTACAACGACGACCCCTAGCACTCTATATGGCCCAAAGTCACACTGCTACCTCCTAGAAATTCTAAGGAAGTGTTTATCTCACTATCCTCAAGAAGCCAACGGCATAGAGTAAAGCACATAGTGTTGCCATTAACGTTTTGATATTCGGAAGAAACGGATACGGTCTCGTATAACAAGCTGGAACAGCAAGTTCTGACTTGTAGTAGAGCTTAGGTGTCCTCATCTTAGGGCGTAACCCTATGGCTATAACGTAGAGCTGCATGGAAATGATTTCATGCTACTCATTCTCAAGAGAATCCTCATTAAGACTTTGTTGGCTTTTGAGAAAGGCGGACATGGATCTGGTGCGGATAGATAACGAAGAATAGTTCGAGGACTTGAGCAATGTGGATACACCGTCCATAGCGAGTCTGGAGCCGGAAAAGCTCTCCTCCCTCTTGTAGGTATCGTTGTTGTTGGCCGGGGTTGGCTGCTTCCTTGGAGCGCAATGTCTAAGCATGGGATGATCGCGGTTTGATCCTGGATATCATACGCTGGTTAGTTGAACCACAGTAACTCATGAAGTATTTAGAGTTGTGGATGTATATCCATGCAGATAAAAGGAATGGGTGGTACACTGTGGCCCCACCGGTGTCATAACTTACCAGCCTTTATGAGGTACTCGCAGACATATCTTCCAGCGTGGGGTGAGACTTTCTTGGTACGGATGTTCTGGTAGTAATGTTCGACTGTGATAGCGTCAGCTTGCAGAGAGAAGAGCTATGGCGCGAATAGGTTTGCATAGCTTTGAGATACGGCGTGATGGTTTTAGTACGGACAGTGGTTTGTGGTGTCAATGAAATGGAAAGGTACGGAAAGAACGTGTGTAGGGAGATATGTGACCAAGAATGGAGCGTGATAATGTAGCTAGGTGTTGTTGATAAACTATGTTAGTGGCACTGGGATATGTCAGATGCGCAGCCGTGCATGCATGGGGACCAGCCACATTCCATCAGAATTCTGCAGAATGACCAGAAACCAAAGGCGAGTCGGGGGAGCGCGCTTGTTGACTCATAAAAGCGAGGGGACGAGGAAAGTTGGTATGACGGGAAGCACCACTTGGGAGCATACACCTATATGGGAAGGGGGAGAAGAACAACAGGAAGCGGACGGACTACGCCAGATATACCTAACGAGTGTGGATTGTGCCTATTGAGTCAAATAACCAGCAATATAACAGCTCGACTTAAAAGTATGGATGTGCGTGAACCTAACTTGCAGTTGCAAAGTTTAATATTCGAAAAGAAGCTCAAAACATCACTTACAAAGCATGTTGCCCGTGTAATGTCTGCGAGCGGCAGCGCCTAGAGTATGCTGCATATCTCTAGCAAGAATTACCCACGACTTCTCATCCTTTATACGACTAATGCCACTGCGCTTGGTTGATGTAGACATGACAGTGCGCCAAAAATAGCGCTCCTCTTGCGATGACCAAATCTTGCCGCCCATCTTTGTCTTCGGTACGAGCTGACTGCAATGTGATGATAGGAGTGACAAGAGGGTCGTATGATCTTCTACTACTGGCGAGCGGAGGCGTTGATAGGCCAGTACTAGTAATGCAGCATTCGAGAGCTTAGAATTCAAGGTGCTACAAGTATGGGCGCCTTGATTATCGTGAGACGAACGAGTCAAGTGAGATTCGAGTCTCTGAGCGGGTCGAACAAGGTCAGGATTATAAATATGAGCTGTGATCCTAATACGCCTTTTGTACTTCAAGATCTGGCAGCAAGTCACTGCTTGTTGAGACCTGGTTACTAGAAGCTTAGTGAATCAGCTTATCATACGTTCCGGCCAACCCAAAGTAAGTGATCGGACGGACCTAGAGTACGCTGCTCATGGATGCACTGAGCAACACGTTACTGTCCCTCAACACTCAGTAGGCCAAGCTCGTGATAATTATCCACACCACTTCAAACCACAGAGGGTGTCTGTATTTCATTTTGACACAGATGATGAAACTAGTGAGTCGAGCAGAACAATTTCATATCATCTGGTGGCAAAGCAACGACCGTACACCATATGTTGTAAATTAATGATGTTGCCGTTATGGAATGGATCGAACATCACGTATCTTCTTGTGCTCGACGATGTTGCAGCTCTCAATCACTTGCATCCGAAGTTGTGCAACAGGACAAACCTACAAAAAAAAAAAAGTCCAAAATAATAATTACAATAATAATCACAGTCCGTGACAAACCCAAAGGCGGGACCTCGCGGTTGTTCTGGACCGCTCTGCATCCGGTAAAGCAATGCCACTTAGGGTTTCTTGACCTTCGCCGGCGACATTTGCGGTGTGGTTCAACTGGGGGCGTTCCTATTGCCACATGGGGGTACTGCAAACCAAAGCTCAGAAGAATATAGATGATATGAGCTGTGTTTTCCCCAGCTGACGAGATCAAATGCCTGCAAATATTCACGACGAGCCTTAGCAGGTTAGAAACTTTGCGCTAGTCATTGTCGGGGCACCTCACTCTGAAGAAGTAGCATAGCTACAGGGTGAAGATTGCAATAGATACTCGACAAATACAAGACACGAGACTCCGTCATGAGGAGAGGCAGGGAGAGGATGGCACTGGACAAGGAGGATGTGATCACTCAAAAGGACTGATGGGTTCGGGGGCCTTCAATCCTCGAGCAAGCAGAAACGAGGCCATTCTATACTCAAAGCGCGTGAACTATAGTGAATTGTTAGCCAACGAAGAGGAAGGATTAGAGCTTGGGGTTCTACATACAATGCTCTTTTCCGTTAGGGGAGCGACGCCATCCTTGATCCAGATGCCCCGGCTTCCCATGGTGTTGGCGAGCATCATATCCGTCATCAACCGGTCACCAATCACGACGACTTGGCTCGGGTGTGTAAGTCCGACCTCGGGGTGCTTCTGGAAGTGTGCCATGATCTCGTCCTTGCAGCCTGGCTTCTTGACAGTATGCGACAGGACCGTGACGCCCGTGACGGATTCCAACTCCGTGGCTAACTTGCCGTCCCGGTCATAGGATGTAGCACCGGCGGTGTTGGAAACAATGAGCAGTCTCTGTCCAGGGAATTCCTTCCGCAGCTGTCGGAAGCGTTCCTAGTTGGGAGGCATTAACCTCAAGCCGAACATGACGACTGCCGCTGGCAACTCGGCAGTGCGAGCTGCACGGGAACAGCAACAAGTGGATTGATTGTACTCAGGGATGGTGGCAACTTACGGCGTACGGGGGGTGTACTAGGTTTGTCTCTGGGTATGCGAAACAGTCATCCTTGTCCAACACGACTGCCTTGATTTGCACCTTGTTGCCCTGCCCCGGGGTCTCGAAGACCTTTTCCAGCGGGAAAGGGAGCTCACTGAATTGAGAGACGGTCGCGTGTGGCAGACACAGCGAGGGTTTCGCCAATAGTTTAAAAACGTTGAAGAACCCGGACAGGTTGAGATTCATGATCTCTATGGTCGGAGCAGGGCCGCCTTACAGACTGGCCAGGTGAATGTGTGAGTGGATGGTCTTTGGTGGTCAGACAAACCAGAAATTGATCCGTCCGGTTATTGTATTGTACTGGAGCACACACCTACAGCACCCAACGCCCGGTGGCTAACGCTAACGTTGGACGCGTCGGCGCCACTAAGGTCAGTTGGACCAGGAACGCGCCCCGCGGTCGCCAGGACACCTAACCAAGCAAAATCCCCTATTTTCAAGGCCAAGTTCTGAGCATTTCATCGGCAACCTGCTGTTTGTTGACCTTGTTTGAACGCCAAATCGCCTGTGGAAGTGGAACCTGGGTCTCACGAATCAAATTTACATCCGTGGGACAGGTCAATGACTCGTGGGGAGCCAGCGGAGCTGGACTCAGCTGATTCCGTGGCTGACCTGTTACCGCGGAAGAGGGCCAGACGGGCCATTCCAGCGGAGGAAGCTCATGGCATCAGCCAGGCAAATGCGGTCGCTGCTTCTCCCGTCAAACGGAAGCGAGGACGCCCAAGCGCTGCTTCAAGGCTAGAGAGCATTGCTGCATCGGCCAACAAGTCTGTATACGATGTTCCCTCGGATGAAGATGGCCGGAATGGTCATGGGTTCACATCAGGCGTGACTGGAACTCCCAGCCGCCGTAGGACGAATCAGCACGTCGAGTCTCCCAAGTTTTCTGCCGGCGACAGGACGCCTCAGAATAGAAAGGCAGCAGGTGCGAGGGCTGCAGAAACGCCGTCGCAACCATCCAAATCTGTGGCCAATGCGGAAACACCCAGTTGGAGGAGAAACGATCGCTCTGCTCGCAAGAAGAGTGCGAGAGCCCTCATTGAAAGTGTCGTAGCGGGCAATGCGAGTGACGATGATGAGGAGGACCAAGACATCGCCAGAGAGATCTACGAATCGAGCGATGAAGATGATGTGGACGAGCTGGGATATCGCCATCAAGGGCAGGACGACCAGGAAACCAACGACCCTAGTGCCACCCCTTCAAGGAAATCTCGTGGTCGCAGCAAAGGCACGGCAACGAGAGCACGAAAGAAGTCACCAACACCTCCGCCCCATCTCCCCCCTCATGAGCTATATTTCGCTCAAACCCGGCCAGGTGCATCCAAGACATCAGCCAACAGTCTCGCCGCACTCCAACTGCTGACCCACGACGAGTACTTCTCTATATGGAATGACTACAACGACCCGCATCATGAAGATGTCCAGTTCTTGCAAGATCTACACGCCGACTCCTTCCCACAATGGGTCTTTGAGCTCTCCCAGGGGTTCAGTATCTGCGCATATGGCTTCGGGTCAAAACGACCTCTATTGCAAAAGTTTGCGAATCATCTCTATGCAGCAACCCCAGACCATGTAAGAAACAAAATCGTCATCGTCAACGGCTACGTACGGAACACCTCGATCCGGGAAATCCTGGGAACCATAGGAAGCGCCGTCGACCCGTCCCACAAGCTACCTGCTGGTAATCCTGCAGCTTTGTTGGACAATATCAACTCATTGCTATCTTCGCACGATATCAACATAACAATCATACTGAACTCCATTGATTCCATCCCCCTGCGCAAGCCAGGAATGCAGGCTATACTGGCTCAGTTAGCTTCCCATGCTAGTGTACAACTCATCTGCTCCTCTGATACTCCCGACTTCACCTTGCTATGGGATAGTGGCCTTCGCTCTGCTTTCAACTTTACATTTCATGACTGTACAACATTCGCGCCATTCTCTGCTGAAATCGATGTTGTGGATGACGTGCACGAGTTACTGGGCAGAAAAGCCAGACGTGTCGGTGGGAAGGAAGGTGTCGCATACGTCCTACGGAGTTTACCAGAGAACGCGAAAAGCCTGTTTAGGCTCCTTGTTACTGAAGTTCTTGTAGCTGCGGACGACGAAGGTGTGTTTGCTGGTGAAAATCCCGGAGTGGAGTACCGTATGCTGTACGGCAAAGCCGTGGAGGAATTCATCTGCAGCTCGGAGATGGCTTTCCGAACGTTGCTGAAGGAGTGAGTTGAACACACCCCCTAAACAGCGAAGATGTGCTAACATGACCGTGACAGATTTCACGACCACCAAATGATTACCAGCCGCAAAGATGTTCTTGGCACTGAACTGCTAAGCGTACCATTCAGAAAGGAGGAGCTAGAGGCTATGCTAGAAGACCTCATGGTCTAGGGTAATGTCGGAAGCAGAATGGAGATATCTCCTATCAATACAACAGGATATCAACTACCAACGCAGTGCCTTGCTAACCTGTGATTCAACTGTCGTGATCACAAACGCGAAACTGCCGGTCCTGGCCGGTACTTGTCAAGCGACTTCATCTATCAAGTCGCTCTGATCATCGAGTTCAGACCACTTCGGTTTTCCATCCTTGATATCAAGGCAACGTCTCGAGTAGAAGATGTGCATGCTGGATGTCCAGAGTTAGCATCGTCACGACATACTTCTCCAAGCCGTGGACTTACCTTGGCTCGAAATCTTTCTTAGCTGCCTCGTCCTTGAACTTGATGATAGCTGGGAACATGAGGACCATGTTACGACCCTCATCCATGATAGGTGCGTGGCAGTAGGCGCAACTGACTTTGCATGGGAGATCATGGTAGGTGTGCTTCTTCTCCGAATGGTAGAATGCCAGACCTTTGGCTCCGCTCTCGAAGTGTAAGTCCTCCTTTTTAAAGACGGCAGCCCATTGCAACGGGGCGCCTGGTTTGTCTGGTCAGTATTTTTCCCCATGCGCATGTAACAATGTTTCTCCCAACTTACCATGCAGGCTCTGGCAGTCCTTGCAGTGACAGTACTTGCTGGCAATGGGCTTGTCGCGGCTTAGCCAGTACTTGATTCTGCCGCAGTTGCATTGGGCCTCGTGCTTCTTATCAAAGTGCTCGTTCTCGCCGGAGGTGCGGTAAGGTGGCTGGTCGCGCCACTCGCCGCCTTGCTTCTGCTTCTCCTTCTCCTCGTCTGCGTGGGTAGTGGTCGTATCATGCTTGCCACGACTTTCGTGGTTTGTGCCTTGCGGGTAGGGATCTCTGTCCTTCTCGACAGTCTTGGTCTCACTTGACATCTCATGAGGCTCCTGCTCCAAATGTTCGTTTGCATTTGCAGACACCTTCTGCTTTTTGCGTGGTGATTGAGTCATGTCGTCCCAGAGTGCCGTTATTCTGCTGAAGGCACGGTGTTGTTGATGATAGTCTGGCAACGCTGCCTTTGGGGAATATTTGCTGTGGCTGCAATGCAACAATATCAAAGGCTGTTGCACGTTGGAACAATGGTAACGTATCACGCTGCGTCTTATTGATAGTTTAGATGCAACAAGGCGTCGTCCAGACAGCATTGCTCAAAAGAAACTGGTGGAAATTCAGAGACCAGTTATAAATTGTTTCCAGAACTTAATCCGGTTCCCTCTTATGTCTCAAGGATTCCCGGCCCTCATACGATCAGCAGCAGCCGCAGGATGGATACATGCAGTCAAGGTGTCATTCACTTAGCGTTGGCCCCTGAGCTTCGGGCAGGAGAGAAGCCTCCGAAAGTTAGTTGACTGTTGTATCCCAGCCATTCTGGGAGAGACTATGGCTTTGCCTTGCCGTGTGACGTTCTCGAGCATAATTTCAACTGAATTCCCCTGTGCAAAATTGCTGCTGTTTGCGCGTGTACGACCTATCACGTCGTCAGCATTATGTCATGTATCTAAAGTAACTTACTCTGTCGAAGCAAAGTAATTAATCATGCTAGGACCTGGAGCTCCGGAGCCGCGTTGATCTGTGGGGTAAGTACCTGCGTACATACATACTAAAAAGTTACAGGGTCCATTTCAAACGTCAGCACACCAGACTCGGGCACTTCTACCAGTGCAAGTCGATCGCGTGCTCATGAGAGTTTAGTATCCTTAATGCGAACAGCTCGTGACGCCTTGCGAGCGAGTGACAGAATGCTGGTAGGTATGACACAAACTTGTCGGTAAGACTTACGTATGTGTCACGGAACTATGTCGCCCTGTGGCATCTACAATCCACTGATACGGTACATATCTCTAAGCTCAGATTTCACAAGGCCTACATACGGTATATCCATTAGGGAACAACCAGATCTTCATTACTACTGCATTCTGAAGTGCGGGCCGAAAGGCCAATGCGGTAGGTATGCACATCGCATTGCTGTTTTAGTACCTGGTAGCATGCTCCAGCTGCCGGCAGCTGATCAGAGCCGGCAGCCATCATTTCTGCGTCAGCTCTGCCGGGTCCTCGCATGCATCTCGTCCTCAATCCGGCCACCCATCAACGACTAACTTCGCACAGTACCTGAGCGTCCTCAAGATGCGGAGGGGTAGATCATGAAAACCAGTCGCAATGATATAGATGTCTCGATCCCCAGCCCTTACACAGGCGTCGGCCCAGTAATTCCCGCAGGTACAGACGTCATTTTTCCGGACAAGCAACCGCGTAGCAATGCCGCAACAGCTGCTTCAGCCGCAGGTGTACGCGCCCTGAGCGCGCAGGCAATCGCCTTCTATTTCCGTGCGCCAGTGAAAGCCTTTTTCAGGACACGCGTTGACTACCTAGCATATGCGAGGTCTGTGCATCAAACCCATATCGAGCTTCTCAAACAAGCCGCAGTCAACGATAAGACATCCTCCCGCATGAGCTTGGCACTGCGGCAGACGTGGCTATGGATGCGCAGTACTACTCCGGGAGTGCTCACTAGTGCTGTCAAAGCCCATGGCTGGGGCGTTATACCACAGCAAGTCCTTCCGCCTCTCATCGCCAACGTAAGCGTGGGTGCCGTACTCTACACCAGCTACCTGCAAATACTCGGGCTTCTGCACGAGGAAAGCGGTAGGGCAAGCAAGCGAGTGTATCCGCCGCCCGATCCGAAGCACACCTTCGCCGCCGGGTTTCTGGCCGGAAGCCTTCAAAGCGTTGTGGCTGCACCGCTCGACGCCATCCAGGCCAGATTTGACCATCGGGAGATTCTCCCTGCCGATGGCACGGGGCGGCCTAGGAGCATGTGGGGTTTCAGTGCCGAGAAGCTGAGGGAGATTGGGGTCCGAGGAATCTTCGCGGGCTGGGGCTTGAGTTTCCTGAAAGACAGCTTCGGGAATGCCATCTTCTTCAGTACTTTTGAATATCTGAAAGCACAGGGCTACTACCGATTCGTGTCGTGGTACTATGGCGGACTGAGCGAGGACACGGTCGATCTACTTGCTTTCAAGCGGTCTTCCCCGAGTGACAAGCGAGCGACAACGAACACAGCTGCAGGCACCCATGGCAGTGAAGCGCCCAAGGTCATCCGGCCGCACTATGCTATCGAACCAGCCTTCCTTCTTCTTGGTGGCGTTGGCGCTTCCTTCGCGCAACAGGTCGTCTTACACCCTCTTACCCATGTACAACTCAAGCACTGGGACCACCTCGAAGACCTCGACGAGAAAGCGGCTCGCCTCAAGGCCTCAGCCGCCGCGAATGCGGATAAGCCACGCCGCAGGTGGAGGATGCTGCGGGCTTATTACCGTGCGTACCAAGAGACATGGGCTCACTGCGCTGCGGAGGCCAGGGCAGAGGGACTGGGGGTGACGCGCCTGCTCTACCGGGGCTTCTGGTGGAACACCATCCGTCAAGTTCCTAGCACAAGCGCTGGCCTGATCATATTCGAGCTCGTACGACGCAAGTATGGATTAGGGAGCGAAGAAGTCAGGATTAACAGGGATGGCTATGATATCCTCCTCAAATAGACAGATTATTGCGCGGTGTTGTGGCGTTGAACAAGGATAGAAGTATCTCTGCTCGTATTTAGCATCTTTCCAATGACAAGAGGCAATTGTGACATGACCTTTTGGACTAATAATTAAGCACGGGGAGGCTACGGACACATACTTGGCGACTCAGAGTTACCTTAACATCAGCGACGGTACCAAGTTATCATCACCGTGGACCGTGGGAAAATGCAGGAAACATGAGTACCGTGTCTTGCCAGAAGTGTCACGGACATATGCCAAGTCCAAGTATACTACAGTATGAGCAGCTTCGGTCCTGAATCAGGCCGGTCCGTGATTGGTTGTCTCTGCACACCAAACGCCTAGGGTCATGGGGGTAGTAGTGTTCCGGGATTTGATGTGGAGCTGACCGTACGATGACGCAAAAAAACTCCGGCTTGCATGGTAGCTCCGACCTCTTCATCAACTTTTGAACCCAAGACATTCACACTGCGCACATCGGCACGATTGGTCAAGAATTTCCGGGTTGTTACTGGACTGGAGCTATTGGCCTGCCCTTTGTCGGCCGTCGAAGGGACTCTCCTCTGGTGCTCTCAGCAGCGCGTGCCACTCGTACAGGCACCATGAAGCCGACCAATGCACTAAACAGCGCCGAGGCCACAGAAGCACAGCGGCAAGCCGTGCGTGGCGCCGGCATCAGTGCCGTCAAATGGGGGTTTGCGTCTGCGGTCCTCGGAGGAATTGCATATGCCGCCTCGCCTGTTTATCGAGGCTTGACCATTCAGTTCAAGGTGTAAGTGCTGCATGCAGCGCCGGACTGCGCCCACGTGCTTCCTCAGTTTGAAGGCTCACTACGGAACAGCTATATACAAATGTCAGGCATGATTCTGGGAGGTATGCTCGGGGCGGATAGGGCCGTCCAGGACTATGAAGCACGGTTAAGGCTGCAGAGGCAGATAGCGAGAGACCGAGCCATGTGGGAAACGTTTGAGAGGGAGTATAAGGAAGAGGGAGGTGCACCGCCTCCGCCGCGGCCGAAGCATCTGAGGGAGGACAATTAACAAGGCGGGGCCGTCAGTTGGTCAGCCGTCACAGAAGCCCGAAGTCATGTACAACAACTGTAAATATCTGCCTCAATTGGGGGCGTCGAAATCATCCGGGCCATCTAAGCCAAAGACAGCCATGATCAAGTTTATGAACGCCGTGCCATGCAACCGGTACACCCATCGTCCCGAACCCTTGCTCTTCCTTGCTTGACCTCGTCACTTGATTTTCGCCTCGAACCGTTTCGGGTCCATGTTGATCTTGCACAGACGCGCGACACAGCCGCTGAGCTGCAGCAGCGTCTGCACTCCCTCCAGAATCTTCATGTGCGTGAAGCCGATCTCCTTGATGAACTCGAGCTTGCTGTGCTCGCTCAGAGTTGGGATGGTCTTGGTGACCTTGAACATGGTACTGATGATATCGTGGCAGCTGTAGCCGAGATCCCACAGCTCACGGAGACTGTCCATGGCGCTGTCGATGTTGCCGTCGTAGCATGCTTTCAGCATGGCCTGCACCTTGATAGGGTGCGGTGAGTCGACGACCCTGAAGACGTTGTCCCCGCTGACGAAGCCGAAACCGGCATGTGTGGATTGCAGGTTGTTGATGGCCTGTCGCATGTCTCCCTCGGCGCTGAAGACCAATGCTGCGAGGCCATCGTCGCTGTACTGCACCTTCTCGGCCTCGATGATCTGGAGTAGACGCTTGACGACCTGGGCATCGGTCAGGCGGGCGTAGCGTAGTATGGCGCACCTGGACTGCAGGGGCTCGATGACCTTGTTGCTCTGGTTGCAGGCGAAGGCGAAGCGTGTGGTGTTGGAATAGATCTCCATGGTCCTCCTCAGAGCCTGCTGTGCGCCACTGGTCATGCTGTCGGCCTCGTCGAGGATGACGATCTTGTGTCTGCCGGCGGGCAGTGTAACCTTCTTCTGGGCAAAGCCCTTGATCCTGTTTCGTACGACGTCGATGCCACGCTCGTCGGAGGCGTTCAGCTCCAGCACTGCCTCCTTGTAGGAGTCGCCTAGCAATTGCCTCGCCAGGCACAGCACGCTCGTCGTCTTTCCGATGCCGGGCATGCCGGAGATGATGACGTGGGGCATGTTGCCGTCCTTGGCGATGATCTTGAGGCGCTCGATGGTTTCCGTGTTGCCAACCACATCGTCGAGGAAGACGGGCCTGTATTTCTCTACCCTGCCGTGGCGGACATGAATCAGCATCAGCGCGTCTGGTTCGTGGCCTGAGATGCCCTCGACTGTTGAGAATGGGCAAGCAGATGTGATGATTGTACATACCACGGCAACTCGTAGTTGGAAGCGCCACTGCCGTTGCCGTTGCCATTGGTGCTTGCATTAAGCAGCTTTTTGGCCGCGGACGTCGAAGACTCGCCCGTCTCTGCCTTGTGTGCGGCAGGCATCTCGTGGATCGTTCTGGCAGCGCTGGTATTGTTTCGAACGTCGAAGCTGGCATGGATTGAACGACGGTGGGCATGGAAATAAATCACTTTACGCGGGCCCCCAAAGCTACGAGACGCGTTTCTGGCGTTTCTGGCGTTTCTGACGGGGCTAAGCTCGTTCTGGGTTAGACTAGCCCAGTCAGTCTAGACTGGAACTAGCCTCTCGTAGCTTGCATACTGCATACTTTCGCTTGCATAGTAAGTTACCAAGCTTACACAGTGCAGTATGTAATACCGTAGTGAGTGCCGTCATATCATAGTGCCGAGTCAACCACGAACAGCAAAGAAACGAGCTCAGGTGTTTTGTTTTGTTTGGTTTGGTCTGGTTTGGTTTGGTTTGGTCTGTTCAGATTGTCTATGCTAAATTCCCTTGACTCCCATTTACTGTGTCAGCTCGAGAAATCGCAGCTCGTTGGCTTCAGCATCGAAACGACTTGCCAGTCATGCCAATGTTCGGGTAAGTCCCTGCCTTGAACGTCTTTGATGTGCCACCACAGTCGACGTCTCTATATGTGATATTATCAGTTTTCTTTCCTTCTTTCTTTCTTTCTTTCTCTCAAGCAGCAAGCTACAGCAAGGTCTTACGAGTAAAATTGGCACTGGAAGTGGTCATACACCTTGGCCGACTTGAAGCCGTAAGCATAGTTCACTATCGCAGTTGTGGTCAGTACGAGGAGTGCTCGACAGCCAGGGATACTCACAGCAGAATCCTTTACCTGAGTCAATACTTGCGGAGCAGCCACCGCTCATACCAGTCGAGCGACACGTCTTGGTCATAAAGGCAACACCCGAACTGCCGACATCAGGGACAGGCGTGGTATCAGCAAGAGCTGCAAGGCTGCAGATTATCATGGATGCAAAGAAGAACTTCATGTTTGTGGTGTGGCGCTCGTTGGAGGCGGTGTTCGGTTTGCCTGCTCTACTGATGATAGGGGCAAGTGCTATTTGTCTTTGTGGCGCAGTTTACTGTTCAATGTGTGGTCTTTTGAATTATGTCGAGTTCGTGGAATCGGCAACACGGTTCCACGTTTAATAAGCTATGCGTTGCTATGATTAACCAGCAGTTAACTGAGTTAATGTGATCAATCCTGTGATGCTACGACTTTAGATACAAATCCATCATAGTCACATGGTCCGTCTGATGCAACTCTAACGTATGGTGGCCTGGGGGAAATCGCCCCCCAGAACAGATCAGGCCACAGTTGGAGTCAGCAACTCCGCCATAGCTCGGGAACTCTACGGGATATGCTTGTTCTATTTCATCCAAAAGTTGCGCGCCTTTGTCTATTCACTAATGATCATAGGCTGGCTCCTGCCCATACGGACTTATACTTCTACATGATAACGTAGCCCTATATCGTGTCATGCGGTTAGAGACTCTCCGTCCTTTAGCATTATAAAGGAGAAGATATGTTCATGGTAACAACATTGCTCGTACAGCTGACAGAGACTGGGGATCCTTACGTGTCCAACTCATGCGGGGGATACGAAATTGGTGTCCTATAACCATCATGATACTTATTATAGTCCAAACCTTGTAACGCAGTTTATACTTACGAGCTACCTATATCTTGGGCTCCATTTTTTTTTCCATCCAGCCTCGGCACTGGACCACCCACAGGAAAAAGCTGAATAATGAGAGAAGGACTACCAGGTCTTCTGTCCTAAAAATAGATAGAGAGGGTAATGCAAATCAGATGATATACTCAGCTCCCACGAAACTCTAGCAACAAACGTACCTCCATGATTTAAGCGATATGGTCAATTATACCGGTGCCCCATGCATTACATGTGTGTTCCTACTCAAGTAATATATATCTACAGCTAGCACTTCGCTGTTGTCGAGCGAGTGGAGAGATTAAGATTTCCGGAAGATTTTACAACTATGTAGAGCATCAGAGTTACAAGCTCTCACGTAAATATATATGGATAAAGAGAGCGAGGTCGTTTTTCTATTTTCCATCGTTCAACACGAGTTGCCGTGGATCGTTTGCTTTCAAATTTATTCTTTCTCAAGTAGTTGGCTGGATGGTCTGTCTTTAGAGCCCCTAGATGTCAACCAAGTTACCGGGATCTAACCCCTCACCGCTCGCACATTACGTTTTACATCCAACACAACGTCCCCAAGGCCACTTCATGATAAACGTCAAGAAGTCTCAGCACGGTTTCAGTCAACAACGCTGGCCCAACTCGGGATTTGACGCTCGAGACGCCATGTGCCGTTTATGGAAGCAGTCGCAATGTCCAACTTGGGCTGCCCCTGTTCAACTGTCTGTTAATGTACCCGCACAGTTTACAGTGGAACAATCAACCCAGGTGACAGAGCTGTTGGGCTGTAGGTGTATGAGGACATGCGCGCCCGAGACGCAGCTTGAGGCAACAGTGGCGTGGCCTTGACGTATCCTTGCCTCTACCGGCTGGCGGCAACCTTGTCCATTACCCCGTTCATGGTCCGAAATACTCTTGTCATTGTTTATAGCAACAGACTTCCCGTTTTGTATCATATCTCTAGGCTTCTCTGTTTCAGAGGTATGAGGAGATATGGTATGCTTATATTAGAGTAACCTAGTGCCTGAACCTTACTTGCCTGGTCTAGTCCTCGTCGGGGCAAGAACAGTATAGAGTGAATGCAAACGTATCACATATCTATACCATATTCCTTCCGAGAGGCGAGCCGGAACTCCTCGTCAGTTCAAACACATCTACTGTATGTGGCATAAACATCCTAGTAACTATCGATCTTTGTTTTCGAGCGAATTGTGCATTAAAAAAATTAGTTTATACCCTTGATTGTGGATCGGTGGATCGTTTGATGAATAACGGGCAGCAAGGTCTTTTTGCTATTGCAACATAAAGAGTCAGATGCCATGCATGTAAATCCGCAGGACCAGGTCATTTTATTTTTAATAGACAGTCTAAAAGCACGGCTGGCACACCCGGATCGTGACAAGACGCACCGGTCCCACATGCTGCTGGAACTTCTGTAAGTATCACATTTCTCAGAAAATCACTCGATCGTTCTGGTCTCGACTCATATCGACTAGGTTCCGGGCCGAAGCCAGCGCTCCTGTGCAGTGCTGCAGCCAACGGTGGTAAAAGAAAATAAAGATGAAAGGAAATTGTCTCGCATCTAAGCCTTACTGACTTCTGGTTTAAGCCTTCAGGCATATGCAGGCTGTTGCAAACTGGGACGATTATTTACCATGTCCACCGTTGACAGATACTGTGCTGAAGCTCTCAATATATATTCGACAAATACATGACCACGTACCTAGATGCCTACTATTCTAGGTGCCTGACTTCTAGGGAGCCATGTCGTCGAATATGGCCCCGAGTTCTGCTGGTCTGTTATTGCCAATGCTCTTGTACGCTTTTGTGTGCTAGCTGTATATCCGTACTGTTGGCCGTAATAGTGAGGATTGGTGTCTTACAGGGATGTTTAAATGATCTTGACTTGATGACCGCTTTATCTCTGCCCTATCTACTTACGAGGCTAGTGAAATACTTTGAATATGGATGAAGGTGACTCAACCCCTAGGTCTGGCTCATCCAGACGGCATAAGCTTATTCGACATATGTGTCGTATCCATAGATTCATTGCATACAAAGTTCCGGGGTACTAAAACCCGACCACCCATAATCTTCTTCAAATATCTTTCTGACTGAGCAATCCTTCAAACTTCCTGTGCAGCCTCTCCAGGAGCGGGAAAGATTGCTGTCGTCAGGGACTGCGAAGGGTTGCTACCGTCGCCTTCGATGCTCGTTGATTCAGAGGTTACCGCGAGTCCACCACCGCTTTACAGCACTCTGATTAATATCCTATCTCACTTATATTTGGGGTCGATGAGACAGTCAGTCTTCCTGACCAGAACGCGTCATATTGAGTTTTCTGTGCAATGACGACTAAAAGTCCTAGTGCGTCGAATCTTGTATGCACTACGTATGATTGCCTTGCAGTCGGGTGCTGACGTCGCGGCATATGTGCTTCGCATTTATAAGCCGGGGAGAGACTGTGACAATGGAGGTATTAAACGGATCTGAATATCATTTACAATGATGCAGATGTAGAACTAACGAATGACGAGAAGAGCATAAATTCTTTTTTTAAAAAAAAAAATTTCTTCTTAGAATTCCGTACCCTTCAGATAATGCGAGTAAATAAACTTTTTATTTTAACTTTGCATTTTCGGTATCTTTGGTGCCTACGGACCTAGGAACGTGCTTTACTTCAAGGACTCAACCCCCCTTTCCCCATAGCCTAAGCGCCCTGTTGCAAAAGTCTCATACGTTCATGTTCATATCAAGCGCCGTCTTTGAACTGTAGTGTCTCAGTTGATTCCCAATTGGGGGAGGGTTGTTCCCGGCTCAACAGATATGCGGACCTTTCCAGGTAGAGGACAACTTCCACAAGCATGGAAGCACTTCTCGGTTAGCATGAAGGCGACTCAACTGCAGCCGATGTCTCTTACCCCGGTCATGGTGGGGACAGTAAGCCATTGCCTGTTACGGAATTTCCTTTTTTGACGAACCTCATACCTCGTGGTCAGAGCTGTTGGGTCCTACTCTTGTTATGTCATGTACAGGGTGTCTATGTAGATACCAAGGCACATATTGATGCAACCAACAACCAGATCGTTCGGCTTCATCTCACACCAGCCGTTTCTTCATGTGGTCACGGTCGAGTACAAGAAGCCATAAGCCGGATGGCGGATGGCGGAAGTGAGGAATTGCGGGTCTCGGTAAAAACAACATGCTAACTGAATTCAAGATGCGAGCTTGTATCATATATGACATGGAACTCATGAAACATTTTTGGTGCCAACCCACCCCATAAATCAGCCTTAGAACTCCGTTTTTTGGGCTCCGTTTTCTATTCGAGGAACCATCTGATGCCTTTCCGCCATGAATTTTTGGATATCTTTTCGGGATGGGCCTCGGGGCTCACTGTAAACAACCGGACCATCAACAAAACAGCCAACTATGCGGCATTAGTCACACCGTTTGAGCTACCGTTTGTGGTCGCCCCATTGGGGGCAACGTCGGGCGAGGCAATAGCCAGGTGGAAGCTGCGGATAATGGAATCAGCGTCGTCGATGGCGATTGGGCGGACGTCGGCGAGAGCCTTGATCTTGGCGGTGCTGAAGCGGCAGAGTTAGTCTTATTTCTATTTGCTCGAGACACTTGGCAGTTGGTGGGAAGACATACACTTCCTTGACCTGGTCGTCCGTCATTGTCAGACCGAGTTGGCCAACGCGGGTCTTGACGGCATTCCAGCCGGTCAGCCTGGAAGCAAAGTGGACGTAACGTGTGAGACCAAAGTCGGCAGGGTTAAGAATCTCGTAGGTGGAGGGGTTGTTGAGGATGGCCTTGGCGTGGATGCCAGCCTTGTGGGTGAAGGCGCAGAAACCGGTGATGGGGTTGTTGAAGGGAATGTTGATCTCGACGGCCTCGGCAACCAAGTCCTCGATCTCCTTGATCATGGCCAGGTTGTACTTGCCCTTGACGTATTCGGGGCTCGTGACAACCATGCGAGCCATGAGGGCACCGAGGGGGGTGATACCGTTGCGCTCACCAATGCCCAGAACACTGGTGTCGATGTGGGTGGCGCCGGCCTCGAGAGCGCAGAAACTGGGTACACAAAAGCGTTAGATGAGTTGGACTGAGCGGGCACCCGTTGGGGCTCGAGAAGAATAGCATAACATACGCGTTGGCGACACTGCATCCCGTGTCGTCGTGGAAATGGGTCTCGATGTCGCAGGAGACGACACTTCTCAGGGTGCGGACGAGATCGTAGACTTGGCGAGGGTTGGCACAGCCGACCGTGTCAGCGACACCTACTCTGTCGACGCCGGCCTTGTCGACGGCGGCGTAGAGGGTCAGGATATCGCCCAAGTCGGATCGGAACGAGTCCTCGCTGGAAAACCGGGCCTCGAGGCCCTTGGACTTGACATACTTGATGACCTCGACGGCCTTCTCTTGGATGAAGGCCATATCCTTGCCGTGGGAGTGCTCGCGCAGGTGTTGCGAGGTGCCAATGACGATATCGAGGCCATCCACACCGGTATCAATGGCGATCTGGACATCTCGCATGTCGCATCGTACGTCTGGTAGAGCGAGGACAAGGTTAGGTTTCGTGGCTGGGGGGCCGGGGGGAGGGGGGGCCAAGGGCGTTCGAGGAGGGGATAGATTATTGACTCACGTGTGAGGATCTTGGCCTGTGTTTGGGAGTCAGTACTCAGGGTTGACAACGAGAGCAGAAGGAGCAAGCAGAGAAGTAACGAGAATGACGCACCTTGAGACCCAATTTGCAGATGGCCTCGCAGTCCAAGCGCGACTGCTCCGAGGCAGCGGGGGAGGTCAGTTCAATGCAGTCGACGCCGAATGCATCGAGGGCTGGTGAGTTGTACGACAAGGTCAGATAGACACGACTTGAAGAAATGCCGTCGCAGTCGGGGGACATGGAGGAGCTTGTCACGTACCCTTGGCGCTGATGGCTGCGTCAGCATGGTTATCTATCTCGTCTACACAGGGTGGCCACTCACATCTTGATCTTGGTCTCAGTGTTGAAGTACGAGTTGGCAAATTGCTCGCCCTCTGGACACCACCAGTCCCCCCGTCAGCATGGGTTTTTTCGTCTATTTATTTCCGAGGCAGTCGCAACTGCAGGTCAGGGGACCATCTCACCTCTCAACGTGGACTCGATGATCTGGAACTTGGCGACATTGCCGGTAGGGACGTAGGCATTGCCCAGATTCCTTTCGTTGACGACGGCGGGGGGCGCTGTTGGGCACATTGTGAAAGACGCTCGGTGCGGTGCAAGCTTATCGATAGATGGATACAGATGGATGAGTCCTGAGTAAAAGATGGGAGGAGTGTCGTGGTGTAACCGAGAATAAATAGTGGTCAATTCAACCAATGCGAAGCTGGATTGGATGAATGATCGAATGGATATAGGAATGCCGCGGTCGCTGGGGCGTCACACACAAGTTTTTTTCTCCCTCTCCCTCCCGTTCCTTTTGCGAATTCGGCAATGCCCCCCCAGGTGCGTCAGTGATGCAGTTTTTAGTCTTAGTAATTCTTAGTGTGACGAGATGCCCAGATGCCCAAGCTTGCCTACACGGGCCTGCCCAGGCTTGCTGTGCCCAAGTAAGCACCCGCAAGCCCTTGCCGTGCAAGCCCCAATGTCCGTCCCACTGCCTGTCCTGCCTGTCCTCTCGTACGGGGTACCCTTGACAATTTCCCATTCAATGACGGAGATGCACCAATGCACCTCACACCTCACATTGTCCCCCGTCCACCGGAAAAAATTCCCACTAGCGACCTCGGAGCGCCCTCTTCAGACCCTCCATGGCAAGTGACTCAGAGGGCCCATCCAGTTGCTGCCAGCTGCTCTTGGGAACACTTGCTCCAATCGGCTAAATTGCATTTCAAGCCATGACCTGCATGCTTATGTACGTCACGTCACGTCACACAAACCAACACTGGGGGTCTGTTCCCTTTACCGGTCCCTGGAAAATATCTCCCTCACTAACTGCCATTGAATGCGGGGTAACACACTACAGTTGTCCCCTCCCCAAAAGTCTGGTCTCTCTGGTTTATATAAGCAGCTATAAGCGGCGGTCCTTGTCGCAGAATCTGCGCAAATCGGTGTAAGATAACGTAGGTCCACACATTCTAGCTACTGTAGGAGGGTAGTGTGACGATTATACTATCGGGTTGCACAACCACAAATAATATAATGCAAGGGGGTTTATGCTAACAAGATATGCTAGCCGTCAATAGAAGACTATAGAGATAGACATTCAAAGTATACTGAGCAAAATAGAGAATCACAAGTGTAGTCGTCAAAGCTTTAGCTTCACCTATGGGTAAGATAGGTGCTTAGATTGGTCACTGAAGTAATGACTGTCTACGTAGAGTAGGAAACCCAATCCTTATTATATTCATTCATTCCTTCACTGATATCCCTGGGAGCGCTGGGAGCGCGATGCTCCCGTCGCTCCTGGAGCGCCTGGAGCGCGGCGCCTTCATCGCTCCTAGAGTCGCATGAAGCGCCGTCCAATAGAATCTTAGCAGTGGTGACTGATTGCCCCATGCTTCTTTTTCTCCACTTCAGGCCTGGTTCCTGGCCTTCGTTCGTAACAGGTAGCAAAAGAACAAAACAGGCGACAAATTAATTAAACGGCTACGTAAAGCCATAATAATCCGTAACTAAGTGTAAATATATAATTCTTTAGTTATAATTAAGTTATTAAAGTTTAATTATTATAATAATATAAAATGCATTATAAGTCGATATAAAGCTCGCGTTTAATGCAATTTTAAAGTAATATTTATAACTTTAATTTAATACTAAATATATTAATTATAAAAGAATTAAATAATTTTTTTAAAATAAGCTTATACTTATAATTTCTAAAGTTATAAACATTATAAATATTATTAAAACATTTAATTTAAAAAAGAAAAAGTGAATTAAATATAATATTATTAACTTTATATTAAATAAACTCTTAAAAGTTAAATGAATAACGATTTAAAAATAAAGTAATAAATTTATATAAATTAATATATTATAATTAAAACTACTATATAAAGTATTACTTATTAATTATATGTTTTAGTAATTTATTCACTTAATAAGTGTAAGTTAACTAAGAAATTAATTATTAACTTAAGTATTAAATTAATTTTTTAATTGTTTCTTAATTTATTTATTCGAATTAACACTTAATATACTTTTCTTTAATCAAAGTATATTATATATAAAGTTTAAAAATTAATTATTAGTCTTTTTATTATTTATAATTAAGATTAAAATTAGATTAATTATTATTTAAAGTATTAATTATTTAATTTTAATTATTCTCTAATGTAATTAATAATTAAAAGGAAAATATTATTTAATTTATATAATAAAGGTTATATTAATAATTATGTGGAATGGCTTCTCCATTCATTTCTTTCCGTACAGTTTGGGCGACAAATAGATCTATTCAGCGCTATCGTACGAAGGAGAAGAAGGGATTCTTCCCCTCGTACGTGGTCTATAGATAGGGGTTTGGGGTTCACCCGCACGGCTGCTGGCTGCCGACAGCCACATCGTGGCTGTGGTGGCTTACTGCCAGCACGCCGGTGACTACCTATACTACGTAGTCAACCGTCGTACGAGACCGCGAATAGTATATTCCAACACTAGCTATCTTTTCTTTCGCGGTTCGTACGTTCGTAAACAACTGAAAAACAATTCCTTCGGTAGTGTGTTTCCCGTGGGGTCGTCTTCTTATCTGTCCTCCGGGCTGTCCTTATCTGTCCTCTGGGCCGTCCTCTTGTCTATCTTCCTAGCCGGGTAATGGTGTACGAGTCGGTGCCGGAGTTGCGGCATTCGTACGGGGACCGGGAGTTGTAGTACTCGTACAGGGACCGAGAGTTGTAGTACTCGTATAGGGACCGAGAGTTGTAGTACTCGTACGGGGTGATGGTTAAGGTGCTCTGACAGCCTCCTTGTTGTCTAATGGGTAGACGAGCTTTTCGTTTTGGGTGAGACCGCTCGGGAAGTGATACCCTTTTCGTTCGAGTGTCTTAAGCATCGCACGTTTGAATGGTCGTGATGTATACTCGAACTGGTACGTAGTCCATCCCTCGAAGTCTTCCTGGTATGCTCGTACGAGTGCTCGGAGCGTTAAGATGCCTTGATATTCGGTAACGAGCTGACCGACATACGTATTCATATGTACTCGGTCGAGGGGTTGTTCGATATCGACCGTACGATCCCAGAATTCGAATGCTGTGCCGGCTCGCCAAGCGTGGACGGAGATATCGCTCCCCTCCGCCATCTCCTCGTGCGAGAGGATATTTTGTTGTCGTGGTACGGTACCAGAGTTGTCGTGAGTAATGGTACGCATGCATAACTCTTTGTTCGTACGGACGGGAGAGGACATCTTGCAGACATAAGCACCTCCGTACGAAGAAGAATCTGTATACGTCTTCTACTCTTGTCGTAGTCCAAGGTTATCGCCCGTGTCGCGCGCACCGGTAGCTACGCGTTCTGCGGGAGATAATGAACCTATTGTCGATGCGTAATGGCACGCACGTGTAGCTCTTTGTTCGTGCGGAAGGGAGAGGACTTCTTGCAGACATTAACACCTTCGCACTACGAAGAATCTCTACACGTCTTCTACTCGTTCGTTATTCGTGCGGAAGGGAGAGGACATCTTCCAGACATTAACACCTTCAGCACGAAGAAGTCGGGGGTAGGATTAAGCACGACGTTTCGCTACGTACTACCGTACGTACTCAGATAACGCCGTCTCTTCATTCTTGCCAATCTGCGTTCACAGCCAAGTGAACACTGATCAGTGTGGAATGGCTTCTCCATTCATTTCTTTCCGTACAGTTTGGGCGACAAATAGATCTATTCAGCGCTATCGTACGAAGGAGAAGAAGGGATTCTTCCCCTCGTACGTGGTCTATAGATAGGGGTTTGGGGTTCACCCGCACGGCTGCTGGCTGCCGACAGCCACATCGTGGCTGTGGTGGCTTACTGCCAGCACGCCGGTGACTACCTATACTACGTAGTCAACCGTCGTACGAGACCGCGAATAGTATATTCCAACAAATTATCTTTTAATAAATTAATTTTAACTTATATTTGTTTAAAAGAGTTTTAAAATAATATTAAAACATATTAATAATTATAAGAATATTTTTAATTATAATAAAAGCTTATATTAATAATTATCTCTAATAAAACGATTTATATTAAATTTTTTTAAAAAAGAAAGAGATAAAAAGATAAAAATATGAAATATTACCTTTTTATGAGAGTATGGGCGCGGTTAGCACTAAGCTGTGAGAGTTGACAACACTGGTGTGAGATAACAAGCCTATAACGTCACGAACTGTAAAGTTGATATGGGCTTGTAATATGTCTTCTCTTGAAAGCTATTCTAGGTATAGGTTAGAGAGAGCTATTTATATACCTGTTATATCCTATAGCCCCGCTGTGGGTATTGTAATAAGTGCCCCTTTAATACAAAATTTGTCGTCCTTGATAATTTATCATTCTAAGCGAAAACATGATATAATACCTAGGTTATAGCTAAACTGGTTTATTTAGAAGAGACGCTCTAACTATGAGTTATAATAACGAGCTTGTTATTTATTGCCATTTCTAACGTCTTTACTCCTCATCCTCCTCGCTACTAGTTACGTCGATAACCTTGCTCGTAGTATCCTTGTTAACTTCGTCGATTAAGTCCTTAAATTCTGCGTAGAGGTCTTCGCCGTTAGGAGGTTTATTGCCGGTAACGATAGCTAGACTATTAACTTTGACGGCGGGATTAACGGTAGCGGAGTCTTCATCGTTAGTATCCTTAAATTCGGAAAGGCTGTCGCTAGGATCCGGTTTACGAGGTATGGACTTTACGGATTTACGAGGTATAATAGAGGAGGTGTTATTCCTAGCAGCCGTCCTGTCTTTCTTTACACGGTACTCGTCTATGAAATCGTTAAAGTAGAAGACCGTCTCCTCGAGTTGTCTACGGGTTTCCTTCCCGTCTTTGCCTTGCTTAACCATTTCTTCTCGTAATTGAAGAATCTCCTTAGTAAACGTCTTGTAAGAAATCTTTGCGGAATTAGTAGCTTTGGTAATGGTGTTAGTAAACTTCTCGACCTCCTTAGCATGTTACTCCTTGGAATCCTTATAGGCTTTGGCGAGTTTTCGATAAGTAGCCTTAAGTTTCTTATGCGCCACGCTAAGCTTTTTAACATCGCTACCGTTAGACGTAACTCTATCTCCGTTAGCCTTACGAACTCGTTTATTCTTTAAGGCTTGTTTGTCTAACCCCCTTGCTAACATTGCTAGCTGATCCTGGATGTTAATAACTATTGCATTTGTTCTAGCATTCGAGTCTAGGCCTGCCGTAAGTGTTATAAGGTTAGTTCTACTAAGCGTAGTGAGAGAACCGGCAATAGAACCGTTAAAGCGGTCTTTAAGGTCGTAATACATGATTGCGAGAACGCTTGCTCTAGCTGGCATCAAATGGTCGTAAGGTGCTCCTATTAACTTAGCGGCACTGGCTTTACTAAGGCGATCTTTAACACTTCGAATAAGACTATTTAAAGCTACTATTCCGGACTTTGCGCGTCTTTTATAGAACTTATCAATTTAATAATAGGTTTCTTATAACAGGACGGCATTGTTACTAATTTGAGTGCGAGCTTTCTCTTTAGTAGCGTTAGGCATAACCTCGTTCACATTAACTGGCTGGCTATAAGTTAGTTTGTTACCTTATTTATCGTAGTTAATATCATCCCTAGCGTATACTTTAAGAACCATGACCTTTTCGTTGTCAGGCATGACAGCGTCGACGGCTATCTTACGGCGTAATAAAAAGGCTCTTATTACTCCGGTTCTATTACCTTTAGTAATCCATTGTTAGACTACGCCTTTACCATTAAGGGAGGCATTCTTGGCTTCCTCCTAGTTTATGTAGTCTTGTATAATGAATCGGTTATTGTTGGCAAAATGGTTAGTAACTCTAACTTTTCTAAAGGTAAAACTGATTGTTTTATCCTTTGCGTTCTATACTAACTAAGACTCGTTCAGCTTTATTACATACATGTGTCCATCGAAGTTAATATTAAGTTGGTAATAACTAACATATACGGCGTCATTAACAACCGGTGTTATAAGCTACGACTTCTTCTTTGTCTTGGTTTTCTTAGTAACGGCTTTATTTATAATAACAACGGCTTTATTCGTGTTAATAACGGCCTTGTTAACCCCAATGGGTACTAGTTCCTCTACGAACGGATTATTATCAATGGCCATAAGTTGTTAAGCCTTAACTACCAGGGCGGCGCTATTAACGAGGGCGTTAATGTTAACGTTGTCATTGGCTTTTGCGATAAAGGGATTAGCCGGTTTGGCTTTAACTGCTTTCTTCGTCTTAGGTGTAGTCTTCTTAGCCGCTTTGGCGGCTTTTGCGGTAGCCTTCTCACGGGCCTCGTTAGCCCTGTACGCCGCCATTTATGCTAGTGTTCTACGCTTTTTGCGAGACGCAATGGGTACCGTATCTGATTCATCGTCCTTAGGCTGGCGAACTGGGCTGCTACGTCGTTTTGCCATGTTAAATGTTCGATCTGACGAAAGGCTTGTTAAGTTCGACGGTGGACGTTGAGTTAGAAAAATGTGGAAATGTCCGCTTGAGTTGACGACTAAAATGTCAAGGCTAACAGAGAACTTGTTAGAGCCTTAGACACGTGTCGTGGTGTGTTTAGGGAGTTTACGAAAAGAAGAAAAAATAATAGAAGGGATGGTTAATAATAGCTGTTAAAGCTAGGGAAACATTTGTTTATACTGAATTAAATAGGCCTAATCTTAAGCCTTATTTTTTGATATAGCCTGTTCGTGGTGCTTAACGTTTCCCTTGTTAATTCTTACATCTCCTAAATGTATATATAAATGCATGATAAATAATGAAAATGGTGATCGTTATAGTGTGTTTGTAGTGAATGTAATGGATGTAATAACTGTTAAGTGAAACTAGGAAATTATGGGCGTTTTCGATTAGGATATTACCCCCCCTTATATAATTGCGATGTTATACCGAGCAATATCACTGATAAAGCTCTTTCTCTCGCTTAGCTATATACCGACGTTTCGCATTTTTGTATTTAATCCCCCAGTTTATAAGGTTTCGAGCGAAATACTCGGTAATTAACGCATTCGCGCCTTGTATTAATTCGCTGGCTGCTACCTAGCTATCGTCTTTTGGTACGTAGTCTTTCCATTGTATAAGGAAAGATAGACGTAGGTTTACCTTGTTCTATCTAACGCGGTGTTTGATTACTCTCTCGACTTTGTAGATAGGTGCGCCTTCCGCGTTGTGTTCCACTGGTCCTGGTTCCGGAGTCTCTCTCTCGTAGGGATCCTTTCCTTATAACGGCTTGAAAAGATGAGCGACTAAAACGACAGGATGGACTTTCTAGGCGTCGGGAAAGTTCAGCTTGTATACTTGTTGCCCGATTACCTTTTCGACTTTGAAGGGTCCCGCCCTCTTCGGGGACCATTTTGCCTTTGGTTTACCCGGAAGATGGTACCCTTTGCTAAGTTTAAGGTAGACGGTATCCCCTACTTCGAACGTAACAGGCTTGTGCCTTTTGTTATACCGTTCTTTGGCGTACTCGTTCGCAAGGTCGGCTAGAATGGCAGCCTCCGCGCCATAGTCTGCTCTCAGAACGTTAAGAGCTTCGGATGATACCTTCGTTCCCTTCTTTTTGGCAATTACGTTTAGGGCCGAGCGGGGTTTAAATCCCATGACCATCTCGTTAGGAGTCATGCTAAGTGTACCTGCTAGACTGTTATTCAGGCTATATTGTAGTGCTAGAAGAATTTCCGTCCACGGCGTATCTAGTGCCATCATGTAATGATAACGAATAGCCGCCTCTACGGTTTGGATCTTCCTTTCCGAGACTCTATCTGTTTAGGGGTGGTAAGTAGCTAACATGAGCAACCTAACCTTTAAGATGTTAAATATTTCTAACCATAAGTCGGAGACGAACTTCTTATCCCGGTCACTGATAATGTTTAGAGGTAGTCCTTAATCCAAGAAGTAAAGCATCCTTAAGATCACTACCGCCCAGTCTTTTGCTTTATAACGCGTCGCACCTGCTAGTAATAGCGTTTTCTTCGATGCCTTACAGCTAATCATACACAGGCAGTCTAGCGTATCGTGGTCCGGAACGGTCCAGAACGTCCCTAGCGCCGGCTCTTACGGCATGTCCGTTACAAAGTCCATCGCTATTGTCTCGAACGGCCTTAGGGGAACTCTGATTGGTTCAAGGGAACCCGGTGGCAAATCACGGTCCGTACGGCCTTGCAAGCACGCGTTGTAATGGTTAACATACCGACGTGCCTTCCAAGCCTTATGGTGGATATAAACTCCCTATAAGTCCTCCATCATCTTGTTCCATCCGAAATGAAATTTAGCGTCGTGCACGGTAAATAACACTTGTTGTACGCAGTTATTTGGAACGCATAACAATCGGGTATTATCCGAATCGACGTGGTATAAGAGACCATCGTTAATTATAAACGGGCGTTGCCGTTTCGAACGATAGTAATGATGAGATCGTTCCTCCGGCTGTTGCCTTGCGCTTTCCTTGACTAGCTTTTAGTATACCGATCCTAGTCGTTTGTCGGTATCGTAGCCTTTAATGATCTCTGCTCGAAACTCGTCGCTAATCATTGTTACCGTGCTTGATATGTCGCCGAGGTAGATTTTATCATCCTAGACATCGTCTAAGACGTCTTCGACGCTCTTTTCCGCCACTGTGCGGTACTCCGGCTTTACTAGTAGTCGTGACAACGCATCCGGGATTACGTTTAAGCTGCCTGGAATATAATGAATCGTTAGGTTAAACTGTGCTAAGTAAATAGCGGCGTTCGCTAAGCGCGGGTTTGCCTTGCTTAAGTCCATGGTTCGCTGCGATGTGTGATAAATGATAGACAGCGTCGCGGCATAATCAGTTAGGACTTGGATTGGGAGAGCATTAGCGTGTATAAGCTTTCGTAGCTTCTTGCATGCCTATAGCAATGCAGCTATTTCCGCTTCGGTCGATTTATACTTCTTTTCCGTAAGAGTGGTCATCCTTGACAAGTATAGGATCGGGTGTATCGCCGAAGACGTTATATCCTTCCCCGGTATGGACTTTCCGTCTTATATCTTGTCGAGTTAGAATACTATAACCCCGATTGCCTCCTTATAAGCATCGATCTTCAAGAATAACCAGTCCTCTAGCACATGGTGCCACAGTTTGGACTGATTACACAACTGGTGTTACATCCCTTGGAAGGCTTTAAGCTCTTCGCTTGTTAGTTCGAAAGCCACCTTCGAAGTATGCGCTTTCCTTACATGCTTTAACACGCCTTATAGCAGCTGTCCCTTTTGCTTTAGCCCTACGATTAACTCTGTCTTTCTTCTAAGTAATGGGGCGCTTAATAGGCTATACTAAGCGATTCCCTTACGTAACTAGTCAGCCATTCCTAAGTAGGTTTCTAGGGAAGCTAAGGTGTTTGGAAATTGGAGCTTGCGGAAAGCTTCGATACGGTCGGTTGTTTTGACAACTCCTTCGCTATTTACTACGTGGCCTAGTAATACCACTGAAGAGTAGCCTAGGAAGGATTTTTCCGCGGCGATATGGACTCTTGTTTCCTCGAGTATCTTGAATATTACTGTTAGGTGTCTTAAGTAATCCTCTTCATTATTACTAAAAATAATGATGTCGTTAATGTAAGCTCTGACAAACTTCCTATAAGGGAAGAATATCCGGTCTATGAAGCGTTGCGCGAATGTTGGTAAGTTCCGAAAGCCTATTAGCGCTACATTTGATCTTTCTAGTCCTTTAAGGCTTATCACCACCATACGGTTACGGTGTGCCTCTCTTATTAGGAGTTGGAAGAAGAACTTGGAAGCATCGACGGAAGATACGTGACTTTTTCTAACGAGATCGCCGATAATGTCATCCTGGTCCGGTAACGGATAAACGTCAGGCGTTACCATTTTGTTTAGTGGTCGTAGGTCTAATACTACTCTCCCTTTATCAACGTTGTTCACTTTGCGCTAAACAACGAATACAAGACACGCGATCGAGGTAGGTTCCTTTTAGAAGGACATCTTGCCTTGTACGTGTAGTCCATCGTGAGTACTGTCTAGGAACTTGCGATCCTTAACGCTTAATGGGTATGACCTCACGACCCTAAGTTTTTCTTGCTATCTATCGACAAGATCTACTCGTATTTTGTCTTCTTCCGCCATTGGGATAGTGCCGCGGTCGCGCCAAATGTCATGCCTCTCGGCTATCTCGGTTACTTTTGCCGCGAACTCGGGGTTCGTGGCACAAACGCTAGCTCTTGCTTTTGTTTTAACGAATAGGGTATCCGTAGGTTTCGATATTCCATACGACGGGACAGGTCGTGCGAAGTCCTTGTCGAGTGTTTCCTTCTCGGCGTCCGTCTTGACGGCCGCGAAGTGTTCGCGTATAAATACCTAGTCCTCTTTGGAATAACTATCGTCCTAACAGTCTTTTATCTCGCCTTAATTAGCAGGTTCTTATACTGCGGTAGGATCGGTTTCCTTGATCGTTCCTACCCTT